CACAGAGGGTGCCCTTCCGGCCTCTCCTTGCGAACGGCAAAAAGGTAACCCTCCCATCTGATTCTAATTTTTCAGCTTTTCAAATTTTTTCCCGGCTCTCTGGCCTTTCCCCCGCACAAAACGCCTACCCTAAGCGTCATGCTGATCGTATCGACCGCATACAGGTAGAATGCCGGAGAAGGACATTTCGGAGTGCGTATGCTTTAGACAAGTACCCCAACATGGCACTGGGAAGACAGTTGTTTAGTTGTTGTATTGCTTATAGCTAAAGACCTAAATAACAACAGAACTAAACTAAGGGGAAAGGCTTGGCTTTTTATCATAATACAAAGCAATAGTGAATAAACAGTCAGTGAATGAACAGCAAGTGAATGAGGCGGTCTGGTTAATTCACCAGTGCCAGAGGCGGAAGCCTGCGTCGGATGACAGTCACACATGACGGATACCAACAAAGACCACGCACGTATCATGATGATGACATTGACCAAGAGCTTCCATCTTGTGTGGATGATCAACAGATTTATGCCGCAAATTAGCACTTCCAGGGAGCAATTTAGGACAGAAATTTAACAGAAACCAACCAAATCATTGTATGACGCGTTTGCAGTGCCTTGAGACTCGCTTCAATAGATAGCCTTTTTGCATTATCGCCAAGGAAGAACATGTCAAATCCCGAATATGCCCCGATATGATACTGACAATAATCAGCTATAGAAGGTAAGGAAAGGGGGGCGTGATCGTGACGTACTGACGCCAATACCGGGAAGTAATGGGTCAACAAGCAAGATTATGTGTAATATCAATGACCTCCGCGCCTGCGCTACTCCGTTCTGTTGCTAGAAAAGAAAGCACCATTTTCGTAGATGGCCCGTTCTAAGACGGATATCCGCCTCCGTTCGCTAGCTTGGGCCTCCACAACCCACAAAACTCTAAAACACGGCAGCTATTGTGGGAGAGACTGTCCCGCCATCCCAATTCGCTGTACTAACGGGGCCGTCCTAGCAATCATCGGTCGCATTGAATCATGCGGGCTCCTGAAAATGGAGTTCCGCAAAATGGAGTTCCGCCGGTGGTGGCTATCCCGAATCAACAGCAGATGTTTACTAATCTCTTCTAAATGGGTCCCTTAGATAAAGATCCTTTTCGATATGTCACGTGCGTTCATTGAGATTAGCGTCTCATTGGTGTAAGTAACGTTTGAGCCCACTGATCATCTAGGAACGCCTGGTAAGAGAAGCCACTTAATTATACACAGTTCTTCTCGGGTTCAACGAATCTATCTATAGGGTGATTTTTCATTAGTATATATAGTATGTTTCTTTATATTCTGAAGGTCCATTTTTGCGACCTCTGCGTTTTGGGTTATAAAACATTTGCTAAAACTGTTATTGAGCCGTATCCAGGACTCTATGCAGAAGGGCACGATTTTATGGAGCTGCGATTGAGACTCAACGCAGAATAGACAGGTTTATTGATGTCATCGTGTCAATGATGTCACTTCATGTCACGAATACCGTCGAAACTACTAACGTAATAATGGATATTCGGCAAGTTCGGTAGTTTCTTGCCTGAACGTGTATGCGTGGGATTGTCTGGAAAACTATTAAATACAGGCTTGATAGGCACGCAAAAATCGCATCTCCAACATCAATTCCGATTGTTACTACTGACTATTACTACTGACTACTCTATCTTCCTGTCACTCTCGCTTATTTGCAGAAAGTCTCAAGCAAACCTCGGAATGGCGACCAACAATACAGCAATCACCCAGGCCGATCTGGAAGCACCTCTTGCTTATGAGGCTGAGGTCTACCGAAAAGGATTGAAGTTCGAGCGGCCGCCGTTCACTTTTCAAACGACCGATTGGGAGCCTCAAGCCAAGGAAGTCCTTAGCGCTTCTGCCTGGGGTTACGTTTACGGGTCAGCTGGTCAGCGAGAGACGCATAACAAGAATTTAGCTGCGTTCAAAAAATGGGGCATAATTCCTAATCGACTAGTTGATGCGAACTATCCTGACTTATCGACAACCTTGTTTGGGGAAAAATTCCAATCACCTATCGCCATTGCTCCGGTCGGAGTACAGAAAATATTTAATCCAGAAGGAGAGATTGCCACTGCTACTGCTGCATCAAAGGAAGGCGTGCTATATATCATGTCCTCGGCCTCGAGTACAAGTATAGAGGATGTGGCAAAAGCAAATGGAGAGGGCCCACGTTGGTACCAGCTCTACTGGCCTTCAAATGAAGATAATGATATTACTATCAGCATCTTGGAGAGGGCCAAAAAGGCTGGATTCACTGTGCTCGTCGTTACATTGGACACATACATGCTTGGATGGCGACCATCCGACATGAATAATGGCTACAACCCATTTCTTCGACCTGATTCAATCGGAGTAGAGATTGGATTTACAGACCCTGTCTTCCAGCGAAAGTTTAAACTTAAACACGGTAAAGATATCAAGGAAGATCTGGGTACCGCAGCTGCAGAGTGGGCGCGCACTATCTTCCCAGGCAGGAGTCACGGCTGGGACAACTTGAAGTTTTTACGCGAGAATTGGTCCGGACCCATCGTTCTCAAAGGCATCCAAACCATCACTGATGCTCAGAGGGCCGTTGCGGCCGGCATGGACGGAATCGTTGTATCTAACCATGGCGGGAGACAGCAAGACGGTGGTCCAAGTAGTCTCGAGCAACTTCCCAAAATCGCTAGAGCTGTAGGCGACAAAATATCGATCCTGTTCGATAGCGGTGTTAGATGCGGCGCAGATATTGCCAAAGCACTCGCCTTGGGGGCTTCCATGGTACTTGTTGGTAGACCCTACGTATATGGACTGTCCCTTGGGGGCGAGGAAGGTGTGAGACATGTTCTTAAGAGTTTGGCAGGCGAGTTGAGTTGTACATTACATTTAGCAGGTATCCCTGGGGCTGGGCGGGACATCCTCAACGAAGACTGCTTGGTCAGGGAAGTTTGACACAAGACGCAAAATCAGCTTTCAAGTTGGCGCATGTTGTAAGGCTGTGATTAGGGCCGAGTCAGTAGTCATTAGCTCTTTACTATAGATGGTTATTCCACTGATTCCTCTATGTTAAAGTACGGCTCAACGAAAGGCGGCCCGTGAAGATAACACTTGGTACCAATTTATCAGTTTGTGCAGTGTAGTGAACCGGTTTTCTATAGGGCTAGTACAAATAGCTCTCCAAAGGGGAATTAAGGATACAAAGACTTCTAGAAACTAATGGAAGACACCCATACCCCACGGCCATATTCCACAAGACTTAGATTGGAAACCCCCAGCTTTTCTTCTGTTTATTGGAACGTAGCGTACGCAAGATCTGAACCAGCGGCTCCTACCGCCATATTGCCCAGCTGCGGTCTACATGTAACTAGGATACTTAGCGGACATTGTTGGACATCAGCTGCCAACGCTGTCAGCCGTGTATCTGACATTGGAACGTGATGATGACAAACGTGAACCAACTGGGAACTGGCTGAGCATGGGAAGCGACTAGGTGTGCTAAAGTGGGCTGCGAAAGCAATGCATCGTCAGAAGTTTCTCCGTGGCATTATTCTGCTTCTGCCAGCAACTCAAACGTATCTCGACATGTGTGCGAGAATACCCAAGGCTCCCAAATTCTCGACTAATTTGGGCATCCTCTGACGCTCAAAATATCATATCGGCAAGGCATATCCACTCTCTGTCGAGACTTTGCCATCCTATCGCCTGCACACGAATTGATTGGATTGGCCGAAGAAATCTACTCCACAGCTCTCATTGGCTTTCACCCCGTTGTGACGACTGGTTCAGCCTGCACTCTATATTCATTTCACGTGTTATCGGGCTTTCAGATCATTTGAACTTATACTTTTCCCTTGTCAATCTATGTCAACCCAAACCCATCTGTGGAGCTGCAATTTGTGCGTTATCAACGTCCAGTCTCGTCCCTTGACTACTTACAGAAACAAGACGATCCAGTTAGCTTGTATGTAATTCTGCACCAATTCTCTAACGCTAGCCCAAGAAAGTAGGTTTTGCTAGCGCGTTCTCTCAAAATGAAGCTACGACGGTAGCGTACTAGATAATTTCCTCACTGGGAAATCCCCCATGTGGAAACTTGGAACCCATGAACGTCTATATTAGGATGCGGATATCCTCAGTTTCTGGTGGAAATAGAACTCAGGGAGTTAGAGGATTTAATTGTCAAATCGACTTCAAGTTTCGTATTTACGGAGTCGAGAGTTACTATCGCCGGCTGGTTATGATGTATATAAAGCGGCGTGCTATGTACAAAGAGGCAAACTTCGTGGCTAACAATACTCTCACTATCGTCATCAATCGATAAGTCATAATGAAGTTCTCTCGTTTTGCGATTGCTATCGCATTGTCAGTAATATGCAGTACCAACCGGTCGTGCGCGCAGACACCGCCGGGATTTTCTCCAGCGACAAATAAGTCACTTGATGCGACCTTTGCAGGTACAAAAGCAGCTCTTGGCGGCTCAGTCCCCCTTAGCGGTAGGTGATGCAATAACGGCTATGCATCAGCAACCAGGCTAATGAACAATCTATAGACACAAAAGCTTCTCCCCTGATTACGGCCGTGCAGCCCCTCAATGTATCTTCGTCCCACATAGTAATGATGGTAGACCTTGACACTCCTGGCGGTGCCTCTAACAGAAGCCTTGCGCCCTACCTTCACTGGCTCTTTATGGTGCCAAAGGGGGCCACACGGCTGCATAACGAAACAAATTCCACATCTTCAATCGCGCCGTATGTTGCACCAGGACCTCATGTCGGGGATGGCCCGCACCGATATGTCATTCTTCTCTTCGCAAATCCTAGGTCATCTTTCACCATGCCAGTAAGCTTCCGGAATCGCAACTTGACCGATCTGTACGGTCGCGTCATCTTCGATGTCAACAAATTTGCCACGGAGGGTCATTTTGAAGTTGTTGCCGCTACTTGGTTCGAGACGGAGAGAAAAGCGGTTGTCCCTATCACCTCAGCTGCTAACTTGGGCAGCGTGGATTCGATGGCACTATTTCCTTGGACATCTTCTTTGTTCATAATGGGTCTCGTATCATGGATGATGATGTGAGGAATATTACATAGAGTAAGGCCTAACGTACGTTGATGCTGTCGTAATGAGTTTGGAAGACATGTTGAGTGTGAAGCCTAGGTCGGAATTACGAGAACTCAAAGTGCTTCAGCTCCAAGGGGGGGACCACCAGGGGTGGATCCTCCGGCTTAATTTGAGGTTGTACGGTTTAACCATAGCCGTGTTTCTCTTCAAAGGCTTTAGACAGCACAGCAGCCACATGATATAGAATATATTAACTAGATACTATGTTACAGTGAGACTCTGTCTATGCCCTTTCAGATCCGCGTTTGATATTTATGAATATCACGCAGCCTCAACAGGAGATCAATTGTTGTGCTATGCCGTCCGAATTCTTTCAATGACCATCGAGCTCAAGCCACTAAACGGCTTACGAAGTGAATCGTTGATGGTTGTGTGCGCCAGGTTACTCTGTCTCAAAGAGGGACTGTACAGTGCCACAATAGTCAAAGGTAGAAACATACGAAGGTATGCGCAGCCAATATGCTTCGGCAGAAGATATGAATGGCACTCGAGAATGACCTGGCCATTTACCGTTTCAAGCGATTCTGCGCTAGGACATCTAGCAGACAGCGAGCGGACTTTGGAAAGGAGAATACGCGCCGCTGAAAAACACGCCACTGTTAAAGCAGAGAACGCATCATAGTATGGGCTTGTGGAGCATGACGACAACAGGATCTGGCCACCATGTCGGTTTACTTCTGCTTTGTAATCAGCCCACATATTTTCGATCCTCCCATTGATGTCGCGGGAACAAGCAATGATATCGTCGTTGAGACCACGACTTTGTGAAAGTAATTTTTGAAGGATAAAAATTTCGAGCACAAGCCGGCTCACGAGAGGCTCTTCCTGGTCCGCTATTATCCTAGATACAACGGCCCAAACACCTTCATTCAACAGAAGATTCTGACAGAATTTTGGCGAGACACTCACTGCAAAGGCCTAGAACCAATTAGCTATCAGAAATGGTGGACATTACATGTGTACATTGACACTAACAGTTTGATATATTACATGCGCAGCAACTCCTCTGTGGACGGCGACATCTTCAGACTTGTCCGCGGAGGCTAACATTTTCCAACATGCCTCTAAGTGGACATAGTAGGCGGGAGGATTTGTCGACCAGATTGCTTCATAAATCGATAACAATACCGTTGTGCACATTTTGAATGTGGCAGTGACGCCAGATCCACCGGATAGAACGGCAGCATATCGAGATAATGCTTCTCCATACAGCCGAGATGCTTCTAAGACAAGTGTGTAACTCTGAAACATGACGCCACAGAAGGCTGTAGCCGCGGCTCGAAGAGCAGCTTCAAGAATCAAGCCGTTCTCTCCGGACGAGACAATTCCGAGAGCATAGAGCCATGATCGCTTTGAGGGCCCTTGTCCGTTGGATGAAATAAAGGATACGAATTGGGAAACAAACCCAAGAGACGTAAAGGCTTGAGAAGACGGCTGCTTGACTACAGCAACGGAAACATTCCGTCGGGATCGTGCCAACGCCTTTTGATATCGTGCGGTTACGAGACTCGTCTGATCCAGGATTATGGGCCCTTGGATCGGCCCTGAGCACGATCGATTGGTGATGAGGCACTGAAGACATGAAGGCTGGCCGCCATCACAGCCGATGCGCCGTTGTCGACACGCTTTGCAACCACGACTCCGCCGAGGCATATCTTGGCCTGAAAAGAGAATCTTTTGCGAGGTTTCTTTGGTAGTCGCTTGCAATGTCGGACTGGAAGAATCAGTCTAAATAGAAACGGGATGTTAGTGGTAAGATACGTGTATTGAATGCATGGATTATAACACTAGCGAAACCTTCCATACTAAGACTAGCGCTGAGCTGATCTACAAGTTTCGGTGAGAACCTCGGAATACCAGCCCCTTTTACCACTATGAGATTGTAAATTGTTTATTTACAGCTAAAATCCTGCTTGAGCTTCGGCGGGAAAAAATCTTTCCTCATTTGCATTTCTGAGATTGTGCGAGAAGGTGTATTGTTGTTTCGATAATACGGAGTAAATAGTGGTCTGGTGAGTCGTCAACGACCGAAGCCTTTGTCCACTACCAACTTGAACTACGTACATTTACTGATGACTATGTGTATGGAGCCTTGGAAACCGCAGGAACATACTCTGCGGCCAAAGTGGATATCCACTGGATATTCTCATGGCTTTCCGTTCCACACCTTTGAAAGGAAATCCTCCATCTTGGTAAATTCGTAGTCAGGAAACCTTTGGTTCAGCTCGTCAGACACATCCCATCCGCCGTCGAGACTGCTGAGTAAAATGCCAATCACAATGATTTTCCCCATGGTTTGCGCGTCTTCCTCTTTAATAGCTGAATGGGTCCTCTCAAAGCGCCACGGGATACTGATGTTTCCAGCTTTGAGATCATCGAGCCGAACCTTTGTAACAGTAAAAGGGCGACCTATACCACATTAGAACGAACACCTGTAAACATTTGATGTACCTTGCAGATATCAAATACCTCGGACTTTCTCTCCAAGCTTGATGACCTGGGAAAGAGTGGCTCGGTTACCCTGAATCCCACTAATCTCTGGCCACTCATTGTCGGAGTCGATAGCTTTGGCAATAACTGCAGCGCTATCAGCCGCTGTTGTCAAAGTGATCGTAACGTCCTCGTGTCCGTCAATGACAATGGCTTGGAGTTTTTCATAATTGATAAAGCTATCCAAAGGAGCAACGTGCTTTGCTGTTTGATACGGCGACGCGAGGTAGTCCAAGAAGAGGCCGGGCTGGAACAGGGTATATTCAAGAACCTGACACATTCTGAATGAGTATAGAGCGCCAATTTCAAAGTCGTTAAATGAGGCATGATACATACCTTTCCGTTTGCATTGAGCTTTCGCAAGTAATCTCTCGCAACTTCTTTCCCGCCATACCAAGACATGTGAGCGGTTCCCGAGCTGTGAGCGGTGGTTCAATACTTGCACCCAAAACTGCGACTACATCTGAGACATCTCTTACCTTCCGTACTCACTGGGTGCAAAACGCTTGACACCAGCAGCAACAGCCGCATCAATCAGCTGTTTCTGTGATTCTTGTCCTGATTCGTACATGATCTGAAGAAAAGAGAGCAGAGTGTGGGTTCCCTTGAGAGCTTCCACCAAGGCACTCTGGTTGCTATAATCCACAGTACGCCAGGTGGTTCCCGGAACAGCATCATTACTCGAAGGATCCTATACAAATGTTAGCCTTCCTGAGTCAGTAATGGTCCGAGGCCACTGACTCGTCTGCTCAAAATGGTAATGTCGTGTTGACCTGTAACAAGAAGCGCATCGATGATCTCTCTGGCAACGGCTTTTGGGTTCAGAATTGTCCCGTGTTAGCTCGACTGATTAATGTGATTTCGAACGGCGGGAAAACATACGCCCAGAACCGCCTGCGATAGTGACTTTAACCATTGTAAATCAATTTTGAATGATGAGCGTTGCTGATTGGAACTGGATGATGTATGCAATATGCTGCGTTGTTGTAAGCTTGTCGAGAGAGATACAGCGAGGTTTAAATAGTTTTTCGCGTAGGAGAAGAGCTGATACCACGACACATGGTTTACATAACTCATGACTTTACTACCAATGATCACCGCGGGCGACTGTGTCTCTGTAGCTTGAATCGGAGCATTGTTGATGGATTGGCAATTTGTCTAAGCGTTGACAGGGCTCAATGTCCAATCAGAGAGAGGCATTTGTTCCGCCGCGGTCGAAGCGCTGATTCAATGCGGAGTGCACGCTATAGCTGTTTCTCCGCCTAATCCCACTATGGCGAGGTGCTTATTCATTCCGCCGCGGTCGAACCAGGTTGAGTCCATCAACGTTACTTGTATAGCGATTTCTGTCTCTGCCGCGGCGGTTGACAATAATTCGCCGCGTGTAATGCGTGTTCCATTGGTTCATCACCGATTCTCCCTTCCGCCTCCGAAAAAGAGATACTGAGACGCTGTTTCGGCACATCCGGCTGAATAATGGCCACGGCAATCTCCAATAGCGACAGAGGCGGTGGCCAATTCTCCACACCCAAACGGAGGAAGATTCGGAAAGGCACGCAAAGCTGCTGGGAGTGCAAGCGAAGAAAGATTCGGTGTACTTTTGCCGCTCCAACTGAGTCTGTATGTGATGGATGCAGAAGTCGTCGCGTCAAGTGCCTCAGCCAGGAATATCATGACGATACAAGATTGACGCCGGCATCTGATAAACAAGGAAGCAATCTTGACAAGACTGTGTGTTTCTTCTTCTTCAGCCTCTCAATCAACATCTTCTAGACTGACACCAAAAAGCGCAGCCAAGCTGGCGGTCCGTCTGGAATCAAATCACCATCCGTACGCAACTATATAAGCAATGCAGAATCTCTCATCAACTTGCCAGGTGATAATGAAGGAATCTCTCAGCAGCTTCTCGCCGCATGGCCAAGCCAGCCTGAGCTCAAGACCATATCACAAATAAAAATTAACAATACTTTTATGCTATTCCATGGCGTCACATGCATGCCATACTCAGACTTTACGAGCAACAACCTACCATCGCTTCAAGACGTGTTGGAGCCGCCTCTGCCAGGGTCCCACCCAATCTTGATTGCCCGCAGGCTTCTCATGCTGGGCGTTTTTCTGCAAAGCGGCTCACTTCTGTCATCTGAGTTGCAGGTCATCATGTCTCGGGTCGTCGAAACAGCAAACAGACTGGTTGTTAGCAATGACGACCTGGCTGGCTCGCTTGAAGGCATCGAGTGCATCATGATGGAGAGCATGTTTCGCAACAATGCGGGCAATCTCCGCGGCGCTTGGGTCTCGAATCGCCGAGCCATGACTATGGCGCAAGTCATGAGCCTTCATCGATACAGAACCACTGTCTCTGCTAGTAGCAGCGACGGTTGGAATGCTAGACCTCTGCCGAAAGCAATTGACGCTGAGACGCGACATCGTATTGAGCCTCAGTTCATGTGGTTTCGGCTAGTCGCTACAGATCGATATCTATCCTTGATACTAGGGCTGCCACAGGAATCTCAACAAGACCCCCATTCCGTCTGCTTGGAGCCCAACGAGCTCAGAGATTACGCACTCGTAGATCGCCTTGAGCGCTTTGAGGTGGTGGCCGCGGGACTCATTTTGCAGCGAAACAGCACAAACATGCACAACCTTGACGCAACGCTCAGAGTGGACAAACTTCTTCAAGAGGCAACAGCTTCAACGCCTGCCCAGTGGTGGCTCCCTCCCGAGCCCTTGTCCATCGCTGGTGATTCTATGGAGGCTTTCAAAGAGACGCTCCGACTCATGTATCAGCTCACCCATTTCCACTTGCTTGCACAGTTACATCTGCCATATATACTCTTGACTTCCAACGACCGGAAATACGACTATAGCAAGACGACGGCCATCAACGCGAGCCGGGAGATACTGTCGCGGTTCGTCCTTTACTTTGACGGTAGTTCCAAATGCTCCTCCTACTGCCGCGGGATTGACTTTTTGACCTTTATCGCTAGTATGACGCTGTGTATTGCTCATATAAAAGGGCATTGCCAGCGGCATATTGGTGTCAAGAACAGCGAGACTGCCAGCGTCTTTCAATCTCTCGTACACCAGCGCCCTCAAGACATTGGATACATAGAGCGTTTAATGGACAGTATGGAACACAAGACAACAAGAGACAACAACCCCATCACTCAAACAATTACCAGCAGCCTGCGACAACTTGTGGCCATCGAAGCTTCTGTTGCCAGTCAGAGTTGCTGCACTGCAAACTTCTCTTTCCAAGTCGGTTGCGATGGGCTTGAAAGTAGCGGGATCAGTATGCATATGAAGAATGATGCATTGAACATATACGTGCCTTACTATGGCACCATCAAAATAGAGCGAGAAGTGCTTTCCCGCACGTTTGTTGAGAGCCATCTTGTTTCGGCAGACTCCACATCACACATGCCCTTGGAAGCCTTTCAATCGCCTACTGAAAGATCTTTTGTTACGGAGACTCTTGGTGAACCAATTTTGTCCAACAATCGAATTATCGAGGAAGATAACATATTAATACCAGGTATTGGGGAAGACTTTGGTGATTGGGCACTTGGAAGCATGGATTTAGCTTTACTAGACACAATATGAGCCAGTCCAACTTTGAAGACTAGCATACTAGCCTCGCTGAGCTTTCAATAAATAGTAATGTTTGAACAACCAAGGGTAATAAAAGAATGGGGATGCGGAAATCCGGAAGAAAGCTTTTCATAATTATAATAATTTAATAATAACCTAGTACAGAGTAGATTACACTTGCAACATCTCAATCTTCACACCTCTCTAAACCAAGGCCTATACAAAAAATGGAAGCGTAGTGTTCGAGCTGATGACAGTGCTTATGATGCCAAGATAGTTGACCAACAAATCACCGTCTGCGTGCAGATCCTGCTGCACCCAAACAGACTCTATCATATCTCTCAGCTTCCCAAAATTCCTTACAAAACTATCCCTCTCAGTCCTGCCAATTAGATCGATGATGGCTGTTCGCCGCTCGTCCGTGGATGCCTCGCAGGCCATGATAAGTAGGGGGAAGGCATGTTTACACAAACAAACCATGACGATTCCGTCAAAAGCCTCTTCAATCTCAGATTCTAAGTTGATGGAAGACTCCCATTGGCTCTGTGAGGCTCGTGCGAGATAAATTCGTGTGGCCAGCTGCCATATTTTTACGCCAAGTATAACGTCAGCGTCCGAGTTGGCCAGACTTAACGTGGAAAGCACGTTTTCAGCTCTACTCTCAAGTATTTTGAGGCTGTTGTGGTAGTCTTGGCTGCGACTTCTTGGATCCCACGGGTCATACAGTTTGTCACATGTCTCGGAGAGCAGATTCAATATTGCGTGTGTGGGATTCGGAGATGGCAACGCCTACGGATGCATGTTAGTAGATATTATCAACAAGATCCTCAGTGGAATTTACTGGTCTGTATCTCGTCAAAGTCAGATGTTGATCGTCTTTGGTGTTGGGGTAATTTGCAGCTGTAGTCTCTGGAGGTAGCGACTTGTGGCGCCAGTGATATATGGGAAACCGAGAAACCGCGTTGTAGTAGTAGGCCCAATCAAGAACATGATCGATATCGTTTCCGTGCGCCCGATCTTGGAGGCTACTTGCCTGGGCGATATCTATAGCTCCCCAGACGTACCATAGCCACTCGCATGAGCTTCCTGAGGGGAGTAGGATCTGCGTGGATATGAGAGCATTTGAGTACAACGATCATCTTTCTTGGTAAGCGTGTACATGTGCTGTTGACTCACCTCAAAGGCACTAAGCAGCATCGATGCAGCTACATGTTGAGCAGCTTCGGCTGGGCTCAACCGCCCCCCTTTCACTGGAGCAGATAGGTACTGGAGTGCTAATATCTTGAGTTTAATAGCCTGCTGGTGGAGTCCGCTGCGGTGGAGCGAAGAAAAAGAGAGCAGCGCGAAGAAGAGAGCGAGGCCTGGGGCTGAGTCTCGGGCTAGGGCCATGTGTATAAGTGCATCTCGAATCTGGACACTGTCGGTAGTAAATGTGACCAGGGAGAGATAGGCAGTGTCGTGAACTAATGTGGATGCCCATAGTAAGCTACATTGCACATCACACATAGCGCCTCTTTATAGACTTACAATGCTGGATCAAGTCTGTATACTTTGAAGATGGCTGAGGCTGCATCCATAGCTTGGGAATAGAGCGAATCAGAAGATGTGGCTGCACTCGCAGGGTGATATCGCGGTATACTTGCATGTCCTGCGAGGTTGTGTTGACAAAGAAGTTGTTCCGGCAGTCGGAACTTACAACCGCTGGAGGAGAGCCTGCCACAATGGCTCGCTTCCTGTCGTTGTCTCTAGGCCACGATAGGCGCATCTCGTAGCCTTCGCATTTCCGCTGGGCTCGAGAACACTTGCGACAGGTGGGCTGATGCCCGTCGCACTGAATTCTCCGGGCTGGAGTTACGCGATCAGGCAGGATATCTTTCTTTGGGACGCATGTCTACGCACCTGTACACGTCCAGCAGCCTTTTCGGTGATTCATGTTCTCCTTTTTCCACCAATTCTTAGTCTCGGTATCTTACGCAAATCCGGTTGTATGGTGTTCTTGGTCATCAGCTCCGGCGAAATAGTCGTTACACGCATGAAGCTTGCCCAAGTTGAACATTTGCACTCATAAATGTCTACACCATTCGCTCTTTATCAGGTCCACCAGAAGCAACTTTTATCGAGGCTTGAAAGCATTTGTCATCGAATTGACGTGGCTTTGAGTAGGAAGGATTCAGCATGACAGCAGCCTGCGAAGGAGTCTCAGCCACAGCCCGATCCGGCTCGGGTTTGAGTCTTATCCACCAGTTCCGAAACCTTTTTGGCTTCGACTCTTAACACCGGACCCACCGGAAGCAAGTATTCTCGAGGCGCTATACCCTTTTTGCCATCTTCAGCGGACTTGCGGTCGTCGTCGTGTACTTGGCAAGATTTGATGAAAAGATGCATTTCTAATTGAATAGAATGGGAAATTTAGGTAAGGGATGATCCGATTCCTATATGGCGGTGACTTATGACCAGCACTTGTCTATATGTATATAACCCTCATGAAGTCCCGTAACAAAATGTAAAATTCAGATTCAATCACACAGCTCTCATAGCGAGATCATCCTCATCAATAAACAAAAAATCAATTTTCCCTACTTCTCATTTCCGAACAAACCAATTTCATCATGGCTACCTACCTAGTCACTCAGGCAACCGGCCAGCAGAGCCAATCGGTCATCGCCCATCTGCTCGCAACAGGCGCCAAGATCCATGCCGTCGTCCGCGACCCTGCAAAGATTCCAGCAGCCTTGAAACAGCAAGGTATTACCATCTTCAAGGGCGAAAGCACAAACTTTGAAGAAATCTTCCAGGCGGCACAAGGCTGCCAGGGAGCTTTCCTAAACACTTTCCCGATTCCAGGAATCGAAGCCCAGCAGGCCAAGACGATTGTTGCGGCATGCAAGAAGGCAGGAATTGAGAATCTCGTCGCCGCCACCACCTTTACTGTGGAAAATAGAGCCTTTTGGGATGATGAGGCTACGAAGGAGGTCGGATTGCACGACTACTGGGTATCCAAGGCACAAGTCGAGGAGGCCGTCCGCGCTGGTAATTTCAAGTCGTACACTATTGTTCGACCCGCCGTCCTTCATACCGATTTCATGCTGCCAGGCGTTCACCTCAATTTCCCTGCGCTCGCCGAACGTGGAGAGCTGGACCACGCCTTCAATGATGGCGTTCCCATCTTTTATACAGACATACAGGACGTTGGAAAGTACGTCGCAGCAGCCTTTCAGGATCCAGCCAAATTCGCTGGCCAGGAGATCAATGTGATCAAAGACCTTCTTACTGCTGAGGAAGTTGGCGACATCATTTCCAAGGTTAGCGGGAGAGATATTCCAGTGAAACGAAGGGCCAATGTGGAAGTAGAGGCATTGCAGGCCTCTGCCCACGGCATGTTGTTCCATCTATGGGCGAACAAAAAGGACTTGACTCCTTATGTGAATGTGGCCAAGGAAACTCAGGCCAAGTATGGCATACCTTTGACTTCACTGGAAGCGGCGTTGCAGAGGGACAAGGCTCGTCTTTTGGAGTGTTTGCCGGCATAATCGCCATGTTGGATATAGCAGCAACCTGATGTGGATATCTCCTCTTAGCAAATCAAGTTATCTTTAGTTATGTACTCAATAAATCTACAATTTGCAAAGAAAATTAATTATTATACTAAATTGCTTAATCCGCATGAAGTAGTACCTATCCATTTAGTTTCCGCAATGACATACAAAAGGATTTTATACTTTTTGGAGTCTATGATGTGGTTCTTATTTGAAAGCGATCAAGTTTGCTCTTCCGCCGAATTTGCCGTGTGCTTTGGCACTCTTCCAATTTATTTCCCAAGATAGAGAAGCTGAGTCTGACTTAGTCCTGACTAGATATAACACCTAATCTAAGACTCTGTTGAAAGCTATAAGCCCATTTGGCAGATCGAAATTGGGGGCAAAACTGCACAAGTTTATGACTCCTCCAGCGACAGCAATGGCATTCGGCTCAACTGAAGTAGAATAATAGTCAGCAGCTGGCCCTCTCAAGTGATCCTCCGTTGATGATAGTCCAGAGTCAAAGCCAGTTCGAACCTGATGTTATGCAGTTTGGAATAGATGTATCAATCTGGGGTACAGCACCCAGACGGTGAAAGGCAGGTAATAGCCCATCTCATATACTGCACCCGGATGAGTTCGTCAGAACTTGGAGGCAGCGAACCAAGAACATCGACATTGTACTCAAGCAATTATTATTATAGCCACCTCTCACTGACACAAGACATTAGACAGGTCAATCACATCACAAGTGCAGTGATCATTGACAATCTGTGTACTGTCATCGGTGAAGCAGGGTCGTGTATATGATGCGCTGGTTGACAGGCAAGACCAAGAAAATCGACTGAGACTGTTTTCACCTCTCAATTATCAAGACTCTCTGCTTCAATATGGAACCGCAAAATCGTCCAATTTAGTCGAAGCATTGTCATGAGTTGTGGCTTCCGCCATTGTAAAGCAAGTAGAAGCCCAGCTGAGGCTAACCCCACAAGGTAGAGACAAAGCCCGGCAAAATGAATATCATTGGACTACTGTCGAAAACAGCCTAGAATCCATGTTGAGAATTGAAATCATAAGTATTCTGGATGATTACGGTTCTGGCGGCTACATCGTGTGAGTGGCTTCGTCATAGTATCTGGGCTTATAAGCCTCAGAGGTGGCGATGATCCGACACCACCAACCAACGTGCATTTCAAGCGTGGCTAAGCACATGCGTATACATGTAAATAAGTACTTATAAGTAGATCACAAGCATGCCCTATGACTGCAGTATCTGGTTCTCGAGTCTCATTCTTCTCTTCGATAATATTGTTTGTGCTTCTCTACTCTATCCCCTCTCTGGAAAACTACATGGATTCTCCAACCACCTGCTACGATGTCCTCATTCTCGGCAATGGTCCCGCCGGTCTATCGGCCGCTCTACTATGGCTCGCGGCGATCGTCTGCCATCCTAAGTCCAGGATCCTATCATAATCAAGGCGTGGCTGCCCTCCATAGTGTCATTGGCCACGATGGCGAGAGTCCCGAGCAGTTTCGCGCCGGAGCCCGAGAGCAGCTGCGGCAAAAGTATCCAAACATCGTCATGCCGGAGGAGAGATGATTGTGCAGGCAGGTCAAGCCGACTTCTCTTATCAAGGGCGCAACTGGGAAGGCTTCCGCTTACAATCTGCGAGAGGCAATTCCTTCTTTGGACGCAAGCTGATCTGGGCTGCGGGAGCTCGCGATTGTTTCCCAGAGGATGTGCCTGGATTCGCTGCTTGCTGGCCGTCTCACATCCATGACTGTCTCTTCTGTGATGGCCTGGAGCAGATCCGAGAGCAGCCAACAGCGGCCGTGGCTGTGCTGGCATATCCATGGAAGCCCATCTACGGCTACTTGGCCATGCAGGCGGCTTCGCTCCAGCCTGCTCGAGTCGTGATTTTGACCAACGGCGATGTACCTGAGCAAGAGCAGGAGGCTGTTGACAAGGCGCTGCGACTGGCCCGCGGCGTGGGTTGTACCGTCGACAATCGCCGAATCTCACAGCTTCACCTCTCAGATGCTGCTGATCCCAGTTTGTGACGGTCGATTTCACTGATGGATCTCACCACGAGTTTGTGTTTCTCATGAACAAGCCCAAAACCAACATCACGTCTCGAGAGCTCGTCGAGCAGCTGGGACTCGAGCTGGAGGATATGCCGCATCTCGGAACACTATCAAGCGTCGTGAGCCCTGCGGCGAGACAAACATCCCCGGTGTCTACGTGATTGGCGATGCAGAAACTCATGCCAAGCAGATTGTGGTGGCCTTGGCGCAGGGCAGGTATGGCGTAGATAGTTTGTGGGGTGAACTGCTTACAGAGGATGCTGAAAGGAAGATGCTGGAGACAAAGGGGCGCTGCTTGTTGAAGAAAGGGTGCAGCTCCAACTTGAATTCTATTTCAAGTGTATAACTCAGATCATGTTTAGTTAATCTATTCGAATTCGTTTACTCTTTTCGCCTTTCTCTCTCCTTCTTCATCGCATAGCTCCCAAACTCCGCGTCGATCTGCGAAAACATGCCAATACTCACCTGGCTGAAAGTCTCGAAGCAATTAATCGATTGCTTAGTAGACACTATCCAGCGACTCACTCTGAACCCCACACGTGGCTTCCGCTGATGATGTATAAGTGCCCATCTGCCGCCGACTCCACGAGGGCAATTGGTTACATCGGCCTGGGCTGTGTTACAGCGCACAAACGCCGGCTGCAAAAGGACCACGACCCCGGTCATAGCTGAAATGGGTGAGACAGGCGCGCTACAAAAGATCGTGCAGCCCTCACCGCCAGGCGATGTTCCATGGGCCAAATGAACTATTTTCTGAGAACAAATGAACAAACAGACTGGCACGGATGGTTTGGTATAGTCTGCGGGCTTGACGCTTGCGTAGATGAACATACAATGATGCAAGCTAACCCAGTGGCCATGTTGCAAGCTGCGGAGGCCTCCTCGGCTGAAGCGATTCCCAGATCGCCAAGGCAGATTCGTTCAACTCAGCACAACACCATCTTCGAGCAATGAGCTCTCCGTGTACATGTCCTATCGCATTGCCGTCGCCCCGGCTGTATCGCTGAGGCTCGGATGCTTCCGTTCTGAGCTACGTATCAGTGGATCTACGAGGCGGGATACTAACATGAATCGAAGAAGTGGTCACTTCCAACAACTACCTTCTGATTCGAAAGTGGAGGGAGCCAGTTTCACGGACAACATACAGAACGATTCACATGATGCACGCCGTCTCCATCCGGGCAATCGTGACAGTACTCATATTACCAGAGGTTCGTCACTGTTCGAATAGACCAGGGCTAAGAGGGAAACATGAAGCTTGCACCGTTCCGATGAATATAACGTAGAACCCATCCATCATAATGTAACAACAGATGAACATAGTGATCAGAAGCACGACCGCTGTGTGAGATTTCAAAGTCGGATAAGTTGACATTGGCCGATGCCTTTCTTTTAGGGAGACGTTATTCAGCGCCCCAATCTCATTATCAAACACTCCAGCTGTAATACAACAAGGCGGCCATTCCACATATCAAACTATATGTACACAACTGCCAAATACCGTCAATACGTTATAAATAGCAGCAGTAGCAGCAGTAGTAGCAGTAGTAGCAGTAGTAGCAGTAGTAGCAGTAGTATATATAGGCGGTAATAGCAGTAATAATAGCAGCAGTCCACGCTTAAGCTGGAGGGCTGGATAACAGAATTGGGGTGCTGAATACCCTCTGCCTTCTTTTATTTGGCCATTTATCGTTGCATGTATTAGCTATCTTGTTATTGGATGTTCTTGCCATCTGCGTCTATACTATGCTGCTAAAGTTGTGAGCTTGGAGAGGCGTCGGGGCAACACACCACATTGAAGAGGTAGCTTCATAGGCTGCGTGTAATCCTACGGTGCCACCACAGCCTCGCGGTGTAGCAGCCAATCAGAGATGCATTACACAATCTCAGCCACTATTGGCCTATATCAATAGTCTTAGTCATGTTCTTTTGTGCCCGTTAAATCCTTCCACGACGCGAGCTTTGATTGGGCTCCATTGGGCGCGAGAAAATCGGTCCCTGGTCCTGGTGCTTGACTTCATCTCAGCTGAGGTATATATCCACCCTCCATTCTTCTATCTCTTAGCCCAGCCTAAGAATTGCGAAGACGAGGAATAGAGCCAATTATACTCGCTTGATCCGCCACCAAAAGACAAAAGTCGCGTCATAAACCGTTGGAGTTACTTCTATTAAGCGTCTTTCGCGATATATCTCTCAAGCTTCCATTTTAACCGTGACAACACTGCGGCATTCTCTATTGTCCTCTGTCCGCTGCCCTATCCCGCTAGCCTTTGGCCAATTCATGATTAATAGCTGTGGTTTCCATATCATGGAAGGAGATCGCATAATCTCTGAAAACACGATTGGAAATGGCAACGTGTTCTTCCAGGGTAATGTCAGCGTCAATAATCACGCGCAAGACTCGCAGAAGCAAGGAGAGCACGACGTTCTTAAACGTCTCTATACATCGCCATATCAGGATCGAAAAGATCGAAACCCTCCACGAGTACCGGGTACATGCGACTGGTTTGTGTCCCACGAGCACTTTCGGACTTGGAACGAGAGCAACTCATCAGCCCTGCTCTGGGTGTCGGCAGATCCAGGGTGCGGAAAATCAGTGTTGGTAAAGCATTTGGTTGACTCTGTTATGCAAACTACAGAGTCTAGAGCAGTGTGCTACTTTTTCTTCAAAGATGACTTTCCAGACCAGAAAAATATTACCAGCGCTCTTAGCTGCATACTTCGCCAGATATTCATTCAAAGGCCCTCATTATTGTCCGATGAGATGCTGAGAAAGTTTAATTCGGGAGGGGAAACATTCACTACTTCATTCAGCGACCTTTGGAAAACCTTGATGAAAGTGGCAGAGAATGAGGACGCAGGCGAAATCGTCTGCATTCTCGATGCAATCGATGAATGCGAGGATCAGAGTGGACAGGGAAGATCTGAGCTTCTCAAGGCATTGTGCACGCTATACGGAACCGATACTAGAAGGAATTCGAATCTGAAATTCCTTCTCACCAGTCGGCCATATGCTGAAATTTCTCGCGGTCTTCAGCCGGTACAAGTTCCAGAGCTACCAGTAATTCGTTTAAGTGGAGAAAGCGAGGACGAAATAAAGAAAATTTCCCTGGAAATCAATATTTATATTGACGCCAGAGTCCATGATATAGCAAATCGGCTACAGCTTACCGAAAACGAATGTGATCTCCTGCTGCGGAAATTGAAAAGTGTTCCTAATAGGACATACTTATGGGTATATCTTGTCCTCGATTACATCGAAAACAGTATCAATGTTAGCAACACGATGATAATTGAGGCCACTTTACACATGCCTACAACAGTTGACGAAGCCTACGAGAGAATACTCTCCAAGAGCACTAATGCCAAACAAGCCAGGATAATTCTGCACATCATTGTCGCAGCAGCACGGCCCTTAACCCTCGGAGAGATGAATTTTGCAATGGCCTCGAATAACGGTGACCAGCAATCCTATGACGATCTTGGTCTGGCACCTGAATATCGTTTTCGCGAAACTCTACGAAATATTTGTGGCCTTTGTGTCGTGGTTGTTGACTCAAGGGTCTATCTGCTACACCAGACAGTAAAAGAGTTTCTTGTTAGAGCAGATGATATGCAAACCATCGGAAGGGACCGTGGAGATGTCGAATGGAAATTTTCTCTATACCTACTGGAATCTCACCGCATTCTCGCCGAAATCTGCATCTGGCACCTCCTTGCGGGATTAACGATTATACCTGACTCGGCAACCGAACAAAATTGGCGTGGAATCTTTCTCGATTACTCTGCAAAACATTGGGCGTCGCATTTCCATCAGATGCTCAGTGAAACACAGTCCATTATGACTGAATCAATACTGATGATTTGTGACGTTGCATCAAGCTGTTGCCAGACATGGTTCAGCTGCTATTGGACCACGACAAATACACAGTTTCCCGAAGACTTTACTACCCTTATGTTGGCGTCCTATTTCGGACTGAGTATAGCAGTTAGCAACTTGCTTACAACATCTGATATCAAATTGAATGTTCGAGATAGCACATACCAGCGGACCGCTTTGTCCTGGGCTGTCAGAAATGGCTTTTACAAGGTTTCTGAGCTTCTGCTTAACGGCATTCGGGAAAAGCTAGGCACTCTTAAGTTACCGTTTAGGAAGAGAGCGAAAGTCGACCTGCAGGACAAATATGGCCGAACCGCATTGACGTATGCTATTTGGAATGGAGATGTCGCTCTTGTCCAGCTGTTGATTAAGGCAGGGGCGCGGGCACACCTGACAGATGAACTCGATGGAACACCATTATCATATGCTTTTTGCAACGGAAACGCTGAAATAATTGATCTCCTTGCCAAAAGGAAGCGTGTAGTCGATATTGAGAATGATATCAACCGATTATTGCTTTCTGCGGCAGAAAAGGGGCATGAAGAAGTAATGTCTCTATTGCTCAAGACAAATAGAGCCAACATTGAGGTGCAGAATCAGTATGGCAGCACACCTCTATTAATCGCTGCTGAGAAAGGACACAACACTATAGTGAAACTGCTGCTTAAGGCAGGAGTAGATGTAAATGCTCATGAAGATAGCGGCTTTACAGCTTTAACCTATGCCTCTAGGACTGGCTGCGAGGCAATAGTAAAATTGCTGCTTAAGGCAGGAGCAGATGTAAATGCTCATACAGATAACGGCTTTATAGCTTTAATCGATGCCTCTAGGGAGGGCCACGAGGCAATAGTAAAATTGCTGCTTGAGGCAGGAGCAGATGTGAATGCTCATACAGATAACGGCTCCACAGCTTTATACGATGCCTCTTGGCGGGGCCATGAGGCAATAGTGAAATTGCTGCTTGAGGCAGGAGCAGACGTAAATGCTCATGAAGATGACGGCTCTACAGCTTTATTGGATGCCTCTCGGTGGGGCCACGAGGCAGTAGTGAAATTGCTGCTTGAGGCAAGAGCAGATGTAAATGCTTATAATAACTTCGGCTCTACAGCTTTATTTATTGCCTCTAGGAATGGCCATGAGGCAATAGTGAAATTGCTGCTTGAGGCGGGGGCGAGCCGATCATAAAGGAAAAAATGGCTAGCCAGTCTCAGGGGGGGTTTCTTCAGACGGACATGCTAAGACAGCGAGATTGCTACTGGTAGCATGGTCGGACACACCCAACACAGAGAATGGTTATAGAATCGATCTATGCTGCAAACAGATGCAGATGGGGAGATGGCGAACATATTGCTGGTGTTAGAGGGGCGGGTCTAGTGTGGAATGCAACCTTGGCCTTGAGCTATGCTTCTTTCAAAGTAGTTGGGGAATATTTAGGGATTTCAAGGACACGAGTTGAACTGTTCAAGATATAACACCTGATTTTGGCCAGGGCTGAGAGAAGCAGTCAATATTTTGGGAGAGTCAGATGTACGTTTCGTTTAGAGAGTCACATACTTCCGGCTTTCTAATTGCTATCATACAAGACCGCAAGGCAATTTATGATTGGGTAGATATAATGAGTGAAACAGCAGCCGATCACCTCCAATTAAGCCAACTTTTCATACTAGTTACTATTGAACGGTTTACATCTTTGGCGCCACCTCTGCGTTTGGTCCATCAACCTTTGCAATCGTCTGCGTACTCTTCTTATAGCCCTCTTCGTTTTGCAGATGGTTTACATAATCTGCTACGCGTGGAAACTCCTCCTTCCACGATCCCCCTTCCCACTGCCCCATGTTGTCGAGAGCGTCTTTGGCTGAGAAGAGAGGGAAGCTGAGGATGATGTCAGCAGGAGTGAGGTGGTCGCAGCAGATGTAGCGTCCACCAGAGGTGCTCAGTTGCTGGTCCAAGAATTTGATGTGTTTGTAGATGTTTGGGAAGATGTAGCTTGAGATGATTCTGTTGGCGACGGCGGTGGTGATGGGGCGAATTAAAAAGGGGACAGGAGGTTGCTTGAGTCCTGATAAGTAGAGTGTTAGTATCAAATTCAAGGAAGCTGTTCATCTTTCTTGGGTAGGTAATACGCACTGCTAATCACCAGGCTGAGGACTAGATATGGCATCAGACTGCCCTCGCTGTAGTGCAGAAAATACTGATTCCTCAGCCACGCCTCCGTCTCGCCCCCAACCTTGCCCTCCATGCCATCTTTCCATTTCTGTGGCACAAGACGACGTCCTTCAGAAAAGTGCTCGCACAGGTAGTTCGCCATGTAACCGCTTTCAGCCAATACAACTGGTTCTGCGCTTTCACCATGAGGCGTGATGACCACGACGGGGGACTTTCCTAGCGGATGCACCTTTTCTAGCTCTGGGGGTGCAAACATGGTCTGTTTGTTGCGATGATACAGCTTGATGTCAAAGTTGATCTTGAGTTCTTCCAGGAGCCATACTATGCTCTGAGAGCGCGATTGGTTCAGCCTGGACAAGTTAGCGAGCAATTCTATACTCTAACTGATGCAACCTACCAATGAAGCGTGACCTTGGGTTCCTGCTCGTCAGTAGCCATGATGGACTTGTATACAATATGTTCACAATGAAAAAGTTATATATTCATGTAGAAAAAAGAGATGTGAATTTCTGTGTTTCAATTGAGCAGTACACTGAAACGATCCATGACGGCGCCTTTATATAAGTCCATTCCTCACCAACGTCATACTAAGCCCAGCTAGCAGAAAACAATCACCGCATTTGCTCGGCGCAAACTACCAAAAACGCCACCAGAAAAATGGAACCCTCCGAGCAAGATCTGAGATTTGTCAATCTCAAATAGGCCAGGCACGCAGCAGCAGACTTTGGCAGGGATAAAACAAGAAGATGCGGGTTTTCCCTTTTCGGCTACGGGGAAATTCTGTGCCTCGGGTCGGGATCTTCACGGATGCTGGGCTTGTGGAGGCAGCGGTGAGAAGTCATGCCGAGATCTGAGTTGTCTCACTGTTGACATGACGATGTATCGATGTTAGAATAGAGCTTCTACACACGTGTCAGTTTTACAATTGAATCCAGGCAGATTGTATTTTCAGATCCTCGGTGAATCCATCGTCTTTGTTGCAAGGTACGGATATGCGCTACTCATCTTCCAGGCTTCCCATTGGCTGCACACCTCGGTCAAGCACCCCGCCACAAAAATGTCCACCACTCATCTCAAACCTTGTCGTTCTCAACGCTCGAAACTGGCTTTTACAGCATCTCTTACTCAGCTTCTCATGAGCCATTGAGCTCTGCGCCATGCACGCATCTCGCAGCATCTGCTCAAGATGCGCCTCTCAGATCCACTCACTGCAAACCCGGCGTCTCGGCGGCACGGCGCTGTTTGCCTCTTTGAGCGACGCCGCAGGTCTCTCTAACGCTGGATCAAACTCATCAAGATCAACAACTCATGGTAAACATCAAGAGGCTTCGGGACAAAAGCCACGCAGCTACAATTATGGCACATCGAAAAGAAATCCGAGGAGAGTCTTCAATGGAGGTTCCGGTTCTGGCTTCGCAAAGAAAGGACCCCTCAGAGCCTCAGAAGACTCTGCCATCGCTCTCTTCAAAGATGTAGTCAATCCAGAGACGAAAACAGCAAAGCCACAACCGTCTCCCCTTGGCGAACTGGAAATTGCAGCAAAGATCAAAGAACTATCCAACAAAAAGATTGATGCCCTTGAAAAGCTGAATGTTTTCCAGAAAACCATCTCGCCGCACTTAGAGGGGTACTACGGACAAATGCCCAAACATTTACTCCTCTCCGCATCTCAATTCCTGGAAAAGACCTGCGATGAAGTTACCGAGCGTGGCTATACCGGCCACAGCATTGAGCTCTCCAAGCTGTATAGCAACATAGGAAAGACGGATCTCGATATTAGGAATCAGCTCGTCCTCAACCTCTGTCATGCCATCCTCTTTCAGAAGCGAGAGTCGGCAGACCGTGCGAAGCTGATGAATGAACTCATCGGCCTGTGGAAACACATCTCTCAGCTTCGTCGCAGGAGTCAAGAGCATGAACCTCTCAAATTCTCCTTTCCTCAGGTTCAAGATGTCCGGCGAGACATTGCCGATGGCAAAGCGACCAAAACGCATCTTCATCCCACGACTAGATCATTGGCCGCTCTATTCCTCCAATTCACCCCGGACCAGGCCCGCGACATTATTCCAGGCCTCTTGACTACTCTTGCTATTCTCTCAGATCCAAGATTTATCAGATCCGGGACATACACAACCATGGCCCCTCTCTTGAATCTACTAGCTATAGCACTGGGAAACAAAGAGGGTGTGCCTGAGTCCTACATATCCGGAGTATACAGCGATCGTATTCGGTTCCCCTCGACCAAACTCTCTGAGATCCAATCCTACGTCGTCCAGCAATGGCCTCAAACAATGGAGATGCTGCAGAAAGAAGACGCACCGTGGCATTCAAACTCATCGCCAATCTTCAATGCTCTCCACAAACAGCTCCGGCAGGCATACAACGCCCGCGACAATGGCACCGTATACTCCATCTGGCAAGATTTCAAGGGCCGTCTAGACCGGAAACCAGGTCTCGCAAAGCAGCTGCGCAACAACGCTGAATTCCTTGACTTTTGGATATTCGTCTGGTGCGCGTTCCGCCGCCATCGAGATTTGCAGGAGACGTTTGACTTGATGCAGCGACTGCAGATATACCCTACCATCAAGACCTACACAGGTATGATGCACGGCTGGAAGATATGCAAGGATACAGACAAAATCGAGGCACTTTGGACGAAACTAGCAGGTTCGGGCATGAAGCTCGACACCGTCATCTGGACAGAGCGCATCTCCAGTCTTATCGAGGCTGGAAAGCCGCAAGCTGGAATCGAGGCACTTGCTGAAATGCTCGCTCTATGGAAGACGGCAGTCCAGAACAATGCTCAGCATACAGCCGCGCAGCCCACCATTGAGGCCGTCAACGCAGCTTTCAAGGGCCTCATCCAAGTCGACCGCAAAGCCGCCTTTGACGTGCTCAAGTGGGCAGGCCGCGAGCAAATCGAGCCCAACGTCCGCACATACAACATCATCATCCGCCAGAGCTTCCGCGACGGCTCTCCCGACGAAGTGCAGAACTTGCTAAAAGTCATGTCCGAGAACAACATCGAGCCTGACTCTGCCACATTCACCATCATCCTCGAGGAAGTCATCGGCGGAATGGGTCCCGCCCCAGCCGCCGACCAAGTCGAAGCCGTCCACCTCGTCTTCCAGGACATCGCCAAGGCCGGCCTGCGCCCCAATCAGGAAACCTACGGCAAGATGCTCTACGCCGTGTCGTCCCTCGCCAACGGCACCGACGAGGCCATCGACGCCGTGCTCAAGCACATGCGCCAGGACGACTTCAAAGTGACCCCCCACATGGTCACCATCCTCATCGAGCGCGCCCTCAACCGCGACCCGCCCAACATGAAGGACATTGACACGCTCCTCCTCGAGCACGGCTTCTCGCACGTCGGCGTCGGCGACCAGACCCTTTGGGAGCGCGTCATGAGCGCAAACGCCATCACCGGCAACACGGATCGCGCAATGGCCGTGTTTGAGGACCTACAGAAGGCGAGACGGCCGGTGACGTCGCTGCCGTGCCTGACAGATCTGCTGTGGGCGCTGCTGGCGAGGGAGAAGCGCGACGAGGCAAGGCGCGTGGTGGACGTGGTGCTGGAGTATAAGACGAAGGATAGGGACTGGGAGGGAGAGTCCAAGGACAACAGGTACTGGAAGCATCATTTCTGGTTTTTGGCGGAGGAGAGGGGGTTGCTTGAGGGGAGGGAGGTGCCGGATGTGCTGAGGACGAATTTGCGTGGATAGACTGTAGACTGTAAATATTGTCATCTAATAAACGTACTACAACAGCGATATTCACAGGCATCACGTATCCTTGGTGGGTTTCTTTGTATCATTCTATCAAAGCTCCTAAATCACGTCGTGTCCATTTGTTCCTCAGTCTCCAACAACGCCGCCACCTTCTCCAGCCCTTCTACCTCTCCCTTATTCAATCCTCTCCCCTCGCCCTGCCACTCCCCATCACGCACTTCTCCCCTCGGACCAAGCTCCAGTCCCACCACCGTCTCGAGATACTTTCGCGACGAAGATTCAATGTACTCTGCGCGTTGTCTCCTCCATGATGTTGGCGTCACCGGCTCTTTTTCTGTCGTAGCAGAAGCAGCGGCATCATCATCATCTCCCGGCACGCTTAATTCCGGCAACAATTTCCTCAGCGACCCTGACAGCGCGCGCAGCGACTGCAGCTGCGAAAGCGTAAACTCGGTCGTCGTCGTAATGGGCTGCTCGCCGCCGCTCTCTTCAAGCCCGCCTCTATCGCGCAAGAAGGAAAACGGCTTCGTTGTTGTTGCCGCTGCCGCACCATCCTGATCCATTGCATTTTGTTGATCTTCTTCCGTCTTGGTCGTATCAGTGTCCACGCCGAGAAGTGACCTCAGACGTCGCAAGAGGGCCTCGTTGTGCGCTTTTTCAGATTCCAGCACAGCGTTTAGTTTTTGGCTTGCTTGTAACCTTCTCCGTAGCGCGGTTATAGATTGCGTAGTCGGTTTATCGTTTGCACCACCATCATCCTCCTCCGCCGCAGGAAACTCCAACCCGGCATAATGTGATAGTCGCATATACGGCTGGTCCTGCGGTCTTACAGTCAAAATGTTCTGCATGATGTACAGCTCGAAAATGTCAAAATTCTTGTCGATGGATGCGTTAAGGAGTGTTTCGAGCTGGTGGGTGCCATTTTCAATCTCGAGCTTGGCGGCCTCTTCGGGTGACAGCTTTGGGTTCTGCTCTGATGATGCTTGTTTTGGTTTCTTGGCGAAGCCGAGTTTGTGGGGAGGGATGGAGAGTAGAAGGCGTTCGACGGAATCGAGGGCGCGGTCGGCGAGGACGTTGACGGTGTTAATGATGTCGTCGAGGAGGGACTGGCGATTATTAGGCTGGTTATTGGTCAAGTAGGATTTGGGAGAAGCATACCACTGGGGGATAGCTAAAGTGTTCTGTTAGGAGCTCGTAGTCGGAGCTGGTGGCCGCCATGGCTGGCGAGGCTGAGGTGAAGCTTATTCGAGGCTGTGATGCGCAGATGCAGATGCAGGTGGTGGTGGTGTTTAGACGAGGCTGCGACGCGATCAGGCGCGTAATGAATTGAGTCTCGTCGGCAGCAGTTGAGCAAATTGTGATGCTTGATTAAACTTGATATATGGAAATCAAATGAATTAGTAGAGAAAACTGTATATAAATTCTGCAGCTTGTAGATAATAATCACTCTTCAATGAATTTAGATAATCATGCAGCAACAGCAACAAGCTCCTCCAAGTCGCAGCACCAGCTCCAGCCTCACTCTAAACTCAGGTACGTACCCCCTGTGGCTGCTGTTCGTATTCCCCACTGCTGTCATCCGCACTCCCTTGTCGCTCTTCGTTATCAATCCGTTTCCGCCCAGGCGGTCTCGCCGATCATCCCCAATTGGAACCAACCTCTTCTTATAAATCTGTGTATTGATTCTCCTGCCACTCAAGCTGTTGATTGTCAATTCCCGTCTGAGTTTTTCTTTTCCTCTTTTTTCTTGTCTTCTCTACTTCAAAGGATCAGCACAAATACACACAGCCCCAAACACAGCTCCATCTCGCCCACCATGTCCAAATACGCCGAAATGGCCAAGGGCAAGCTGTCCGAGGGCCGCGAAAAGGCTTCCGGGCTCAAAGGCAGAGCCAAAGGCAAAGTTGTACGTCGTCGCATCTCCAATTCGCATCTCCCTCTCTCTCTCCAGTAATTCACTATCTTCAGAGCCCAAAATCTAACAAATACTCCAGACAAGACACATCCCCGGCCGAGGCCACAAGGAAGAAGAAGATATCGGCGCCTCCCACGTCGCCCGTCCTCTCAGCTCCCTCCGCGATCCAAACTCCTTTGCTCCTCCGCCCAGACGGACAGGCTCAGGCCTGGCTCCTCCTCCACCTCCCTCCACAGCCAAACGATCCGTCGTAAAGGTTCCAGGCACATACCAACCAGCTTACGAGGAAGAAGAGGAAGAGCACCATATACCTACCGGACCTTACAGAGCGGATACAACGGGCTTGTCAACTTCTAATCTGCCGCCTCCTCCAGTAAGGAGAGACCACCCAAATGACCGGAGCCCTCCACCATACGAGTCTGTCGTCGCCTCCTCCGCCGGCACCAGAGCCCCTCCGCCAAGTCTTCCCCCAAGGCTACCTCCGCGATCAGGTTCCGGAACGCCGGGTCGCACAGAGAGTCCATTGTCAGCTCTTGGAGCCAACCCCAACGACCTCAATCAGGGCGCCATCAACAGACTGGGAGCTGCCGGAATATCCGTTCCGGCCTTTGGCATTGGCAAAGCATCTCCCAGCTACGACGACGACGATGCGCCTCCTCCTCCAAAGCCTCCCCGACCCGTTGCTGCTCCACCACCGCAGTCGCATCTTAACGAGCTGCAGAATCGCTTCGCTAGACTAGGCACGTCCAACACGGGTTCATCTGCGGGATCGCCAACTCCTCCCAGTGAGACCACGACTCCTCCTGCTGTCAGGCCAGCGGCACCATTCCCAGCACCAGCGCCATCAGGGTCACCGGGTCTGGCAGGAAAGAAGAAGCCGCCGCCACCTCCGCCCAAAAAGAAGAAGCCTACGCTATCTGCTGCTGCAGTAACTCCTCCGGCCAACGATGAGCCGCCCCCTATCCCCTTGTCGACCCGTCCATCTTACCAGTAACCAGGAATCATAATCATAGTACATTTTGTAAAAGCAATGGTCAGCTGCGCATATTCATAATCGAGGCATGTCATTTGTTGCATTTTGCATATTGTAGTTTCATTCTCGTCTGGCGTTGGGAGAATCAGGCATCGGCTTCAGCATACAAGTTTTAATAGAAAGTTTTTGATGAAATCATGCTTAGATCAGCAAATTTAATTTCTGTCCTTTTGAATTGTCTCCGCTCATTTCTCCAGCTATAAGGCTTTTTTAGTTAAGGGGATATATGCCATGGCGCCGAGTTAAACGCAAAAATTGACTCGTAACTTTGTTCCTCCACTCGTTATCTCTCACTCCCAGCCCGCTTTATTCCTATCTCTTTTGTAGAAAAAAGCATGTTTAAACCTTCATCTCGGTGACACCGTGCTTCCAGACGATGACGTAGGGGGTAACACCGTCCTCACGGTAGTTGAGGAGGACAACCCTAATCACATCAATCAGTATCAAAACATTGAATGAGATTCTGGCTGAGACCAGCTGCAGTCGTGACTTACATTCCGTCGGGGTTCATGGACTCGCCAGTGTAGAACTCAAAGTCCTTGAAGTTGGGCAGCAGCTTCTCCTTGACGTAGGTCTGGGCACCCTTCTCGAAAGCGGTGATGGTCTCGGCGGGAGCACCCTTCTCCTGGAGGCCGGCCTTGACAGCCTTCATGTAGCCTGTTTACAGCAATCCTGTTAGCACCTCTGATGCAGCTACAACCATGGCGCACAGATCAGAGAAATCTGCTTGCAACAACAGCGCTACTTACCCTTGAGGTAGGCCAGGTAGCTCTTCTTGTCGAAGCTGGTGGACTGAAGACGGAAAGAGTGGACGATGTTGTTGACCTTGACCTCGGCATCCTCAACACCCTCGTCGGCCTCCTCAGCGGAAGCGTTGGCACCGGTGTCTGATAAAGCGCCATGTTAGACATCCGTTGAGAAATAATATACTTGTTCCTTCTCTTTTGTAATTGTTGCCGCAACATCGGGCTCTATTCGCTATTCTGCGCGGTCCAACGGCAACGTAGAGAAGCGAGCAAGAAGCTGCCAACTGGATAGGAATTCTGTACGCACCGACGTTGACGGCGCCCTCAGTGATCATGGCGCAGTCGGCCTCGTAGACGATGCCATCGACCTCCTTGAGATCGTACGAGTCGGAGATGATCTCGTCGTCGGTGATGAGGTCCTATTCAAATTTGCGGGGTCAGAGCCGTTTTTCTCGCGGGGATCGAAATATTAACAAGAAAGGAAAAAAACAAACCTTGTAGATAAGCATGATTGCGATTGTGATTCCACACGGGAAGAAATAAAAAGAAAGATTTTGGTATGAAGCAGAGGAAGCGAGACAGGGAGGAAGAAAAAAAAAAGAAAAAAAGAAAAAAAAGAAGCGAGATGGAGGGGAAGAGGCAACTTTGGCGATAGAGTAAAATTCAGAGTGGGCGGGCACAAAAATGTGGGCAATTGATTGGTTACCGCTGCTTTGGTGGGGACCGAGGGGAGGATTTTTGGCTTGCCTAAACAAGAGCGCCGTTTGCCCCGCATTGGCAGAAAGAAAAAATTGTTTGCCAGAGCTTTTTAGCTGGAAGACAGTTGGTGTTATTAGATGGAGTTGACCTATATTGTACGTGGTCTTGATCTGCTTCAATTTCCATGTATCAGAGGCAAGCAAGGCTGTGTGGTCATCTAAACCTCTAGACCAGCCGCAGATGGTACCTATACATAGAAGAGACTTTGAAATTTTGGAAAAAGTATATCACGAGGAAATCTAACTTTTCCGATAACACAAACTCAGATTTCTCAAGCCTTGCCATGTTCTTAATCCATTAACTTTTAGGTACCTACAAATCAGTCCATACATCTAATAAAAGTAACGCCAGCATCTTGCTGCAATATCTTCCCGGCCACTATCATCCTCGAGTGCAGCCGCAAACCATTGGCAGCTGCACCATATATCCCGTACAAGCTTTATCTTACATGCCCACTTCCCTTCCTTTGCCGAGTCCTCTCTCCACATCCCTCACATATTTGTGGCGAAGATGATGTCTCTCAGCGCACCCACTTGAGCTCGAAGCTCTTCTTGGACGTTGGGTTCCGAAACTCCCCCGATCGTTACATTTATGTCGTGGAAAATGGTATGGATACGGTCAGTATACCACAACATTTCAGCGGCCGCCTCATTTCTCTCAATCCATTGGAAGACGGTAAGATCTTCTTTTGCCTGCTCAAGCCAAGTCAGGACCGTGCCATTCTCTGTCTTGCCTGCCCACAGTCCCAACATGCCTTTTGCCTCAGGCGTTATAACTTTGACGCTCCTCCCTGTCAGGATGCACATAATGTCATCCCGGACCCTGCCAGCCCAATCCTCATACTTCAGTCGATCAAGCAGAGGCTGGAGGTACTCCATAACTTCTGCGCGAGTGACTTGAAGATGAGTGCCATTTTGTGTGGAATGTTCATGCTCGGGCATGGACAATGGCATTGTTCCTTCGTGTCTTCTCTCTCGTGATGCTGTAGCTTGACCAGCAAGAGCTAAGGTATTATCATGCTCAAAGGGCGGTATATATTGATTCGTAGGTGGCGGTCTTGCTCCAACTCCAAGAGATCCGGGTTGGATCGCAGCATGCAATCCATCTTGTACAACGTGAGGCGTGGCTTGATGTTCGGAGGTTGGTTCAGCCTCACACTCAGGAGACGACTCTATTTTGATCGGAGCTGGATCTTCTTTCATCTCGACGTCTGTAGAGTCACTCTCTTTCGGAACCAGCCTTGTGCCACCAGAAGTGCCGGGAAAAGTGGTGAATTCGAACTGATCAATCAGGCGAGTGGGTGGGCGTTGTACGGAAGCATTCAAGACCCAAGGCTGGTCCAGTGCCAAGATGTCCTGACGATTGCCCTTGTGAAAGTAGCAGATAGCGGACGCGGCTTTATTGTAGCAGTCAAAGTGTCTGAGAAAAGCAACAATCCTGTCGTTGTATATGCGCTTCTCTCTGCCATACAACATGACCTCCTTCATTGCTATCACCACCATCAAGTGCGGCGCAGCAGGACAATGGATCACGTTTGTCTTCCGAGTTAATCGCTGGACATTTTTCATAATTCCGATAAAGCTTTGTAGTCCATCCCATTCTTTCCAGCTGGTGGCTTGAAAAACGTTGGTCTCCTTGCACATTGCTATGCAAACGTCAACACACTGCGGGTACTTGCGGCTATCTACCCCAACAAGTGAGCACATGGTGTCCATGAGGGTTGAATAAAAAGAATGTAGTTCTTTGGTTACAACTCCTTTGGGCACATTGCGTAGTAATATGTTGCGTTGTTTTTTTAAAGCTCTGATTCTGCTTTCCATGTTGGGTCTCTCTAGAGGAATCACCACGGGGAATGGGTTGTCTGCCGAGCAATGGCGAACATTCTTCTCGAGATCCCGCGACATGTTGAAGACAGAAAACAATATATTCTTCAAAATCGAATTTGGGCTGCGAGGAGATCGTCAGAGCGGTTTGTGAGTGCTTGCTGGCGGTTGCTTTGTCCGGAGAGGAGGATGAGTTTGCAAAGAAGAAACGGGAGAAACTTGAAATTCTGGTGGACGAGAAAAAAAAAATTTGAAAGCAAACGAAATCAATAGAAAGACCACGTGAGAGCAGGCAGTTGCCTGGTGAATATGTGGCAGCTGCGAGGCAGTTCTGCCAGTGCCAGATGGCAAGTGCGTGCTCCATAGCGATATCACAATCAAGCAGCCACTCTACTGTGTGTCGCAAGCAAAAAATGAGCATAAACAAGGTCGATTAAATCATTCATATTTAAAGAAGTCTTGTTTATCGGAGTGCGGGAGAATTCAAGCTATGGCTGTGCAAGGAAAAGTTCGTCACCTGCCTCCATCATGATGGGCGCCTGCATCGGGGAGCGAAGTGACTTGGATGCAACAGGTGGGAATGAAATGCCCTTCTGCAATAAATTTGTATACTAAAATAGCAAACTAGCTGTAAAAATATCGTATTATCTGAACTATTGGTTCAAACAATCTTTATTTGTTCTATTTTGCTCAATTTTGAGTCATTGGCTGGCAAGTCGTATGTCGAGCCCATGTAAGTGACAATATAGTGGCCTGTACAAGCTACTAGTAGGTACACAGAAACGCTCTCAACAACAGAGCTCGATCGCGTAGCAGTTACCTTCTTTCTTGAACTTTCTGCCAGATTAACGCAATAGTGCAAAACAGGCACACAGACACACTATCGCCCAACTTCACCGTGCACATCGCCGAATCCACGCAAAATCAAGTCACCCTCAAGAGATTCCTCCAGCTTGACTCGTGTTTTGTGGTCTGATCGTGGATCGACCCGGAAGCCGAGAATGACAGCCCAGCGCTGGCGCCAGGGGCACGTCCAGCTTCGGCTAGGCGACATCTCCGAGAGCCCGACCACCGCGATAAGGCTTTGTATGCGCCCGCCGCCATATCGCTAACAGAAACTACAAGCTTGTGACTGCCGGCATTTCACATCTTCCACCGCCTTTGGAAACTTTATTCGCCCAAAGAATTCCTCTTCCCTTGTTCTTTATAAAGACGTCACCCGTCACTCTCCTTTTTACTCCATTTCGCGCGCCATCAGAGGGAATAGCAGCTTCTTCTGCTGCTTCTTGTTCTTCTTCTTACTCGATTAATGCGCCCTGTCCTTAGTCTTTGCTTTGGCTTCTCTTCTCTTTACAATTGACTGCTCCTACGATCAACTACCATCCCACTTTTCAGGTACCGACGCCTTTATCGCCACCAAACCCCTGTACGCATTCTGTACGCGACATCCGACCAACGCCGAGTTTAATTAGCCTCTTAATACCGAACTCTCCGCGACCTCTAGTCTACATCTCAACACTCTTTTTTTTTTATTCTTCTGCAACAGCGCGCTTCAGCTGCTCGCTTTGCATGGCCAACAGCATTCACAGCATCATGGACAACCTCTCCGCCGAGGCTCCCATCATGGCCAACCATAGCCTCTACGATACGTCGCTTCCGCCGCTGCCGGCCTACTCGCTGCAGCCAAAGCCTGATCTGTTCCCATGGATCTCCGACCTGTGGCTGTCGCTGCTGGCTCCCGTTGCCGTCTACTGGGCGACGTCGCTCTTCTTCCACTGCATCGACATGCTCGACCTCTTCCCTCAGTTCCGCCTGCATACTCCAGAAGAAATCACCTCGCGCAACCACGCGACACGCTACGAAGTCTTCCGCGATGTCATCGTCCAGCAGATCATCCAGGTCACGACGGGCTATGCTCTGGCCGTCACCGAGCCTCAGGAGATGATTGGCAAGGCCGACTATGACGTTGCCGTCTGGGCCACTCGTATCCGCCTAGCCCAGCGTGCGCTGCCCGGTCTGCTCGGCCTTGTTGGACTCAATGCCACCGCCATCTCCAAGAGCGTGTCTGCTTCATACCCGCTCCTTGCTGGTGCCCTGGCTGGAGGCTACTATCCCATCTCTGAAACCGCCAGCAGCGCCCCGTCCTTTACTGCGTGGGAACTTGCCGTTGCAAAGGCCATCTACCACGTGCTCATTCCTGCCCTGCAATACTTTGTTGCCATCTTCATTCTCGACACCTGGCAGTACTTCCTCCACCGATTGATGCATGTCAACCGCTGGCTGTACAGTAAGTAATATCCATCGAATCATCAACCAGCTACATCTTGATTCAGCTGCTAACAATGTTGTCTCTATAGCTACCTTCCACTCCCGACACCACCGTCTCTATGTCCCATACGCTTACGGCGCTCTATACAACCACCCCTTTGAGGGTTTCCTTCTCGACACACTCGGTGCCGGCATTGGCTTCAAGGTGACTGGCATGTCTTTGATCCAGGGTACTTGCTTCTTCGCTTTCTCGACCGTCAAGACCATCGATGACCACTGCGGCTACGCTTTCCCTTGGGACCCCCTCCAGCTCATCACCAGCAACAACGCTGCCTACCACGACATTCACCACCAGACCTGGGGAATCAAGGCCAACTTCTCCCAGCCCTTCTTCACCTTCTGGGACCAGCTCCTGGGAACCAAGTACAGTGGCAAGCGAAGCAACCGACCAAGCGACAAGAAGCAGGCCGAAAAGGCCCAATAAACAGGCCATTGCATTTGGCTATTCTTCGAGAATACGTGCATCTACACTTTATACAAGCGCAAAAGCACTTCTTTTAATACTTTATTCACTCCATATCGATGAGGGAGCATATGACGCAATGTTTTTTTGAATGACAGCGGCAACCCGGCCAAACAAAATTAATACTCTAATATCTTTCCTTTCTTTTTGTTCTCTCCGAGCTCGTTGAGAGCAAATATTCTTTACCCTGTATATATTTATACTTTCTTATCTGGCAAATTTATTATTATATGGGCTGAGCAGGTACTGCGATGGAGGAGTTGTCACTACTTATATGTTTGGGGGCAGCATGATCATTATGGAGAGATGTCGGGTGCAGCCTCGACCACCTTTTGCATGTATAATTATCTAGAATGAATGGAGTGCGTTACTGGTGCGACTGGTAGGTGTTGGGACGAGGCTTTTTACTATTGATAATGTATGAATATGATTTTGGGAATACATGAGCTGCTTTTCCTTTTCCCGATATTTTATGATGTTCCCACTTTGGCTTGCCGTTTGGCTTGGGCGTGTGTATATCTGCTCACTTAAAACGCTTCAACCCATCGGTACATACTCTTTGCATGATAAATTCTTTTCTACTGTGAATTGACTGCTTGGCACGAAACCTCTGTCTTCTACATTGCACTACCCTACATTAACCATTCAAGCCTCTCATTCAAACATGTATTCAACTGAGTCGAATGCTTTCTTCGCTTTTCCTTTCCCTCTAGTTAATTCACGATTAAGTAAAGGCAGCTAGCTGTCTTTGTATCTGTTTGCTGTCCTACCCTGAATTAAAGGAACAAAACACCACAGCTTTCAGCCACAGACTTTTCCAACGCAGCAAGTAAATAGCTACAAAGAGTCGTCCACAATTTAGATCATGATTATTCATTCAAGAGAACATAGGAAACTACAAATCTGTCTCTGCATCACCATGATACGCATATTTTCACCAAAATAAAATCGGCCATATATAGGAACTCTCTGACACAAAGCAAGAAAAGAAGCTTCAGAGCTGTCAGATTTCAAAATCCTCCCCCCTCCTTTTTTCCATAAACAGAACCAGTTGGCGTATAAACGCTTATAGCATCCCTCCAACTCAAGATCTTATCTCATCCCACCACTTCATGACGCTAGATGGAATCGCGCGCCCTGTCTAACTAAAACAGCATATGCAAAAATCTGCATCTGTAGGTAGTCCATAACACTTGACTGTCTGACAAATATAGTATACTTACTCGGCTGCTCATTGTCGAACATGTTATACTTACATCATCGTCTAAGCCGGCGTGGCACAAAGCTGCCATACCCCATATGTCTCTGGTGTGAGCAACAGGCCAATCGACGCAGCTCCCAAACATCACAAGATCAGGCGTCTCCAGCGGTGCCGTGGATTCAGGGCTCACAAGCTCACAAGTGCGCCCTATTTTGTGAGCTTTTGCCCGTCGCACAGGCCTACGATGGAGGTGGTATCTGACCTCGGCTTCGTCAAAGCTCTGTACCATAGCTTCTGTATCTTGTCCTCACATGTCTCTATGATTCAATTTGAAACGGTCGCTTCATGGGATACACCCGCCACGGCGCCAGCCTTCGTTCCGAGCCTGCTGGTGCCGGAGAAGCTTAACGGATAAAGGAGGAGCCTCACCATTCGCCCGCATCAACTGACAGAAATTTCTTAAGGCGGGTTGTGTATTCCAAATATCTGTCAACCGTCTTTGGTTAGCAGTCACATGAGAAGCAATCAAAGGCCTTGACAGAACTTTAATAAGACTTTAAAGTGCGCCAGCCCGCAAATATCGACGCCATGCACGGCCGTTGCGCCCGCACAGCTCGCGCTACGTTAAGAGCAGCATGGATATCCGTTCGTCTCTAATCAAGGGAAATACCGATGAAAATTTGACATGGCCAGGCTCGGAACAGATACCGTCTTCGGGAACAGAGTCACAACGTTAATTCTTCAAACAAACCCCGAACTGATAGAGACAGTTTTGGCCCTTGTGCGCGGAGGTAAAGTAGGGGGAGGGGTGTCTGTTGCTAGGCTGTTTCACCAGCTTCATCCGCAATAAACCCCCCAATGCTCCAGAGACGATCTGGTGGCGGGCATCCGGCTGCCGGCAATTGAATGGACTGCATACGGAGGCGGGTTAATTAGAAAAAGCCCTATCGAGAATTGGAGGAGTTTGCGAGATCCGGGGAAACTGTCTGACCGTCAAGATATCTGGTGCTGCAATGTTGAGCTGTTGTCGATCAATGGTGGTTATTTGGAATGCTGCAAAAGGGGCACAGGGTATATTTTGTAGCCGAGATATTGCAACAGCACTTCGAAATGAGAGGTACGTACTAGACTCTCAATCAAACTCATGTTATGAAGTAGTTGACAGTCAGTTTCGAGACTAGGATGAAGCGTAGGATCAAGGTCCGAGGATTTAATATCGTAGAACGCTTAATGTATAGCACATCTACATATTGGCGATTGATATCAGCAAACCTTGAAAGCTGGGCATTGATAGTGGTAGCCAGCTTGGACAGAGTGAATTCGACCGAGAGGTTTGCACATACTAAGCCTAAGCGCCGGCACAGAGCGCAAGTCGATGATCTGCGTTGTCGAAACAGCTAACAGAGATTACTGTACGATGACCCGTCCGGCTGCATACAGTAGACGGCTGAATTTGAAGCACAGCCTTAAGCTAGGCTAGGTGCTATCAAACGCTGTTGATGCATCTGTAATCATACGGCTAACCAGTGGGAGAACCTGAACCCATCTTTGACAGCTGACTCGGATGTGAGAGAATACCGAAAGCTAGCCTCCGGAGCCTACGATTGGTCGCCTGCAGTCATGATTTCTTTGTGAAATATTATTGGCAGTAATAGTCTGCAGGCTATAAGATTAGCTGCATCGCGGGCCCATAGAGACAACGGAGAATAGCAACAGTAGTGTCTTGACTCCGGACTTTTGCTCGACAGTTCAGTGGATCAAGTAGTATCGTACGATAGCAGCTGGAAAGGAAAAGACATTAATTTCGTTGCTGAGCCGAGGGGTGTTGATCATTTGGCTTGTGACTTGAATCCGCGCCTTCTGCACAGACACGGAGCCAATGGTGGCTTCAAACATATCCCGTTCTGGTAAGCTTGACACGCCGCTGTAGAAACATGTTGACAAGTGATGCAAAAGAGTCCTCGATTAGCATTGCTACAGTATATCCATTTAGTATGCATGGAAACAATCATATTGTAAATTCTGTATTCGGTCACCAATGCGGGCGTGGCAGGATGGCTTCCCGTCGATTTGCCGGAAGAGGCAAAGAACGAGGCGTGTGCCTTGGCTCGGCCCCCAGTGTTTATTGACCTGTCCTCGGAATGCGGGCGGCTCGAGTCGGGCGCCACCTCGTTAGGAGATCCAGAGCCTCTGGTCAAGAGTCTGTGTTGACGGTCATACCGTGCCATGTAGGACAGAAGGCACAAGAATCCTGCGGAACCAAGCAATAAGGCACGCAACACTTGTATCACGTATGCTGCATTCGGTGCTGATTCTCTGTGCGCCGTACTTAGCACCGTCGAGATCGCGGGATGCGTGCACTGCGCCGGGGCGTGGCCGATACGTGGATGGCCGAGAACCAGTGGTTCTTCAGTGACGAACTGTTGGTTCCCCAGGCCGTGAAGACTGCAGTAACACTGTAATTTCATGGGATTCTGGTTGACAGCCGAGGTCGTGCAGCCCTTTCTTTGTGAGAACTGATATTCCTTCATGCAGCTAATCAACTCCACGTGGAGGTTCTCTGCGCGGTTCCTGATGCTTGCGGGTCAAGTCAGAACAGGGGTATCGGACTGCATCCAGCACAGCTCTGGCTGAGACCGACGACTCACCTGTCTCTTGTCTCTTGTATGCATAACAGGCTGAGACAAGAGACCGCAACGGCTAACTTGCGACGGCCCCTGTGGCTGCGGCCAGGCTGGATTCCCCCCTACAAGCCGCATGGCTACTAGTTCCACATTCGCATTCCATAGCACGAGGAGGAACCTTTAGCCGGCGCCACGTTGAAGCTGTGGCGTTATTGGGACTGAGGATTTGGAGGATGGAAGCCGTGAGAGCCTAAGCCCTGTGTCATCTCGTGGTTTATCTCGTGTATCGTGTATCTGTATCGTGTATCGCGATGTGTGCAGGACAATCGATAGTGCATCTGGCCAAAACAGCAGGCGGTCTCGCTAATTGCCCTTTGGCGGCCTCGGGCGAGGAAGGAACGACCCCGAAAAAAAAAAGAGGCCACTCACCCCAGCAAGCGAGCGATCCAAATATTCTCTCTTCTCCACCACTTTAACCGCTGTGTTCAGCTTCACTTGAAGCGTCTAAGCAGAGACAAAGCCCACTCCATACGCAAAACCGCTTCACTCGCTTCCAGAGCACAGCAGCTACTGCCATCTGCTACACACCGAGTCTCTGCTGGTTATGCATGAACTCTGCTAGGCCCGGCGAGGCTAGAATGTCTGGCGCTGTGTCCGGCAGCGAAACAAGCAGCGCTCCCTGGGGTTACAAATCCGAGCACGGCCGGCCGAACGTCGCTCTGGGTCAATCTCGACCTGAAATCGAAATCGAGCAAATCGCATCGGTCTTGCCGTCATGTCCATCTCAACAGATTGGCCCATCCGCAGCGAATCGTTTGCCCCGTCGGTGCTGAACATCGATGGCATATGGGGCAGCAACTGGTGGGAGCAGCATCACCGTCGACGATTGGCGCCGGCGTGTCTCCAGCATGGCCCCGTTCAATCTCTCTGGGTCCAGCGCTCGTGCGTCCCGTCCAATCATCCAATCAGCCGTTCGCGGTGCCTGCGTGCGTCAGAAACGACCCCCTGCTCGGACCCTGGCCCGAAGCTTCCTTTGGATCCGGCACACACGGCTGGTGCCCATCCAACCATTCATCCACGGCCCAAGCTGAGCTGAGCTCAACCCAACTGAACTCAACTGAGCTGAAGCTTCGCATCGCCACGACAACCGCGCGAAGAAGCTTGCGGCTGACGCTTCCAGACTCTCGGTCAAGAGGCAGCTCGAGGGCTGTTGGCTCTTCCATTGGCAGAAGCCAGGCCTTGCTCTCCAATAGCTCACGGCAATAAACCCACCGTTGGCCGGATCCTGGCACTAGTTGACTTTATCGGGCTCCATCACGCCAAATTCTAATTACTACGGCGGTGCCAACTGACGCTATCTACGAGTGCCCAGCCAGCTAGCCGGCCTGCCGTCTCGCCGGATTCCACGGTGCCCCCGGCAGCGTCTCATTGCCTGCGCAATGCCATTGCTGAGCAAGCCATGGACACCACGGAATCTGCCTTTCGTCACTGTTCTCTGCAGCAAAGCCAGCAGCCGTGCGTCTCTTGCACTCAATGCTTTTCTGGGCAACTCATTACTCACGAGGCCTCTAATAGCAACGTCATTGTTGGTTCGCAACTTCGCAGCCGGTGCCTTGCAGATCCACGAGCTACATCATCTCCGCCTGCAACATCTATACAGGTCTCCGGCTCTCTTGGTAATCCTCAATCCCTGCTCGCCGCGCCTCTTTTTCCTCTAAAACCTTCGTCGGGGCCTACTCTACCCGCCTCGCCCCTTCTGAATCGCGTGTAAACGCAGAGATTCCTTTTAATCATACTAAGCGCCGTCCTTCCTCTCTTGTCTTTCCCCCCTTACCTGTGCTGTCGTCCAACGCTGCAATACGACGCAAACTTCACCCACACATTCAGGAACCGATTCCCACTGCGACTCTACCGGGCCCCGGCTCGTTCGCGGCGCTTGCGGCACATCAGATTGACCACACCAGCTGGCCAATCACATCGACAAACTCCTTTGTTCCGGCGCTTCTTCAAACATGCCCGCTTGTCCACCGTGTTTCATTCACTGAAGCTGTCTCTCGCCTCTAATTCAACCTCACTATTAAGGAACACTGCGTTTTACACGCGCAAATCATCTTGGCCTGTTATGGTATTGCCGTCTATTAGCGCGAGACAAGAATAGCCGCCGGCTACGAGACGAAAAACGATCATCCTAGACCGTTTGCTTCACAACCGTCAATCATTGCTCCTACTAATAAAACGCTCACCCATATATATCATCCAATCTCGAGTTGTCTTCTCGGCCATCTTCGCAATGGATCCGACAACAACTCTTATCACATTCATGTTGTGAGTGTTGCGGAATCTTCCATTTTCCTTCTTTTTCGGCTTCTTTCTTTGATGCTTTACACTCATTTCGTTTCTCTCCCTTGTTTTGAATCATTGTGTTTCTCCTATTTTTAGGAGCTTTCCCTTCGTCTCCGCTGGTCGAAGCTTTTTCCTATCAGCCAGTGTCTCTCGTTTACTAGTGTGGTACGAGGAACAAAGTCACTCCTTACTACTTGACTGGCCTCAAGTCCCCCCGAGCTACTATTGGACTTGCTGTGTTTGGATATCTATCCGTTCAGATTTGTCTGGTCTGAGCTCTGTTGTTCTTGGAATTTTGGTACGGAACATACCCTTGGATTTGATCTTCTTGCCCGCATGTCACGCCCATCAGCGTCACCGTCAGCCCGCTCTACTCGTTTGCCCCCTTGCATCGCCTCGCCAGCTCATTGGCATGGGCCGTTCTATCATGAAGCTGCCGCGCTTCTTCCGTATCCTTTCCGCCCTTGACTCACTTTTCCTCCCTTGACCCATGGCCACGCCGTTACCTTCTTGAGACTATCCACACCGCATTGCCTGGACCTGGCCTCGCATAGCTGGCCCTATGTTTCTGGGGGGTCGGCGCATATTTGGCACTAGCTGGACGGGATCGCAACGATATGAATCTTTGGAGTCTCGGCTTTTGTTAGCCCGCTGCCCCCGGCCTCATATGGCACATACGCACACACCCTTTACCCCCCGCCCTCCAGAGTGGTATTTTTAATCGGCCTCCACGAACTAGTTGGAACCGACTTGAGCTGACGCCCTAATCTCACAGTCAGACGGAGCCATCTGTCCAATCCGTGCGCCTCATTGGCTCCTGGGATAATTTCACCATGTGCTATAGCATGGAGCGGGACGCCCGACGTGGCCAAGGCCAATGGAGAGGATGCTTCACGTTCCAGAATATAGTCTCTGATGATGAGAACCCGCACCATAACACGAGGAGCGGTGGTCTCAAGATGGGCCAGACATACTACTACTATGTAAGTCTTTTTCCTCCTTCTATATATCATCCATGCTTCTCCGCCATCTCGTTCCTCATCTCGATCCTGCCAGTTAGAGTGATCACCCTCTACCCACTAATAGCACACACCTTCATATATATCCTTGTTTCGTCTCTTCATCCATACACCTCTTTTCTCCTACACTTCCAAGTATACCTTCGTCCGTTACCAAACCTAACATTGCTATTCTTCAGTACGAAGTAGACGGGTCAACTGAGACCTTTGATGCAACAATGCCTTGCACAACCATGTGCCCGTATATGCCCGGGCAAACCGTCAACACTCTCTATGTTCCTGTTGAGCGCTCATCACGGACCCGAAGTGCATCGGCAAACTCGATGCGGGCAGAGGACTTCAGAACAATGGATCCAGCAACAAAGTTTATGAAGCCCTTACCGCCAACACCTCTACTACCCAGCCTATACAACCGCCGAGCTCTATCTGCCCCGACTACACGCCCTTCATCATCGTCATCTCGCCCATCATCTCCGCCTACATGGAAGAGACTCTTCTCCCGCAAGCCGCAGACATCTGAAGGCCTACATCGCCCGTCTGCTAGCCATGGGGAAACATCCTATGCATCCTCCTTCACCATTTACGATAACGTCATTACTATCCCCGCGCGGGAGACTCGCCATGGCCGAACTACATCGTCGCTTAGTGAGGGTGCAAGGGCAAGAGACATCTCTCCGGGTTCCCTGGCCCGTATCTTGCGTGAAGACCGACTTGCTCCTCGCCGTCCCAGTCACCCTGCCCAGCCACCGCCGTTGGTAATCCCCGACGACGTCATTGAAGAGGATGAGGACGACGACAACTTTGCTGTTTCCGCTGTATCAGAAAGTTTGCCCTTTGTCACTGGCCTATCGCCACCCCCCTTCCAACGCTCTACGTCATCCGAGTCCATCAAGCATGAAGTAAGCAACTTCATTACACCCATGGTCAAGCCTCAGCTTTCAGTTCGGCCACCTTCTTTCGATCGAAACCAGCCTCTATCGGCCGTGGTAAACGAGACAAACTCCTCGGTGCCTCGCTGGTCCGTCTCAACAAAAGACAAGTTCACCACGAGTCCTATACAGGAAGATGTTCCCATGAGCTTCTACGACGATGAGGATGATGACGACGATGTCATGTCTAGCAACGAAGACGAAGTTCAATTCCCTGTTATCCCCACTTCAAAAACTCGACTACACTCTTTCAGAGGCTATAGCCTACCACGCCACATTGAAGAGACGAAGGATACATTCGCCTCTCATCAGTCCTTCGCTACTCGCATTTCTCCGAAATTGGTACCTAGCGGGGCTAATATGTTAGACACACACATCGAGGCCGGCCTTGATGACTTTGTCAGCGAGCTGGGCTGGATTGTCGGTACTATTGGCACGACTGATAGCCCCTAGCTTGCTCGGCAGAGGATTTTCAAGGCACCTTGTCTGCCCAAATTTCTTTCTATCCACTTGTACACACCACATGCATCACATTATTTTACAGCGGCCAAACAGAACGCAAGACATTCTCTATTGCTCAAAAGTAGCTAGAGTTGTTTACACATCGATTTTTTATAATATTACTTTGTACAGGTACTCTCTCGTTTTCTGGCATCTAGATTTGAAGCATATTATATACACTCGATCACAGGCATCCGAGTTTCATATACTTTCAGTATACATTCTTGTACCACCATCTACATTATCATTGTTCATCATTTGGGTTCAAGAGCTTCAGCGAAGCTATACCCCATGGGAAATTTACTGGCGTTTAAACGATGTTTTATCAAAGGATAAACAAAAGGGAGGCGGGAACTGCGCAATGCGCAAGTATTGGGATTATGCTACGTCATGAAGGTTGACGAAGGCATTGGCATAATGTAGCGATGAGAATCTAGCTACGATTGGATTTACTAGCTACCTATGGAACATGAGTCGTGTGCTCATAGTTCAAATGAAATACTTTCAAAACATCAACTGGTCTGCTACACGAGTGATTATAATGGCTTCAAGTAATATGCGTGAAAATTGTACGCGAAGTCTATGACGAGAGAGCGATTTTGTCGTGATTTGAACACGAGTTTCTGGAAAGCTACTAAGACGTGCATGAGAACAGGGGCTCACTTGGCATCTCACATTCCACACCGGTCACCGCTCACCATCTAAGTGCGACATTATTACAACTAAACTACCGTTAGATTTGTTTCAATATGATTGTAGATTCTTGTTATTCTAGTTTAAAAAGTTTGTATACAATTGCTATAAATAGACACATGATGTTTTATTCTGGCGCCGCCGTTGTGGTCGGCAGTGGCTCCTTCTCCACAGGCGCTACTTGCGATCCACCTGTGGTAGCCTCTCCTCCGGCCTGAAACTGCGGTTCAGGAGGAGGAGCTGCTGGCGGTTGATGAGTTGTTGTTTTCTGGACGGGGCTTTGGGTAGCTTGAGAGGGAGCTGGAGGTGGCGGTGTAGGGGTGGGTTGTTGGTCTTGTTGTTGCGCAGCTGGTTGTGTAGCTGGGAGAGGAGATGATTGTGGAGGAGGGGCCTGTGGTGGAGTAGTTTGTGATGGAGCAGCTTGTGCTGGAGGCACAGTAGGAGTGGTGTTTGATACCGGCTGTTGCTGTTTTTGCGGAGGTGGAGGATTTGGAGACGGCCTGTTTGGAAGCTGTTGGGGTGGCTGTAGTTGTGGAGGAGAAGGTTGCGGCTGTTGAGGCCTTGCCAGTTGCTGATGCTGCCCATACGGTTGTTGCGGTGCCTGAAACGGCTGGGGTGCTCGCAATTGCTGCGTTGCCGCTGCTGGTCTCTGTTGCTGTACGTGATGTTGCGTCGGAGGGGCTTTATGAGCTGCTGCCACCACGGCCGCCGGCGGTGCCTGATGGTGTTGCTGCACCGGTGGAGGCTGAGGCTGCGGCGGGACCGCTCTTATCTGAGCCAGTCTCTCCTTTTCTCTCTCCTCGGGTGTTTTGGTGGGAGCATTCGGATCGAGGAAACGTGCCGGCACGCCACGAGCTGCCATCTTCGAGCTGCCTACCCAGGCGTTGAGGAGGGCGCTCCAGCTGAGCTCTTTGCGGCCAAGACGCTGAAGTTCTCGGTAAGCAGCGACGTTGTGGTAAGGGAGACCAGTTTCTGGGTCTTTGTAACGGGCTGGGAGGCCTGTGATGACGCAGATTGGAGCAGGGGCGGGTTCTAAAGAGTAATGATGTTTAATAAGGAGTCGTGAGAAAATGAGAAGACATGGAGTAAAGGCTTACTGGAGAGTTTGTTCATCTTGCGGCCAAACAGAATTTGAGTCTGTATGCTCTTATCTTGAATGGCATTCTCATCGAAGTTCTGAAAGATGATGACGTTACGAGTGGTAGTCTCAGGGGCCTCAGCCGGGCCAGGGGCAAGCTGAGAAGGCGGCTCTGAAAGACTAGGGCTTGCCGTTTTGTTGATTGGCTCAGGTTCAGGAATTATAGGTCGTAGAACGGTATTTGTGAAGATTGGCTCGGTAGAGACGTGTGCAGCAACAGCCGTGGAACCAGGAGGCTGGATCTGTGTGGGAGGTGCCAGTGCAGTCTGCGTTAAGGATGCATTTGGAAGGGCGAGGATATTGGATTTTGGTGCTGGGCTCGGGAGGTAGTCCATGTTCATGGCGGGCGGAGGCGCAAGAACTGGAAGTGCGAGCACGCCGGATGGTTTGCCTGCCTCTATGGGTCGTGGACTGCCAACACCCGTGGGAGCTGCCAACGGAGACGTCTGGCGAGGTGGTGCGGATAACGGCGAGGCAGATGCAGGCGCTGCTAGACCGCTAGATAGAGGCGGAGGAGATAATAGCGGCGGAGATAGTAAAGGCGCAGCTATTACTGGCTGGGCTGTTTGAACATCTCCAGGTGGCTTTGCGGTCGAAGAAGCAGTAGGAGAAAGGGGGCCAGTGCTAGAAGAGGCAGCAGCAGTAGCTGGAGCAGCAGCAGTGGGAGAAACGGTAGCATCAGGAGGTTGTGATGATGATGGCGCGTCCGGAGTTGACTTTGAGGGCCCTGTCTTCTCGTCATCCTCTTGTTTGAGAGGAGGTGCTGCATCTGCAGTCTTGGTCTCGCCCGCTGCTGGTGCTGGTGCTGGTGCTGGTGTCGGTGTCGACGCTGTCTTCTCTTTCGATTTCGTCTCAGTGGCAGCATTGTCATCGTCGGCTGCCACTTTGGTCGATGTATCCGTCTGCTGTTGGCCTTCTTGAGGAACGATATTCTCCTTCACATCCTTGCCCGCCGTCGCACTGACAGCATCACCACCATCCTTCGTAGCCTCAGCTCCCTTGCCCTTGTCCTTGTCCTTATCCTTGTCCTTCTTGTCCACCCTCTTCCTCTTCGGCTTCTCCTCCTCAATCACAACCCGCCTCGCCTCGCCCAGCCCCGTCCAAAAGGTAATCACCGGCCCCTTCAGCGTCCTCTGATTCAACGCCGCTAGCTTCGCCCGCCGCTCCTCTTCCCTCTGCTTCTCCGCCACCTCCCATCGATTCAAGCTCTTGCTATTACGCTTCTCCACAATCGCCGCCTCTCGCAACCGATCTTCCTGCGTCATGGGCGGTTTCTTCAGCGCCTCCATCCGCGCCGCCTTCTTCTGCATCTGCTCTAGCTGCTTCAGCCGCCGCTCCTCCCGCTCAATCATCTGCTGGTGAAGCTGCTCTTTCGACATGCGCGTCGTCTTTCGGGATGATGCTCGGGTGGGCAGATCGGCCGGCGACGGCAGCCACGACGTGCGCTCGGATTTCTTCTTAGGACGAGGCGCAGGAGCCGGCGTCGACGACTCGGAGGCTGCCGGCTGGATGCGGACTTTCTTCCTGAACTTGGCCGGGATGGCCTCCTGGGCTTTTCGCTTCCGCTGAGCAGCGCGCCTTTCTCTCGCCTGCCGCTCCAGCTCCTGCTCGCCCTCAAGCTCATCGCCCGCATTATTCTCGCCCTCATCGTCGGACGACGAGTCCATCTGCACATCGGACGCATCGTCGCCGGCATCCGTGAAGCCCTGGTCGTCCTCGTCTTCGGCAAACAGCAGCTCGAGGTCGGAATCGGGCTCTTCGTTGGCCAGCATCGACTTCATGCGATTGCCCGCCGTGGACCGCCGCGACCTCGACGTGGCGAGCCATTCTACCGACTCAGGCTCTCGCTTCGACGCTGGCTTTGATGAATCCTCGGCTTCGCTGTCGCTGTCGGAGCTGCTGTCCAGGTCGCTGAGAGGGGGTGGCGCCGAGAGCTGCGACTCGGACTGCTGCGCCGATTCGGGATCCATTATCGACATTGTGGCTGAAGGAAGAAGTTGCAAAAGAAACAGAAATTAATTAGCACTGAAAAGCGCTAGCCAGTGGCAGCTACATCGGAGTTTTAAGTCTCGTGAAGAGCTAAAGTGGGAGGTTTTAGAGCGGAGGGAGAAGCAGAGACGCGTTTTTGTGGTTGGAACATCAAAAATTTGGATTTCTCTGGCGCTGACATCACAGCCCACTTTAGGACAGCTATGCAAGTACCGCTACCTGTGATAAGCCTTGGCACACCACACGTAACCAAGTAACTAGACTTGTTAATTTGCAATCACTTACACGGCCTCAAGTCAGAACTCTACACAGCTCAGTTGTCAACCATGGCGATTTTAATAAAACATGCTCAATCTTAAAATGAACTAAGATGATTAGGAATTTCCAATATTGTAAAACACCAAGTTCAATTGTATGTATATCTTAATATGTTGCCTGAATCGTAATCGCTACCAATGTCTGCCTGCTTCAAACACAAAAAGTCATTCCACCAACTTTGGAAGTAGGTAGTCTATTAAACAAAAATGGTTACCCAACGCCGTTCAAATTGAAGAAAAACTTTGATTCATTCTATCATGTGGGAACCGCCGTGGGAGCCTCCGTAATAGGTGGTGCGGTCCCTCCGGCAGATGGGCTGATACTGGTAGAGGTTACCACATCATTGCATCCCCAAAATTTGCCAGGAGACTCGCATGTTGTCGAGGTGGGGGGAATGGTCGTAAATAGAGAGCTCGTGGTAGGCTCGTCATTGCAGCCCCAGAATCTGCCTGGGGTTTCACAAGTAGTGGTAATGGAAGACGGACTGGCGGAATCCCTTGTCGTCGTCGTTGTAGTCGTCGTCGTCTTGTCCTTACACCCAAACCAACCAGGCGTCTTACACGTAGAAGTAGTGGTAGTAGGTGCCGGTACAGACGTCACATCGCCTGTAGTTGTCTGGTCCAAGCAGCCCCACCAGCCAGGTGTCTGGCATGTTGAAGTGCGTGTCCGTGTTCGGGAAGTGGTCGTGGGCACGGCAGACGTGGTGGACTCGGTGCCATTGCTCTCATACATCTTCCACGGACCGCAGTCTCGGCAGTCGGGTGTACGATGACATTTGGGAACTTCATCGTACTTGAGGATAACGTCGTGGATAACAGAACGGATCTTGTGAGTGCCGATTCCCACTCGCCACCCCTTGTCAGCCACGACGTCATAGACGCATTCATATCCGGTGTGGCAAGACGACTCCATGGCATAGCCAGCGAAAGAGCACGTAGCAGTCGCTCCATTGCATGTGCCAATGTAGACCGGGTCTGCGGTATGGCCGAAGTGATATGTTCCTGTGTAGCCTCGAGTTTGGGGCGTATCAGGATTGGCTCCAGGAGGGACAGGAAGACCCAGTCGAGAAGCCGGGAGCGCTTCTGGCACGGCCTCGAAAGTCACGGCAGGCAAGCCATAAGTGAGGGCTAGGAAGGAAGAAACAGCACCTCCGAGAGAGTGACCCGCTATCCAAATGTTGGAGTCCGGGTACTGCTCAGTGACATTGGAGTAGAGCTCACGAGCGGCACCATAGTAACGGTTCTCTTCAACGAGAGCCGTCCTGACGCATGTGTTGTTACAGGCATAAGTGCCGGTAGCGCAATCGCAGACCTGGTGCCACGTCCATTGACCTTGTTGAGCGCAGCAGCAACTAAAGAACAAGTTATCATTAATCTTGTCGTTGGTCGTTGTGCCATCTCCGTCAAAGACAGCGGGTGACGTTCCCTTGAGGCCGATGATGACGGTGGAATTGGTCTTGTCGGCCCAGATATGACCACGCAGACCATCCGACTCCCAGCCAAAATCGAGACTCCTGTTAAAGGGGGTCCCAATGTCTAGCCAGTCTGCCATCCCTTCCTTTTCCACATAGGCATCGGCAGCGACGTATGCCATGGTCAAGACTGTGTTTTTATCGGTAATATCCGGTGATGAAACCTCGTCCATTGTCCATGCCGAGGCATCTAGAACGGCCGCGTAGCCCTGCATACGAGACTCAGCGACTATGGGGTCGACAACAGACGGCCGTCTGTCAGCCAGCCGCTGGATCGTATCGGCACGGCTCTTGGCCTTGAGCTCCGGCACGGTGTGTTCATCGAAGCCATCGCCCGCGGCAAGGAAAACTCGAGACTGGTCGTGGACGATATCCAGCTTCCGGTGCAGCTTTGGGTTTCTGTCGGTGCCGTGGTGGTAGATGTGTCGGAGAGTGAAGGTGTGTTCTGCAGGCTTTGGAGTGTCGGGGTGCGAAGGTAGAAGAGGCCCGGGGCCAGCAGGAAGCAGGACGTGCTGGTCGAGGCCGACATCACCGCCGATGACTGTGGCCGAGCCCGGGATGGCAAAGGCCGATGCCAGCAGCAGCGCGGCGGTGACCCGGCCAGCAGGACCGCCTCGGGATCTGGACGATACCATGGGGCGAATCTGGCGTAGGAGTGATTCAGAGATGGGCTATACCATCTACCGGGAGGGCGAGATCATGAGAGCGTTCGTCCACTGATGGCGGTAGATATAGCAGACAAGGGCGGTCGATGATGATGATGAGAGGTTGGGGAAGAAGAAGGGGCCTGTCAGGTGATGGAATCGGTGGTTGTCACAGAGTAGCATCACTGCGCACGCGCCAGATGACTGACGTTATCCTTATCGACGCCGAGATGCACTGTGTGTGCTACTGCAGCGCGGCACTATGAGGACGTTTGCAACAAGCCTGATTAGCCCGATGATGCGACAAAGTATATTCGCAGCTATATTTGCTGCAAGAGTACTTTGAAGAATGATGAGATCTAGCGCATCTCGCTAGTGGCAACCCTGCCTGGACGTCGCTCGTGTGGAATGCCCAACAAATAGCGGACCTAGTCTGTGCGGAATCAAGCCGAGCTACTGTGCCGGCCGCGGTCTGAACTCCTTTCGCCGGCATTTAGACTTCTTCCAGGCCGACTCTCTCTCATCAACTCCGATATCAGCCTCTCCGCATCCAATGGCGTGGCTCTCCCGTCCTCTGACCCTTGTCGGTCTGGTGCTGCTTGCTCATGGGTAAGATATTTCATTCCTTATTTATATATTTCTTTCTTCTGATTTCATCCGCCTGAAATGAAAATGAAATACTAAATCATCATGACATGATGCCAGATGTTACTCTGCACATGAGCACACAGTCCTCTCATCGACGTCACCGCAGCATTCCACATCGCCCTCCACCGCTGCGCTGCCGCTAGACATTTACATCGAAACCGCCGTGGCAACCCTTTTACTCTGCGTGGGACTCGTGCTAGGCTCAGGCACCCTGAAGCCGATTGAATGGCACACCTGGGCTGGCAAGATTGAGCGGGAGGCTGATCGATCGCTGAGTGGGAGTAGCGATGCGGATGAGACAACTGGAAATCCGTTTGGCGCCCTGGAGGCTCGGAGCGGGTTCATCAACATTCGCAGCCTTCGTGAAGATTTTGTCAAGTACAGTCAGCAGGTTGGGAAATAGGCGTTTACTATAATGATAATCATAATGACAAGGCAGTAAAACAGCGAAGCTCATATTGGCTTGATAGAGGGGCAACCATAGCTGGAACCCGTGCGTGTTATGATACTTATAGACATGTGTGATTGGTGTAATTGAGAATATCATGCTTTTACTTCATACGACTTCCTTCATTTACGACCGCAGTTTGGCTCTTCCCTCACCAACATGACATGAGTTTACTGAAGCTCTACTGAAGCTTCACCTCGGCGTCGTTTTGGAGCTCAGCCTTCTGCATGCGCCACACTGTGGCTGCACGGGCCACCGCCCGCTGCAAGGCAAAGAGGTGGCGCGTCTCTGCGCGCTGCAGTCGCGCCGAAGCTCTGAAATTTAATCCATTAAGCCAGCCTCACCTTCAACGCCACACACAGCTCAGATTTGAAGCCATCACGCCGGCATCAATTATTTCGCATCACTTTGGGCGGCCAAAATGACGGCAATGTGAGTATCTGCGGCTTCTCTTGCCTCTTCTCTCTACATGGTCTTCTCTTCTTTGCAGCCCCCCACCTTGTCTCTGCTTGGCCTAGCAAGAGAGAGACGCAGCACTTGGTGTTTGCTCTCAGTGTCTTCACGGCCACCAAATCTCCGCACCACCCCAGAATTTAGATGTTCTTGCACTAATGACAGCCTCGCCTACACAGTGAGAGTTTCGACAGCATCTACCTTGACCTCTCCAAGGAGAGCGGCAAGTGCAGATTCGCAGAGACCGGCTTCGGATGGAAACCCGCCGGCGGCGGTGACACCTTCACCCTCGATCACAGCAACATTGGCAGCGCCCAATGGAGCCGCGCCGCCAGGGGCTACGAGATCCGGATCCTGCAGCGCAACTCTGGCATCATCCAGCTCGACGGATTCCAACAGGAGGACTACGAGCGCCTGAGCAAGATATTCAAGAACTGGTACAGCACCGCGCTGGAGAGCAAGGAGCATGCGCTGCGGGGATGGAACTGGGGCAAGGCCGAGTTCTCCAAAGCCGAAATCACCTTCAACGTCCAGAACCGCCCGGCCTTTGAGCTGCCATACTCGGAGATTGGAAACACAAACTTGGCGGGTCGAAATGAGGTTGCCCTGGAGCTCTCCCTACCCCTCAACGCCAACGATACTGGCACCAACGGCCAGCTGGGCGGTGCCAGAGGCAAGGGCAAGAAGGCCGGTGCGGGCAAGGATCAACTGGTCGAGATGCGATTCTATATCCCCGGTGTAACGACGAAGAAGGAGACCGAGGGCGAAGACGCCGGCAGCGACGGTGGCGAGGAGGAGGAGAAGAATGCGGCTACGCTCTTCTACGAGACTCTAATTGAGAAGGCAGAGATTGGCGAGACTGCTGGTGATACTATCGCCACCTTCCTCGACGTTTTGCATCTCACTCCCAGGTACATATTTGTCTCCTTCAAATTTCTGTTCCGTCTAATACTCTTTTCTAACACACTCACAGAGGTCGTTTTGATATCGACATGTACGAAGCGTCGTTCAGACTCCGTGGAAAGACGTACGACTACAAAATCCAATACGAGGCAGTCAAAAAGTTCATGGTCTTACCCAAGCCCGACGAGATGCACTGCCTACTTGTCATTGGCTTGGATCCTCCTCTGCGTCAGGGCCAGACGAGATATCCCTTTGTCGTCATGCAGTTCAAGAAGGACGAGGAGGTTACAATTGACCTGAATATTGAAGAGGCAGAGCTGGAGAGCAAATACAAGGACAAGCTCGAGCCCCATTACGAGGAGCCCCTACACCACGTTGTTGCCAAGATGTTCCGCGGCCTTGGCAACAAGAAGATTTCCTCACCCGCAAAGGATTTCCTTACGTATGTGCAACTTGCCGTTTGATTTTATTTAACAATTAAGAAAAAATCATTTGCTAACTTCTTTGTACAGCCACCGCAACCAGTATGGTATCAAATGCGCCATCAAGGCAAGCGAAGGTTTCCTGTACTGCTTGGAAAAGGCATTCATGTTCGTCCCCAAGCCGGCGACGTACATTGCCTACGAGCAGACACAGTCCGTCACCTTCTCCCGCGTTAGCGGCGCGGTCTCCGCCCTGTCCACTTTCGACATTACCGTCGTCATGAAGAACGGCGCCGGGTCATCGCAGTTCAGCAACATTAATCGTGAGGACCTCAAAGCCCTGGAATCCTTCTTCAAGCTCAAGGGCCTGCGCGTCAAGAATGAGATTGACGAGGACGCCAACCTGCTCGCCGCCGCCCTTCGCGAGGAAGCCATGGACGACTCTGACGACGAGGTCGTTGTCAACAAGGCAGACCGCGGATCTGCCGACGAAGATGAAGAGAGCGTGGACGAGGATTTCCAGGCAGACAGTGAAAGCGATGTTGCAGAGGAGTACGACAGTGCTCATGAGAGCTCTGGGTCTGGAAGTGCGGAGAGCGACGTGGATGATGACGGGGATGATGACGAAGAAATGGAAGATGTTGATGACGAACCGCCAAAGAAGAAGTCAAAGACGGCCAAGAAATAACCTTGGACCCGTCTCTTTTTCATCATTGCATGACTTGACTTGATATCTCCGAATCTGATTTCGAAGCATCAAAAATAAAACACGAAGAAGAAAAAATACGAAGAAGGATGGAATGAACGAAAGGAAAGAAAGAAAAAATGAACTTAAGGAATGGCGTTTTTGGAGGCGCGTGTAAGTTGTGTAATATGGCTTTATACAAAGGGAAACCTGGGGATCTTCATATTTCCGTATTTTTTATTTAAACGTTGGTTGGGATTTGCAAAGATAGTGATACTCCGTATGATTACGTAGCTTATAAGAATTATTGGCTATTCACTACTTTATCATGTCCCTATATTTTACTCTAAATCGCTGTAGACTTCCGTACCTGGATGGCTTTAGAAGTAACACAAAAGGTGATTGACACAAAATGGGACTTTCTGTACAGTATAAACTTTCTTGAGACCAGGCATCACATCACATCACATTCAAGAACGCCCATTTCTGTCCGTTTTACAATTGTCGTTTTTTCTTTATTTTCTTTTATAATACAAAGCACTCCTCTATCCAATGAAACAGATTACACACAGCGTTGTGCCCTGAATAAGCCAATAATAAGACGAAGCCGCGCGCGCAGTTATTTATTAGTACCCTGACAAACAACGGATTTTATACACGGAAAACCCAGGTTGTTGTTCTTTTTGTTCCCTAACAATACCAGATCTGATTCCAAACACACACTAAGACAAAGGAAAAAGTAACTCAAGACGAGGGACCAGGGTGAGATCGCAAAAAAGGGAAAAGCGAAAAAAAAAAAAAAAAAAAAAAAAAAAAAAAACTCCATCTAAGTCCGGTTCATAAAATCCCAGCAAATCCGTCATAAAATCCCCAAATTTCCATCCTAGAAATCCGATTCCGACCCTCCAAGACAAGAGAGAGCAAGGTGAGTGTATATATATAATGTATATGTCTTCTGCCAAGTTCTATTTTATGATTTCTTTTTCGAGCAGTTTTTTGCTTCTTCTCTCTTCTCTCTTGTCGCCATCATTTCTAGGAAAACCCCGTGTGGGCAAGTAGAGGCCATGACGCGCCTCTAGTACTCTATACAGCTGAAAACAAAAAAAAAAAAACTCCTTTAACGATAGGTAAGAATGGCACAGGACTCCACGCAATTGCGTCACAATGTCCGCTTGGGCGCGTAGGTCCTAACAAAGACTAAGCAAGGAAGTAAGGAAAATATAGGTGTACATCGCTAATGATGCATGGAAGTCGAATAGCGCATGCTTGCAAAGATGATTGCTTAAAAGAATAGCTGGCTTCGATTGTGGTTTTGGATGTGGTGTGTAGGAGAGTATGTCGGTGTGAAATATGTAGGTGTGTAGGTATGTGAGCGCGCGTGTGTATATGTGTGTGTGTGTATGTAGATGGAGTATATCCTTGTTAGATACGGTCGCCAGTTGGCTTGATGTAAGATCGAGGGAACAAGGCATACTGCCCAACGGGTGGTGCCTGGCTGCTCAGACTTGCAGTCCTGGATCGAGAGCGGCGTTTCTGGCCCGAGGATGCATCCTCGTGAATGATCGACTCACTAGCATGAGACTTGTGAGATGACTTCCTCGATGGAGCCAGAGGGAACGAGATCAGCTCAGGAACAGTGTCTTGTGGGCTGGTCATATCCCCCTCCGTCTCAGCGTCAACAGGTGCCGGCACTTCAGCCTGAGCCACAGGCAAAGGCTCTGCGGACTCAGTCCAAGAGCCAGTCATCTTGTGCACAGATCCGCTGCTGCTGGCGGTATTGCGAGTGTAAAACGACCAGGTAGAGTTGGTAGAGATGTGGCGATCGGCAGTTGTATCAGAGTAAGTGGAGACGGTTCCCGTAGTGGAAGTGCTCGCTCGCTGCTGTGACCACTGAACGGGTTTGCTGTTTTCATCATAGAAAGCAGGTTGGTGGTAAGGGAGCGTCAAGTCATCCTCTCCGGGGTACTCGTGTCTGGCACCCTCCTCGATCAGCATCTGCTGATGGAAGTCACCAGGGATAAGCAGCGATGGCGACAGGGTAAAGCCGTGAGACTCCTTGAAGCTCGAGGCGTGCGATGCGCGGAACTTCTTCTTGTCAAAGATGGGAAGAGAAAAGTTGTTGGCGACGGGTGCAGTGAAGACGGGTGTAATGGCCTCCTGGACAGTGGGCGTCGACGTCTGGCTAATTGGGCTCAGACCTGGGCCGTCAAAGGTGGCTACGGAGAGCATATTGGGCGACGACGTCGCCGTTCCGATGGGCACACTGCTCTCCTCGATAGGAAAAGCATCCTCTACCGGAAGAGTGTCGCTATCACGAGCAGTGTCCATCGAGTCACGTTCCCATTGGTAATCGCAGTCGGCTTCCGCTTCGTGGTCATAGCAATAGTCGATGTCGTCCTCCCAGCTCTCTTCGATGGTTCCAAAGTGAAATCCATGCTTCTCCGATGACTCGACGACGGCATGCTGGGGCACGGACGTCATGTGGAGGTTGCCAAGAGTATCCGATGCATTGCTCGCTGGGCGATGAGACCTGCGCAGCATGGGGACGGATTGACTGCCACGGATAGACCGTCTAGCTGCTGCACTCTCTTCCTCTTCAGGGACGTCAGCAAGCGGGGTCTCGTACGTTGCCAACGTAGGGCTGGCAAGAGGCCAAGAGGGCTCGGTGGGCGAGGGCTGGATTGGCGAGAGCTTTGTCTTGTAAAGATGATACTCTTCTTGACTTGTCAAAAGCGGCGCAGCATAAAGAGGCCCAATGGGGGGCACCGGCTCGACAGAATCATCGGGGTTGAACGGCTGCGGGTGGCGGAAACCTCCGCTGGTCTTTGGTCGCTCAATGACGACGGTAGGCCGCTCGTCAACGTCTTCTTCGTATTCCTCTTGGAGGCTAGGGCTCCGAGATGGCGAGCCGGGGGAGCCTGATACAGGCGCGGTGGGCTTGATGGGAGATCTGGGTGGTCTGGGAGGCGGTGACATGGAAGGGGTGCTTCCTCGCAGCTGGTCCTGTGATCGAATGCGTCTCATCAATCGACGAGTTCCGTTAGGAGGAACGGCCTGGCTCTGGCGGTTCAAGCCTGCGGGTCGTGAGAAGAAGGCGCCAGAATCGTTGTAGGCGTCGGGATGGAACAAAAGACCAGACCCCTCGGTCGGGTTGATGACATTGGGGGCGCTGGTTGGGCCCGTTGCCCGCATCGTCAGTTGCTCGGGGCCCTCCTGCACCTGGGCAACACTATCGCGATGCGTGTGAGTGACATGCTGAAAGTTGTAAGGGCCTGAGATGTTCATCTTCCGCTGGGCAGCTCCGGTGTCGTCTCGAGAGGCTCGTCGGCGAGTGAGAGCCTGTATAAAGGACTCTTTGTGGCTAGTGGAGGCGAGGGCGCTGTCCGCTGGCGCCTCGGCGGAATACATGGAGCTGGCTGAGGACGAGTTGGCGCTGCTCTCCCGCTTGGATCTCGCTCGTCGGTGGAAGGGGTTCTTGCCGAAGCCGTAGACGCTATCCGAGCGCTCTCGTGAATGGGCGCTGCTGCCGGTGGACTTGACTGAAGCGCGTCTACCGAGCGACAGATTCTCCAAGGTCTGCTCCCACCCCGGGCTCTCACCGTTGGAAGCCACAGACGCGGACGCGGCGGTGCGGTGTCCATTCTGGCGGCGCAGCTGGGAGGCTCGCCTCATCTGCGAGTTGAGCTGCCGTATCCTGCCTGGGGACGGTGGCCTGTCCATGGCAGGCTCGAAAAAGTCGGCGGCACTCATATGAGGAGACATTGGGGAAGATGGTTGGTTGAGATTAGGAGAAGAAGGAGCCGTCGACGACTTATTCAAGTACCGGATGGAAGTCGTCTGAGGCCTGGCCCTGGACGCCTGCTGCGGCGCCGGGTGGCCAGAATTGAAGGCTATGGCATTCATGCTCCACATCGCGAGTCAAGGGCTGGGGAGGGCGACGATAGACCATGCCCTCTGGGGATCTGCGGCGAGACTGACTGATCCAGGGTGAAGAAAGGCGATGGGGCCTCTTTTTTTTTTTTCTTGGTTTGTGCTTTTCTGCTCGTGGGCTCCGCTATTCGTATGAGTACCTGTAAGGATATCGCGCTCTGTGCTCCATATACATACAGTACAAGCAAGAGGATGAAGACGAGGCCAGGGGAAGCCGGTGGTGAACGCAATCGACAGTTCGGGCAGGGCGAAGCGTGAGTGGATATAGTCTACTCAGCACAAGGCGCGAGAGCAGCGGTCCTGGTATATTATATCTGGATGACGGAGCTGAGCTGAGCTGAGGCAGAGCGCACGAGAGGCTTCCCATCCAGGACCCTGGAAGAGACGTCGCCCAAAAAAATGCCAAATTTGGGGGCTATCCTTGACCCCAGGTCAGTCAGGAGATTGGACCGCGGAACCTCTTGCTGGTGGGTAGCGTCGACGACCGGGGGGCAGCGATGGAGACGATGGTGCTGGGGAACGGTTCCCTGTTGGTCTCTTCGCCGACCAGGTCCGGGACCCCTGACGGTGGCCAGGATGCTGCATGCTGCCGAGTGCTGGGATGGTTTAGCACCCTGTCGATATGGATGCAGGCCGACGGGACCGGTGAATGCAGGCAGCGTTGCACGAACCCAGCTCGGAGTGCGGAAGAGGTGCCTGGTCGTATTCACCAGCATGAGCCCGTCAACCCGTACAGTACAGCATACCCAGCAAGCCCAGTCATCGAGCACGGTGCCGCTTTGTGTGATGGACAAGGCTGGGCTGCAAGCATTGCAGCAGCATTTGGGCCTGATGCAACGTGCTTGTGATGCCTGGGCTGCAGGAACGCGCGCCCCCAGCGATGGGCAATAGTGCGAAGCTGTGCGCCTGCAACATCACCGCTACTGCTGCTGCGTCTTTGGATCGCGAGATGAGCGAGGACCGCTCGCGTATGGCGTGGAATCGCACGGAGTACTCCGAGCTCCTGGCAATCACAGTTGGCGATGTTCTGCGCTGCTTCTAGAAGGCGTGCCAGGCCGTTGTGCCAGCGGCATCCGAGACAGCGCGGCGCGGGCGACGGCGTGTCTCGTTTGGCTGCAGCTGACGGCGATGAGGGCTGCGAAGATCCCACGACAATTTGGCTAAAAGCGCGATCGATGGTTGAGGCCTGGTGGTGGAGACGGGCAGATTGATTGATTGATTGCTTTGGCTTTGGCTCGAGTTGACAAGAATGGTACCGGTACGTACAGCGGTACGAAGCACTAAAGGCTGGCACTAGCCCAAAGCGCTGCGCACGGGAGGATTCCGTGCCTGGTGAGGTAAGAGCAGCTCTAGCGTGCGCCAAGCTCCAGGCACGCCGACTCTGCGCTTGTACCTGTACTAGAGCCTCTAGAGCCCGCTAGAGCGCAGCCACTGCGGTCATTGTCCAGCGACCTGTCCTGTTCAGGGTGCGCTTGTACTGCTACACCTACTTGTACACTGCTTCAAGTCAAACAAAGAACACGAGTCCTCTCTCTGTTCTATCCCGTTTCCCACTCGTCGGGGAAGAGGCCACAGGGCAAGGATCTGCGCACGCGTGGCAGGTCGCAGAAACGGTCCAATCCGCAGCGTCGGGTCGGCGCTGTGAGCAAGCGACTGCCCTGGACGAGAAGGATTCAAGTGGTGCAAATTGCATGCTGTGCCCTGCAATAGCATTCTCACTCTATATTATCGAGCTTGAGCTCTTTCAAACTAGTAGCAATATTACGATACGGTAAGAATTGATGTGATGTGATACCAGGTAGGGACTTTAGCTTCTGCAAGGCACATGTAGAGTGTACAAGGAGTCTATGGTACAGGTATACCAGAATTACCTTACCCATATGCAAAATCTCAGGCCTACTGTAGGCATAGACTTACTCCTGTCCGCTATACATGTCTGAAACCAAAGAGCAATTCATGAAATTGGCCTTGATAAACATGTAAACTGCACAGACCATTGCTTTGCTGAAGACTGCTAAACAGTTTTAGCGCCTTTGGCACAAGCCCAGGCTTCGTACATCTGGTCCTACTAGTAGTACTTGTAGGTAGGTCAAGTAGCTGTACTGCAGAGTGTCGGCGATATGCGGTCGTGCCTTCCCCTCACACCTTCACAGGCCGCATATGCAGGAACGAGAATTGATGTTGGTCCTTTGGTTGAAGAAGGTTTTTATTCGCTCAGCACCCACACCGCGATGATCCATCCCAGACTGAGCATTGCAGCCGATGAACAGCATCGCTCCATCGCACACGCTCGGATTCAGACCTGGCATCCGCTGTGCTGAAGGCATCTGGGAGACAAACAGACAGGTACGAAATGCTGTTGCTATGGATGTTACCAAGCGCGGTCCACGGCGATAACGCAAGGCGACCGCGAGTGTCTATTTTGGCAGCACTAGCTCTCATTGGGCCTCTTGAATCGAGCACCAACCACAGCAACAAACACCAGTGGGGGCCTTGAAAAATCTCGCTCGAGATTGCACGCCAGGGCATCCCGTCCACGGCCAGGCGCCCTGCGAGAATCCAAGAAACGAAGCAAGGCGACGAATCCAAAGAGCAAGGGGCTCCATCGCCGTCTGTACGAGTGCCGCTAGGGCTCCTCCCCGCCAAAATGCTCTTGATCAGCAAGGATTGGCTTCCGGGCCGGCCAGCAGTCGTGAAACGTCTGGCTCGGGGGCCTAGGCTGCTCCTGGGACACCAGCATGGCCCCCCAGCGTGGCCTTGCTTCAACGAGGTTGGGCAGCTTTACGAAGCGTCCACGATGAGCAGCAGCGAGGTCGAAACGGGAAAGACAATTTGAGCTGTCGATTGTGATCGCTGCGCAGAAGAAGCTGCGACATACTCCCATGTCCCGTTTCGAGCAGCGGAAGGATGGCTTCAGGATTGCGGCCCAATTGCTACGCTGGAGGCCACAACTCAGCTCCGCGGTTCACGAGCTTTTGAAATGCTTCTTGCTTTTGAACTTTTACATTTGAACTTTTGCATTTTGTGAGGGGTTTTCTACTCAGCCGCTGCATGTCCATAGTATGGACTGGAACTGCATCGCACAGCTGTTAGCGTTCGAGCCATGCAGACTCGAGCATGCAACACATGCAACGCTCCGGAGCCATGAGGCCAAGAGGGACAGTGGCCCGTCCGTACATGACGACGGGGCCCTTCCGAGCCATTCTCCATGCGTGCAGCAGGCCCATCATGGTGAAGCACTCAGGGATCCCCAGCGATGCTCCGCTCGTGCTAGACAGTCCCAAGAAGACGGATACCGACGACAGCGCATGGGATGTGGCCGTTGCCCGATGCCTACCTACGCAGCCCGTGTGCATGCTTGTGCGATTCTATATTTGCTTTGTGGCTGCTGCATGTAAGCTGAAAGCTTTTACAATACGAAGATGCGTGCATTCGAACGCTAGCAGCAATAATATCAGCGCACACGAAATACTTGGCTCCCTCCTCGGATTTTTACTTTGCTCCGAACCCAATCAACTGCTTGTACCAATTTGAAGAACGAGAAACTACGATATGGCGGGTAGCACAAAAGACTGCCCTTGCTCGAAGTAAGCTCCTCCAACGAGAATCGCTTCTCGCTCTGCAGATCCCTGCCATTAACAGCACCGCCGGCGTGCAACACGGAGTTGCAGCACCACCACTACTCTATAGCAGACGTGCTACTGGCGGTGTCATTTGTAATTTCCACGTATCTCGTCGCTTATCTCCCCAGTTCATCCAGACCTTTACTCGAATCAATCTCCCGGGTATCGGCCGTCAGGATTGTGCCTGCCAGCGCCGAGGCTTCAGCAAATCAGCCTGTTTTCGACCATGATTTGCCATGAGCCCCGTCCTCCCCATGATTCTCCGGGTTCGCCAAATCACCATCGGCCAAATTTCCGCCCCAAATGATTCCTCCAAGATCCCCGACCCAACAGCGCTGGATTAGACATGGACAGAGGAACTTCTGTCTTGCTCATTACACTCACCAACATTCGCACCCAACTCACAGTTGACTCAACTACCGTAACGGTCGGCCGTTGGCTTCATGGCGGTGGCAACTAACACCGAGCTGTAAGGGCCCGTCGGACCCTAACCAGCTCTTGTTTCTCGCTTCTTTTCTGTTTCGCAGATAGCCGGGGGGGGCAGAAGGGAGTCCGAGCACAGAGCCGCGAGAATCGTGCAGCTCTGTAACCAGATCGTGCAACTTTATTGCCAAATCGTGCTACTCTGCAACCAAACCAGTTCTCGCGACGCAGCCGAAGGGGGAGGGGCTCTCACCCCGGACACCCGCGATTGGATTGGGTTGTTTCATTTTATTGTTTGATGGTTCGCTGATTTTAGTGCCCGAACAAAGGCTCGCCGGCCGGGTAAAGAGGCTGCGGGAATCCCAATTGAGCAATACCATTGGCGCATATTCGGTCCCCGTTATCGCGACTATGCCCTTCTGCGTAAGTAAAGGTAAAGAGGTCATTTTATTTTTCATTTTTAATTAAAATTTCCAGAGGCAGGATGGGAAAAAAGTAAACACAAGCAAAAGGCCATGTAACTCTCTCTGTCAGCTAACCCCTCCATCCCTTGCACCAAAGCACGCAGCCTGTTTCCTGTTTGGGCATGTAAGACGAGAATGCAGAAAACGCATGCCTTGCATCAAGCAGCGTCTCTTCCTGGGAGAACCAGGACGAAAAAAGGAAACCAGAAGTTTTATCGAACAACCATCACCTTATTATGATACGGATTTGGACGGTGCTAGGGTACGCCTCAGCAATTCGGAACATTTCCCACTTTTCTCGTCCACCATTTGTGTCACAGATCAGCAGATGGAGCGTGCTTAGGGTATCGCGTTTTGTCTTTTTTTATCCCCTTCTCTGCGTGTTTTGAAAAGAAACGAAACCTGTCGAGGATTGGTGGAAGAAGAAGAAGCAAGCGGTAACCAGACTTTCTATTTTCATCCATCTTTGCTGTTGCTACCTTGCTGCTACTACTAGTAACCCTGTTGTTACCGCCGCGCGCTTGCGAGTTGCTCCTCTCGTGGTGTTATCGCGATAAACCGGGGCTGGTGGGTTTCGGATTTGTCGCTATTGCTAGCGATATTCATGCATGCACACAAAGTCGCTGCCTTACTGGTGCATATGCATGCAAACGCGTGGGTTCTGTGGTAGCGAGCCACTCTAGACCCTGTTTCTTTGTAGTCTAGACGTTTGGGTTTTGAAGTCGTCATGGTGGTGTCGTTTTTTGCTGTCTCCGGATTTATCACAATTGACTACTGGAGTAATCGTCTTTGACTTTTGCTGTATTTTAGGTATGTTGTAGCATAAACACCTCATGACTAGTCTGCAGTAGTTTACGGTGAACCTGCGGCAAGTGCCGATTTAGTATATTTACTCAAGGTGAATGATTCTTGGTCTAGTATTGCAAATCTACTCGCTTTGAGTTTTCAGAGATGTGAGAAACCTCTGGCTGGAGGGTAAAAAGCTACCCTACAAGGCGTCCAGCCAGACAGATTGCAGCGAAGTGCAACGGTAGTAATGTAGCTTGATCCTGCGTGATCTCTATTGATATAGCGTTATAATAAATAAGGCCAAAAAATAGTCAATGAGAATGACAAGTAATTGCTCTTCAACTTGGGTTCCATACCATGTAACGTATTATTGAGCTGCTTGTTGACAGCGCTAATCTCACAAGGCCGCATCTGTATACTCACCAACCAAACTGAGCCTCTTTCCGGATTTGGAAGAAGCAGATCCATCGCAGATCAGCAGATCAGCATCGTTATGGATCAAGTATCTATGTCTACCCTCCTGGCGATGCCTCTAGGCGACTTGATAGAGCAATGCGCTCCCCGGCTTATCGTGAATGATCTAGCCAGTGCGTTCATGGCTCTTATGAGGGGGAAAGACCCAGATGATCCGGCTTGTGGATTTTGAGGTCCAAGCTCAACAGCTATTTTGAGAGACTGTACATGCAACGGCAAATACGTCGCAACTGTCAAGCTCAAGACAATTATTAAGTCGGATTTTGGTGATATTAGCATATGTCGTACCTAGTATAATGACATAGACATTGTTTTTATGCTTAGCTGGATATCCTTATTGCCAACGTTCAATGGTCTGGCGCGTATCTCTTGAGAGGTTTGAGTGTTATAGACTGAGTCATAACCTCTAAGAGAATGCTGGCCGTGATCTCTGTCTAGAAACCGAGAATGATGATTTTTTGAAGTTCCTCTTTCGTCCGATAACTATAGCATGGTAGTCGAACTGCATGCTGCTGCGCAGATGGTTCAAGATCCAACTACGTCTTTCGCTTGCATTGTCCCCAAAACTACGGTGTGCAGCAACGCCTATAAGCCCAACCTGAAACCCCCAGCGGGCATGATTATCGCTTCAACGGTGCCGCTCGCTCTGTGGATTGCGGCCCACTGAGCATCAGGAAGAGGATCTACAGGTGAAGGAACAGTTTACCGCGAAGCGGAGCCCTCGTGGCCCTGTCTGCCGGATTGCCACAAACGGGGCTATGGATCTGATGATCCTTATGATCGATCAGTTTACTGAGTCTCCATAGCGACATTCGCTCTTATGCATTACTCGAATCTGAAACGATAAACTCAATGACAAGAAACGGGAGTTACCATCGTGAGAGTTTGAGTGGGCTGTGGGTTAAGTCACATGAACCGTGTTGGGCTTTGTTGTGCAACGTTCCTTGGTTGATGGATACTCTATCTCAGACATGGGCAACCCCATACGTGTTGTGGAAAGGGATCTCCAAAGAGTACTTGACCTGCGACTTAACAATGCTATCTCCAATAGTTAGCTTGGCTACTAGTTAATGAATACAGCATGGTTGATATGATTGGCTTGCTATTATTGTTTGCACAGCGCAAGAGAGAATATGGCGTCGGTAGAAAGTTGAGAAAGAAGAGAGAAAGTTTTCCTTACTAATATGGATCTCTTATCTCAGTTGCTGGAATCAATCGACTTCAAGGGGAGCCTGTATACAGCAGCCATCCTTGCCATGCTCAGAAAGGTAATGCTGGATCAGACGTCAGACATCTGCGTTACCGCCGCCTTGACTTACACCGAAAACCAATAACACTGAAATCAAGGTATACTTGTCTCTCTTTGTAAAAAAGAGTTTGTTCATTCTCTTTGCGACACGTATCTCATATGCTGTGTTACTTTGCTTCACATGGTTTGACTCTCCATGCTATAAATTGAGTGAAGACTTATCAAGGGCGTCAAGAAGATGCATGAACAACAGCCAACCTAGATTCTCCTAGTATTGAGCTACATAAATCTTGTAATGATGAATCATAGTTTAAACATTAGCAATATGCATTCCCCCTGATCCCCTCCGAGAAGAGCGAACAGAGTGGTCTTTGCAGCAGAATCCGCGCAAGGGTTGGCTTGGATCATGTGTTGAGGTTGTCAGACTATAATCCTTGCCTATAATACTCGATTCTCCGCACTTTTGGCAATCTTTGAACCCATCTGTGATGCACGTGCTGTGCTATCCACCATGTTTCCAACCCTGTGCCATGGATTCGGCCTCGGTACCAGAGCTCTTCCCTTCCCTTTTCTTTCAAAAGCATGGTTACAATGCAGGGACCTCCACACACTCATGCATACAACATGCGAGTCTTACAAATATCTTTTTGATAGACAGTTATGGCCTCCCAGTCCGACTTTGCGGGGTGCAGAAGAAGCACGGCTGCCGAGGTCACAGTCGCATCGAGGCACGGCACATGCAAGCAGTTTTATTCAGAGCGATAGCCGGGCAGAAAGCTGTGCGGGGGAGCCCAGGATGCTTGAAATAGGAGGCTTATCGGGAACGAAAAATGACCCCCGGCACCGGTAGATGCCCAGCCGGGGCTGATTTATACGCTCGGTTCCGGGAAACTATGGATGAGTACGGCACAGGTATCATTCGGACTCAAATTCGTCCTCGGTGTCATAAGATAAGAGCGCCGCAAACGGGAATCTTCCAGTCAGTCAGCAAAATGAGGCTTGGAGGACTTTGATAGTATTTCTTTTACTGCCTGGTGATATTTGTTCGCTTCTATCTGCTCAAGCTGTGAAATAAATCGTACTGGAACTAGATTTCCTGTCATCTGAGATGTGTTATTCCAACTAGTCCTTTAACCCACTGAATGAAGAACAATCGGTTAAACGCTCATAATCAAGTTCTTTGGACAATGCATATATCAGGACTTTATACATAGAAGTTGCCCTTCGCTGTCATTAATGTGTCCGAATCTACAAGTAAAGAGAATCTCTTTCGCGCAACCACGAGAGCAATACCTCCTCATGGTAATGCAATGCTACCTCCAATGCTACCGTTACCATATTGTATGCGTGATTGCAGCTGCATTTGGCCCAAGCACCGCCGTCGATCGTTTAGGAGGGCGTTTACACACATTTACAACATTCTGCTTTGATGGCTCACCGTGCCGATCTCCGACAAGGATCATGGCCAGATATGGAAGCTCAGAACAGCAACCCGCCGAATTGGGCCAAAAAGCTATTTTAAAGATGCCAAATCTTACCAGCAGGAGTAATGAGTAAAGCTCAGTTTTTGCCACCGATTACTTGCATCTGCAGACACTGTCTTTGAAACAACGGGCTTACATATTTATTTCTCAACAACTCGACTTTACTTTGTAGACCTCGTACTTGTATGGATAGTATCTACTCTAGCACTCAGCACTAGGCATTATTGCCAGGTTTAAGACATTGCGCTGACGGAGGATCCGAGTGAGTAGTCACCGCCATCATGTCCACCACTGACTCGAAGGCGTCATCGTGCAGATGTCCTTGCGCCCGCGCTTTGCGGCCCTGTCTGTGATTCTCCATGGCCCTGCGTGATGAATCCATGGACGAGCATGGACTTCTCGTGCTCGCCAGGATGAATCCCTCCCTGGTTTTTGATGGCATGGTCTGTTCGTGCGTCTGTATCTACAAGTATACTACTAGTGCTACCAGAATATGCATCCCTGTCTTTGGCTACTGTCAGCAAGGTCTTTACTCTAGCTGCATATGTCTGCTGGCATCTTGATGCTTGCATCTCACGCTAGTACCTGTATTATATGCCAGCATCACCGCCACAATCCATCACCGCGACGACGCTAGAATCTAACAAAATACGCCCGCTACAACAAGAGCAGTGGACACTGAGAGGCGCCATGCCCGGCCCGCTGCTGTAGGCCCGTCCCTAACAGCTGTCATATGAAATAAGCTCTGTAAATCTGTAGAATAGACTATAGCATCAGTCTTTGCCAAGGTCTCATCCCAGTTGTACGGATGCCTATTCATTTTCTAGCTTTGACGCAAATCACTCACCGAGAGTCATGAGTGGCATGGCGCCAACCAGGGGGAACTATTCCCACTCATTGTGTCTTACATATTGCTACTGGGATCTTTCAGCCTTTGGGATTCTTGCCAGGGGCATCATCTTTTGGTGGGCACCTGTAAGAACTACAAGTGCGTGCGGCTTTCACCGCCTCGTCATAGGCTCGAGCGTCAACAAGTTCCTCCTCGTGGCATGCTGTAGCCCTGTCGAGATTTACCGCCCAGCCGGGACTATTCTATTCCTTTGCAAGAGATGAGATGAGACGCAATACCCCAGCCTTGTCATTCCCCTGGCAGATTGTCTTTTGTCTACATGACCTTGACTGGCACAAGAATAGTGTGATTTTGTTGAGCTTGTTACTGATAGATACAGCATTATTACGTTTGTCATAAACTGGCCATATTATCTGTCAGAATATCCCAGGAAAACAATAACTCGATAAAATGAGTAACAATGTCGAGAACATTCCCAATACAAGCCAAGCTAAATATTGATATGTATGTGACTCAAAAATTCGGGCTTCGGCCTCCATCTCGGTATAATAGAGTGGGCCGTTGATATCAGCCCCATTGTCCAAAAGCATTGCCGCCAACTCTTCTGCGTCGTAATACATAGCGGCTGGTAGGCCAATGAACATTCCTTGCATACAAACATTGGGAGTTGCCCCTTTCTCCACCAGCTTTACTGCATCTTGTTCATTTATGTCTATGACATATAAGCAAAAATAGTTATAAATCCATTGGTTGTGAGGCTCTATATCTCCTTGAAGAAGTATTTTCATAGTCTCCTCGAACTTGTCCGAGCGCAGAGTTCTATTGAAACAAACTCGAAGGGCGTGTTGTGTGTCGGCACTCACAGGTGTTCGTTGTTTCAGTATCATTTCCAAAAGTTGTCCTTCTGTGTCGGGCATTATAGCTGTTTGAAGCCCAGCGTTAGAATAGCTCTTTGGAGGGTTAGTATTTGCTCCCTTTTCGATGAGCAATCTCATGGTTTCTCCGTCTCTTTGTAGCGTGGCGGCTTGCAGAGCATTACCGTAGATCTCTGTTGGAGAGCTGACATCTGCTCCATTCTCGAGCAATATTTGTACAATGTCTGTATTGCCTTCGATTACAGCTGCGCAGAGAGCATGGCCATAGGGCCCTCCTCGCGCATTAACGTCTGCTCCTTCTTCAAGCAGCAACTCCACGATTGTTATACTTGCTTCTGCTGCCGCAGCATGGAGCGCATAGCCATAGAATCCTCCTTGGGCGTTGACATTTGCTCCTTTCTCAAGCAGCAATTCCGCCAATTCTTTATTGTTGTATCTTGCAGCTGCTTGGAGTGCATAACCATAATACCCTCCTTGGGCATTGACGTTTGCTCCTTTCTCAAGTAGAAATTTCGCTGCTTCTCTTTTATTGAATTCTGCAGCTGCGTGAAGTGCAAAACCGTATGGTACTCCTTGGGTATTAACATCTACTCCTTTTTGGAGCAGCAGTTTTAAAATTTCTTTAGAGCCCCTTGCAGCAGCTGTATGAAGCGCATTGCCGTGAACTCCGCCCTGAGCATTGAAATCTGCACCTTTGTCAAGTAGCAATCTCGCCATGTCGTATCCTTTCTTGGCTATAGCTGCTTGAAGCGCATTTCCGTAGAAGCCGCCCTGAGCATTGAAATCTGCACCTTTGTCAAGTAGCAATCTCGCTATGTCGTATCTGTCCTTGGCTATAGCTGCTTGAAGCGCAGTTCCGTAGATCCCCCCCTGAGCGTTAGCGTCCGCCTTTGTGTCGAGGAGAGCTTTTGTAAGTCTAGTGTACCCATGGAATGCCAACATGTACAGCAGACTTACTCCTCTTATACATCCAGATCCAGGGAACCTTTCAAAAGCATTGTGAAGAAGCCTTATTTTCTCCAAAGGACTAGGTTCTTCTATCAGGCATTGTAAAAATTCAGCTTGTTCGATCTGCTGTTTATTCGCTTCTTCTGCATGCTCTAGAAGATAACCGGACGCATATTGCAAAAATGGATAAGAAGATGCAAGAGTCTTTATTTGCTTCCGATTTATCGCTGATTGTAACGGTATCATCATGATATATCTCATGCAGCATGATCTGAGACATTCATGGCCACTGCCTATACCGTTTACCTCGAGATCTGGATCTAGTTTTTGTAGTCTTTTATTTCGAATGAGAAAATCATTGACTGACTTGTGAATGAACTGCACAGCGTTATCATCACCTTTCCGTACCTCGATAAGACCCCTCGATGAATTGGTGATGCGCCGTCGAATATCATCTGGTCTTATCTTTGATTGGTCCCAGGCTTGGATGTTCTCGGTTGTTTTGGCGATCGTGGCAAAATATAGCTCTTCTGGCGTTATCAATCGTCTCGCCAACAACACAAACTGAAGCATAAATGCTGTCTCCTGTTTGTGCGGATTGTTCTTTATCAAGAGTTGCTCAAACACCTGCTCGAGGTCACCGGGTACTTTATGTAACGTCTCATGCATGGCCTCGATTTGACCCTCGTCGTACGCTTTATTTAGTAGTTTTATAACAAGCACAGCCCACATGAAAACGCCAGACGCCTTTTCAAGAAAATCTTTCTCAATCTTCTTATCTCGTATCGTTAAATTGTCGCGGGTATAAATAATGATGTCTTCATTATGCTCGCTTATCTCTTCCACGACAAGTTCTAGGTGCGTTTGCATGGTTATATACGGATAATGGCGACTTGATAAGCAAATGTTGAGAGCCACTCCAACAGCAGTAGCTTCAATACTGAGCTCTTCGAGAAATTTGACGACGTCTCGGACGTGTTTCTCTTCGCATTCGTCTAAAGCATCGACGAGAACAATCAGTGACTTTGACCGGCAATGTTGTATCGCGAAAAATAAGAAATTCTTAAGGTCTGATTCTCGCCAGTTCCAATGTGTTTTAAACTTTCGATTCTTGTTGCGAAATAGAGGCACAAATTGCTCGTAAATGGATGGTTCTTTTTCTAGTAATTGATACAATATGGAACGCAGCATGCTGAGAGCCGTTCGTTCAGAGGAATCGCCTCGAGCGTTGAAGAAATGAGCGGCAATAATATGAGTTTCGGAGAGTTCCCGTTCCAAATGCCGTAAAGTATGTTTCATGAGAGTTGACTTTCCTGTTCCAGGATGTCCCTTGATCCAGAGCACTCCATTGTGGTTCTGAAGATTGTCGCGATGATACCATTGTTGGAACTGGCTAGTTGCGAAGAACCAGTCGCACGTTCGGGGATGGGCAAGAGATATATCTTCTTGACGAGCGTCCATGTATTCGAAACTAAGAGAACGTAGGCAGTCTATGGCTTGTTAGTCGTTGCCAACTTTTTTCCCAAAGAGATAGCCCAAGGAGTCAATTTCCTGACCTTCCTTTTCCTTCTGGAGTGTTGTCGCTTCATCGGTATTCAAGTCGTTTATACCAACTATCGCAAATCAGCAACTGAATAGCTAAATACTATTCCTCCGAACTATTGTCATACACCCATGGAAAATGCTATTGTTGATCTGTAGGCCTTTGTCGTTGTTATTGTGTTGAGGCCCACCGCCCGTGTTCAAGCTTTGAATCCCATCACTGTGGTTGCCGGCGGCGATATTCGGAGCCGCCATCGTCGAACTGCTTGTGGCTCTTTGCTCGTCTGTGTCGCACCGTCGTGGACAATATCGGTGAAGTCAGATGTTGTGTTGGGCACAGCTAAGAGCGGGAGTAATACTTGGCCGACTACCCCGCAAGAGAGATGGCGGCCCTTTATAACGAGGCCCTGGGCTGGCCAAGACCTCATAGGCCACAATTGGCAACCAATGCGAAGCCTGCCACCTATCATCGCAGATAACACTGGGCTTCCCAGTATCGGTATGTTACTCGTATTGGCTGACAGAAGAAGACTGATTTACGCTAACAAACTAGGTACCTTATGTTATGTTCTTAGCATCGTGCTAGGATCGCACCGACCCGAACCTTATTATATGCAGACAAGCGGCGATCTTAAGCCAGTGAAGAGGGAGTTATTCAATAAAGAAGCAGAAGGAAAGGGGAGAAGAAGAAGGGACTCTCTCATCTCTATTCTTAAAGCACGACTCATACTGTGCACCGTTTCTGCTCAAGAGGCTCAGCTTAAGCGGTTCATAGTATAGATATCAGTTGAAAATCCCGCGCATCTGAATGCACACGTAATGCATATTCCAAATATGTACATCACTGCGGCTGAAAAGGGTTGACGTTGTTAAACGTGCCACCATTCACTTGTATTCCCTTGTCATTGTTGTTGTTCTGGGGTCCGCTCCCTGTATTCACATTTTGAGGGCCGGAGCCGTAGTTGTGAATCCCCAAGGCGGGGCTCTCATCCTGCAGCGATTGCGGGATTGCTGATACCTCTTTCATGGATTTGATGAGCAACTCGAGGTACGACTTGGTCGCCAATTGCATCTCCTCGTCGATTGTCAGCAAGAGCTGGATATCTTTCATCGCGTCCTTCATGAGGTCCTCAATCCGACTCTCGTTACCCATCTCACGCACGGCCGTGCGATAGCATTCCATCTTCTTATCAGATGGAATTACTTTGGAGAACAGCTTCTCAACGCAATCTGCCTTGCGTTTGCACTCGTCCGCAATAGACTTCATCCCCGCACAAGTACTATCATCCTTCCTCTCTCGCACACGTTTTCTAATTTCTTGGAGCACTTCACAGACTGTTGGTACATGTTTGCCTACGTCATGGAACGCGGGTGGAAGGCTTTCAGCATTCGAGAGCGGAAGACTCTCGGTGTTCGCAGTGTCTCCATAAATCTCGCTTATGTTTTCAAATGCTGAGAGCGCCGCCTTGATCAAGGTTGCTACTTCAGTAGCTAGGAGACCTGGCATCTTGAACGATCGGAGAAAGACTCTATGAACGAGGAGCGGCCGCAGAACAGATTACTGCCATATAGTCTGTCAGTCTTTGTCTCGCATCCACTCAATGATGGCACTGAGGTTTACCGATGATGGAAAAGCACTTCCGTGGGACAACTAGTACATACCCTTGAGTGACGAAACGTATTTAATGCTAAGATGCTGCTCCATTTTAGACTACTCGTTCCATTTATATGGGTACCTAGGTAACGATAAGAACACACAAGTAGCCAGTCTCTAGGCAGACAACTAATATACGGAGCGGGGAAAGCAAGCGAATCGGTGACCTTGCAGTTTCAATGCAAATGTACGCACCGACCAATCCTCTGCGTCCACGATTTTGTGTCGCATGAATTTCTTGATTTAGTTTAACCCAAGGCTTAGTCAAAATTGCACAGCCGCCACTCATTTATACCAATGAGAGAGTCCAAGAGCCTAAGGCATTACTACGCTGCTGGCGGCAATATCGCACCTGCTGAATGAATTAAGATTTGGCATGAATGGTATGATCGAATACGGACACTAATAAATACGACAATAAATACCATCATTTATGCCCTCAAATGTTTCCATTGGCAATTATGGCTCTGGCCCGCAAAATGTGGCTACAGGCGACGGCCCTCAAAACAATAACAACGCAGGTGGTGTACAGATCAACAGTGGTAGTTTCTCTGGATGTAAGAACAATCCATGGATTTAGAGACAACTGATGCCATTCAATGCTAATTGGGTAGGGTTAGTCAACCCTTTCCTCGGCCAAGGCAAGGCTGAGACGCTGCAAGTGGAAAACCAGAGTGAATTCTCTACTTCCAGTCAAGGGCAGCCACGCCATCGCGAGGGATTTCAAGTAGCAGTCATCTGTGCTCTGGCACTTGAATACGACGCAGTTTCATTGCTCTTTGATCAGTTTTGGGATGAAGACGACGAGCCTTACGGGCGGGCCCAGGGAGACACAAACATTTACACGACTGGCAAGATCGGGAATCACAATGTTGTATTGGCGCTTCTACCCAGCATTGGCACAGCTGCCGGCGCAGGAGTAGCGGCCAGTTTCCGGTCCAGCTATTCTGGCTTGAAAACTGCCTTTCTCGTGGGAGTCTGCGGCGGCGTCCCGAGTACGGGCCAGGACGAAGTGCTGCTTGGCGACGTGGTCATCAGCAAGACGGTGGTCCAGTACAGCCTTGGGAGACAGTATCCCGGTGCATTCGTGGCCAAGGACACCGTGGGCGACAATCTCGGCCGTCCGAGCAAAAACATCCGCACCTTGATCACCAGTTTCGAGACTGAGCGTGGAAGACGACGTCTGCGGCAGAAAGCCGGACAGTATTTGAAGGACCTGCAACGCACAGCCCTGGAAGAGGGGCATCGCCACAGCTATCAATATCCAGGCGTTGCAGAAGACAAGCTGTTTGCGGCCACGTATGTCCACAAACATCGGGAGCTGCAAGCATGTAGCTGCAGCTGCAGTGAGGAAAAGGACAGCTTTTGTGACGAGGCTGCCCATGCGTCTTGTACTGAACTCGGTTGCAATGAGGAACAGCTAGTACCAAGAAGGCGTTTGGAGACGAAAAGGAATATGGATCCAGATCGTGTGCAGTGTCCTGAAATCTTGATTGGCGGCGTGGCATCTGGAGACACGGTGATGAAATCCGGGGAGCACCGTGATCGAATCGCCAAAGAGCGAAACGTGATTGCCTTTGAGATGGAGGGCGCTGGTGTTTGGGACGAGGTGCCGTGCATCGTCGTCAAGGGAGTCTGTGACTACGCCGATAGCCATAAGAGCAAGATGTGGCAGCCATTTGCGGCGGCAACGGCGGCGGCTGTGCTCAAGGCAATACTGGTACAATATCCAGTGACGGATTTGCCGTCTTCTCATCCCTCGTTTGCTGCTACTGCGGGATCAAGTAGTTGATAAGTCAGTAGCTAGTAGAATATCTCAAACATCGCACTGAGCAATAACAGCCGGACTGCATATGCAGGCTATTGTCCACAAGCTGTATTAAAAGGTTATAATAGCGACATCACTCAACATCTGGCTTACTGATACTCTCTTGATGAAAATAGAAGGTCTTGATCTAGGTAGATCTGGTTCTATCAAGGCCATTTATCAACCAAGGCCGTTCAGTCAGATTAGGCCAGCCAAGTCTTGTGACAAAATGGGCCTTCATCCAGTATAGACATTGTACACTATATAAAATTAGGTAGAAAGCTTGAATGATGTATGAGTGTACATCTGTCAAAGGCGCCCCGTGCCATATATTTACGCCGTAAACGGACTTTGACATGGGCCCTTATCATGAGCATTTCTAGCAAACAGAATCATATATTACAACTGACACATCGGTCAGCATCTGAACAGCGGTTTTGTGCAAAGATATGGCACGAATGACAATACAACACGGGGAAAAGTTATCCAGCATTCCGGATATAGCCTGGACTATTGTTAGTGTTACTGCCGTTACTACTGCTACTACTCTATATATACATGTACAGCAGGTAAGATTTCGACACATGCTGACAGCCTTGTTAAGCCACAGCTAGGGCGTTGGATAATAGAACTGGGGTGCTGGATGGCTGTTCCATAGGTAAGTCACGTTGGGATTGGGCTCAAAAGCTGTATACGCGGCTACATGTAGAGAAAGTAGGTACATGTAGTCAGGTGATTGTGGAATTTAAGATGTGGTGGTAAGTGCTCCTGGTAAGCTGAGGGAGAACGATGATTTGGCAAGTGCTCTCGCGACAACTCTTCCCTATGTCAACCGGTCGACACTCTTCAACTACTCGATCTGATGATGCAAGAGAATAAATGCAGAGAATATCGTGTGTCTATCTCGTTTACTATAGTTACTCTAGTTTATTATCGCAAAGTCCAATCACGATATTCAATCTTTGTAGGCGATCTTCATATTCCAGGCATTATTGCCTAGCCTCATGCCATTCCACAAGTAGGATCCATGTTGACGTCCTTCCAATCTGCAAAGACATAATCTCCAATAGATATATTTCCCCGTGCAATAGGCGCACTCCCACCATTGAAAGCCTCATAACTCTCATATACCGATGTCTTGTGCGTCCGGCCAGGTGTCAAACTCAAGCCAGCAGCCGCAAGAGAAATATTCGAGTCATCATCAAGAGGTCTGTGTCAAGTATGTCAGTATTCTTCCATGTTCGTGCAGAAACTGATTTAATCCAAAACTCACAATGGTTGAATAGCGTTCTCATAAACATCTTCAAATACCGCCACAACGCCCTTGGCAAGTTGCTCATCGCTCAGTTCAGGTTCAAGGGCCAGCTTCACGCTGTCAGCGCTAATCATGCCGTTGGGGGCCTTCTTGAGCACATGGTCAAGATGCGCCTCAGTGTTGCTGCCATATAAGTAAAAAGGCATGCGGTTAGGATAAGCTTGATCTAGAGCGTTGAAGAACATTGACTCTCGGACCACTACCCGAACATTAGACAGCTTAAAGGTCATGATAGGCTCCGTGCCAAGTGCGGGTATGCCTTCGTCCAGACGCCACTCGATCTCGGCGCCCGGCTTAATCATATCTTCAAGCAGTTCTTTTTGAGTGTTGGCCACAGTGTAGAATTTAGTTGGATTCTCCTTGCGAAGCTGCTGGTAGCGCTGTTTGGCATTTTCAGGAAACTCGGCGGTGATGATGAGCTGCCAGCGGTGATTGGCCATTTGGAACATGGGGATGTGGACAAGATGAATCTGATCGAGGCCTTGCATGACGAACCCGTGGAAGTCGGGCTCGATCCTGTTGCGGACAATGCATTTCTGTTACCAAAGATTAATTATCCTCTTTGCTACAATGAGAAAAGTTCAATGAGAAAAGTTCAACTTACTTTGACCTCTTCATTCGCAACGCGTCTAAAGTCCTCAGCTAAGCTACCGAGAAAGTCTTGGTCAGTGGGCCATGGGCTCATCGTCACGTTGACCAAAAATGTCAGATCACCACGAGCAGGATCTTCTCCATTTACAAGCTGTAAACGGCGCTTGTAACTCTTGAGACAGTTTCCGTAAATAACTTCGCCAAAAGTCGAAGAGGTCAAGAAGAGCGGGCGCGTAGCAACGACATCATTCATTGATGTGACAGACAGACGCTGGAAGATGCGCTGGTTGAGATCATTTGCCTCATTCTGTTCAGGACGAACGTGAAGTCAGCAAGTGTTAAGCCTATAGTCGCTATGATAGCCAAAACAATTACTCACCACATCGTCGTTAATCTTTCCATTGACTTTGAAGTTGCAGGCAAATGCGTTAATCATCAAGTCACCGCCTAGCTTGTTTAGAAATTCCATGCTTTCTTGGTCATCAAACAGATCCTCGTTTGATACGCTTAGAATCTTTTCTCGGATACGTTGCTTCTCTTCCTCAACGTCACTTGCTGAAAGGCCAGCTTTCTCACTAGGAAGTCGAATGAGAGGACAGACGAGGAGATCATCTTCGGCTCTGGTCATTGTGGCCCAATGGCAGTAAAGCTGGAATTACTCAGATTAGCCATCTACTCAATGGTGTTGGTTATAGATGTGAATATCATAAACAGACCTTGGTACAAGTAAAGACAGCTTCTCCAAGCAGTCTGCCATAACCCCCAGGCTGAATCTTGAGCATTCGATGGGTCAACCATGTCGCAACAGCTGCCGCGCCAGGTTTGCTGCCTTCAACACCATAGACGCCCATGCTTCCCTCTTCATCGCCAGGATGGTATACAATAGGACTGGTTCAAGTGATGAGGTACTTCATGCGTCCATCGCGATAGCAAAGTCCACCCGCGGGATAGTTGACGTATCCTGATCTGCCAATCAATGTAAGAGGGAGATTTCAATAATCTGTAACAGTTTGGACTCACTTGTGAGGATCAATGGTGATGCTATCTGCATACTGAAGGCTGTAGAGCTGCTCCATTGTGTATTCCTGAAGCTTCAGTGCAGGGACAAGCGGGAGATAACCCGACGGAGGGCCTTTCATGGTGCGATCGATAAAGGAAGCAAAATATCCTCCCCAAGCCGCATCGGCATGAATTGCAAACGACAGTCCCTTGGACTGATACTCTTCTCTCAGGCTCACAAGATCAGCGAGAGGATCACAGGCGCCATGCTCTGTCGATCCCATGATAGCAACACCTCCATAGACTGGCGTTTGGCTGCTAAGACACTCATCCAAGTGGATTCGCAAATTGTTAATGTCCATACGCGCATCTTCATCGACCTCGACGTTGATGAAGTTGTCAGATCCAATGCCCGAAATTGCTGCAAACATCCAAAGATCAGAAATGATTCAATGTTTGATCATGACGAGTATAATGCCTCTTGAAAAGATATGAGTTTACTTACCCCCACCCTTTGGCCAAGAGTAGTGCTTCGTCGTGCTAACAAAAAATTTACCCGACTTCTCAATGCCAAAGCAGCGCTCCAAGTAGTCTTTTCCAACCGACTGGATCAGATACGGCTTGAGAGCATCTTGTAGGAACTGAGCTGTGATGGAATACTCCTTAGTGAGGCGAGTGGAAAGCTCCAACACAGTGCTCGGCTTGAGATTGAGCAGCTCCCATGTGTCAAGCTCAACAAAAGGCTTTTGCTCTCCTTTGGAATTTTCCACAAGAAATGGAGGATCGGCATGAGCCAAGAAGCTGAGGGGCGGGTTAATGCCTTTGCTCTCATATTTGCTTCCCTTTATACCAATTGCAAGTTTGAGAGATAATGGATAGAATTTGAGGTTTCGGACTAGAATGACAAGTGTTAGGCGCGCCAGATTTTGTGAATTTCTCAAGTTCTAAATGGCAGAGGCAGCACAACATACTTGCCCATATAGCTTCAAGGTTAGCAACTGAACCATCCTATTGCGACAAAGTCAAGATACAATTAGCTAGGGCGCACTCAAGAATGATCACAAATTACTTACACAAGTAATATGACCCCAAGGCGTAACATCGTCGTCGTATCCATAGCCCAACATGTAGCAGAGTTCTCTTCCAACCTCCCTTTCTTTCTCTGTAGTGAGAGGACTTGCCTCTGTTGCGACATTGTTAGGGTTGTACATCATTGTCGCCATATCTACAACCATTAATCACAAGAGCAACGCATCAAGGAGTGGAATGTTGCTCACACCCAATAATACTTGGCAGCGCAACATCCATGTTCATATGGGCATTGTATCGCGGCGACCAGAATGGAATGGAATGCAGTGCAAGATCCTCTGATAGTTCCTTGACATAGTCTCGAAGCTCATCAACACTTTCGGTGTAAGAGTCTGCTTCCATCATTCCAGGTGTGATGAATGCTGGATCATCGCGATAGAGATTCTGGCGCACAGTCTGCTGATCTTGCAGCACTTTGCCCATCAGCTCGCTCAATACATGAAAGTTTTCAGCTTTGGGTCCCAGAAAGTAGGACCCAACTCTTGCGTGTGCAAGTCTGTCTCTGTGCTTGGGATCATCGCCCATGGTTGCTATCTTGTGAAGGGTGGACTAATGCGAGTATAAGAGGATAGTAGAACGGGTGTTGTAGATGGATGGTGGTAATCAATTCATCGAGCGAGTGTCTTGGTTTATATTCACGTTTCTTCTTTCTCTAATAAGCAAACACGTTGACTCAATACTAAACATCTGAAGCAAGCTAGCATTTTACAGACGCTTAATACATCTACGCAAAGCATTCAATCGAATGGCACTTACAAGCTTCGGGAAGATGAGTGTGGGGAATCAGCCGCTTCATCCCGCCTTGCATACAAATATTGAAACGCCTCGCTCCTTTCAACTAGAACCGGCCACTAAAGAAGCGCAGATCCTGGTTAATTGGATGCGCCAAAGTCCAGCAGGCTAGTTTATTGGCAATAGTACATCTCTTCAGCTGGCTTTTTACAGCCACCTTATTGTCTTCTGTCACTATTCACTACTATCTATTCATGCAGTATATGGATTCATTGACGAACGAGTCCTCTGAACCTTTTGACATGAAATGGGGGGTTTTATTTACCATGTGCTACAAACTTTGATGATACACATCTAGCCCAGATGGTACAACTACTCCAACAATAACATGTTAGACAAGCAGTAAATATCAGAGCTACAGTACTTTATGTTGTCTATCATTAGTATGTTGCTCAATTAACCCTAGCAGTACAATAAGAATCACCAATTATACGTATTGCAGTATACTGTTACTAGGGACATGTAATTATAAGGTTCTCCAATTCACTGTTGCCACAATCCACAACCAACGTTACTTGCTATTAAACCTAGTGCAAGAGTTTAGATCATACCACGTTCTTGACACAGGTTGGATGGAATAAAGTGCAAAAGAAAAGAGCAAAGAAACGGAAATAAATGCGAAAAGACAAAAAAGAAGTGTTTGAAGGGCATTGAACCCAACCCGATTCGAACGGATAACCTTCAGGAGATTCCAAGTAAACTGGAATCTGACGCGCTACCGTTGCGCCATGGGTCCGCTGTGACGGCAAACTTCGGAAATGCTACTCATAAGCCCCTCACAATCTAGCGCTCAGCTCTACGTAGCCCAAGACAGCCGTCAAAAGCTATCGTTTTACAGTGTCAATGTTTGAAACTGCCTGCATTTCTCAAAGGCACTTGAATTTTAATTGAAGCCTTTTTCATATCGGATAACCCTCGAGTAGATCAACACGAATGCAGTCTTTTATCCAAAAGGACAAAATTCCATTCCAATGCGTTTCAGTAACAGCCCACATCGCCGAGCAATAAGTATCTATATTTCTTTTCCCTTTCCGAAAATGATAAGCTCTTTCTATACTGGCTTTGCTGCTCAAAATCTAAACTCTTTGTTCACATATCCATCAGCAGCTATCCCACCGGATCAGGCAAACTCCATGGATCTCGTTGATAGAATCCTCGATGGGAAGGCCCACCCTTTCACTACCCTACAGTTCTACGTTTAAATTCAGCCGCTATTACACGGCAAGTATGCCGATGTAAGCAGCGATGTAAGAAGTTCTAAACTCTGTAGATAAATTAAAACTTATGTCAGGATCTTGGGAATGTTCTCTAAACTCGTTTTATGAGCTTGAATGCGAACATCTATCTCGTGTCTATCATTTGGAGTACTAGTACTGGACTTCAGTATAACCAGGCAGCATTGCTAGCTAACACCCATCTAGATAGCTTACAGTTCAACAAGGACTTGAAACAAAGAGTTTCAATTACTCTCTTACAAAGCAAAAACCACTCTAGAACCATATTAACGATCAGCTACATCTTTCAGACCAGTCAAGCTTGAACCGATGCATTACTCCTATCGCTGTTCTCATGAAAATTCTCCGCCTAGGGTTTAGAGACTATGTTTAGAGGGATTAGTAACAACAGGACCCATGGCGCAACGGTAGCGCGTCAGATTCCAGTTTACTTGGAATCTCCTGAAGGTTATCCGTTCGAATCGGGTTGGGTTCAATGCCCTTCAATTACTTCTTTTTTGCATCATTTCCCTAGTAGCTACTGTAGATTTCTTTATTTGAGCGTGTAAAGCGACGTGTAGCCAATTGCACCCCGTGGTTGCGGCAGAGAGGCGTAGAGCAACATCACTGTCATAGGAAAATGTAGTTGAGTGATGAAGTAGGTCATCAGCCAGCTTTACAGTTCCACCGTTAAAAAGTAGATAAAGCCGTAGGTGAACAAGAGAAAATATCGATACGTTTCATTTCTTTTTTCTAAAGGCTGGCTATTATATTTATAAATGGCCGTGGTGTGAGAATTATTGCATTTAACGCTAGGAAAAGCTGAAGAGTAAATTGCTCCTGTTCACACCATATTATAGGTCATATACTGCATTTTCAAGCTTCTATATGCACATGGTTACTAAATAAATGCAAGTAGAGTGATAATTCACTTTTGGCGGGCAACTTAAAAAGTTCATAGCACACACCGTGTCATGCCCCAAAGTGCTTTTACCATCCCTATTCTTTCACAACCAAACAGAAGAAACCAGTAACGAGGGAAGCATTAAGGGAAAAGAAGAAGCCAAGATCATCAGCTTAAAATGAGAAAGAGATTAATGCTTCGCGCACATATGTCCATCACATGCCAACTCAAAAGCGACAGGAAGCAGAAAGGAGAAGAATAGGGGGTCTGACCTCGTCCGCTCATCTCGCCTAAACAAACACCGCCATATTTTCGGATTACTACAAAAACAACACAAGAAACGAAGAACAAAAAATAAAAAGGTGAAATTAACCAAGCTTATAAAAAATCCGCTCCGAGTCCAAGCCACCCCCTTCACTCCGTCCATCCCATGTAGACACTGCCGCCCCCCAAATGCCAAAGAGAAATGAGAAAACGCCGCCACCAATGGATCATCATCGTCGTCATCATGTTGTGAAAAGAGAAATCCACTTGAAGTGAGAGAGAGAAATAAAAGCTTCATCTTCAAAAACAATGAGCAGAGTAGTAGTGAAATATGCGTAAATTTAAACATGTAATGACTGTAGCCGCCCCCCCGCAAACCAAACAAGAAGAAAATGATGGATAATTTTGTTTCGCTATTTTTGGCTATTAACATTATGGACTGCGACTTGATTGCTGCTGCTGATCATCGTCGCCCTCTAATAAAGTGCCGCTGTCTTCGTCGGGTGCCGCTGTTAAATCCTGCTTCCTCTGTTTTTTAGGGCGAAAAAACTCTCCTATTGTATCGCTTAGACTTCGTGATCTCCCCCTTGAAACTTTTGCATCAGCACTTGGCCCAGACTCATCATGGCCCAAGGCTTCTGGCAGATTGCCCTCTGATACCGGAACAATCGGCAGCTCCGCGATGCGCTCAGGCATGAAGACATCCTCATCGTCGCTGTTAAAGAAGAGACTTGCTCGTATGCTGGATCGTATTCGTCGTAGAGAAGATGCGGTCGCTTCTGGGCTGTCGTTTTCCCGAAGTATCACGTCTTTGACTGCTGTTGTGACTGTAGAGGAGAAGGGTGAAGGTGAAATGAAGGGCCTTGCTCGGTGGCCAGATTTGGAACTGTGTGGCGCTCGGGGCGTGACCGGTCGTTCGACAGAATTCGAGTGAGAATGAGACGAAATTCCCTGGCCGTCTCTTAAGGACGAAATCGGATGTGGTTGTATAGGCGTAGTGGCGAGTGCAGATCTGGTGAGGACAGACTCGGCTGAGACAGTCCTAGTTCCTCGAGGAGGGTCCGGGCTCACATATAGGCCTTGCCATGGGTTACTGACAAGAACATGAGCCTCGTCGCCTTCGAGATGCGCAGGAGAGTGTGTTGGCTCAAAGTAGTGGGTCGCAGAAGACTCAATGCCGTTGTGAGCCGAGCCCGGCTTCATCGTCTCAGCAAAGCTCACTCGCGACATTCTGCTGGATCGGCGGGATGGTGTTGCAGGTATGCTCAGTCGGCGCCGATTTTGTTGCGGCTGAGGAATCGCAGAAGACGAGGCGCTACCGTCGTGCTGCGTGAGGCCAATAGTCTCCTCGACTCCGTCGGCTTCGGATAGTGTATCTTCATCATCATCGTCATCTCTGCGCTCTCTCCCAGACGTAATGAGAAAGACACCAAAGAAGGTGAGAAGACAGCCCCCGACGAACTTGGCGGCCTGTTTCATGTTCGTCTTCTCAAAGTCGCGATATAAAACGGCACTGCCAATGATGACACACAGTGTGAACATGACGAACTGGATGGGAATGACTTGAGTCGAGTCGAAGCGGGACAGCGCCTTGTTGACATAGCGAATCTGCATAACGGCAGTCGATAAAAGGACGAATATGAGTGCATATGTGACGGGGGTTGTAAAGGCCGCAACAAAGCTTGTAGAGAGCATTGATGAGACGCCTTTGGTGGCCAAAGCCGTATATCCTCCTAGAGAAGGTCAGTCTCAAGACAGCAACAAGAAGAACAGTATTACCCACCGAAAAGGCCAACGAGGCCAAGGTCGATGAGAATGGTCCGTTTTCCATATTTAGCACTAGCCCACATGAGAACAATGATGAGAAACGTGGTGACACCAAAATATATCTCAAACTCCATCGTCGTGATAGCTCCCCATACGTCGTGAGGATTCAGCTTCGTCTCCTTCTGATTCGCACTCAAGACAACGGTAACAACGCCCGACACAGCAATCACGACGCCCCAAAAGTCGCGAAGCCTAAACTTTTCGTGAAACATGGCGGGCGCAATAATGCAGTTGGACACCAGCGCAACGACGCCCAGCGGCGAGACGATGGAGGCGGGCGCAAAGCCGTACGCCAGGAAATTGCCTGCTTCTCCCAACGTTATCAAGATCTGGCCGAGCCACCAGTACGGCGATTTGAGATAGTTTGAGGATGACGTTTTGGGCTCAGTGTCGGTATCGGTGCTAGCCGTGGTGGCGGTCGACTGAAAGGACCCCATCAGCGGCTCGTTCTCGAGATATTCGTGCTCGTCCTCGGGCTCGTCGTAGTTTGGTATTGAGAAGCCGTTGCCTTCGCCATTCTGATAGCCGTTGCCATCTCCATTTCCCGTACCGTCGCCGATAATCGTTCCGTAGACGCCCACCTGCGTGCTCCCATTGCTGCTGTTGCTGCTCTGCGCCCGCTTCAGCGCTGCCCGAGCCCCCTGTTTTCTCCTCTTGCGCTCCTTGTGCAGCCGCGTGTGCGCATATCGCTGCACGTTGAGGGCGAGTGCAATCAGCACGTTTCCCACTATAGCCGTGATGATGCCGATCAGGGACGACCACCTCTGCAGCGCATCTCCATCATCGTCGCCGCCCGATCCATCGCCGCTACCGCCCGTCGCCGTAGGTGCTGCCAAAGCGCTCGTCCATGTCGGGAGAGTCGATCCGGTGAAAGTCAAGCTCATCGTCGTCGCCCGGAAAGCCAAAAACAAACAACGAAAGAATAGAAAAAGAAAAAAAAGGAAAAAAAAGAAAAAATACCGCCTGGTGCCAAAGCCAGGCAGCTAAGGGGAAGGGGAAGATGAAATACTGCAAATGACGGTAGGATCGGAGATTGGTGGAGAACTGAAGCGCGAAAGTGCAAGTCGCTGGCAGCCGCGGCAAATTGCCTGACCAGGTATCATCGGAGCGAGGGGCAGCTACGGGCGGAAATGTCGTCGAGAAGGGGGTTCATGATAGTGCAGAGGGCAGAAGCTGGTTGTTCTGGCAGATGCCTTTGACGCAAATCGTCGACCTTGCAGCTTGTGCCGAATTCTTTGGTTCTGCATGGCCGGGCCCAGATGACGGGGATTCAGGTACGTACCGCTGCCCCACATGCGCTATGTCATCACTGGACGTCTGCTTGTCGTTGCTTAGCTTCTGCTGACTTCTGCAGCACTTCTCCAGCGCTTCTTTGTGGTGTTATAGTGGGCTCAGCGGCAGGCTGCACCGCCACAGGCGTCGTTGAGAGCGTACATGGGCGCACATGTACATATGCGGCCAGTTTAGAGCGCTCGGTACCGGCTCCGAGCGCTGGAGCGCTGCCGTTGCACCGGCACTTGTCTAGGACGGGAAAGGGCTTCAGCTGCCATATGGCTGTAAGTCATGGGATTGTGACGTCTCTTGCACAACTCCAGCCTTGACTTCATCACCAGTTCTTCACTGCGCACGCCACAATCACTCAACTTGCCTCAATCATCCAGACAATGCCCTCGGCATGCCCCGCGACGGCGACTCTTCGCTAACCACCGCCTTTGTTCGCTTCAAGCAGCACGTGGATTCAACTATCGCCTCCGGCTTTCACGCAGTATTTGCCCGCCCGCCGCAGCCCCTCCACCAGCCACCATCGCCAGATATCCACCAGCAACCCCAATCTGAGCTGTCATCAACTGTCAAATCAGCAGATACTTTAACTTCTGACAGCGCCTCCGACAACTTCAGCCAGCCCGCATCTCTCCCTCCCGTGACAGTCACAATGGCCAACAACGAGTCGCACACTTCAGCTTCATCAGCATCAGCTCTCGACACCGTCTCGGTTGCGTCATGGTCTTATTCACCAGCCAATCTGCGCCACCTCCAGCAGCCCGTCCCAAATGACCTGCCGGCGCAATGCGACTCCACCGTCTTCACTTTTGAAGATGCCTTTGAGGATCTACTCACCGTCTCGCAGGGACGACCGCTGCCTGATATCAAATCCAGGTATAACCAGAGACAGCTACTGAGGCAGATGTTTTCCAATGGCGAGCCCACATGGTTCTGGCTGCGAAGGCTGGAATCGCAAGGCCTGCTTAGACGCCCCACACGAGATGAGCTTTACAGACCACGCAATTATGGTCTACTAGAGGACCATGTTGAGCCTGCATTTACGGAGCCAAATTGGAACGATTGGTCGAAGCTGCATGAAGAGCTGGACCGTAAGGCAGCTGAAGTATGGAAAGGCGTCACCTCTCGGGAAGAAGACGACGGCCAGCCAAAGAGCCACAGCTTCTTTGACGATGTGCACCAGACATTCAAGCAGCTCGAGGATACCTTCTACGGCCGGAACGGCTCACATCAAGAGGAGCACAGCAACCAGCACCAGAAACGCTTCCCTGACCACTTTGACGATCTTTTCTCCTCTCTGAGCTCGACCTTTGCAGAAGGCCACAAGACGTGGGACACATTCGTCAAGAGTATCACGGACCATAAGCCCGTCTCTTCTGAGAGCTCGGCCTCACAGCCACCCAGCTCCACCGAGGAAAAAGTATACGATAACGGAAGCAGGGAAGTTGTCACGAGAGATGAAAAGGTCAACAGCTTTGGATATCTGACCACGACCATTACGAAAAAGACGTATGATAAGAATGGTAATGAAATTGGCACTGAAACGCACTTTACGATGCGTCCTGCGGAAAAGACCCAGAATGCTAGGTCGTTGGAAAATAGCGACGCAAATGTCATCGAGAGAACGGACACAGACGCAAACGATCAGCAGGTGCAGGATAAAAAGCCAGGATGGTTTTGGAAATGATCTTTTCTACAAAAATTGGTTTCAAGTCTCAACTCACCTCTTACGGTATTTACTTGTACATAGTTCACCATCAATCAAAAGTATTTAGCCTCAGCCAAATTAGTAATACTTTTATACCCTCTATACTCCTAATCAAACAAAAGAAAAAAGCTTCCATCTACTACCTATATAGCCCTTAAAAACATGTACAGATGGTATTCGATATTATAGATGCACACCCAAATTACGCTTTTCCTCTAGCCACAGCCTTCTTCTTGCGCACCTGTCGCTTCCGTGCAATCAGCTTCTGCTGGATCGCCTCCTTTGCATCAGCGGGCTTCTTCTTCTCATCAACGTCCCCTTCCTTGGGAGGCTTCGGCTTGGTTCCCACTTGAGGCCCCTTGTTCAAGTTGCCCTTGGGCTTCTTGCCCTTTTGCCTCTTCTTCTGCTCAGGAGCCTCTTCCTCCTCGTCCTCCTCGTCTTCGGATGCTTCCGCATCGTCATCCTTCTTCGGCTTTCGAGCTGTCTTCTCAGCCTCCTGTCGTCGCTTAACGACCTGCGCGTTCTCAATGGCAAATTCAACAATCAAGCGCTGCTTTCGGCCATTGTTTCCGTCAAGCTGGTGGCCGTTCAAATATCTCAGACCCATCAAGGCGTGACGATGAGACGTGTACTCGATAAATCCGTAGCCACGGCTCTTGCCAGCTCCGCTAGTCTCAGATACCTTGGAGCCCTTGTTGTCCTCAAACACAATCTTGGCTTGCTTGACGATACCCTTACGCTTTTGTTTCCTGTCCTTTTCCTTGTCCTTTGCATCCTTGCCGTCTCTGGAATTCTCTTCCTTGGAAAGGGGCTGTCGGCGTCCTTCCTTGACGTCCTTGGCAAATTCGACAACGGCCTTTCTGGCCAGCTCCTTGAGTTCCTTGGCACCAATGTCGTTGGGAATATTACGAAGAGCAAGTCGGGTTAAGCTAATGTGCAGCATGGGGTTCTTCTCCACGAGCTTCTTGCGCTGCTGAGCACTCATTGATCGCATACGAGCCTCTGCGTCAGTCAAAAGACCTCGCAGCGGAGAGTTTCCAATGGCACCTTCGGACAAGAGGTACAGATGGCGTTTATCTTTCTGCCTCCTCTGCGCGAGCGAATTCTCCGCCAAATTGGCAGCCTCATTCTTGTTCACAGCTTGGGCCACTTGTAAGACTCGGCCGTCCATTGTGTATTTACCGGTGGGATCGGCGTTCTCGTCTTGCAGGATGGAATGCTTGACTCCGCCTGCAGTCGGTTGTGCGCGGCGAGGAGCATTAATTATGCAGGATTTCGCATCCTCATTGTCGACGAAGCAGACAAAGCCAGTGCCAGCCGGTCTGTCCGTAGCCTTGTCCATGACAACTCTGGCATATCGAACAGTGCCAAAGTGGCCAAAGAAAGATTTGAGCTGCTCATCCGTGGCCGTAAACGGCAGATTCCGAACGAAAATCGTTGAAGAGTTATCTGTCATCAACTCTCGCTTTGGTTTCTGGGTTTCCTTCTCTTCGTCCATCTCATCCACCAGCTTCATGTCCTCCTCGTCGTCCTCATCATCTTCCTCATCATCCTCATCCTCGTCTTTGTCGTCCTCATCCTCCATGTTCGTCATGTGGTTCTTCATAAAGTTTGCAAGATCTGAGGCTAGTTGATCGTCACGATTCTTGACTTCGCCGTCATCTCCAACATCCTTGTTCTCCTCCTCGTCTTCAGCCTCATCTTCGTCATCTTGTGAGTCCTTCTTGCCGCTTTCCGCACCCTGTTGCTTGTCCCAGGTCGCCTTATCAACAGCCCAGTCGACAGCCAATGGTCGGCCATCAACAATCTTGCCATTCACGGCCTCCAGGGCCTTCTCTGCGTTTGGACGTCCTCGAATGGTGACGAAACCAAATCCCTTTAGCTTTCCTTTGTTCTGTGGAAGATCAGAGAATATAACCTTGCCGTAGCTCAAGAACAGTTTTGATAGCTGTTCTGAGGTCTTGATGCTCCAGGGAAGATTTCGAATAATCAGCTTGGTAGATGGCCTCTGGAACGACTCTCTGCCTTTTCCGGGCCTCTTGTCTGCTTCATCAGCATTACGCTGTCTGGGCTCTGCAACTTCGATTCGAATGCGTCTGCCATCCCACTCCTTCTTGTCCAATGCCGCTTTGGCATCTCTCGCATCGTCGGCATCAGCAAACGATACGAATCCGAATCCTCTTGATTCTTTTGTCTCCTGGTCAACAACTACTGTAGCGTGCTTGACAGCAAAGTATTCCGAGAAGAAATCGGTAAGGCTCTCGTTCGTTACGCCAGGAGGCAGTGATCGAACAAAGATGGACCGTCCATCGTCGACCTTGGCCTTCTTCGTCGTTCGCGCAATCCCGCCGTCTGGATCGGATTTTGCGGCAGCAGAATTCTCGGTATCTTGAATCCGGCGCTTGCGATCATTCGGGGGTGCCATGGCTGCAGTGGTTTATCAATTGCAACAAAACTCTAGTCGTGATACAGCAGACTCAAGGTTAGAGTATCTGTACCTGGTACTAAGAAAAAAAAAATCTGGATCTGCAGCTCTCAGACTGCCTTATCTTATCGGCGTAAATAAAGATGTCCGCGCTACGCCCAACAGGGATGGCGGGGTACCAACATAGCGTTATGCCAAAATGGGAGAATTGTTGATTGGGTCTTTTGGCGACGCGCTGGCCAAACAACACCATCGAACTCGCTTTTTGCAAGCTCAAGGCGTCATCTTTGCGATTCAAGCGCAAGGCCTCTGAGGCACAAAATTATCAAAAATGCCTACACGATCAGGGGCGCGAACTAGAAAAGCCAGGGAGGATCCTGGCGATAACAGAGCCACGCCCTCCCTGGAATACGTCGACACGCCAGACAATGCCCTCCGAACGCAGATTTGCGCCATCTTTCGCGATGCCCAGAGAACGACCGCCACGCACCGGAAGCTGGCTGTCAACTTGCGGAAGATTCAAGAAGCCTGCTGCTACGAGCCCGTAAACCCGAAAAAGCCCTCGGCCGATGAGTTTGACGAAAAAGCCTTCAACCACGAGTTCATTCGGTGTGTGCTGCGAGTCATGCCGGTGAAGAAGGCGGAGAGCGTTGGCGAGAAGTTGATTCGATTCATTGGACTGTTCCTGCGACACGCCTCAGATAAAGACAATGAGCTCCTGGACGAAGCCGACGCCGACGCGAGCATGATGCCCGAGACCCCGAGCACGCGGCTCTCGTCGCAAGTTTTACAGACTGCGCTCTCCATGATGCAGGCCAAAGACAAATACGTGCGGTTTCGATCAACGCAGCTTGTTTCGCACATCATCAACTCTCTCGACGCAATCGATGACGACTTGTTCCAGATCCTCCGTCACAACTTGCTCAAGCGAATCCGAGATAAAGAGCCCATGGTGCGCGTTCAAGCGGTGCTGGGTCTTGGCCGACTTGCCGCCAACCAGCCTGAAGAGGAGCCCGATTCGGATGATAGCGAGAGCCGCCAGCCTAGCCTCCTGGACAAACTGCTGGACGTCTTACAAAACGACTCGAGCGCCGACGTGAGACGCACGCTTCTCGTGAACCTCCCGATCTTGCCCGCAACTCTTCCGTTCCTCCTCGAGCGCGCAAGGGACCAGGATGCCCCCACTCGAAGAGCAGTTTACTCTCGCCTGCTACCCGCGCTAGGAGATTTCCGCCATCTGTCATTATCTATGAGAGAGAAGCTCCTCCGATGGGGGCTCCGTGACAGAGACGACAACGTGCGAAAGGCTGCAGGTAGACTTTTCCGAGAGCGGTGGATCGCAGATTGTGCCGGTGTGCCAGCGCAAGAGGACGCACCGCCGAATTTCGAGGGCTTATTAGAGCTTCTAGAGAGAATTGATGTCATCAACTCTGGAGTGGAGAATGGAGTGGCCCTAGAGGCCATGAGGGGCTTCTGGGAGGGCCGCCCAGATTACCGTGAAGCTGTCAATCTGGATGATCAATTCTGGGAAACTCTGTCAGCCGAGTCCGTGTTTATGGTTAGAAGTTTCAACGACTTTTGTCGCGAGGAGGAGAATGGCCGCTACGAGTCACTGGTGGAAGAGAAACTCCCCGAAGTCACCAAGCTAGCCTTCTTCCTAGAGCGCTATTTGAAAGTGCTGGTGGATGCCGTCAAGAGGATTGCACAGCTTGACGCCGAGGAGGACGAAGAAGAAGATACCGTCGAGCAAGAATTCATCGTTGAGCAGATGCTTCATATCGCGCTGACTCTCGATTACTCTGACGAAGTCGGCCGCAGAAAGATGTTTACACTGCTTCGTCAAGCCCTGGCTATCCCAGAGCTACCGGATGAGGTCACAAAACTCGCTATGGAAGTTCTTCGATATATTTGCGCACCAGATACCGCCGGAGAACGGGAATTCTGCAGTGTTGTTCTCGAAGCCGTTGCCGACGTTCACGACACAATCGTGGATCTACCCGGAGAGGATGATGACAGCTTTGTATCCGCTCATTCTGATATCAGGAGCCGAGAGAACTCTCCAGCCTCAGACTCGAAAAAGGCTCAGCCTGAGATGAGTGAAGAGGAGGCGCATGAAAAGGCGGTCAAGGAAATGATTGTCAACATGAAGTGTCTGCACGTTGTCCAATGCATGCTTACGCATGTAGCTGGAAACCTCAAGGATAACGCAGACTTGGTGTCCATGTTGAACAATCTGGTGGTTCCAGCGGTTAGGAGCCACGAAGCACCTGTGCGTGAAAGAGGACTTGTTTGCCTCGGCCTATGCGCCCTTTTGGATCGTTCTTTGGCCGAGGAGAATCTGGGTCTTTTTATCCACTTCTTTACAAAGGGACACACCGCCCTGCAGATTACAGCGCTGCACATCTTAACAGATATTCTTAACGTCCATGGAGCTCAGCTGCTCTCAACAACTCCAGCTGTCCTCAAAGTCTATGTCAAGGCAGTCAAGGGTGGCGGTAGATCATCCGAAGTACAAGCCGCGGCCACTATTGCCGCATCGAAGCTTCTCCTTGGACGGGTTGTGTCTGATGAAGAAGCCTGCGAGGAGCTGCTCAAGTCTCTGGTGGTTGCCTACTTTGACCCCGCATCATCTGCCAATCAGACGGTCAGACAAGCCCTCAACTACTTCCTACCAGTATTCTGCTTCTCGCGAACGGAAAACCAAGACCTTATGAGAAAAGTCTCTTTGCTGGCGCTGCATTCTCTACTTAACTTGCGTGAGGGTCTGGAAGATGACGATGTGGATGTCGAGGAGGACATGGTTAGCATGACGACCATTGGTGCTTGTTTGGTGGATTGGACAGACCCACGAAAGTGCTACAGCACTGAGCTTGTTCAGGAGGGAGAGAAGAGGAATGTACCGGGCGATGTTCATCTTGATTTTGCCTGTGATATTCTGGAAAGGCTTCGTGGAAGCATCAGCAGTAAGTTTACCAGCCATCCATTGGCTTTGGCACAAAAGAATTGAAGCTAACAAGTGCAAACAGAAGCTGAAAAGAAGCTGGTTGCCGGTCTTCTCGGAAAGCTCTATGTGTCACCCACGTCTTCAGAAGAGAAGCTCCGAGAGTCTTACGGCATTGTCAGTGAGGCTGTTGAGGAGGGCTTGGTGACTGATACTACCGGCCGCAACGCGCTATACAAGATCCATGTCAGCCTTGGCAAGATTGTCAACAGCCTTGAAGAACAGCGGCCAGCTCAGAACCGCGACGGCCGTAGCACATCTGAAACTGCGGAACGCAGCACGCCAGAAGAGGCTGAGGCTGAGGCTGAGGAGCCAGAGGAGCCGGAGCCTGAAGCAGAGGAGCCAGAGGAAGCTGAAGAGCAAGAAGAGCAAGACGAGCCAGTCATAAAATCCTCGAGATCAAGAGGCAACCCCAAGATTAAAAGGGAGGAAAGCAGTGATGAAGAAGGGACGGTGATACCAGACCACAGAGACGACGAATCGCTAGTAGAACTGTCTGACGGAGATACCAAGATGGAAGACGTGTATTAAAGAGTGGCAAGGGATAAATGGATAATGTCTCACGAAAACAAACTGGCTTGGGAAAGGTGCTTGTTTTGGAGAGGTATATATGTGCTTTGGGAATATAGCTATGCTTCTTTACGATGTCAATGATGCAATTACATCTTTTGTTTATTACACGATTTAAATCCTAGTATAAATACATATGTTTGAGAAAAAGATTAACTCTGCTTGCTTCAGCTCAAGTGCCTATCCAGAACAACAAGCCGCCAAAAGCCACATTAACCAACAAATGCTGCCCCAAGCTCCATGCCATGCAGTACAAGTACTTTGGCGAAAACACCGTCCAGATGAACAAGTGCGTTCGCAGCGCCGTGCACGCCGCAATGACAAACGCCACGCTCATCGCCACAAAGACCGTCAACAGTATAACATGATAGCGAAACGCATCCGCCCTTCCACGCAGTCGATACTCCCTCAGCAGCAGCAGATTCGTAGCCGACGTCCAGAATATGGGCCCTGCCCAGTTACTCACGAGGGTGAGGATCCCAACGGCGACGACGTTGAAGCCGCTGATGCCGTTGTAGGCGCTGGAGAGGTCGACGGAGGAGATTGCGTTGGAGCCGCCGGCGGCGAAGAAGGTTGTGTATTGGAGGAGGATGGAGGAGGTGGTGATTTGGGCGATGGAGAGGGTGGTGCGTTGGAGGGTGTGGAGGATGAGGGTGGAGAGGAGGAAGAGGGGGATGTTTGTGGCGCGGGATTGGGTCATTGCGAGGAGGGTGATGAGGTGGTGCGTTAGGTGAGCTGGTGATGTGTTAGACATTGTATATAGAGAGAGGGAGAGACAGAGCTTACCGGCTGATTGAGTTGTTTGGGGTCCTCCGGTTTTTGCTCGGTATACGGCGAAGCCAAACAACGCCGTGAGTAGTGCAAAGATGATCCTCGCTCTAAAGATGAGAGACGGGCCCTGGAGGATATCCAGGAGCCTATGTGCAAATCCAACAACCAACTCAGGGGCATCTTCCGCAGTGAACGCCAATTTGAAGGCAAGAGTAGCTGAGAACAAGAGAGGTACTACAAAAGTAGTCAAGATGAAAGGCAAGCCGGCCGACGACAAGCTTTGCAGAGTTTGTAAAGTGACCACAGTGTATGTCAGGGTGATGATAACCCACAGTAGCTCGGGGTTGGGAATGAGAAAGGTCTTGACGGTGTCTGGCTCGCCGGCGAATTTATGGCCTGTTTGGTTCCAGCTTCGGATGAGTCTTAGGGCGGCGAGGGCGAGTATGTGGCTTGATGCTGAAAGAATGCGAGAGGATCTGAAAGTTGTTAGCCATGAGCAAGAATAGGATGTGAGAGATTGAATGGTCTTACCGTTGGACTTGTCTGGCGCCGAGGTAAGCGAGCCATATAGTAGATGTCCAGTACCAGAAATGATGTTCCTCTTCGACATAGCTGCTAGCAAACATCATAGGGCCATAAGACGCTGCAAGTAAGAATAAGGGAAGCAGGAATCCCGTGTTTCTGAAGCCCTGTAATCCCAAGCTGGCTATACTAGCAACTACAGCAGCAACCGAAAGCCCCTGGCCGAGCGATAGCCTCGACATGTCGTAGTTTGACGCCATGCTGCTCATGAGATCTTGGGCCTTGCGAATCCAAGCAGACGTAGCCGAGAGCCATTCTGTGTCAACCTCTTTAGCATTAGCTTGGTGAGATGCTTCCGAGTTGATTTTGCGCCATTCACAAGCTAATTCGCTGACATCTGTGGCGGATTTCGAAGCACAAGGGTCGACGGACGATTTGGCGTCAAAGAGCTCGCTCCCAAACGCTGCGGTGACAATGTTGAGAATCTGTCTGGCGTTGCGAATGAGGATCTGCACCTTGTCGCTAGAGCTCGGCCAAAAGGGCAAGAATTCCGGGATGAACGCTCCGAGGTTGTTCTTTGAGATGGGGAATCTCATAAGAGCAGCGAGCGTGGGCGCGATATCAGACTGCTCTACCGTGGAGTAGTAGTCAAACTCGTTCTTGGGCTGTGCGGGGGCAGAGTATCTGGAAGAAATCTGCTTGAGTTTTGGTGACATGAATACTAGAGCGGGTGACGTTTCTCCGGGGGATGATGCGCCGTGGTTTCCTGCGTCGTTCATTCCATGGTCGCCGCAGAGGATAATTAGAGTTGATTGGAGGTGGTTCTGCGTTTCTAACGCATTATATAGTTGGTGGACGATGCCGTCCATTTCACGCTGCTTGGCTGGCATGTGGCTGCTGCGAGGTCCTGATTTATGGCCGATATGGTCGAGGCCAAGGTAATGAAGCACCATAAGGTTCCAATCATCGTTTTGAAGCTCATCATTGATATGCCTTGTGACATTGTTGTCGACTTCTGTAAAGTCCTATGGAGTACATGTGAGTCAAAGGGAGACACGGGATGAAACACTTTTGAACTGGGCCTTACTGCAACAAAGAAGCTTGAAGTGCCATCATGGCGATCAAACGTATCAGGGAACAGTTTGAGCCACGTATCGTCACCGTACATGACCAGCTTGCCCGTGTCCTTAGCCTTGAGCTGAGAGAGCCACGTATCTTGGGCAGCCAGCGTTGACGAGGTATCTGCCTCGTTGATGTTGAGAATCAAGTCCACGAATGAAGGGATAGACCCTGTAGTTATGGCCTTGATTCTGGGCATCGTCACGGTGGGAGACCGAGCATTGGCAGTGAAAGGAATGGCACTCCCATCGCGGATAAGACTATGGAAGTTATGAGAATATGACGATGGATCTGGCAATATGTGCAACTAACCTCTGCGTGTACCCAAATTCAGAGGCGTCAGAAAATACAAAATCACTATTGTAACATCTCAGTATAAGGCGCGTCTAGGTATATCTGATCAACTCTACCTCCGCAACGCATCAACTACCATGAATACGAGTCTATCAAATGGAGCTTTGGGCGGAGGGCCATATTCGAGGGCCTCAAACTCTGCCAATCCAGGAAGAAACGGCTTATACGGGAAGAAACCAGTGGCGAAGACGAGAATAGACAAAGGTATCAAGATATTGGCTGCGGCGAGCAGGATTGAGGCCGCCAATGACCCATTTCGCGAGGCCACCATGGCTTGATGTAAGAATGAAATGAGAGGATTGGGTCAATTGAAAGAGGAAAAGAGGCTAGAGAGGCGCCTTGATCTTGTTCAATACTTCGTCAACATTATACACGGGGAGAGCCATATGTTAAGGCGCGTATAAAGTCACAATTGGCTCCCTTTCATTAAGCGTGGGAAGAAGGTTATAAAACGTGCATGTGGAAATGAGAGCGTGATTGGCTAGGCGAGAAATGGATCGTCTAGTTGCGGCTGCTGCGCCACAGGAACCATCAGCGCCACACCACGCCTAGACTTTTTTTCTTTTTCTAGGCGATTGTCATGGGTATCGTCAATTGAGAGACTGCAGAGTTGATATATATGACAATATGTATGTATAAAATAATGAGTGCTCCGTATGTGCAGAAAAGAAAGCCCAAAGATAGAACCAAAGATTGAAACAGCAAGAAGTAATTAATTGTTTTCGATTAGGCCTTCTTCACCTTGTTGGCGGCCTCTCTCTTCTTCTTGGCAGCCACTCTGTCGCTGTACTTGGGGAATGTGATGCTGGATTTTGTCCTCTTCTTGGTGATGCGCTTCTTGGAGATGGCGGCCCGTGTGGGCTTCTTTGCATCGACATCCATGGCTAGAGCAAAATATTAGTATAGGCTGTAATTGGAAATGGAAGTGCAAATCGATGCACTGGAAGTCTTACAGTTGTCGTCTGCGGCCTGCTCTTCCTTATCCTGTGCATCGGCGTCGTCTTGAGGGGAAGTGTTAGCGATACCACCATTCCAGTTCCAATTTCTGTCCAGTTCAGTTTCCGTCCAGTCCAAACTCACCATCAATCTTCATCTCGGCGGGCTCGGGCTTGGCCTGTCGTGCCAGCTCCAGCAGCTTGGCGGAGAGACGCTCCTGTCTCGCGGCCTCAGCAGGACCAAAGATGGCCGCCGCTTTGCGCTGGTTGTTGAATTTTTTGCTGCTCGATCGAGAACTCTTTGCCATTGCTGCGGTATTTGCACCGGAGAGTTTGTAAACTTGATTTTTGTCTTTTTGCGCTTCCGTCGGCTCGCCCGCAGTCTGTAGATTTGGTCGGTGTTTGCTTTGCCGATTCGATGAACAATTTAGTAGATCGGTAACTTGGCTGCAGGAAAGAAAAGTTACGATAACAGCGAAAAGATAAGATAAGAAGAGACCTTTTGTGGCGTAACAAGTTCAGTCCAGCGCTGCTGTGGCGCATTACTCAGCGGCCTCTGCCAGCTGCTGCCGCCTGGCTGCCCAAAAAATCGTGGCGATGGCGTCGAGCAATCACTGCTATTAAAAAACGACGTCCTCCGAGTGATGGCCAGGCGACGACGAGGGTGAGAGGAGAGTGAATGCGAAGGGCGCCGCTGAATCACGCACTTATTTTCTTCCATCGCCAGACTACAGTCACCGCGTTGTTCCAAGGCACTTTAGACCGATAAGCGCCTACATCCGTCCATTCCTCGCCGATAAACCCTCCAGCCTCGCGATTCGAGCGGCCATTGCCGGCATCACGAGAGCGGCTCCAGCGACAGCCTGCGCCTTTCACCGGCCAAAGCGTCTCGCAGTTGCCTCTGCGACGCTCTTTTGCAAAACTGCGAATCAATCGCAGTCCGTTCCAACTCGTGCTGACGAGGACATCGACCAGATACCGACCACTTCCCGACAGAGACGTCTGCACCTCCTCACCTTTTCCTCGAGCGGCAGTCCGACTCCTCTCTCTCGGCTTCTTCACCTTTCTTTCAGCCTTCACCGCTGCCCTTTGATGCCGTTCCGAGGCCTGGCTCTCTCAACCACATGCAGCCATGGCGTCACCGAACATGAACTCCATCTCGCGGCAAGACGTGACCACGCTGCTGCGCCAGGTCCAGGGCAACTCCCTGTTCAACCGCCAGCTCTCCTCGGTCTGCCAGGTAAATGGGCTTAAGAGCACCGGCGTCAAAGCTGAGCTCCAGCGACGCATCGTCCACCGTGAGTCATTCCGCCTGCAGCACCCTGAATCGCGACAGTGTGCGCGTATTCGACGACCACCGTGAAGGCAGCGCTCCGCGTAGCATATGCTGACCCTGCTTCGTCTGCAGTCATAAACGAAACGTTCGCCAACAACGACGTTGCGCGGTTCCACCAAGTCCGGCAGAGCATCTACAATGCCTCTGCACAAAGAGCGAGCCCTTCCAAGGCGGCAACGGCCCGAAGCAATGGTTCCGTAGCAGCACAACCGATACCGAACCTTTCTACACCATCAGGATCGCCCTATGGCACCACTGGTTATCCTGGCCGGCCGTATGGGCAAGTCTCGGCAAACGGAATCTCGTCCCCCTATGGCTCTGCCATGTACGGCTTCTCGTTCAAACCGAGCCCGTTCTATAGCGTTGAAAGTGCCGTGAGTGGCTTGCGTACCTGTGAGGGCAAGTAACCTGTTTTTCCCATCATAATCAACTCCAGTCTGACCTATACTCTTGCCAGTTATGACCCAGCACAGGAACACTGTCACCATACCACTGAGGCTAGCCGATCATCCTATTCTCCAGCGATGCAGCGACGATAAGTCATACAGGATCATGGTGTTTTGCGCCAACGACGACAGCGGTCTACAGGACGTGGCATTTCCACATCAGTCCGAGCTTCGGGTCAATGGCGATGAGATCAAAGCCAACCTGCGAGGCCTCAAGAACAAGCCTGGCTCCACCAGACCCGTTGATATCACCAATGCTCTTCGCCTGCGGTCGAATTACATGAATAACATCGAGTTTACATATGCGCTGACGAACAAGGTGAGCTATTCTGACAATACACGGGTTACCCCGACTTCTATATGACGTATACTCTTTTATAATTTTGCCTTACTGACGCGCCTTTGCTCGTAGAAATTCTATCTTATTGTAAACCTTTGCAAGACAACGTCAGTGGACGAACTAGTAGCGACGATATCCAGTCGTAGAAAGATTTCCGAGGACTCGGTAATATCAGAGCGTAAGTTGCATATAACAGCATTATTTGGCATCTCGATCAGCCCTCACTAATGCATCAATCGGCAGTAAATAAAATAGCACAAGATCCTGACGTCGTGGCGACATCTCAGGTTTTGTCACTCAAATGCCCCCTGTCATACATGAGACTGCAAGTCCCTTGCCGGAGTCTAAGCTGCACACATCTACAATGCTTTGACGCAACGTCTTATTTGCAGCTTCAGGAGCAAGGACCACAATGGCTGTGTCCCATATGTAACAAGTCTGCGCCCTTTGATCAATTGGCCGTTGACGGGTGCGTATCATCCATTACTAACTCCAGTCTGTACCACGTGTGCTAACATACGCATAGTTACGTCAAAGCCATTTTAGAAAAGACATCAAAAAATCTGGAAACAGTCACGATTGAGCCAAACGGCAAGTGGTCTAGCAAACCCCCCAAGGAGGACTCATCGCCATCCAGACCACGAGGCGCACCTGTCGAGGACGATGAAGACGACGACCTGGAGGTGTCTGAAATCATCATTGGCGGCCGTCGGTTGGAAACACCTAAGAAGTTGAGCCACTGTACGGACACACCGAGTTCTGGTGGCAGAGACCATTCCTCGACAGCGCCGCGAGGCTCACACAGCGCCAAACGACCAGCTCCAGCAGTTATTGACCTAACGCTGTCGTCGGACGATGAAGAGCCCATTCAGCGGCCAAGTAAGCGGCAGCACACTTACACGTATCATCGCGGCACGACCCCGCCGTTTCTGAGCGAGTCTCCCGTCAATTATCAGCCCTAGCAGGGACGCAACGAATATGAGATATGAGTCAGCAGATTGCCGTGGTGATTGAGTTTGGCGAAGGAGGGAATGACATTTTTTTCTATAGAGTAAGCTATTATATATTGCTTTTATAAGAGAGGAGAAGGGAGATAAGGCAGGGCAAGGAGAAAGCATGAGAATGGGCCCGAAAGATCTTTTTATTTCTAAGTCAGCAAAGGCGTTCAGGGTGATGAGGGCAGGAAAAAGGACAATTCCCCTTTGAGGTTTGGTACAATGCTGGTTTTGTCTGCTATTTATTCATGAGCGAGGGAAGAGGCATTTACCAGCGATGGAGAGGGGATATAGCTGTATAGGCCGCCAAGGGCCTGGTAGCTGGTAGCTGGTCATTATTTGAGAAACTGGATATTTAATTAACCCATGAGCTATGTCTTCTTATTGTGATGTTAGAGCTGTTGCTGACTTGGCACTAATCCATAGGAAACGTAGTTGAGCTTGAGATGAGCAAGCTGGATGAGGCCAAGATGCGGTGGAAGTAGTTGTAAGAAATAGTCCGTTGTCTACTAGTAGTAGAGCTTTGTCTTATTGCTACCTGCATTAGGTAGTTGCTACATTTGGTAGTTGCTAGTGTTTGGAATCAAAACACCAGCTAGGCTATGCTATTTAGTCTATCGCTGCTTATTCAACCGCTGTGCAATATTTGTAACATTCGCAACGTCTACAACAAAACGATTGTAGCTTTACATATTATACAGCTAGGTGTTTTGAATATAAAATGATATACTAATCTCAAGATTTTTCAATCCGGTTCTATAGAATACTAATATCTGTATCTACTTGCAAGAAATAGAAAACTCGCGTTTGTTATCATGTCGTCCTCAACTTCCACCAACCCATTCCCAGACATCCCCGAGCTTGGCATCACCATACCAGTCAACCCAGTGCTTCTCGAAGCCTATGACTACTATGCACAGAAAATGGACAAGTCAGTCGTAGACCACTGCGTGCGTTCCATGTACTGGGCCGTCCTGCTGTCACGGCACAAGAAATTCGAGGGTCACAAGTTCAACTGGGACGTGGTATTCCTAACGGTCCTACTACATGACTTCGGCTTGTCCACTGACAAGGCATTGATATCCAAAGACAAGCGATTCGAGATTGACGGCGCCAATATAACCAGGCAGTTCCTCAAAGACCGCGGCGGCGACGCCTGGACGCCGCATCTCCAGCTCGTATGGGATGCCATAGCTCTGCACACAACAGCATCAATCGCGCACCACAAAGAACCCGAAGTGGCGTTGACCTCATTCGCCGTCATGGCAGACATGTTTGGCCCCAATTTCCCCGGCGAGATGCTCAGCAAAAGCGACTATCTCATTGTAGCCAGGCGATTTCCCCGGCCTGGCTTCACGGACCAGGTCATCGGCACAATGTGCACCCTGTGCAAGGAGAAGCCGGCGGTGACGTTTGACAACTTTGCGCAGGAATTTGGACGGACTTTTGGCTATGATGGGAAGGGGGAGGGGAAGGAGGAGTTTGCGAGGATGGCGGATGAGAATAAGTTTTCGACGGTTTTTTTGAAGGGATTGGGTGCGCTTGATGAGATGGAGGTGTGAGCTGCTTAAGTTTGCTGTATGTAAGATGGGCTAAGGTACTCTTATACCTCCACTACTAAGAGACCATGCGTAGAACGAATTAAACGTTGCACTACATAAAGAATATCAAATAGTCTTCATTTACGAATAATATATATTCCAAATGAAAGACTAAACCAACTCACTCCTACCTACTTGGGAATCCATTTAGCACCATCACTACCAGATAGAGTGCCGTTGCTCTGACCAAGCTCTAACCGCACCCCTCACCGAAACGGACTGCTAGAGTAGGTACGTACTTCGGTACCAGCACCTACAGCTTTACCTCTCACCACCAAAACTCATCCTCTCAACATCACCACCACACCCTCTTCCACCTCAAACTCGACTCCTCCTCGTCTCTATCCCCCTCCTCAAACAAACAAACAAACAGCCATCAATCAAGTCCACACAAAATGTCCCTCTCCCCTCCCCTCCCCCCCTTCAACTCCTCCGACCCAAGCGCCACCTTCCTCTCCTCCTCCACGCTCGACTTCCTCCTCATCGAACTCGTCCCGCTCGCCCACCGCGTCACCACCGACCGCGACTTTGCCTCGCCCTCTACAGCCACAGCCACAAACTCAACAGCAGACGCCCTGCAATCGCCTCCCCACAGCGCAGCGACGGCCAAATCAGAGGCTACATCCGGCACGGTCGTGGGCGACGCAGCGGCGGGAGATACGCCCAAGAGGATAGACGACGAGGAACATCTCGATGCGGTGCATTATAGGCTTGAGGCGCAGGGATATCGCGTCGGACAGGGCCTTGTAGAAAGGTACATGGCATCCTTACCCAAGAAAGCATACATCCAACCTCCACAAGAAATGGTAGCTAAACAACTCCCGATACGCTTGGCGCAACACAGATTCTCTCGCGACAGACCCCGCTTCAACGACACCCTCGACGTAATCAAGTTCCTCTGCAAGGACCTGTGGTCCCTCGTCTTTGGCAAGAACATTGACAATCTCAAGACAAATCACCGAGTACGTGCGACACTACATAAACACATACGCAAACTCGCCCCTACTTTACACACATCTATCGCATTACGATAACACAATGACTTATGCAATATCTAGGGAGTCTACGTCCTCACCGACAACGCCTTCCGCCCATTCTCGCGCATGAGTACAGAAACCGGCAGCCAGGCCGTCGTCCGAGCACAGCCTGTACGTCTGACAAGCCCTTCTCTACTGAGAAACCATCCAATCACCTGCCATCACTCTAGTCATTTGCTTACATTTAATTTTTATTTATTCCAGTTCCTATGGTTCCCCTGCGGCATCATTCGCGGCGCATTAGCTGCTCTGGGTATCAACGCCACCGTTCAAGCCGAAGTCAATGAGCTACCGGGAGCCATATTTCAGATCAAAACCATCCCCGCCAAGCCCTAGTAACCAAACCGCTACGACAACTTTGCGCACCTGAAACCCAGGGAAAGATGACAGTAAGGGGTGGACGAACGAGCCATGTGCGACTAGGCGAATCCGCCTCACACTTCTTGCCCATACCAACAAATCCAACCCAGCTTCATGCAACTAGCGGAGAACTAATAATCAATGGGGACGAGAGGCCATCCGACAGGGAAGGCTTCGCATGGGACAATTAGAGAGTCTGGGACATTTACAGCCTATGAAAGAAAAGCAAATCATCAGCCACCCTGCTTATGCGTGCGTATATATTTATACCAAGTAGTCATAGCTATTGTCCTCAAGACCGGCTCCATCGACACTAGAACGCTACCAGCACATTTGGGGAAGTTGGAAGTATTTACTTTTGGGGAGGGTTGTGGGCAAAGTCGACGCCCTTCTGGATGTTGGTCTTGAGACCCTCGACAGCCTTGCCCAAGAGCTCCTTCTCCCGCTCGGTGATGCCTTCCAGGGGGTTGGTGGCCTTTTCGACACCGTTGGGCTGCGAAGCGTTAGTTTATATCATTAAAATCGAGAGCTCTCGAATCTCAACTTACTCCAAGCTCAACAGGGACAGAGAAGAAGTCGACGCCGGTGGCCTTGGCGATGGCCTCACCGCCGGGAACACCAGGCAGGTAGACGTAGCTGGGCTCAACAAGGCCCTTCTCGCCCTTGACAGCGCGGAGCACCTTTTCGGCGAATCTGAGGTTTCATGTTAGTGTTTGCAGCCTGGATGGGGTGAAAGCAATGTGAAAGGGGTCTTACCGGAAACCGGCGTAAGCCATAGACAGGGTAGCGGAACCAGCACCGTCCTTGGCCTTGACGACCTCGTCACCACCAAACTGGACACGGTTGACAAGCGCCTCGTACTTGTCGGCGGGAATGTTGACAGCAGGGTCGGCCTTGCTGATGAGGGGCAGGATGGTCTCGCCAGAGTGGCCACCGACAACGGGAATGGTCAGCTTCTGGGGCTGGGCCTCGCCAACAATCTCGGCAACAAAGGTCTCGGCACGGACAATGTCGAGGGTGGTGACACCAAAGAGGCGCTGGGCGTTGAAGACCTTCTTGGCCTTGAGGACCTCGGCGGAGATGGGGACGGTGGAGTTGACGGGGTTGGAGATGACGAGGATGAAGGCCTTGGGGGCAACCTCGGCAATGACCTCGATCAGGCCCTTGACGATGCCGGCGTTGATGTTGAAGAGGTCATCACGAGTCATGCCAGGCTTGCCTGTGAGCAATTGCCGTTAGTAGCTGTAGCCGTAGCTGTAGCTGTAGCTGTAGCATATATAGCCAATCACATGCCGAAGCCTTGAACAGCCCCAGATGGATCGATTGTAATTTGCAGCTAGCCATATAAGACGTGATACGTACGGGGAATACCAGCGGGGATGACAATGATGTCGGCATCCTTGAAAGCGGCCTTGGCGCCGTCATTGGCGGGCAGGTAGCCGGTGACCTTCTATTCGAGGAAAACAGCTCGCGTTAGCCATGTGAAGCTGCGGAAGTCGGCCCAAAGGAAGCCCGGAGCGTGGCACTCGGCGATGCGGCGCGGCCAGGCGGGCGAGCGAGACTGGGAGCTTACCGCGGGGGAGGAGATGTGGGAGAGATCGGCAGCAACACCGGGAGTGTTGACAACATCGTACAGAGCCAGCTCGTCGATGAGGGGACTGGCCTTGAGGAGGAGGGACAGAGGCTGGTAGCAGGATGCGCTGTTAGCTAGGGGTCCAATTTACGCAGACTATTGGGAGAGAGTAGAAACAAAGAAGAGGCTCATACCTGTCCAATACCTCCAGAGGCACCAGCAACAACTATCGCGCCAGAATGGTCAGTATCACGGACTACATGCAACGGCAATTTCTCATGACGCGAGCTCTTTAGACAGCTTCGTCGAGGCCGGTGCGGGGTTGAGGGGCAGGGCAGCAGCTGCAGCAGCTCTGGGCCGTGGAGGAGCTCATACCTGCTTTGACCATTGTGATGGTTTTGTGTGGGAAAAAAGGAATAAAGTTAGAAAAGAGTAGAGGAGGATGAGGTTGTTGAAGGAGAAAGAAGATGGATGAATGGAGGAGGATAGAAGTCTGTTCTCTTTTTTTTTCTAGGAGGGAAATTGCGTGAGATGGCTCTTTCTTGTATTACTGCCAAGGAGGGGCGTGGGATTCTTGCGCTATGAGTTAGATACAGTACAGTGGACTAGAGAGCACTTTAAGCTGCTTTTGGCCACCCGGAGCCAGGAGTGTTTGGAGGGGTAAGAGCGCAGGTAATTGGAGCTGCTGTGCTTGATGCTTTTGGGTGTTTTTGACCAATCGGGAGGGCAGAGGCTGCTGCATTTTGATTCGATTTGTCTAATAGATATTAGACTACTATCTACATATCTACCGCATCGCTTTTTGATTGAGCCGCTCTACTGGTGAAATCCATCTTCGTGTCTCCCATGATACTCTCGCAGTCACCATATGCACATGCATCGCACATACAGACACACACGCCCCGTCATGTCCCGATGCTCATCTCTCTTTTTCCCGACTAAAAGTGCCGAGACAAAATTCACCAGCAGCAAAAAGGCTTGTGATTTGGCTCCGGCTCGGGAAGAAGTAGTGCAGGCTGTTTTGGAGAAAGCCGGGGTGTGGAGGCGGCCGCTGGTTCCGAGGTCTGCCGGGACCCGGCGGCATTGAAGACATTGGCCTGGGGGAAGGTTTGGGATTGAGTAGCCGAGCTATCGCGTGCAATCGGAACTGGGAGGCTGATGCTTGAATGAATCATTACATAGCATATGCTATGTATAGTGTCTTCTTATGTCGACGCTAATTGGCACGCAGGCATTGGTGCTTGTTCGGAAGAGATGATGGCTTGGCCTGAGAGATCCAAGTCCGGCGAGACAGGCCGACAATGTAGTCGGGCTAGAGATGCTGCAGGCCGGCTTTGACTGTCGCATTGCAGCCCCCGTCATGACATAAGGCTTTGATGTATGTTATGAGTCGTTAAGCTGAGCAGCAAGTATTGACACTGAATCTACTCAATGCAAGCCGTATACTTACGTCTGCTGCTCATATATTATACATAAGTCCTGGCATACAGCCGCTAGTCACACATCACATGCTTCACGCTCATAGCAACGTAGTTGTAAGAATCCATTGGAATTATCATCTTCTTCCATGAACTCCATATTGCAGCCCTCTCATCGACAGCCACAACATCAGTTTGTTCGTCTCGCCCGAACCGTTTCGGAAATCCAACCGCAGCCCCCAGCCTTGGCCAGGCCAGGCTAGTTCAATGTACAGTATAAAAAAGAATATAACAGCCCGTCAGACCCCTACTTGCAGCCCCAGCCAAACTCCCATGCTCATCCCCATAGTTCTTTTTTCAAAGCGCTATTCCTTCATTTTTATGTCTTGTCCTCTCGTTTAGGACTCGCCAGCGGAGGCAGCCTTCTGGGCCTTCTTGCCCCTCAGCTTGGGCTCGGGGTCGGCCTTGACGGGCAGCTGGGACTTGCGGATGGCGGAGGCACGCTCGACGGCGGCCTCACGGAGGTCAGCGCGGTAGCCGGACTTGGCGACCTGGCTGGCGACGGCCTTGTAGGTCCTGATTACACGATAGACATTAACATCTTGTTTTCCCTTTTTGTTCCTGGTTGAAGAAAAAAGAAGTCTTCTTGAGAGTCCCGTAATACTTACTTGCGGGTAGACTTGCCGCCACCAATGGTGGTAGTGGCAGTGCTCTTGGCGGGCTGGTGGACGGCGGAAGCCTTCTTGCTGACGACAACAACACCACCCTTCTCACCGGCGGTGATACCGAGAGCCTATACAACAATTTTCTTTAGTAACAGAACTCGGTGGGTTGATATTCGGGTAGGCGTATGTATTCGGATCGAGGACATCATGTCGTTCGTACCTTGTCGTTGACAAAGCCAGCGTACTACCAAGCTAGTTAGCCCTTGCTCAAAATCCTCCAGTCCAAGAATCGTAATATCGCATCGTACCTTGCGGCTGTGCTTGTTGGTCAGGTTAAGGGGGTCGCGAGACAGCTGGATACCGCCATTTGAGGCAGCACCGGTCTTGTGGAGGTAGCTGTTGTTGTTGCCTGTGCCACAAATGTTCGTTTAGCCCATTTTCCTCCATCGTCTTTGCTACAATCTTTTTTTTTTCCCAATCCGCGCAAGAAAAACAAAAAGTGTCTTTGAGAGACTCACGGACAACCTCCCAGATGAGGTCCGAGGAAATGTTGGGGAGAGCGGTAGCCATTTTGTCGGTAATCGTGGAAAATTGATGTATTTCGCGACGTCGAGGTTCGTTTCCTTTGCTGGGATCTCGAAATTGGTGAAGCACCTCTTGACAGTCTTCTGCGGGAAATGTGTGGGCTCGCTTAGCTGCCGTATTACGGTTTAGCGCGTAGAGGCGGCGGTTATCGCTCTTATCGGCAGAGGTCCCCCATGTAGGTGTGGCTGGAGAGGCCACATGCTGCAAACGGGGAGCTTGAATGGATCCCGCTCAGCCACGTTTTGTTGGCTGCCGCTTTTGATGAGGCAACACGTCAGACGGGCGGCTGATGCATGAGGCCCTCGTAGTAAAACGCCGTGCGATCCAGCAAATCGCGGCATCTCCAGACAAAGGCATCGCCCGACCATTCCCGCCGGATCATGAGCCGGTGCATCTGCTAGTCGCCGCATCTCCAGGCTTTACTTTCCTTGGTTTCTTCTTCTCACCACGAGCTTCTTTTCTTCTTTTCTTTTATCATTTCCTCTCTCCTATTCTGCTCCATCGACACTCAGCGCCATCATCCGAGATTACCGAAAACAACTCCTCCAACTAATCATCACCATGTCGTACCTCCTCTACTCCGTCTGCTTCGCCCTCTTCGTCGCTGCCACAGCGCTCTTCTTCACGCGCTCCTTCTGGCTGCGCCGCCTGCACGAAATCCACCTCCCAGGCTCAGACTATCTCTACTCCCGTCTGCCGTCGTCCTTTGCCGGCGACATCGAGGCCGGCCTGTCGAGCAGCACCTTTGACCTCAACGGCAACATCGAGGATGGCGACGAGCGCGCCGGCCTGGACGAGGAGAGCAAGATTGCCATTCTCAAGATCATGAAGAGGCGGCGCATGAAGTTTGACCAGGCGCGCAAGGCCTACATGGAGGAGCGCTTCAAGGCCAACGGCATTGGCGCGGATGGCCGGCCGAGAGATCCCAAGTTTGTCAGCTTCTCATGAGGCGGGATAGACTGCGACTGCATTTTGGTGCCAGCGTTGATCTTGTGATATACTGTCTGGGCCGCTTACAACACATTACAACTCATACAAGCCGGGATTGGAACATCTTCTCGCGCGGAAACATCTATTTGGACTTTTCAATGTCTCGTCTTTTTCTTCTCTTTCCTTTCGATCTTGTCATTTTTACATCTCTCGTCAGCCTGCGCTTGGTCGCAATAAATCCACTCGTTATCGACTTTCTTATACTCTCTTTTCTTTTCTTATTACTGCTTTGTCGACACAGAAAAGCAAACCCCCGAAAAAAACCGTCAGTGGGTGCATACAAGTCCACGTATTGCGGGGCTTTTTCTTTTTATATAACAGAACGCGAGCGTCACTTTTTTTTTGTTCTTTTATTTCATTTCATTATTGTCTGAGCTGGTGTTTTGGGGAATTGTGTCATTATTATTATTACATTCGCCGGGCAATATGCGCCGGTGTGTTCGATATCAGTCTTTAGATGAGCTATACTATACATCATTCAAAGAGACGTTTTGGTTTTTCGTGTTTTGTTTCGTGGTCCCATGCCTCTAAACGCCTCTGCCACCCAAATATGCTTCGAAGAATGATCCAGTTGTGAAAGTATCCCAGTAATGTAATGGGAGTTTTCATCTTGCGTCCCACCCAATGGACTTTTTGAATAGAAAAAAAGAGTATATACACTGCATGTGAAGAGTGAAAAGCAAAAGTGGCAGATTATATAAAAAGTATAAAACCAATCAGATAGCTCGCCAAAGCGTGATGAGACTTTTCATGGTCGTAAAGTTGTAATTGTAAAAATGGGAAGCGCAAGATTTGAAAAATGAAAACTTGCGCTTATTTGTTCTTCTTGGTCTTGAGGTCAGGGCCATAGGTCCTGTCATCAGCACCCTCGACCTCCATGACGGTCTCATCGACGGCCTTGGCCTCGGCCTTCCACTTGTCCTCGGACATCTTGATGTCCTTTTCAAACATCCAGTCCTCGGGCATCCTGTAGGTTCCGCCCAGGCGGTCAAAGGCAGTGAAGAACTGGCCGTAGTTGACCTCGAATCGCGAGTGGTGCAGCGAGTGGCAGGCGGCGCCGTTGACGATGGGGTTGCTGGTAAGGTACTCGCCGTCGTGGATCATGATGGTCCAGAAGTTGACAAAGACGAAGAGGAAAACGTAGGCCATCTTCTGCAGCGGGAAGACAAAGGGGAAGATGTGGTAGGGGATGGACTGGGCAAAGCCGTCGACGGGGTGGAAGGCGTGGCTGGCAAAGGGCGTGGGCATGATCCACTTGTGGTGAGGCTTGTGCAGCGTCTTGTAGACGGACGGGTGGTGCAGGCCGCGGTGAATCCAGTAGATGAGGAAGTCGGTGAAGACGATGAAGAGCGGGAACTGCAAAAAGTTGTACCACAGGCCGGGGCCCTCCTCGGTGACGTCGTAGAGCTTGCCGTAGCCGCGGACCTCGAGCAGGAAGAGCGGCGCGGTCAGCATGGCGATGAAGGGCATGGACTGGTTGGCGTGGACAATCTCGAGCCAGATCTGGTTCTTGAGGAACTTTGGGTGGTTCATGATGCGCTTATCGAAGATGAGGAAGAAGGACAGGGAAGCAAAGATGAAGTAGACGATGATGCCGAAGAGCCTGAGTGCACATTGTTAGCCAGTTGTATTTGAGCAAGATGTACAGCAATTGTTTGCTGAGGTCGAATGTAGGGGGAAGCATTCCAAGCTTCATCTCGCAGGCTTCACGTACCAAGTAATGAGAAAGAGCGTCGCGCCCTGGCGGTAGATGTTGTCTCGCGTCATGGAGCTCTGGTAGGCCGCCTGGCTGGGCTCGAGCTGGAAGTACTGCGTCGCAGGCTCGTAGGACCATGACGACAGGGCCGCGGCCGAAGCATTGGCAGAGGCATCGGGGAAGTTGTAGAGCGCGGCCTTTAGCGGGAAGAGATAGGCGTAGGCATAGTCGGCGATGAAGGTGTCGGTGACTTCGAGCACGACATCCATGGTGGGCGAGTTTGTAGCGATGTCACGCCTCGATTGATTGAAAGTCCTTTCTATTCAGAAACACCCGAGAAGAAAGAACGAGGGAGTGAAGCTGTTGTTTTGCGCGGATTCGGAGATGGCGGGCTGGTCGCGACAGCGAGGAAGGGCCAATTTAAATGCTGGGCCTAGCAAGTCCGGACTTTGGAATAATAAGAGAAAAAAAAAAGAAAAAACGGGGCACAGAGTCAGGGGTTCTGCGTGGATGGCTGCTGCGGTCGCCCGATTGGGGTTTGGCGGCGCAAAAAGTGCAAAGGGGATCAGATAAAGAGGGGGAGAGGCGATCAGTTCGTTTGTCGACAGCTAGAAGGCTTGAGAGCTGTCAATTGGGTGGAGGGCCGGGGTTTGTGGCAGAGACAGTGTTTTGATGGAGGCGGTACTATGTTATTCAACGATGACGGTTGTTATGTTGATACCTGCCTTTTATATATCGATTGTTGATGGCAGTATACACGAACAGTGTGTAAATACTAGTAGCATGCAAATAACACCGATCTACTCCGTATCTGCTATTGCTACCTAGGTACCTACTGCAGCTATTCTTCAACCAACGCATCTCGCTGGCCCCCTTTCCACGGAGCGTCGACCACCCGGCGCCAGGATATGGTGTGATTTGCCTCATAATCCCGAAGCTTCGTACGGCTCTCCGAATCAGATCCAGCAGCGAGCGGAGCCGAGCCTGAAAAGGTGGCCAGAGAGCGAGCTGGAAATGTCCTGATATCGCGGATGGTGCCTGGGCCGTGGCGCCGTTCATTACCTAAGCCGCCTGTTTTGCGGGGAGCCGAGCTGGGCAACGTATTCGCGGTTCGTCGATACGAATACGCGACATGCATGACATTTTGAATTGGATCGCGTTGCGGCGATTGCGGCTTGCAATTATCCACTATGCTAGGAGATTGGGATTGGCAGCCAATTGGCAGCGTTTGCGGTAGGGCAGCTTTCGATGCTTCCCAGCAATTCGTTTGAGCCCGACGATTTCCACTCACACTCGCCCTCTGACCGCCAGACCGTGATCCGATAGGCTGTGTCGGTGCCATCGGGACGCTTGTTCATATTGATGGTATATTGAGCGAGCACGTACTCGTATCTGGAATTGCTACTCCAGCTTTGCCCACAATTTCATGCTTCTATCGTGATTATCGTGCGTTGCTGCACTGCGGTTTGATGTGCCCTACCTAAACGTATGATCACAAGCCATTGGGTACACGATGTTGCTTCTATCCTTCCTTGCATCATACTATAAAGGGTCCTTACATGCGCTTAAGAAGCACAATATTCATCGTCTTCTGTCTGCACCAGCTCTCCTCATGCATGCATAGCAAATGTAAAACTAGCATCTCTTCTCCCAAATTCGGGCGATGAGTAGTATGATGGCAGGATTGCCATGCATGCATAGCAGTGCCGCGTTGGGCATCACGATATCAGACGCGTTGTACAGGTATTTCCGCATGGGGACATGACTGCAGACATCTCAAAGGCTACCAGCCGAGTTCAAATGGAGCTCTAGTTGTCCGACTTCTTCTCTTGCGTCCCTCAGTACAGAACGGGACTTGTATTCAAACACATGGCTGGTCCATTCAGTCGGATACTCAAATAGTACCATTCATGGTATTCCTGGTAATGGATCTACAAGATACAGGGTAGATGCTTCACATGGCGGCTCTACTGGTACTGGTGAATGCTGTGGGTTAACCGCGATTCATTTTGACAAGTCCGAGCTGTGTCCGATCTGCCATTGCCGAAAGCCCGGATCGCGATACCATCTCCATTTCATTGAATGCAAGTGGGCTCGGCATGAGCACGGAACGAGGCCGGGATTTGCTAGCAGCAGACACTTATTCCGCGGAGGAACACCAGTTAGTCGTCACTCACCTCTCTCATACTGCCCAGGCCACATGTGCAAGTAGCGTCGCCTGGGATTAATTGCGGGTAGATACCCGGCCCTAGCCTTGAGCTGAGGTTTGCCGGGTAGCAGCGATGGCGTGTGCTAGGGTCGGAGGTTTGGCGGTTGACTGCGAGCAATAGAGTGCTCCGCCTAATTTACGTGACGCAGTTCATATAATGAACGCATAGATACGCTGGGCATTTAATGATGACATTTTATTATGGGAGACGTTATTCAGCACCCCAATCTCATTATCCAACACCCCGGCTGTAGCGTAACAAGGCAGCTATTCCATATATTAAGATACATGTGTATCACTGCTAAACATTATATATTTAAAAATAGCAACAGTAGCGGCAGTAGCAGTCATAATAGCAGTTAGCAGTAGTAATAGCAATAATACTGGCAGCAGCCCACGCCTAAGCTGGAGGGTTGGATAACAGAATTGGGGCGCTGGATAACGTCTCCCTTTATTATAATTGGTTTTATTCGTACAATGCCTTCTAAGCTACCATGTAATGTTACCTATGTATTCACCCATCCAGCATAGCTTGAGTAAGAGCGTAGATGGAGGCACCCATATTCGGCCATCTGTAGGGTAGCAAGGTACATATAGCCGTACAGATAGCTAAATCGCACATATCCGCGCCTCGATTGCAATGGAGGCTTTTTCTTGTGTGGATCGGACATGGAATATATGGAGTACAGGCGGTGTTGATATCTGACAGCTTTCAATAATGGACCCTCCTTACATGCGCAAGGGCTAGGGTTTTCCAACAATTCCACGTACATGTGCGACCACACCGAACACTGCGCACATGATGTCGCCGACTTAAAGGATCAATAGACAATGGACAGTCCTGAGGACGAGAGTAAAGTGCACGTCGTGATTAGTATTTCTGCATGCAACGTTGGGGCTGGGGTGGATGCTGCAAGTTGCTCGTCTCTCACCCTGGGCACATGTACGAGCTGAATCGCACAGATATAGGGTACGCAGTAACAGAACAAACATGTTTGACGATTGATGGCTGTTTGACGCTACTCACAAAACAGCCGCCGGCTACCCCAAAGCAGAATCTATCCCGCTTCTAATAATACCACCCTGCGATGAGCTAGTTGAGTCCATCCATGTACCTTCGGCGGTATCAGAGCTTAGCACCACTAGTAGTATCAACCATGAGCCCGATACTGGCCCGTGGACAAGGTGAGAGCTTCCAGACACACACCTGACGCCTGTTACATCGTAGGATCACAACTAGTCGGCACCTCACACCTCCCTCATGGCCAGCGGGCGGATGGGCCAATCCTACCGACGGTGCTAGATTAATTACATATATTGCTACCCAACAATTGGCAAACGAGCAGATCGATCATGGGGGCCGCTGCAGCAGAGGGAGCATGTAGCACTACCCACTAGCAGAGGCAATCAATCAATCAATTCTTCATTCGCGCACACACATTGACAGAGAGATATGGAAAGCTGCAAAACGGCAAAATGGGAGAAGTGGCGTAGAAAATTAACAAAGCAGAGCAGGGTGTGTTTTTTTTTTTCCCGTTGGTATCCCGTTCACCAAAGGAAATGTCAAAGAGTGGAGATTTTTAAACGGAGAAAAAAAGAAAAATTAGGAGAGCTTGGGCGAAACAAACGAGGCTGCCAAGAGTTTTGCTTCAGCCTCATGTGGCTGCAGCCGGCCTGGGGAGCAAGCCGCGCGAGACAGTTGTGAGATTCAAGTGGCAACATGGCAAAGCGTTTGACGCAAACGGGTCGCTCGACAAACAGCAGCACAATAAGACTTTAAAGGCTCGCGATTTGTGATGGCAACGTGGTAAAGTGGCTACTTGATCGTTGAGAGGCTTTTGCAAATTGAAGCCATCGCCAAAGCGCCACAGTTACGCCACTGTCTGCGGCCAGCCCAATTTCTCTGATTCAGAGTTTCTGATCCATCAAGTGGCCTTGCAGGAATAGCGCTCACCGACCGGCGTTATCGTCATCTGCCATCCATCCTTTTGCCTTGGTATCATTGGCTTGCATTAGGTAAGCTCGGGTAGTGACATGGCGCGCGCCTCTTTCTGGCTGCCAGCCGCCGGATATCGGGTCAAGCCTGGGTGTGGCCCCGTGGCCCCGTGGCAACATGGAAAATGCCACGATGCAATCAAATCATGGACGTATGTCTGGATGCATCTTTGTAAAGGCATCAACGATGCGTGTCTGATTTGTGCGCCATCATTGTATGTAGCATCGTACCAGCAAGTATCGAGCTGCAAGTCCAGCCGCCGGCACGCGCCAAGCACGACGTCAGCGAGCGCCCCCGGCCTAAGCCGCAAGTGGCAGCCTCCAGAACGGTACCTGGGCTGGTACTCCGGCCGATATCATGGGGAACTCGATATGGCCTGGCCAGGTCTGGGCTGTGGCTGGTGTTAGGCTCGCCGCGTCCAGCAGCAGAGGCCCCCGCTCCCTAAAAGGCTCCCTAAGAGGCGCCCCCCCTTGCCTGCCTAAAACTCCCCTAGTGGATCCCCGCTGGTGGTCCCGACGAAGGGTCCACCGTGGTGCCAGCCCTTGCGCTGCGAGGGCCCACCCGCCTACAACTCCAACCACTGCGGAACCATCCATCAGAGCTAAGCTGCGCGACCCCACCGTGCCGGGCTAGGCATCTGCACGCCCTGGCCCTGCTGCTGGCTGGGGGGGAGAGAATATAGCGGGCGGCGGATTCTGTGCGTGTTAGGGGGATGGATAGAGGGAGCACAGGCTGGAGATGGTTTGATAGGACGAGATGGGAGATGGGATGGCATGGAGAGGGGTGCAGGTTGATGGAGGCGCTTATTCACACACGCTTTGTACGGCCGGTACATGCCGTGCCACAGCCGCGGATGAGTGAGTGAGTAGGCGGCTTTAGTAATATGCACATATTTCCAGAGAATCAGTCAGTAACTTGATGTAACCTGATTTCCTCTTTTACTTGGAATTGCTGCTCCTGGGCGTGTATGCTTGCGCGACATGCATCATGCTGAGAAGACCTTGGCAGCAGGCTTGTTCTTCAGCCTCAGTTCCGTTTCAAGACGCCACGCGCCAGACACAGCGCCGTTCAGCCACGCGCAGCTAGGAGCAACTCTAGAAGTTGAGAGGACGACACCCTCTTCCGATGCCACGCTGATGGCTGCTTTTTCTAGCAGTGCTAGCGCGTAGAAGGTAAAGAATGTGTCATCCGCAGTGCTTTTGCTAAATCTCCTTGCATGTGCATGTGTACGCGGATGCGTGTACAGGCATAGGTGTATACAATACAATGCATACAGGTACTACAGTGCTATATCATAAGGTAGGTATATTGCTGGTGTTGGTGCTGCATGCGTGTAAGAGTGTGCAACCCCTAATAAGAGGTCGGCCATGTGAATTGTGATGCATCTCTACCTCTAGTCGGCCTATTTGTGTTGCCTCATAAACTCCTAGTCTGCCTGTCTGTCTGCCTGTCTCGGGCGTCTCACCTCTGCTGTATGCCACATCTCGCCCCTAAAAACCAATCCTCAGAAACAAAAGAGCAAAACCGATAGTCACGTACCTATCAGCGTGGCCTAAGCTTTTTTCCTTCTTCTTCGCTTTTGTTTCCATCCTCTGCCCACGCCCCTCCCCAAGCCCCAGTCGCAGCCAGGCCAGCGGGTCTGCGCTACCGGTACGAAAAAGCACCCACCCTCTCTGGGCCTGGGTACATGCAGGCCCTGTCGCATGTACATGTGGGCTGCGCACGGAGCACGCTCGCCAGGCCCGCTGCGGCGTGGAGCCTGTACTTGGGCTGCATGTACAACGAGGCGCCCCCCCTTGGCCCTTGGCGGAACCAGCTCTGCTGCTTCTGCTTCTCGCTTCAGGTGCTCCACCGAGTTACCTTATTCCCCCAGCCGCGACGGCCTGTCGTACCTCACAAAGTTCCTCTTCTTTCGCCTTTTTCGCCTTTTCTTCTCCTTCTCTTCCTCCTCTGCCGCTCCGCTTCGACGCAAAACTCCACGCTTCGAATCGAATCACGCCCGTCGCTGCGAGTGGACACGCGATCGCGGCCGCACAGCCCTTTGCCATCCCTGATTTCATCACCGCCTGAGCCGCTCTCAGCCTCAGCCTCACCCGCCGTCAAGCGACAAATTTGTCCTTGATTGTTTTTTCTTGCACTTGTCGCGGAGCTGTGCTATAGCCATAATCAGCGGCCTCACCAGGGTCTGGTTGAGCAACTCGGCATTCCGGGTGTCCCGCCTGCTGATCTCCGGATCGAGGCGACAAGCTGGCCTCAAACCGCCTCTAAATTCTTTTTCCCCCCATCACCACCATCGCCATTTTCTCCAACGCCGAATCGAGTCGAATCGATTGTCGCGCCGCGCCGCACCCGCCATCTCCGTCTTGAATCCCGCAGTCGCCGACATCATCACCAACCATGTCCATGTACTCGCACCGCGGCATGGGAGCTGTGCCTCCCGGCAATGCTCGCCTGAACGAGCTGCTTGAGCAGATCAGAGCCGAGTTCGACAGCCAACAGCGCCAGACTGAGAGCTTTGAGCATCAGAGTACGCCTCCCTTGCAAATACTGTCCAAGCCGACAACCATTGTGCGCGTTTGAGCGGGGTGGATTGTTTTTGAGAAAAGAATAGAAAAATTTAATTTCTTCCTTTTTCCCCTTGAAAACAATCAAAAGGCATTGATTGCAGTTGCAGTGAGAGAATCATGAGCTAACCTATTTCCAATTATAGTCTCAGCGCAAGTCAGTGAAATGCAGCTCGTACGAGAGAAAGTCTACGCCATGGAGCAAACGCATATGACGCTCAAGCAAAAGTAAGCCGCACTTCTCCCACTTACTACAACCCGCATGCCTTTACATGTGGCTAACCGCATCCCAACTCTCCAGGTACGAGGAGGAAATCAACATGCTGCGGCACCAGCTCGAACTTGCTCGTAAGGGAGCTCCGCAGTCTGGTCTGCAAGGACCTCCTCAACACGCAGGGCCGTCTCAGCAACCCCCATCGATTGCTCCTGGAAACGGCCTCTTCAGCGGCATCATGGCCGGTGGCAACCAAGGAGGTCTGGCGCCGCCGCAGCCTCAGGCCACTCCCCAGGATCAGCAGATGGGCCCTCACCACCACCAGATGGCTCAGGGACCCCCAGGACTGCCAGTGCCGCCTCCCCACCCCAACGCGCAGCAGCAGCAGCAGCAGCCGCCTCCTCAGCAGCCCCCATACCAGCAGCAGGCCTATCCGCAGGGCCCCGGCCCCGTCGTGTCTAACGGCATGGGCCCTCAGCCGCCGCAGAGCACCGCGTCGCCCGGCCCAGGTCGCCGAGCCATCAACCGCCCGCCAAACGCCGTCGGGCCCGCGACCCCCCAGATCAACACCCCCGTGCCGTATCCCGGCAATGCCCAGTCTCCGCAAGTGAGCCACCCGACGCCTGACCACGCTCGCATGGGTCCCCGCGCCCCTCCCCCTCCCATCAGCAACGCGCTGGGCGACCTCGAAGTCGATGCCGTTGCGCCGCACAATAAGAAGACGGGCAACGACTGGTATGCCATCTTCAACCCGCAGGTGCAGCGCGTCCTGGATGTCGACCTGGTCCACTCGCTCACTCACGAGAGCGTCGTTTGCTGCGTCCGCTTCAGCCACGATGGCAAGTATGTCGCCACCGGCTGCAACAAGTCGGCCCAGATCTTTGATGTTCAGACCGGTGAGAAGGTGTGCGTTTTGGAAGACCACAGCGCCACCGACATGGCTGCCGATCTCTACATTCGAAGCGTCTGCTTCAGCCCTGACGGCCGCTACCTGGCTACCGGTGCCGAAGACAAGCTGATCCGAGTAAGTTGAACGAATATCATGTAATGGCGGCACACTGCTGTCACTGTCATTCTCCCAATTCGCAAGCTAACCATGGCACTATAGGTGTGGGATATTGCTACCCGAACCATCCGCAACCACTTCTCGGGCCACGAACAGGACATCTACTCGCTCGACTTTGCGCGCGACGGCCGCACCATTGCTTCTGGCAGTGGCGACAGAACGGTTCGTCTTTGGGATATTGAGCAGGGCACCAACACCCTCACCCTCACCATCGAGGACGGTGTTACCACTGTTGCCATTTCCCCCGACACTCAGTTTGTTGCGGCCGGCTCTCTGGACAAGAGCGTTCGCGTCTGGGACATCATGACAGGCTACCTGGTCGAGCGGTTGGAGGGACCTGATGGACACAAGGACTCTGTTTATTCCGTCGCCTTCTCGCCCAACGGCAAAGACTTGGTCAGCGGCAGTCTGGACCGAACGATTAAGATGTGGGAGCTTAGCTCGCCTCGCGGCCCGCAGAACTCTGGCGCCAAGGGCAAGTGTGTCAAGACATTTGAAGGTCACCGAGACTTTGTCCTGTCTGTCGCCCTGACTCCGGACGCCAACTGGGTCTTGTCCGGATCCAAGGACCGCGGCGTCCAGTTCTGGGACCCTCGGACAGGAACAACCCAGTTGATGCTTCAGGGTCATAAAAACTCGGTCATCTCAGTTGCCCCCAGCCCCCAGGGCGGCTACTTTGCCACTGGCTCCGGAGACATGAAGGCCCGTATTTGGTCCTATCGCCCATACTAGAAAGGAGCGATAGAAAGCCAGCCAAGGCAGCCTCGATGTAGAGGAGCGCAGCTTACTGTATTCAGAGAATTCTAGCCGAACTGGGATCTAGAGGAGTACGGGAGCCCGAGGCAGAGGAGATTGGCTAAACAGATGATTAAGCGTCGGTCAAGGAATCCTTCAAAGAGTCCGACAAAAAAGCCTATGGAAACCGCTGGATTAAAGAGTCGTATTGCCGAGGCTGAGAAAATATAACGGCTTCAGTGGACAAGCTCGAGACGTGGAAGCGAAACAAGATGGGATTTTGGAGAGGGAAGCGTAGGAAAAGAAATGATATATTCCCCTGACCCAAGTCCAGTTCTTTCTTTTTTTTTGTTATTATTTTACAAGTTTGGAATATGTGTTTATGAGGGAAGATTATGCGGGAGAGTGGTTCTTTTTATCTTTACCTTTAAAGAGGGCTGGCGCATAGGTGGGAAAGCACAGCCTTATTTAAGACAATTGTACGGTATGAGGGTGGGGAGGGCTAGGAGATGGGTTCCATTTACTTATTAATTTGGCCTTGCTTTGCTCTTGAAATGTACCTCCCTTTTTTTCGGGTTGACATGAAATCTCATAATTGGCCAAGTCGGAACAGTAGTATGTGATGTTGGAAATTGGTCTTGATAGTTATATGCTAGTTATATGCTAGTTATATGCTAGTTATATGCTAATTGGTATAAAAACGGATGCTGTAAATGAATAGGGTATAATATGATTAAATCATGAATGCTGTCTTTATGCCAGAGAGCCAAAGAGGCTGGATAGTGCGTCTCCTTTGCCTTTTTTCTTTTTCTTCTTGTCTTTTGATATTGATGATGATGATGGGGATGCTTTTAGTTTGCTCTTGGGCGGTTTTGTGGCTTCGCGGTCGATTGGACTGCCTTGTTGCTGCTGCTCACTCGATAACATACGTTCTGTTGAAGTGGCTGAAGGCAGTTCCTGGCGAGCTATTGCTACGCCCTTGTCTTGGTTTGCGAGGTCATTGGCGCGATTGGTTTTTGGTTGTGGATTGGGGATGGAGCTGTCATTTGAGAGGGGAGAGAGGGCGGTGTGAATGCGGGCGAGGATGGCGAGGAGGAGGAGGCCAAGGGGGGCGTGTTGGTTGTCGGCGGCGAGTTGGGAGAATGCCCTGTGTTGTATGAGATTTGGTAAATTTATGTTTGCATTGGGAGGAGAGTAGAGGTGGACGTACACGTATGCTCTGGGGATAAAGTGCTTGTTTAGCCAGATTGCACGAGGAGGGATAGTTTCACGACGAGGAGTTGGGCGTGCAGAGAGCGATGCGGAAGGCGAGAGATCGTCGATGAGGTTGCGGATTGTGCGGCGCAGAGAGCGGAAGACGGGCCACCAGTGGGCGAGGCGGTGCTGGTTGTGGTGGCGGTGGTTGAAGGCGTTGAGGATGGGGAGGAGGGGGGAGAAAGAGGCTGCGGTGAGTGGTGGTGGTGGTGATGATGACGATGATGCCATGGTTGTGGTTTGGTTGATTGATTGATGCCGAGATGGGGATGGATGTTTTTTTGATAAGGCTGCATGGATGGGTGATAAGAGTGTTATCTGGTGGTGGATTAAGTGCGTAATAGGGATTGAGCTAGTGCGGGACGGTGATTATCAGCGCCAATGGGACGATACGACGAAGCGATATGAAGAGCTGGATGGGAAGAAGGATATCGGTAGATGGTATGAGATGCTATAGAAGAGTCTGCATAATTGTGTACGTTGGTAATCGTGATATTTCCCAGGTAAATGCAGTGTATTGAGTGCCTGCTGTATCCAGACCAAGTCTCACGACTGCCAAGTTGGCTGATCTGATCTCCCTCCTTGCAGGTCAGTTGATGTTAGTGCCAGGGCCGGCGCAGTGCGGTGCAGCGTAGTGGAGTTTGTGCACCTCGTACCATGGAGCAGCCTCTCAGGTAGCTCTACAGCAATCTGTCTACCGTCGATGATACAACCTTACGTACCCTCTACTCACCCCCACACTTGCCTCTACCGCGCCATCGAAACCAAGAGATAAGCTGTGCCTTTCTCTCTGCTTGTCTCGGCATCGCGTCACTATCATGCAGCTGCTGCTTGCTAGCCTCCTCTCTCCAACTTGCCTGGTTCCCGCATGGACCAAGTTCCAACCCAGTCCACCTGACTCGGACAGCGGTGTTTTTGTGTCCTGTTTGCTTGTTTTTATGCCCATGTTGTGTCCTACCTTGGCTGGATACCCTGCTGGTTAGCACTACTAGGAATGGCTTGTGTCGCTTCTAATTTTTTTCTCTTTTCTTTTTTTGCTATTAGCGCCGTGATATGATGCTGCTCAGAGGCGGAGGGGGGGTTGGCGCCACCCCTCACGGGCCATTCTTGTTTTCGACGCTATAGATATCTCTTGGCTTGCTGCGATCTGCGCACCTGGGAATATCTTCCTTTTTTTCTCTTCTTTATTTTCTGGCTGCTTGGTGCTGCTTCTTTGCGGGAACCTTACTCTACTTTATCTCTCTGCTCGTACAATAGACATATATCCTTACTAGGGACCGCGTTCTCTGCTGGACTTGCACGTGCCATCCAACACATCGCCGCCGCCGGAATTTCATCAACTGCCGCGTCCCAACCACCACCGCTCGGTTACTCGCGGGCATCGAGAATCGCTGTACGGCAGCTAAATGGCACCGTCTTCGCGGAATCCGACGACATGGAACGAGTACGACGGCGTGGCTTCGCCCACCGGCAGCGTTTCGTCAAATCCCTTTGATGAGGAACGGGAGTTGCTCGATGACGATGATGGCGCACACGTAGCTGGTCGACACATTGAGCGCAGACGGTAAGCTGGCATGGACAAGAAGAGAATCATCTTGGAAACAAAGGAGTATTTGCGTCGCTAACATATCGATTGCTTTCCTCCAGGTCTTCTGTCACTGACCGTCTGGCCGCCATGGCTGACGTTGGCGGCGTCAACAGCTTCCGCTCTTTCGCCCGTAGTTGGCAGCGCGCTGCTGCTTTCCCAGAAGTCATTCCTCGTCGCCCGAGCTTCATCTTGGCTACGGACCAACAATTGGCCGGCGATGCGGGCGAGGATGCCGAGTATTCGCGGAGCTCTGACAGCCTCAACGCCCACGCTTCAAGCGGGCTTGGACGACATTCGGATGGGTCGCCACGGCTGGGCAGTTCGTTTGCTGGTTCGAGCAGCAACATCGTGGGTTCGCATTACAGAGACCGGGAGAGCAAGCCGCTGGACGAGGAGATGGCGAGCGGTGCGTTGCCTGCTACCTTTTCGAGCCATTCTAGCGTCTTTGGATCGTCTCCTTACCTGGCTACGGAGTCTATTATCGGTAGCTATGGTTCGTATCGCAGCGGATATGGCACGATGGGCGGGCCGTCTCTCATTCGACATCGACCGTCTATTATCCGAATCAGCGGCCAAGCAGAGGATGAAAGTGGCGACGAGGATACTGCTGCCTTTGGCGAAGAGCAGCCGATCATGGTAAAGGAAGTCAAGCAGGGAAACAAGGTCGTTTTGACGGTTGACGGCCAGAGCACTCTGCCTCAGTCCGTTTTCAACTCTATTAATGCTATTATCGGCGTTGGGCTGCTGAGTTTGCCGCTGGCTTTCAAGATGAGCGGCTGGATATTCGGTCTCATCATACTTACTTTGACGGCCGGCGTCACGGCGCATACGGCCAAGTTGCTGGCCAAGTGTATGGAATATGATGCTAGTCTCATCACATATTCGGATTTGGCGTATGTTTCGTTTGGTACTAGAGCTCGCGTCATTGTGTCGTTTCTGTTTACGATAGAGCTCATTGCTGCTTGCGTTGCTCTTGTCATCTTGTTTTCTGATTCTCTTGCGCTCTTGCTGCCTGGTGTTGCGGGTGTAAATTTCTGGAAATGTGTTTGTGCTGTTGTCACTCTTGTTCTCAATGCCTTGCCGTTGCGGTGGCTGAGCTATACAAGCGTCATTGGCATTTTCTCTACTTTTTGCAGTGAGTTTCCTCTGGCTTCTTCCTATCTGACTTGACTATTCTCATACTAACGAAATCGTCTTCTTCCTCTAGTCGTCTGCGTTGTCATTGCCGATGGTCTTGTCAAAACGGAAGCTCCCGGCTCTTTGTGGCAGCCTGCCACTACGCATTTGTTTCCTACAAACTGGTTGGCGTTGCCTCTTGCGTATGGCTTGATGGCCAGTCCCTGGGGAGCTCACTCCGTTTTTCCTTCTGTAAGACCACCATATGATTGTTCCATTCTCAGTTAGAAGATTTTACCGTGAAATTACTCATCTCTGACACTTGGAACAGATTTACCGAGACATGCGTCATCCTCACAAGTGGGGACGGGGTGTTGCCATTACTTTTTCGTTTTCTGTACGTATTGTCTCCGCAAATCTCATGGAGCATTGAATTGCTGATGATAATCCATAGTATGTCTTGGATACCTGCCTTGGCGTTATTGGCATCCTCATGTTTGGTGACGGCATCAAAGAGGCCATCACTTCCAACATCATTAGGAGCTCTGGCTTTCCCGAGGGTCTGACCATCTTCATGTGCATCTGCGTCACCATCATTCCCCTCACCAAGCTACCACTCAACGCTCGTCCCCTCATCACGACCGCCGATGTCCTGTGCGGCCTCCACCAGTCTCATCACCACCACCATTCCGCGCCCAGTCCCGCAGATCGACAATCTGATTTTATCAAGTCATGTCTCAGGGGATTAGTTCGCGTGGTCGTTGTCCTCATATTGCTTTGCATATCCATCTTGTTTCCGGCGTTTGACTCTGTCTGTGCATTTCTCGGCGCTGCTCTCTGCTCTCTCATCTCCATCATTCTGCCTATTCTCTTTTATCTCAAGCTTTATGGAAAGGACGTTTCGGTCAGGGAGCGTATTGTGTTGCTGTGCTTATTGGCGGTGTTTTCGGTGCTGGGGCTTGTCGGTACCGTGTGGACGTTTTTGCCCAAGGATCTTATTGGCGTTTAGGGACGGGAGGATATGAGGAGCATTTCTGCATTTGGCATTTAGCATGTGGCATACGATGAAGACTTAATACACTCTGTACGAAGTTAAATGTTAACATATATGCACTGTGATATAATGCCTTGAGGTTTTCGTTATTATCATGTATAAGTTCCGTTACTGGATACCAGATACGCCTTCTTGATAATGTATAAACCGTCTCTATGCATAACTACATTTACCTATTGAAGAAAGTTGCGAAGTGGCGATGAGTTGCTTACAGCTTTGCCCTTATTAATGGGACCAAGTGTCAACGCTATCTCAGGCTTCTCTCAGACTTCGAAGTGTTCTTTGCTGTTCATACAGGTACAAGTGATACATTTCTTTCCCGCCTTGCAATGCCGTGTAATGGATGGCAGTAAATCCCATGGTTGGTCGGCCTGGCCCTATTGGCTTGTGTATTTATAGAGCTTTTTTCGTAGTTTGATGTCAGACTTTTGCGCTTGTAATCGTGCTTGAGAGTTGACGAGTTCTATGAAGAGGAATTTCTTCCATCTTCCAGTAAGGGACAAATCAAGGGCTCTGATGCCTGCTGGCTTCGTATAGGTAGCCTTTTCATTGCGTTGCATTGTTGACTCATCGACGAAAAAATCCATCTTCGGCGCGGAAACCTTATCTTGAACCTTGTAAGCGATCTTGATGATCTGGCGTCGTTGGCGCTATTGGACCCAACGTGGCTGAATATAGTATTCCTTTTTCATGGGATACCCTTATTAACCCCGTACAGTCCCTCTAATGCACCGTCCTTTACGGGTCTTAAAACTTATACAACTGCATTGGAAATAAATCTCGATTTTATGAACAATTTATCGAAGACCAATGTTACTCTACTAACCACGATATCCCGCAATATCACTTGAAACAAATATCCAATGCCATCATGCTAGATACTTGTATTGACGCCTCTAAAGCCGACAATTCACCTAATATTGTCAATTTACGTCATTTTAAACTTTCAATTGCGTATACAGGTAGAAATCCCTACACAGCCACGCCCCTTTATCTTTTTCCTTTCCATAATACTTCTTTATATCCATAAAATCTCTCATTCTCAAAAACTCTAATCTCAAGTTATTCAGCGATCCTACCCACCTATATATAGGCGCTACCCATCCTAAAGAGGCCTTGATTATGCTCAGCTTGAACTGGTCAACCTTTATCATACTACCTTCTTATTGTCTCGACTTACGTTATCATAACAGTATGGAGGTCTGGAAACAGATAGTCAGATTTCTCCGTCCAACCCGACCTTTTTCTCCTCAGCCGGATCCTCCCAACCAACCAATTTCTCCTCACCTAGGCCGGCTTGAGACCCCTACAGAAATCATCCTAATGATTGCAAAACATCTCGACAAGCCTTCGCTCTTATGCTTTGCCTTGACCTGTCAAACGCTCAAACGTTATTGTTTCCCCGAGTCTCTCGACCTGTCTTCCTCGGAGCAAAGCGAGTTTTTGCTTCTCTTAGAAAAAGATGCAGCCAAATATTACTTTTGCCACTTTTGTGTCAAACTTCATCCATGGCATGCCAGTTGGTTTGAAGGTGCTCATAGTCTCAATAGAGACTTCTACTCCAAAGATGTATACCACTGCAAAATGAGGAACTGGTTCAACATGTTTGCGCTCGGCCTTCCTTATTCCCTTGCACGGGTTGTCATGAACCGGCACTTTTATGGCGCAGCCCACGGCGCCTGTGTCGATGAACTGGCGTGTCGTCGCGAATTCACATATCAACGCTACGGCTTGACATACTCTAGAGACTGGAGAGCCCGAATTATTGATGATCAACTGATGTTGTCATCAATCATGACTTTGGGCCCTTTACGAGATTCTGAGGGACTGAGGGCGGCTGCCGAAGCGGACTTGGCTGCTGTTTGTCATCATATCACAACCGACGTCTTGTTCTCTCATCATCAGATTCCCGAACAAGTTCTACTCGGCCAAGTTCTACTCGGCTCTCAGCCAGATCACATCACCCAACGTCTTCAATCCGTCAATTCCTGCCCTATATGCATGACAGACTATTGCATTGACATTCATTGGCAGGAAACAGGTTGGACAATTGAGATTATCACATATAATATGCTAGGAGACATGCGATCGCCGTGGGATTGGACTTGGATCGCCATCGTCTATATGCCTGACAAGGCCGTCAGGATACCCCGATTCAAACAGCCATCAGAAAACCAGCCGGGAATTGTGAAGCATATGTGGAGCAAATCGGATGATGATATATTTCATCCCAGGGGAGAATGGGTAACAGTAACTTGGCATCCTCTGCGGTTCTGTCTATCAGGCAGCTATTGAGAGATGTCCAAGTCAAATGCGGCCTGAATGATGAAATTACGCCAGCTCAATTTGCAGCTCGTTTCCTTTGAGCATTGTATTGGCCCGGAGAAGAGCCTTCTAATACTAAGAAATAGACTTAAATATGCTATTGAAGTAACACCATTAGAGTATAGATACCTTATAGAGAATGTCAAAGTTGTAAGTTGCAGTACATCCTACAATTGGTATTAAGATTTGCTGGTGATTTTCTGCAACAAATCAGTCAACGAATATGTCATAATTTTTCGCTGGTATAGAGGATCAAAGTCTTACTGGGTATAATGATGTCTTGTTTGTTAAGTGTATGTCGCTTCTTAATCTTTGGATCCTCAAGTACTTGATTGACTAAGGTCACTTATATTCCTGTTATTGAAGTAATTACCATGGAAATCTGGGCTACTGCTACTACTGCTACTACTGCTACTACTGCTACTACTGCTACTACTGCTACTACTGCTACTACTGCTACTACTGCTACTACTGCTACTACTGCTACTACTGCTACTACTGCTACTACTGCTACTGCTATTACCTACATTTCTCGTGTTGTAGTTGGTGTTTTGAGCACTGGGCTCTCGAGTATATGCCCTGTTGCTTGTGTCGATAATGCTGTTGATGTGCTATGAGGGCACGATTCTCTTGAGAGCTCTCGTGTTCGCAAAGGGGCGTTTCATCACGAACTCTGGGAATGACGTTTGTTGGGCACATGCTCGCGGCCTAAAGAGGACGCGGAGGAGGAAGAACTCGGCTTACGTTGGGCATCGTAATCCTGAATGTATATAATCAAACACAGATCATGCACAGCCCGAATAGTAGTAAGGCGATTCGCGTCGCCAAACACCTGATAGACGGTACCGTCCTCCTCATCCTCCTCATCCTGGAAGGTCGCATCCAACCACCGACGCAAGTAGAGCGCAATCGGCGCCGTCACCAGCGATTAAGCCAGCAGCGCTATCATGGCACCCGATTACATGTAGCAACTGAATCAGCCTCGAATGACAGGGGATACATACAACATGCAGGAGCCATTACCACCAATGCATCCTTGGCAGCGGGTACTCCTGGCGCTGTCCCGTTGACAGTTTGGAAGACCCAAACCCTCAATATCATCCGGATTGGAAGCCAGCATTGCACTACGCTCACCGTTGGCAGATCGAAAGCAGTTCATACACCATAAGAATCGTACAACAAAGGCATTCGTACGCTCCTGACGGCTCAGTGCCTTTCGATTTCGCCGAGTCGCAACCCGCGCGGCTTTGGTAGCCCTGTTACGCACGGGGTTTGCGCGGGCCCTCACTGTTTACACTAATGTGAATTCACTACGTGTACTTTGCATAGCTACAGTTGGGGTGATGGATAACAGAGCTGGGGTGCTGAATGGTTTCCCCTGAAGAAGTTACATAGTAATAATGCCCTCCTGCAAAATAAACTCTGTGGCTACATTATTTGGATCATTGTATAGGTATGTGGTCATGATAGGTACCTATATTAACGCCTCTTAACCTTGGATTCACTTATGATGGTGATTGTTACTACACTGTGCCGACCAGTAGCTAGGTCATTATTTCTTGTGTTTTCCCTTTGCTTCGCTGCTTTGAGCAAGATGTGCTCAACCGTTGATTAATTGTGTCTGCCATCCCTTCATAACACAACTGCTCATGCTATTCGTTGCATTCAACATGGTCCTGATCCAATCTTGGGCTGAACACGTACATTGATTTGGCGTACTCCGTAGTAGCTACCACATCTGCACTCTGTATGTGTACCTAGAGAGTTTATAAGGGGGGGACTTTTTTCTGATGGTAGTAAAGTATATAGCTTGCCCTCATTTCGTTGCGCCAAGCCAATCCCCCACATGTCGAGCTGCCTTTGCTTAGCAATAAGTAGTTCGTCGTAATACTAAGTGGCATATCGCTTTGAAAGGGTAGGCCCTCGGGTATTAGTTTATGTTCAATATCGGTCATAAATTAATTAATGGTAACTGGTTTACACAAGTTCTCAGCGAATGTCAACTCATAATTTCCCACGTCTTTCAGCTTAAAGTCTGATGGGATCCTCAGTCTTTCCCCATCCTCATCCCAAAGTTTACTCTATCGAATCTATATCCATACATGTCCAAGCTCATTGGCCTCCAATAGGGACTTTGTATCTTGACGATCAAATTTAGAGGCCAATAGCTCTTCAACTACGGCCATGTGCCCTTTCATTGCCGCGATAATAAGCGGCCTGATGGCGAAGTCGGCTCCTTCAATTCTCCGTAGCTGGCGAACGACTGAATTCTGTTTCAGGCGGTGACCATTCTTTCTACTGTTGCACAGAGAAGCTCCCAAGTCCATCAACGTACTTTGCTGTATTAATATCACCAAGTTCTGCCGCATAAGACAATGCTGTTCGCCTGTAAGAATCCTCTTGATCAACTGATGCTCCCTGTTTTACTAGGCTTTTGATAACCATACTCCATCCTTTTTGAGATGCAGCAATCATGGCCTTCGTCAATTGTATGAGCTCTTGCAAAGAGAGTGCTTGCAAAAGTTCAAATAAAGAGCTCAACCCCGATGGCTAGACACATTGTTCATTAACCCTATATGGAATGAGCAAAATAGTTCTTAAACTATTTCTATAATTCTTTAGCTATTACTCATAGCTTTAGGTCAGAACGCGTTCTTCAGTTGCCATTATTGTCCTTAGTGCCGGCTAAGCTCTTGCTAGGTGTATAGAGTGCACGAGCAGCAACCCCCCGGCGACCAGTTTCCAATTCCGCAGCACAACGTTGCGTATCAAATTGGCGGCGTAGTCTACACTTGTGACTTTCTCGCTGAAGATTGCGGGCAGATGACCGTTAGTTCCTGGCAGGTGACTTTCATGACGTGCAAGAACTTGTCAAATGGTAAGTCGCAGAGGACGGCTTTCTGGATTACATTAGATGGATGGTACAACATCAACGCTGATGGGCAGCATGCATTTTGTTGCGGGGTGAAGTCATCTGGTAGAGACGACTTCAATGCTCTATTTCGCAGTAGGTGTCACACGGAACGTGAGTGCGCTCAAACCCGGAATTGCCGCTACGTGAACAATCAATAATATATATTCTGGGGTTTGACATAGGGTAGTGCTGGCTCTTCATCCAGCTGGGAGCGTACCACTGCGTCCATCAGCAAACGAGTTAACGCGTTTCACAGTACCCTGCTATTGCCTGGATTGTCAATAAGCCCGCTACAGGGTTCCATTGGCACCAGGGGTGACCCCGGTGTGTTTCATTTGGAAAGACTTTTTTCCGATTGTGTGGGCTTGCTCATTGGTGTATAAATTAGAACTTGCCGGAGAATTTCGCTGGTCAGCGAACCTCCCGCGTAAGCGTGGAACGTCGTGGGGGGGAAAAGGTTGGAATCATTTCTACAAGCTCAGTCCGTTGCTACTATAAGTGTATATAAAGGTTAATGCCGGCTTCGTGAAAGAGCGGTATCTTTCTCATCAAACCAACTTTTGCTCGGTCTAACCTTCGTTCCACTGTCATAATGCTCACCCTAAAGTCTAATAAGGCCATTGTTGCCATTACCCTTTTCTTCTCAGCTGCTTCCGCCTTGAACGCATCCTGTGCTCCCGGTGGCAATTTTGACCTCAGCAAATTCGTTCTTCAGTTGCCAAGCGGCAGCACCAACAATCCAGATCAAATATCCGCCTCACGCCTCGCGGGTTGCGGTGGCTACCAAGATCCTGGCCACCATTACTTCTTCACCGAGTCTGGCGATGGTGCCATGGTCATGAAGGCTCCTGGAGGAGGAAACTGTGCTACCTTCCCAGGTGCACCGCGCTGCCGCTCCGAATTTGGCGAGACTAATCCATGGAGCTCTAGTGCTGCAACCAACCGCCTGACGGCTGACCTCCTCGTCACCGGTGGTAGCAGCATCTGCATTGGCCAGGTGTTCCAGTCGAACTCCAACAACAAGCCTCTTGTAAGTCGTGTGAACAAACCACTATGCATCAATCATCAATTATGTTGCTAACAAATCTAGGCTGAGGTTTACTATAACGGCAATGGCCAAATCACGGTCGGTGTTGAGTTTGTTGCAACCGGGGGCCAGGGCCAGGACTTGAACAAGATTGGCACTGTCACTCCTGGCAGCCGATTCAATTATGAGCTGCGCTTTGAGAGTGGTGTGCTCTCATTCTCTCTTAACGGTGGAGCATTCAAGACCCTGAAGCAATACTTCACTACAAGCAAGGCCTTTTTCAAGATGGGCAACTATAATCAAGGTGGCGACGACTCTGATATCCATGTCTTCGGCCTAACTGTTCAGCACTAGATATGTCCCGTTCAATGAAAGAACTAGAGCTCAACTGGGTGGAAGCACAGTACTCAGCTGTCAAAGAAGTACATAGAGCATGCTGTTACGAACCATCAGCCCATCAGCACCTTCTTGTATTAATTTATACTTTTTCTAAAAGTAGTATATATATAAACTTATATATTTAGTTAGGTTATATAGTTATTGCTAGTTATAATAACTTTATCTTCTCCCTAATAGCTGCTTAGTGTTGACTTTGACTTTTCTATCCCCGTCATGCGGGAAAGCCGGGCCCGGTAAAAGAAGGCCTTGGCAGCCGCACTTGGGTTCCTTTTGCACGGATTTCCCCCACAGACGCATCTAACTTCGCATTCTGAGTATTCTGTCGACATCCATTCAATAAGCTCAGGATAGACAGCCGCTGCATTGATCTCTGGAGACTTGCGAATATGATTGCTTGACTGTCGGAACCCCGCGAGCACAGTCGAAGACCCATAGTTGACGGAAAGTCGCTCTAGAAAAGATGGATCCGAGCCGTTGTCCGTACTAGTCACCTGAATTGTCTGGGGAACAGGGCTGTTTTGGAAAGAGTGGAATATCCTCCAGGAAGGGCGAGGTGGAACATCTGTTTTCGGATTAGGAGCAAACATGGTTTTTGTCGGCTGAATCACTCCACTCTCAGTCGAGTCCATTGATTTCCTTTTTGTTCTCGGGGACTTTTGTTCCAACGTCCATTCTTTCTTTCCACGCTCTGTTTTGATATATTTTGGAAACGAGTAAAGACCGGCTGTAGCTTCGCTTCCATCAGGAGGATAAAATTCATGACGACTGGCCTGAGTATCATGTACCATCTCGAGCAGTTTTAGGCGCCCAATTACGCGAGCGATGCCTCCGTTACTATATAGCTCAAGACATCGCGACTAGTAGAAGAGCATAGTTCCGCTTCAGCTGTACCAGCTCCTTCTTGCGCTCTTCCCACAAATGCCCGGAGCGAAGGAGTTCCGCACACGCGAATGGTAGAGACAACAGCGGTGATGACTCCCAAAGATGACAATATCCTCAACAGTCAGGCATTCGCTAAGATATTGCCTCGTCGCCGACTCTCCAAAAGAGCGATCAGAGGGGCAAGATCGGTCGCGAGATTATTTGAGAAGTCATCCCACCAGCTGTTGTCCATGCTGGAATGAATGGCATATAATTGAATTAAAGCTTATCTTCTGCTAAGTCGAATATGACTGACATCGAAATCTGGTCTCTGTCAGTTTTAAAGGGCACTTGGCCTTTAATTGTTGTTCCATTGGGCCCTTTAGGTGCCGACGTACAGTAAGTAAGCCATCGTTGCTGCTGTTTTTTTTGTTTTTACAAACCATGTAAAACGTATATATGTTTGAACGAATAAAAGCTGCAGGCAACTGTAGCCCAATATGTCTTGGGGCCTAAATTAGAATAAGAAATGTTGTTAGGATGTAGTATAATGTTACCTTGCATTTTACACGTCAACTCCATTCAAATATAGTATTTTTCATCATGAAAGGTTTGCACAACTAGAAGAAGTAGATCAATAAGGCATTTCTGACATCCGAGACAAGGCTACTCACTACATTTAGTCAGATAGATGAGTGGAAGTAGATGGGTAGTTTGCTGTTAATTAGAAGAGCGAAGGATTCTCCTTCCGATACATGTTCGAAATATTACTCGCAAACCATAGTCTCCGTATCGATAGCTTATGCATCTAAGCTCAAACAATAATTGGAAGCTGACGTGGATCATACAGCCATTGAATACCCATAATGCTACCTCACCGTCACCGAACCATCATGCTATTGGCTCCATATTATGCATAAGGGTTGCATCGTCCCATAGCTGACAGCACCTTGCCCCCCTACGCTATCTTGGTGTTGCGAGAAAGAACAGCTTTCATTGGTGTCCTCAGCGGAAAAGCCTATACTAGGCTTCGATTGTTGTTAGAGAGATCTAAGTCAAATGTGACTTGAATAATGACGTTGCGCTAGCGGTGATCTCTTTAAGTATAATATTAGTCCTGGAGAAGAGCTCTCAGGTTCTTGTGTCCCCGTCTCGCAAATCAACAAATCAACATTATATACTACAGAAGTAACACCACTAGAGTATGGGCGTTATTTAAATAAAATGCGAGAATTGTGAGTCGCAATCACCTGCAATTGGCATGTTAGGACAGGGTATCACAAGAAGAGTGATGTAGGATCAAGTGGCGCAAATGCGATCTTGTTGATAGATAGCAGCTAGTAGATCTTATAAAAAGACTATATTTATCTCTATCCTTCTTTCATTCATCTGGGACTTTACTCCTTTGTATTCATTCTTTGTGGCAACTAGATTCCAACCAGTTGCGGCACAGCTTCTTTGTTTCTGGCATCTGACATGGTATCAAAACCCTAAAGTTAAGATTACACTGGTTTGGCACACTTAATGATTCCCATAGGTGACGCTCACTCTCAATAGTAATTCAACAAGCTGGCATCAACTGCCACAATTCTAGCCGAAGTGGTCGGATCTGAAATGTTTCTTCCCGTGGAGACATAGAACGTATTAGTATCCAAAATACCTCTTCCAAAGGCTAAGCATGTTGAATCAGGCATTAAAGGATCAGTCGGCCCTCCAATTATGCGTTTGCTTCTGCCGGTTCTAACATCGACATGAACGATTGCGTTCTCAGGGCTGTTCGTGGCGAGAAGAATATTGCCCTGCGGGTCAAATATAAAGTCATCAAGCCCAGGCGCCACAGATGAAATGTTTGCAACCAGAGAGGGTTGAGCTCCCTTGACAAGATATCCTTTAGAATCAACCTTGACCTTGTAGATTGATTGAGTCGACGGATTTCCATAATATAGATAAGACCCTTTCATTCGCATAGCGCTTATACCAATTGGTAGTTTTGCACCCTTGGGAACAGCCATGTCGTCAAATGCAAAAGCCCTGGGGTCGTATTGGCCAGTCAAGAGATCTAAGCGGCCAATGGCTCCAACAAACGAATCGGCGACAAGCACAGACCCAGGGGCCTGTGGAATAGCAGTGACGCTATTTGGAAATGACGAAAATGGTGCGAGATCACTGACTTTCTGAACAGTGGGGTTGCCATTTCGAGGAAAGGTGAGTTTAAAGCCTTTGAAAGAACCAACAGTTGTAGAGAAAGTTGTCAGACTTGTGAAGTTGCCACCAACGAAGAAGAAGGCCTCTTCATCGTAAGATCCGGGCACTTCGGTTATGCCGAGGAGACTGTTGACTTCCGGAACAGAGGCGAGAATCTTGGCCGTGTTATGTGCATGTACGGATGGTTGAGTGACTGTGAAGATATTTGACGAGTAGAAGAGGCTTGTGGCAAGAATATCGCCATTACGGCGGACGGCAATGCTCTCTAACCAGGTTTTCTCAGGAAGTTGAGTTAGCACTCGTGCTGCAGAAGATCCAAATGGATCAATAGGGCCGCCTAATGCCGAGCCACCAATGGCTATCGTGAATGTGAGGAATTTGAGAAACATGGTTCAGCCTGTAGTAGCTGTGTTGAGATGAGAAGTGGCTCACTAGAGAATGGCATAAGAATGCTGATGAGGCACATGTACTATAACGGGAAAACCTATGATGCTCTTATACTCTTACAATCCTCTTGCACCATCAGCCAGCTCTATACTGCTTACATTCCGGTAGATGACAAACTGACTTGTAATGCTGATGAATTCTTATAGATCAGCTATATGATGCCTCGGAATGAAATCAACGCTAGGCATCATTATGTGGCAGTAGCGTCGACTCTGTTATATCTAACGGCACGTATTATACCTGGTCTTCGTTTCGACAAGGATTACCTACAAGTGGCCGACGGCGGCCGCAATCGGCCGCTCCTTGCGCTGGAACTAAGAATAGCTGCAGCGAGATTTATAAGCAAGATGGAGTGCATACTTGTATGTACTTCGACCTTCTCATCTAAGGGCCTCATGGAAGGCTGAGATGAGAAGAATCCATTAGCAGTTATGGCATGGCGGCTCCTGGGATACCAATTCGTTTCGTGGGCCTTTGACCTACCAAGAACCTGAGACTGCCACTCAGGGGACGTACACTAATGTCGTTGATGTCTTGAGCCTGCCTTTATTCTTTCTGGCTACACTTGATGGCTGCATATGGCTTGTTCCGCTTTCTGGCCTCGAACACTACCCAACTACAATGTTAAACCGCCTTTCATGCGCCTGAAGACTCGGATATCCGATAGCTTGGCGACTTGTCTAAGCGCTAAGGTATTATGGGATCCTTCCCATTGGCCTAGCGCTGAAAGCATTTTGGCGGCTGCAGTTTGGGAGTAGATTTTAAGGTCGGCCTTTATTAATGCCTGAACCCGAGACTGGGGAATCTGATGCTAGACGCTCAACTTGAATTGTTAAGCTTAAACAGTGATATATCTGATGCTGATGATTTGGCTCGGCGGACAAGCACTTATGTGTATGTGCCCCCTTTGTTAGCTGTAAAAACATAAGTAAAGATGTAGTGTCTCTATATAAACTAGATGAAGCCATCACCAAGCACATACGACCACAGACAGTGGAAAATTCGGGGTCCCATCAAGTTCCACAATGCATTCACACTCCCTCTGAGATACGCCTGCCAAAGCCAACATCGAGCTGTTAGTATTTGAACTTGATTGCGGTCGAAAATCCTTAATACTGTGCGGTAGCGCTACAGCTGGCAGTAAGTGGCAGTGATGCGATGGAGAGTACATGTAGCAAGCAAGATAAAGGGAATTGTCTCTCCAAACCCTGCCACAGCCGTAACGCCATTGTAACGCCGGGCAGGAACTGAGCAAACGCATAACCAACAACCAACGCATTTGATAAAGCTCTTGCCCAATAACAAAAGAGAACACGCTACAGGAACAGCCATTTAGCCAATCTAGTAAGCCAGCTGTAGAAAAGAGTCGACTGCAACGGGCTAAGTCTTGATTATGAGGATAATCGCTATTCTAGTTACGTATACGTAGCTATATTGGAAAAGGCTTCCGCTTGATTAAGAAAGGTGCAAAACTAATCCTGCTTTTAAAGTTGTATTGCGCTCTTCCACAGAATACAAGGGCATCACGCATTTAGAGACAGAACGAGGAGATCTTGTTCTAGATAGTTGATACTGTACATTGCGTCTCTTACTTGTACCAAATGGGACGTCCCGGTGAATTTATTGTACTATATCATTTGAAAGCTTGAACGATCCTCTTCAACCCTTCATCTAGTACATATTGAGGATGTGCAATAACTACTCGGAACCACCCAGGCTGCTCGCTTCTGTAGCTAGTTCCTGAGGTAAGATATACCTTTTCCTTTCGTAGCATCGTTAAGATGTCGTCTTCCGCCAACGATGTGCCTTGTACCACTTCTGTCAAGTTTACCATCAGGAATAGTGTAGCATTTGATTCTTTGTAGGGAATCCCATGCTTTCGAAAGAACTGCGTCGCGCGAGCATAACTTTTCGCCAACCGTGACTGATAGGATGAGACGTATTGTTGGATATATGCTTCATCTGCTAAAAGAGATGCGATGACACCATCAGCAAGGCTTGATGGGAAGTTGAAGAGCCTGCGTAACTGTTATTTCATAATCCGTGGTGGTGTAGCTCTCAATACATACGAGAAGCTCTCAAGAGATTTTAGGAATGATTCATTGACTTGGCTGACCAAACATCCAATCCGCAAGCCCGTGGCACCAAAATCCTGTGCATAAGTGTTAGTCGACGACAAATGAAGAAAATAGGAGCCGCATACTTTGCTTAATCCCCACAGCATATGAACCTTCCTCTGGTCTATGAGACCTTGGGTATTTATCGACAATATTGACGTAAATGGCACAGGGTCCGGCATTTTTGGGTTTTCGAATACAGACAGTGCGTATATCTCGTCACTGATAAGATGCAACCCCAATTTATCACAGAGGCGCATGTAAGCCTTGAGTACCTCTTTGGAATAACAACGACCTTGAATACAATTAGTCCTAGTCTCCCTTGATAGATTCAGCTTTTGTAACGACCTAGCGGATTATGTGGAGAGCATAGAAGTATAGCTTTGACCCTTGCGGATTCCTGCTTCGCTCGAATGTACTCTTTCTCGTATTCTTGGACACCCTCTAGGCTGAATGGATCGACAGGACCAAACGAGACTTGGCGAATGTTGACCCTGGCAGTGTTACTCTTGGGTACATCACATCTGGCACAAGGTTCGATACGCATACCCAGCTCGGATCTTGAATATGTAGTCAAAAGCAGACCAATAAGGACGACCAACAAGCACGCAATCATCCTGATCGCACAGAGACCACGCACAACACTCCAGAGCGTTGCCTACCCCAGGCGTAGCCAGAAGGTGCGCGGGAACAAGGGGTGTGAAGGGTTTCAATTGCTGGTTCAAGAATTGACATAGAGATTGCTTCAATTGCTTTGAACCAGTAAACCCATCACCGTAAGTCAAGGCATGGGGGGTGGCATGAAGCTGTTCACGTCAGCAGGTGGACTGCACTGCAGCATCTAAACGGCTCATACCTTGGAGTTTATAAACTCAGTGAGTTCTGTATGCATCAATGCCTATGATCATTAGCATAATTAAAATTTTGGTGGCATGATTTCTGCTTACATTCTCCGCGAGTCCCAGGTTGACTATGCCGCCAGGGTTCGTTATAGGATGCCATAAGTCGTCGAGAACGTCGAAGAACTTGGGGGCTTGTGGCAAGTAGGCCACAGCCCGAGACGAGATACAGCTCTCCAAAGACATGATGATACCAACACTGGAGCCTACAATGACTGCCAAGAACGAACTGGATTTATACTCGATTTTTTGACTCCAAACGATGTTCTGATGGCGTTGTTTCAATCCTGAGGTGTCGGAGGCGGAGATTTCGGAGATATATCTGGGGTGTGATTGGCTCACTACCTTATGCCAGCAACTTGAGAATAAAAGATAACCTAAGTTGTATCGTTCTTCCGCCAAAGAAGCCGAGCTAAAATCTTAGGCGCAATGTACATGTTTTTCTGCCCACACACAAAGCTGTGACTATAGCAATACCTAGGTATACAATAGACAGGTTAATCTGGGTTTTGTTCGGTCAAGATTGTTGACCTCGAATCAACTGGCTCAAGATTGCGATACATGGCCTTTTGTGGAGTATTCCGCGCAAACTGAAGTACTACTGTTTATCCACTGGTCTAAAGTAAGCCGATCACAACGCTAACATTTGATCTCCGAAGGATTTCAATTTAGTCCGAGGAGAATAATTTCCATCTACAGTGCTCCAAGCGGCCATACCTCGAAACTTAATGACTTCAGCTAGATGGTGGCACTGTAACAGGAGGATTGATGGGGGATGTTGCTACTGCTGTGTGGTACATGATGATGCATTTTCGGTGGCCAACTCTGGTCGACTAGACTCCGTATCAACCGTAGCCTGGTACCATCCTCGTGCAAACGCTCTTTCTTTGCATTGGGTTTACACACCAGACCGAAGGTTAAGAAATTGACTACAATGGAAAAAGAAGGGCCTGATGGGTGTCCTGGATCAGGCTTCAGCAGAAGTATATCTCAATCACCCGTTAGCCGATCGAATGGCTCAATTGCTTCCCCCAAATACCCCGCCAGACTATCTAGATGCCGGCATAGGTCCTGAAGGGCTGTCTCATAGGATGGCTCTGTGTCTTTGGATGCTTCATGGGCCTCATCGCCAGTCTGAGCCTGGTGAACTCACTTGGCTCATTCCACGCCTATCTCGAGGCCTATCCGTTGCGCGACTATAGCTCCGGCACGATCGGTTGGACCTTCAGCAAATATACCTTTCTAACAATCCTCTGCGGCATTGTTGTCGGTCCCTTTTTTGATTGTAGGTCCTTCTTTGGGCGAGTGTTGTCTGGCTATTTTGCGGACCGATTGGGCAGCTTTAACGCCTTGATCGTTACCATTAGTTTGTCTTCTCTCGAATATCTGTCTTTGACTGCCCGCAGGACGTAGTGTGCCACTGCTGGTCACTTACAGCTGTGTGATTGGCTTTGCGAGCGGCAGTGGTATCAGCCTTACACCTGTTTGCATCGGCAGCTGTGCGCAACAGAGCATTATGGGAGATGTTATGCACAACACAAAGCGCTGTCCAGGTATGTACTAACACGTGTTTCTTTCAGAACCCTGACAAGAATTCCAATTGCAGGAGAGATTTTATCTCGCTGCAATGGGGACTACTGGGGCCTGATAATGCTACGGAGCTGGATTTTTATGCGTGATCGCGGTCAAAGTAATGCAGTGTGGACGGCGCCATCCTGATGATTCACTATCCTCACCCGCTGGTTCATGTCAATTGATTCAGGGATGCGTCGTAAACTTATAGATCATGTGGGTGCTTGACCGGCAGTCGAATCCAAAATTCCCTCCCACAACGTCTGTTCAAGTCAGCCATAATTCACAAGGTAAAGAAACGCCGCCAACCCAACGCATAATTTTTCTTACCCAGTTTTCAGACTCAGGGTTCAACCAGTCCATATCAGGCCAGTCCTCAGTTAGGGCATCAATGGGATCTCCAAGGCTACGTTTCTCAAAATGCTCAGTCAAGTACGTGCTAGAGGAGGTCAGCTCAAGGGTCGTCGTGAAATGTCACCAGTATATAATATGTTGCTTACTGCAGATGGCGAAGTATTGGGTATGCCCTTGTACACACGGGGCTACAGTTTTGTAGCGTTTCCATGCGCGAGACGGCAGCTTCAAGACTTTGGCGGTAAGCGGTTGCGTCGAGGCCATCTGGCAGATCGAAGAGACAAGATGCCAAAGCCACGGCTCCCTGGAGGGCGTTGAAGCTCGTCATTCCGTAGACCAGCCACCTGTAGGAGCGTAATCGAGGAAGCTGGCAGAACTGCCTGTGAATGTCTAGCAGGCCTGAGCTGGACTTGAGATATATATCCCTCGACGTGGGCCGAAAGTGAGGGGACCGAGACCTATAAAACGGCCGATGTATCAAAAGAAACAACTGATAAGCATAGGTTTGCAAGATGCACCAATGTGCGTAGCTGGCAGTATCAAGGACACTTGGGGCTCCGTCAACCAGGTAAACCTTGTCCCACTCTTGCTGTTCCCCGGTGATTGCACCATCGAACTGACCCAAAGTACTCTCATCAAGTTGCTTAGTTTCTGATAGTTTGCTACATATTCGAGTTGTAAGTTGGAAAAGACGGATTTTGAACTTCATGAGCGACATTTCACTGGATTGGCTTGACACCGGTAGGATTATGTCGCCCCGTGTGTCCAAATCATCGGCTTCCGTTGGCATGGTTGCCTTGATGTTGAGAAGGAAGGACATATCAATGTCCCGAAACACGATGCCTTGGTATGTGTGGAGCATCAAAATCCCAGCCCAGCAGCGCCGACGCCTCTCCGTCTCGATGCCGCCCAGGCTCTTTGAGTCTGCATTGCATCGCATGGCAATGCCAATGTTCAGTGCCATCCCCAACAAGGTCCAGCCACGCTCCACGCCCTCGTTGTGGCAGATGGCATAGATCAAAACCAGCAGGGCCTCGAGGGTATTCAGATCATGATGAACCAAGAATTGGTCTTGGGAAAGACAGGTGAGTGCAAAGCCCCTGAGTTCGCGGGACATGCCCACCATGTCAAGGGCTCGGCAGTCTTCTTGGTTCGACCTCAGGGCTGCCAGAGCGGAATCATCTGGCTCCGTCGTGTTGAGAGCCAAGGAACAAACGACAAAAAGCAAAGCCAGCCAGGAAAGAGAAGCCTTTGTAGGAGCTCGTAGAAAGTCTGAGTACTGTCGCTGAAAGGTGGGTCCGTGGATAATGGGAAATAGAGGAGCAAGGTGTATGAAGTACTTGGATACGAGATAGTCGCAGCAGTCGGTCGGTGGGAGAGCCCCCACGAGTATCTCGGCCGAGACGGCTGGCCCGAAGGTGAGAGGAAAGGGTGAGCCGTTCTGGCCAAACGTGAAGTCGTAGCGGCTAGGGGCGGGCCGTTCAAGCATGTTGTTCCAACGGACGACTGTAGACTCTTCACTTTCCGCGACAAGGGGCGGTCTTAATAGCCCCTCGGTGCTTCCATTGAGGTGGCTGGTCGACGCCACTGAGAATGGACTCGTTTGTGAGTCGGTAAAACCTGGAGCAGGCGCGTTGCCTCGGCACCCACGGTATATACATGATGACATGCAACTTCGTCGTTGGCAGTTGTCGCAAGGGTGTTGGCGGTTGCAGCGCAGCTTAGATGCCCTGCAAGGCTCGCAGCTCAGCGTTACCCGCAATCGCCGTTGGCGACGTGTTACTTTCGGGGCAGGTTTTCTCAAATGCCCGCGCACCTCCCCGGCCGAGACCTGATCGGACCGTGGCTGCTCCATGGAAGACGGTTTGTGGCTGTTGCAAGAACGCCGATGGGTTTCGGCCAAAGAGCCTCTCTCGAGATGAACTCGGGTCGGACTTTGATGTTTTCTCGGCGATATTGGAGAAAATCATCTCGGCAATGTGGACCGGAGTTAACATTCCCTCGGAGAAACCTTATTCTATCTGATGCCAGGTGCCCCACCTAGATTGCCATGGAAGCTCACACAGCAACACACATGGCGTTGATGATTTGACTCAGCAAATGAAGCGCTCATATGTATGTGGCCCCTTCGTCAGCCGTACAACAATGACTAAAGGTTTAGAGGCTTTGCATTCTAAATGTCTGTGTACTCTGTGTTGGTACAGGCAAAAGGACCTCTCTATACATACCTAGGCACATGCTGTTTGTCAGTTCCATGGGTAGATAGAGTGTCAGTTTACGGTAGTTCAAGAGGATGGCCCCTGGCTGTTGACGAAATATAAGTTGAATGAAGCCATCACCAAGTACATATGACCATAGGTAGTGGAAGATTTGGGGTGCCGCCAAGCTCTGTTCTTGTGGATGTCTTCCCATTTTTCGCATTCCAAGACTCTAAATCTGGAGCTGTATGATTTAGTTCTCCACCCCAATTTTGAACGGAACCAAGACGACCATGTCTCAAATTCACAAACCTTGGTGCACGCATTTTAGGAGGAGTTCCGCTTTCGGTGAGTCTCACAGCGCTTGCTTATGCTTCTTTAACCAGGACACAGTCCAATAGACTGACTTATAGCACTGAGTTCACATAACAATATGAAGGAGGAAATAGGACAGGAATGAAAGGGCTTGTCAAAACATACAGTCTACAGTAGTCCAAATGTAAATAGGTGTGCACCAACTTTCTATATGACCGGGGACTGGAAGTGTCAGCGTTATCTGAGGCTTCATTCATGGGGAACTTCCAATTTCTGCTTGATGGAAAAGAACATCCATTAAGTTGCAGCTTCATACTCAATCAATGATTGTATGACCAAGATAACAATGTGAGAATGGACTTCTCTTATGCAGAACCTTCTTGCAATTTCCCAGGTGAAAGGGGAGAATACGAGAATATGCACACCTTTTGCTCTAGCGATTCTCTCAGACAATATGCTCTGGTAATAATCACTCCTAGCAAAGCCAGAACCGTTGAACGGCAGTTGGCTCAGCTTGGATTTTTTTCTCTTTTTTCAAAATTAGTCACTTCTTCAGGAAGATGATTCAATCTTGGCGGCACTGTTGATCGGCGTAGAGGTAAGGCGCTTGGGATGGTCGAAGCACATTATGGAACAAACCGTCGTACTGATGCTACAATCGTGGTTCAAAAACCTGCGAAGGGTTTACTAGGCTTGTACAAGATTTACGAAGCACAGTAATAGCTAAATAATTAGACAAGTCCCAACTAGCAAACAGCTGTACCAAATATTGATAGGTGGAGAAATTGAACAAAGACGCTTGGCCAGACTCTGTTTGTCACACTGCTTACGAAGTATGTTCGTATTGGTATAGCCTGTGTGACTGGTCAGTATGGTTCACGTAATTCATATAGGAAATGAGTAATCATGTAGGAAGTAAATAATTAATGAGGCAGCTAAGTGTTCTTTCGCAGTTAATTAACCGACGGAAGCTGCACTGCATGTTTCTCAGCAAGCTCTCGTTCTGATAGATTTGGTGAAGCTGATAATCGTCTCACATCCAGGTAGAAGATACGAAGAGGCTCATAATTATATACTACACGACTACAGCTTTCAATCGGGAGAGGAACACAACTACCCGTTGTGATATCCGGTCTTGGACGCTAGATGTTGTCATGCCGGACTATTATTAACTGTAGTAATGCATATACATCTTACATTGAATATCGTAAACCGGGAGAAGATGCCATTTTTTGTCATTCTTTCGAAGAAACCGAACAAAATGGTGGGCAATTGGTCACACTTCTAGTCAATTGCTGACTAAACTGACTTCTCTATGAGCCTAATTGTGCTAGAGCGTGATGCAATGTGATGTATCAATGTGATTCGCGGACAAGTTCTTTGAATGGCAAAAGGACTACCACAAGGAGAAAAACGGCCATGACTAGAGTATTTTCTGGGTTCCTCCGGGAATAGAATACCTAGTCAGGGTGGTTTGAAGATTGAAAAAGTCGAATGAGCAAAATGAACGTCAATAACTGGTGAATTTGTAGGAAACGAGAAGAGCATTGAAAACTATATAAATCAAGCCAGGCTCTTGCTTTCTCATTGAATCTTCTTTTCCACAACAATTGTTTGATACGCATTCAATTTGATCTCTCAAAGCTGCTGGAAAAAGCGGCAATTTCATCGACAACCAATATACATCTACTCTTCCATTTACTTTCAATATGTTGACAACCAAGGCTTACCTTTGTCTCTCTACCTTTCTTTTGCAGCTAGGGCTTGCTGCTGCTCAACCGCTTGAAGCAAGACAATCGGGCCACGGCTGCCCCGAAGTTGGATCGGTGCTTGTGGAGGTCCCATCGGGAAACGTGATGGTGACATTCATTGAACCCAAATGGCAACTACGATGAAGGATCTGCCAACGCCGCATGTGGTTCAGCCATACAGCAAATTGGGACAGATCCTTATGCAGTACAAGTAACAACTAATGGCGTGGTCTGTCTTGAAACAGGAGCAAGTAGTGGTGCGACTCCTAAACCCAGTGAAGAGGAACTGCAAGAAATAGCAACGAGCATCACTCAAGCTTTGATCACCTGTGAGGGCAAGATGATTGAGGTTGAAGTTGTGAATAGTGGCGGTGTTGCTACTTCTGGCGAAACGGTAACAATTAACACCGAGTAGTTGTGCCGGGTGGACTTGTAATGAAGGAATAGCTATAGCATGAGAGGAGGAACGTGGCATTGATAGTATTTCAACAATAATTAATCATGGCTAGCCAATTGAATTTATGAATTTGTCGCCGAATGCCCGATATAAATGAGATGTCTATATTATTGTAACGCTGGCATATAATAGTCATAAAGTCTATAAGAGTATGACACAAGTGGTTGTTGCGTTTGTAAGGTGGGCCGAAATTGACGTCAATCTTGACTAATAACGAGAAGAGTGCAAGGGCAAGCCGTGAGTAGGCACAGGCAAGACTGCACGAATGACTTTGTTAGACAACTCAGGACGGTTGTCGTGACAGTGAAGCTCTGCTTACAAGGTTAGTTGGCTTGAGTGTGGCAAGTCGAACTAGAATATGAGTATGTTCTTTTAAAACGGGGTGTAACGAATGATATATCCACTGACGGCGACTTGGACCACTTTTATCTTATGAAACACCGCCTCATGGACACCAAATGCATTGAGTGTGTAAAGTATTACTTGCTGATGGAAACGGGGGAAGGGTTGGTAGCTCGTTCACAGGTCTTCCTTATCAGAGGCCTGGCAAATTGTATACCTAGTGGCTGAGCCATGCTGCCTCATGTGGCTGCTGTGCGAGGATTGTAGGTTTAATTTGAATATGAAGGGAATTGTAAGCCTAATAGAAATGAGAGGCTCAATTGGTTCTAGAAGAATATCAGTCTTCACGAGAAAGTTGTCCACCACCGTCTGTTGTATGTTCTTTTTTGCTCTTTCGTATGGTTCCCTGATTGGTGTCTATATAAGGAGATTCAGCACTGAATTTAGCACATACGACCATAGGTAGTGGAGAATTCGGGGTCCCGTCTGCTCCCCCATAGACAAGCCACTAACCGGCAGATTAGTAGTTGAGTGGGTGACCATCAGCGAACACCGGCTGTTGTATGTTTTTTTTCGTTTTGTCTTTGGAATTATATTCTTCTTCTGCGCAGTGGAAGACGAACTGGGCGCGGCGGTTTGATTTGCTGACGACTTATATGCAGAGTCCATTTCTAGTTAGGATGTGCCTGAATACCCCTGTTGGCTAATATGTACTGTGAAAAATACTGTGACAAGGTAGATAAAGCTAGAAGAGAAATAGCAGCAGGTTGTAACATAATAACATAGACAGTAGGGATGGTAGACTCTGTTTAGTTTTGTTGGTTTATCTTTAGAACTAGGGACTTGGCTCATCTTCTACGCTTTCGTATAACGCATCCTCTTGCGGCGACCTCTTAATCTTCTAGTGCACTTGCATCACAATGTAAATCAAGCGCAACATGCCATGTGTCTTATACTATATAATAAATAAAATGCTCCGTGGGACACGTCAAATTCTTGACTTGATAGAAACGCCAATACTACATCCGCTATATCGAATAAACAAAAGGGTATCATCCTGCTAAATGTATAAGTCAGACAATAATTTCCATGACGCCGACGCTTTCCCAGGCGTAGCCGTAAACCAAGACCGAAAAAACACACATCTCAAGGAAATCTCATTCTTGAGCCCTCCAAAGACTACGCCGCTGCATCCGGCCCTGCCAGAATAACGACCATGTCTTCAAAACCAGCCTTGTCATGAATGCAAAGTCTACGTTCAACTCTCAAACTGCGCCGCTGCCTCCGACCCTGTCAGATTAACGACCATGTTTGAATAGAAGACGCAGATTGAATCGCGGAGCGCTAGCTGGTAGTCGGTGTATACTGCAGGAAAAAGCTGCCCGCTGCCCCCAGCCCTGCCAGGTTGACGGGTATGCCTCCTCAGTCCGACTGGTGCTCAAGTTTATAAAATTCCCCTAAGATATGTGAGCATGACTTTCACCCTGAGGATGATGTCATCAAGCAAGCTTTGCCGTTGTCACCCAAAAACCACAGCTGAGAGCCCGCAGCTCTCCTAGATGATCGTCGTGACTGAACGGGCTCTTCAATTATCGACGTAGTCTTCGGCTTCCGACCACGAGGCTGGCGCTTGTCGCCTTTATCTACACTCCCTCCCTCCAGCTTCCTCTTGTTTTTTTTGCGTGTCTGGCGCTGTGAGATCGGCTTTCCTGCACTGCGTTTCATGTTGCTACGTTGACGCGAGACTTGAGCTTTGGTAGTTGCAGATGAAGAGGCAGGCGAAGTGGAGGGTGAAGTGGTGGAAGAAACATTTGATGCTTCTGAAATGACAGAAGCTGGCGAATTTGATGAGATCGATAATGGTTCGGAAGCACTGATGGGCGTGATTTCGAGTTGACCACCCCCAGCTGCATCTGTCTCTTCATCATCGGAAAGCTCTGGGCTTAGTAGCGGCTCCTGGCTTCGACTTCGGTACATCGAGCCAGCATCTTGTTGAGGCTGTGTTCCAACTGGTTCTTCTAGTTCTGGCTCCATCCCCGGATGGTGCCAGCATTTTCGGCCAACGACTTGGTGATACTTTCCGCATGGGCAAAGTAAGTAGCCGTGCATCGCTAATGTAGCTTGTTTCCGGAACTCGCGTGCTTTCGCAGTTAGCTCCTTTGTGTAGTGTTCATCTTCGTAATAAATATGTGCTTCTGACTGTGGGTCGTCAAAAGCGCTCGGCCATGGTACAAAATCTGGATCATCTTCCAGATCTGGCCATAGCTCAAAGCCTGGCTGGTGTGAATGTTTCGTTTCGCTGGCTGGGCTCTGTGTCCTGGCTCGTTTCGCGCTGGTGCCTGGGCCCGACTCTTCTAATGAGCCATCGGTAGAAACACTATCTGTTCTCTTGCGTTTTTCGCGTCGTGAGGGGGTTGGAGGTGATGGTGTTGATGCTGATAATAAGGATGTTCCATCGCCGCTGGATATCTCAAGGGTCGGGGTATCGGTCGGCAGGTCCAGCTTGGCCTTCTTGCGCGGCGAAGAAGGACTCGTGGTAGATTTTCGCTTGGCCATATTTGCAACAAGCAAAGTAATGGAATAGCGCGATCAAAGCTCTGTGGTTTTGTTGCGATTGAGAATGAGCGGAATGTCATCCGGAGCTAGGTGGAATGAGGTTGTTCAAAGTCACGTGATGTCGCGTCAGCAACGAGATGCGGCTCAATATGGAGACGCGACAGGCAAAGCCGCCCGTCATCGTGATAACCTCCTAGCGTAGGCTATTACTACTGTTATAGCTACGGGCTAGTACTGTTGACTGCTACTGTTACTGTTGCTACTGCTGCTTCTATCGCTTCCATCGCTACTATCGCCACTATCGCCACTGTTGCTCCTATTGCTCCTATTGCTCCTATTGCTACTATTGCTACTGCTGCTACTACTGCTACTGTTGCTACCAGAGGCCGCTTCATCATCGCTGACTTTACCGAATTGCTACGCATCTCATGAGCAAGCGCCATGGCGGCTGCTCCAATCCCTACGCCACGTGAAATTCCATTTGCCACCTTCACAGCTGCAAACGACGCAGCCGTTCTGCTGCTCGAGCTCATCCAGGCTAAAGCGTCACCGCCAACTCTCATCAGCAGCGGAAACACCATCGGCTATCACATATCACTACCTCTATCGTCTGATAGCTCTAGCTCTAGCTTAGAGGACAATGGCTCTGATTCAGCCTCCGATTCCCAAGCCAACTCAGACTCTTTAAACCTTGTGCGATGGAAAATTGGCGCTGGTGCATCTCCAACATTGGCTGATAAAGGCCTGGGTTACACCAATCCAGACATTCTTCTCTGCGCTCCGGGCGACACGCCGGCTTCTCACAGAATTCGCAACTACATCAAAGACTTCCACGCATACATCACCTTCCATCCGACTTCAGGCGTACTCAGGCTTATGACAGTCTGCGATCGACCAGTCATCTACGAGCAAGGCGATATGCACGACAATGACCTGACCCTCCGCTTAGATGAATGGGGCAAAGCAATGACTTGTGTCCTGCGGAGAGAGCGAAATTATCTTCGTTTTGGTCCTTACCGATTTCTGTTTAATTTCGTCACTCAGACCCGACAGAATTTCGATAGTTTTACTGCTCATATGAACGAGGTTATCAAGAGCGACTTCCACGGACTTAATCCCTCACGCCTTTTCAACTTTATCCCAATGCCAAGTCCATATCACGAGACTTCATGGAATATTTGGTTTCATCACAAGATCCCTACCACCAACGTCATCACTGGTGTCGACATTCATACAGGACAGCCGGTTGCTGTCAAGAAGTTGTTGAACAAAGAGGCGTCCAAGATACGCCAGCATGTTGTCGAACGCCTGAAGACGGCCCTTCAGAGTCGAGACGCACAGGACAATGGGATTCTTGGAATCATCGATATCTGGTGTTCTCATCAGACCTCTCCTCCATGCCTTTTTGATGCGTCCAACACCGAGATGCTCGATGAGTGCCGACACACCTTCTATTCCATGCCGCTCGCCAGATACAGTTTTCTGGATCTTCCTTGGACCAAGTTGGAACACGATACACGTCTTGCATACTTTCATCAGACATTATTGGGTCTCTCTGCGCTGCATGAACAAGGCCTTGTCCACGGTAATATTCGGCCTAGTTCACTGCTTGTATTGGCCAACACAACACACAAATCGTATACGACTACGACAGCTCTTTCAACCAAAAAGGCCGTCTTGTCACTCTCTATGAGCCAAACGGAGAGAAAGCCGTATGATACAACTCTCATATGTATCGCGCCTGAGACCTGGGAGAAGAGAAATAGTAGATCAACAACAGACCTAGATGAGACCAAACTCGACATTTGGGCCTTGGCTACCTCGTGGCTTTACACCTTTATGCGACCGCCGGATAATTTTAAGATTGTAACAGAGCGCGACTATTTACTGATGCAAGGGCAACTGCAGTTTCGGATAAAACGGCTTTCATCTTTAGGGCCTTTTGCCCCTCTTTTGAACCAAATGCTTGCTTGGGAACCAGAGCAGCGGCCAAGTGCAGCCGAAGCTCTTGCAAGCACCGCCTGGCAGCCTTTATGGGATGAGAAACGAAGGAGGGAAGATAAAATGAAGCAGAAGCGGAAGGCCAAGGCGCAATCTGATGGAATCAAAAGAGTCAGAGTGCTCTCACCCGATACAGAAGATTATAAGACCATTGAGCCAGACTCGAAACAGGATTGAACAAGCCGCAAGACTATGCAAGAAACCGAAACGACCATCAAGTGGAATGGTGAAGGCATGGAAATTTCGCCAAAACGACCCTAAGCCTTGGCATCGATGACGAAGAAAAGAAACTGAGGTCAGAAGAATTGGGCAGCTCTGATGAATCCAGCCCTGATTGCAATGGGTCGAATAAACGCCAATGTACACCCTCGCACTACCACTTTGGTGCAGTTCCAAACCACTCTAAACCACTCTGGCTGCCCTCCGGGACGGGGTTAGTAAAAAGTCCCTCGATCTCTTGCTGCAAGCTTTTGCTCAGCAATATTAGGTATCCGAAGACGGTGACCGTGGAAGAGTTGTCTTTGGTAGTCTCTCACTGCTTGTGTTTCAAATCCTCTCTCGTCATGCGGCAGCAGTGACAGCCTTGACTTTCGAATTCTCATGGTTGAGCCGGAGAAATGAGACGAGCGACACTGACGCACCATTGGCAATTAACGGAAGCTTACAGTGTCAGTCTTCAGAGCCATTGATCATCAGAGCCAGGTCATTTGATAATATGGTATTGCGCCCTGTCGACTTGACTTGTTCGACCACCTGACATAACCAAGATTGGAACACGGCGCAATCATCTGCAAATGCAAAGACAAGTGCGGAGTCTGCTTCTATTGGATCGGCTTGCTCCTGAGCAGGCTTAAGCAGATGAAGATTCTCTATCAGCTTAACTACGTCTCTTGTCGTTCAGTCGTAGGTTTGGGATGTAATTCGCAATCCTGCATGACTTTGTCGAGATATTCATCTATATCTCCCATCTCGTGAGGTGTTTGGACAAGTGAAATGTGGGTGTATATATGGAGTTGTTATTCCACACCGCACTTCACGCATTTATGGAAGATGTCCTCTTTGGAGGACTAGATTTGCACTGTCTCGTTGTCCGTGATCCAATGTGTTCATTCACCGACTCTGGACCAAACAGAGCGTTGAATGGCTTACCCACGCTTCAGGTAGCTACTTCTTCTATGATCGGTCTAGGTGAACTCTTATCCATAACATCCTCTTTCCATGACGATTATGGCGTCGTTGGCCTGTGCAGCCCACTAGTGGACCAAGGATTTGTGCCACTGGTCAGGGTCTTAGGATTTGGCAGTGAAATCTTGTGAAGCAAAGTGGCATTCGGTTCCTTGATTTCCTTTAGTGCATCGAGAATGCCTGCCCGCTCGGCCTCGAGTTCCTGGCATTGTTTCCCAATGAACAAGCTGGCTGGGGTCCAAGCTAAATTAGAAGCTGAATACGTGATTATAATCTTGCCGGCAATAGGACAACGGCGGACTCAAACGGAACGGCAAGAGCTGCGTTGTAGCGGGTCTTACGGCAGGGAGAAACAAGACATAAGCTATTGAAGCGGGGGAACCGCCGCACGGCAAGGCGCGGCACGGCACGGTTAAAGGCAATGAGAAACGCGGTGAGAAGATGAGACGTTGAAGGGATCCTAGTTTGACATAGGCGTCAGAATCTAGGTTGTGCCATCAATAAGCTGGTATCATGCCCATCTTTCATCAATCTAATTGATTCGAGCTGATTTTACAATTGCTGCCAACATCACTTTGATTGGATTATAACTTGCTCTCTTTCATCCTGAATAGAGCATACAAGATATCATTCATATACAGTGATGATGGCCTCTACTTATATTGTATTTCGCTTATAAGTGCGCAGACGTGCTGTCAAACGGCTTCTGCGCATACGTAACATGGCTTTCATAGCTTGCTGTTAGCCATCTTCAACAGGCACTTGAGCCACACGAAATACTAACAGACTTACAGTGGAAAGGCTAAGCGAATCTGCGGATTGTGAATATCCCTCTTTGCACGCTCCTTCAGATCTTCGGCCTCTGTGTTGGACAAACCCGCTAAGGTCAGGAATTGGGCGAGGCTCTCAAGTAACCCCAAGAGATTATGTTTGTATATGGCGCCAACCTTTTTGAGTTTGAGGTTCTCTGGCCATTCATTAATTGGCAGCGTGAATTTGACGTCTTGGACATTGACGAAGCCCGTTTCGTGGAGCCATGCCTCATAGTGAGCTGACTTGAGCATATCTCGCCCAACGATTCTGCCTCCTCTGAGAACCGTTCCAACCCATTCTTCAATAGCAGTACCTTTAGCAGAGTCGTCATCACCAACATTTCGCAATTCAGGATCGTGAAGCTCAACCCAGCCGCCGGGCTGCATGTGATCAAATGCTTTCTTCATTACGGCTTTGGTGTCGTCAAAGCAAGTGATCACATATCCAAAGTGGATGTAGTCAAATTGAGCCTGTGGCCACTCGCCATTCTCGGCATCGAGCTGCTGGAACTGGCAGTTTTCTGGTAGTAACTCCTGCGATTTCGTGATACTAAGATCAACACCGAGCACCCTTGACTCGGGATGCTGCTCAGCTGCTCCCAATATTAGCCTTAAGAAGTAAAAGAGAGAGAAGCTACGACACGCACCATACTGCAGGGCCCAAATTCCTGTCCCAGTGGCCACATCTAGCACATGAGCTTGCGAGTCAACTGGTGCCTGTCCTAGCCTACCGCCAAGAATGTGTAACATCAAGTTGTGTTGGTAGGCTGATCAAAGGTTAGCCATACAAATTCATGTGATTAGAGACAAAAGCGTGAGTTGTACTTAGTCGATCTTTCTCTGTCTATGTAGTATGTAAGTGTATATCTCTTTTCAACCGGCGTAGGTTTACTTACTTGTAGAGAAGTTTCATGCATGAAGTACGTCATATTTTCGAGATTGTTACACAAAGATGATAAACTGATAACAAATATCTCTAGCCTAGGATTGAATAAACCCCCTATTGCTGTACCCGGCAAAGTTTGTGGTTGAAATCTGAGCCAGTCTGGATTGATTTTGCATATACAACTAGTGGGAGAGTGCTCTGTATTATAGAATGTACTCATCGTAAGCCATAGAGCTGAATGTATGTAAACGTCATCGGGTTCTTTACCTAGTAACCGATGTGTCAAAGCTATGGTCATGAGGCAATCACGCGCCGTGCCGGATCTGCGCCTCGGGAGCGGCACGCCAACCAATCAACTTCCCGAGATATACTCAAAGTCTGAGCTGAGCCCCTTTTGGGGTCTCAATCTAATGCAGGGATTGGTTACACCATCTTGCTGACTACCTAGTGACGGAAATTCTAGACCAGGTTTTCGACTAGGAATACCTTGCTTGAAGAGTTACTACTATGTAATGCTTTCTCATCCGCCGTCTCCCTTACCTTTTGTTAGTGCGTAAGACAGTCCCATGCACGTCGATGTAGCATTCGGTACTCATCCTATTGTGAAAAAAAGACTGACCATCTCAAGACTTCCTAATTTTCCCACCTACTAAAATTGCCCAAAACTCATTGTCCATGGCTAGAGCCGTATTGGCAGAGGCACAGCTTCGTCACAAGAACAAGGTAGCTCTTCCTAGGGCCTCACAGGATCTCGTCAACGTGCTGTACCGTACTTGTCGGAGCGACTGCTTGGACCAGAGAGACCACCGTGATCCTCACAGCCACAAGCAGTTTGGGCGTCTACACGAGATCATTCGGGCGTCTGGTCCATAACGTCGCATACAGGAGCTATTTGAATAAAGCCTGGGTCTTTCTTCTATCCAGATGATACCAAGTTGCTTCAAGCATTGCCGTCATCGTCAGAGGCTGTGGATGACGCTCTTGGCACTCTCCAGATTGCGATAGCCATTCCACGAGATGACTTGTATTCATTGGCCATCGACGAAGCCATCTGGGGCAGAGCGTGTGCTAATCTCACCAAGGCCGTTGGCTTTTGTGGTGATATACGCGCTGGTGGCGGAGATACTCCCATCAGCGGATGCTCGACGCTCTATGTGGTCGAGCAGACTCAACCAGCTAATCAAAGCTGCTTAAAGAGCTGGACATTCGTTCATGCCTTTTACCGCCTAATATTAAATCATTGATCAACGACATTGCAGCTGTGCCCTCACTTCGCGCTCGAATCAAATCGCCTCATACCACTCACAAGCTTCAACAGTCGTTTCGGGGTCTTGAACAGCTACGATTCAACCTCTAAGAAATGCATCGCAAAAATCAGCACGTATCGGTTTGGCATTACGAGCAGGGACTTCATCAATCTTTAGAACAAAACATCGTACCAAGTCTTTTCCGGAGAACCACGTTTCTGATGCGTTGAAAGCTGCTATGAAGGCGCGTTTTGGAGATGACGTCGAAGCTCTTAAATCTAACGCGATGCTTGCTCTCACTCTCTAGACTACTGTCCCAACATAGAACACTAATAGATACCCTTTCTGTACATTCTTATAACCCAGCTTTTATTTAGAAAGTTATTCAGCACCCCGAGTCTATTATCAAGCACTCTAGCTAGAGTATTCGTACATGTAGACTATCAGGTACTGCTACTACTGCTACTACTACTACTGCTACTGCTACTACTGCTGCTAGTGTTGCTACTTTTGCGTGTGTTTAGTAGTCTTGTATTTCAATATAAAGAAGAGCTACCTTGTAAAGCTATAACTGGGGTGTTGAATAATGAGACTAGGGGTGCTGGATAACGTCTCTATATATGGAGATAAGTGCCTACATCATAGCCCCATAACTATGAAGCTCCCCCGCAAACACCCGAGTAACAGTCGTTATAACCGTTGAACCCGCCATTCCAAGTATATTGAAGAGCTCCCGTCCACGCATAGTCGCCGCTCTCCTGATCGCACAAGCAGGTTCGCCACCACTGGCTGTTCTGCGTATCGCTAGATAGCTCACTGGCGAGATGCCACGCACCGTTACTGTCTGGATACTGGCCCCCAACGTCGGCATCGTACTCCTCCCACTGAGACTCTGTGCCGTAGAAATCCATGCCGTAGTACACGCCTGTGATGCCATCTTCCGAGGTCGTGCCATCTCCTCCGCACACGACCGTGTTGTCTGTGTAGATGTTACCGCTGTCGTTGCCAAATCCATCGCAGTTTCCACTATCACGCTTGGCCATCTTCTCTGTGACTGTGCCAAACGCATGGTGAGACCCAAGACCTGCTGTGCTTCCGGTGCCGTTGACAAAGAACATGGAAACAGGGGCGCCGAGTAAAGTTCCGTTGATGGAACGCTGGATCAGGAGAGGGTTTGAAGCAGTGCTGTTGAGCACGTGGGCCATGGTGATGATGGAATAGTTGCGGCCGACATCGTGCAAGATGCTGGCATTTCCAGAGAGGGCGTTGATTATGGTCCTGTTTGCCAGATGAGGATGGAGGACAGACCAGTCATAGTAGCCAGCCTCATTGCCACGCTTTACACTGGGCAATCCTCGACCAACGTTGTCGACGACGTTGCCATAGTCGTCATAGAAGGGGAGCAGCTGCAGACTCTCCAAGTTGCCCTGATACGATCCCTCGTTTCTCCAATCGTTCCATGCAGTGGCGAGATCCGCACGCCCGTCCCAGACTGAGAACATGGCGGAGACGATGCCAAATGAGTTGCAGGTCCATGAAACCCATGAGGGAGCACTGTTCCACCATCCAAGGGCTTGACACGCTAGATTACCGAGCGTGATGCCAGACGTCCAGGACATTGGGTTGATGAAGACCTTGGTGGCCGCCCAGACAAAGGACCACAGTCCTCGACGTTCAAGATCCTCATGATCTTCTGTCGGTGCAGGCTGGGTTTTGGAGTCTCCGCTGTAGGTTCCCAGCACGATGGCTTCTCCATCGCGGCCATGCACCGGGAGATGACTGTGCAGCTGGACATGAAGTTCTTGAGGCAAGCCAAATTCACCACTTGAGACCGCCTTGATTGGCTGGTCTAGTGGTTGAATAGATTGTGCGTAGGCTCCATTGCAGTTGGAGGCTGATAGCCACAAGGTCAGCAATGCCAACGGCGTAGCACGCATTTTGGATGCTGCCTTTGGATGCTTTTGCTCGATCAAATAGAAGAGCGACGGTAAAGAAGTTTATAAAAAAGGCAAGGATATGGAGGAGGACTTTATGATCCTTGAGATATGCCCAAGCTTGAAGCTTCACTGGCATCAACGACTGTAGCGTCGAATGAGGATAGTTGGCACTGGTCTAAGCCTTGACTTGCACAGAAGAGATGATTCAAAGACTCGGATGAGCTGGGAGTGTTGTCTCTCTCTCTTCCAGCTTTTGTTCAAAATGACTAGCAAACCATATATGCTTTATATGCTTTAAGCTTATCTTCATATGAAGTCGAGCACCTATAAGTCGAGCATCCATAAAGCCGGGCACCATGATATCGAGCATCAATGAAGTCCATCATGAATTGGCCACCCATATTGCCGTGTATCCGATTAAGCGAATATGCGAACAGAAAAACAACATCCAATAGGTGGAATTGAGCTTCATAAAGCCATATCGTGAGTCAGATGCAGTTTTTCTTATGCTTGATTAAGCATAGTTTCTGAGTTCCCCTCATATCTTTCAGGCTATTGGCAGAGATTGCCTTAGGGCTTACCACCATTTTTGTCTCATTGTCGAATTGAAGTGTGTTCGCGACATGGAAAAGTAAGAATGGGTGCAACCAAAAACCACACTCGGAGAAGGGACGGAGATATAAAATAGTTGCATTTGCATTTGCGGACCAATAAGCGTTTGTGTATGCACTCCATGTTACAGATTTCACAAAACAGAAGAATAACCAGAAGCTTTGCATGCATAGTTGCGAAGCGTCTTTCTGCTATCGCATGGCAAGTACCTAAGTTTGAGTTGTCGCTGAAGATTTATTTTCACTGAATAGAACATCTCGACCGCGTCCTTGGCCGTCTAGAAGGGCATATAATGGCAAGCGTCTGAAACCATAGCGTTGCTTATCGCTTTTATGCAAGCATGCAATAATAAGCCGTCTCGAACGGTCCATGTTGAAAACATGAGGGGTCAAAGAGGTAAGATGGTGCCACTACTCCAGCTGCGCTTCAATGCAGCCCTGTCTAAAGCACAATGTATGGAATATTGCAGTAAGGACCTATCAGTCAACCTTTATAAGCTGCGGGCGTTACTTATCAATGCAAAGTAGCGGGGATTCTCACAACAACCGAATCCCCGTGTTAACTCCACACTACGGGCTGCAACTAGTTATTAATCCTTGTCAGGAAGAGCGAGATATGGCAGTCTAGCCATTGTAAGCAGAAAAACTAGCACTGTTTTACCTGTTTTTTTAAAGCTCTGATACTCTTTAATGCTATAGAAGTTGAATGGAAGTTTAACTGTCAAATGGCAATTATCGTACGATATAGCGATTAAAGCACAACACACTTACCTTATTTATAATTTAAAGCAGCGAGTTTTCCTTCTTAACCATGGCTAGATTACGATAGTAATACTACTGATTCTTTCCTCCTGCTTATGAAATTCTTCAAAATCTGACACGGATTAAAAATCGACTTGCATCCTACTGCACATGCCGAGCCGAGGCAACCGATAGGCTATAGAGAGATTGTTTACAACTACTTATGTATTGTCACATTACCATTTTACCCTTTTCGTTTTTCCTAAATTCCAAGTAGTATCTCCTGTCCCCCATAGACACGCAACCTAAAACTGAATTCACAAGCATCGTCATCCTCCCCAGTGTACCTTTGTTGACTGCTGCAATCATGCACTTCATGTTCTGTTATTTAATGCGCCACCTTTAGTTAGTACAAGCATGCTTCCATCTCACTCGCACTTCATGCGCTCCAATCGACTTTTATTCACAATCTTTGTTATATTTCGCCTCTCAGACATAAGACAAATATAGCCATGGTGAAGACAGCTTCCTAATAGCTCACTCCATTCTTGCTCGGTACTACTGCCACGGGGCGTCTCTTGATTTTTGAGTTGGTTTGTCATGGCCATGTAGTCGTCTGTCTCCAGCGCTTTTTCGTCTGCCGGCCACGGCCATTGCCTCGGATCGGCGGATTATCCTCTCGACTTCTTCCGTACGAGTAACAGTGTCATCCAGATTCATGGTACTGTTTTGTTGCGCGACTCGCTTGTCTGCGCGTCGGGCTATGCGTCGAGCGTATTGGGCTTGCCCGTAGGCAGCGGCTTGATGTCGTCGACGCCGTGATGCTGCTTGACGCTTGTCCGGTCGAATTTGCTCGGAACGAAGACGGCATCTTGAAGTTTCACATGTCAATAGCCAGCCAGCCACAGTGTGACAGACCCTGTTGTTCTGCCGCTGGATCTTCGTCTCGAGGCCCAAACACAGCACATGCCCCTCCAAGGCTGGTAGTTCTGCCACAGGCCTCATGGCTGGACTCTAGGCCATTGCCAGAGCCCTGGACCGTCTCTAACAGCAGAATGTGCGATGAAGAGGACACATGGGACGATGTTAACCTATGCGAAGTGTTGGGAACTTCACTGCGTCGCGTAGGACCATGTCGTCCTTTTACAAGAAGAAACTCTCTGTAAACAGCGGGGGTTATGTGTCAGATCGCCTATGGAGAGGGCCGAGTTAAGAGTACCTAGGCACCTTGGGCTGAGTGTGGTTGATGTATCAGAGAAGGCATAGTTTTCTTCCTCGCGTAGATTATGTATTGATATGTCAAGCTGCACGACCTGGTTGGGCTTAGGCAGCAGCTTTATCGTGTTGTATGGCATAAGGTCCATGTTTGTTATAGGGGTTGGGTTCGCTGATGATGGCACTGGTTGCCGGCAAAATATAGAGGTATCTGTCGAATTCTAACCATCTGTCGACTTGCTCGCTTTCGCTTTAATATTCTTCTTATCGCTCCAGTGTATCGTGCCATGTGCGCATCAGTTTATGCCATTTGGTGTTGTTGGAAGTGGTTATATGCGGTAGTGAAAGATTGTACAGGGAACAATACAATTAGTAGCATTCCTGATGTCTAGTGTAATCCTTGTATTTTTGTGGACTCTTGGCACACTGGGGTAGATATTTTCAAGCTGAGAACTGCCTTGGCGGTAATAGCACTCCGCAGATCTGAGTGTCCATTTGTACATGAATTACGCAACATGCCAACTACCCATCTCCCCATTAAAAAACAAAGAAATAAAATAAAAATGAGATATTAATCTTTTGTGATTATTACTGAACTAGGAAAGGATGTCCCCATGAATGTATAGCCGCATTCCATAATTTTCCATGAACATCCATTGCTCTGCGCCCTTGCTGGCCAAATTTCCATTGATTTGCTCCCTCTGGCCCACCGTGCTTAGTTATGAACTCTATGACAGCTTCATGGCACATATTTTCGGTCTTCTCAGTGCCACGCTTTTTATCAAACCCAATGACAATCTTTTTTTTAGATATCAAATCTTCTATCAAGTGTAACCGATGCTTTGCAGGCTCCCATTTAATCATACCATGGTAGCTAGCGCGGCCCTGCTCAAAAGATCTGTAGTAGAGTTAATAAAAAAAAACAGTTCAAGCACCTTGCAAGAAGAAAACATGATGGGGAGAGAGGTGCCCGTACCTGAATAAGCAGAGAGGCTCGAATTTATCTCTGATTTCACCCAAGCATTTTGTCATGCATTGCTGGACAGAGAGCTCGGCCACAGAAGTTTTCTAGAGGGATTATATGTTATATAAGACTTTCAGTTCCAAAGGCGGGAGGGATGTAAATTGTATACCAGTCCTTGTCTGCTTGTTTTGAATTTAGATTCTCCGTTACTCCATCTCCACTTGGGGCTATTTTCGCCGTCTTCCAGGGTGACCCATTCGTCGCCGTCTTTTAGAACAAGAATACCCTTTGCAGAACTCGAGTCAATGAGAATGCCGGTTTTCGCGCACCGAGCCACACGATGGCCCTTGAGATCGTAAAATTTGAAATCGAATGACGGTGAGCTCACTTCTTGGAGATGTCTCACAATCCGTATAGCAAAGGATGTGCAGCGACCGGCGACCCACCAGGTCCGGATGAAGGATGTGGTCTGGTCTGCCATTAAGTTGCCTTCCTTGATTGACTGGAGGATCGTAGGGTCGCTGAGGACATCATTCCATGAAGATTTCGACTTATCAACAAGATAATCAGCCTGAAGAAGGTTAGAATACGGGCCGGAGACGAAAACATCTTCCCAAAATTGTTGTGCCTTTTCCTCAAGGTTTGCCATTTCCACTGCCAGTTGTTGGACTCTTTGGATGGGCGCTGTGATCTTTTACGGAGGTCGTGTGCTTGCACGGGCCTTAAATACCTGTAGTAGTAATGGGACGAGTGAGGCAATAGGCAAAATGTTGTGATAGTAGTTCCAGTCATGTATCGGCTGATTCTAATATGGAAGGGTGTGGTTCCTACGCCACCGTCTTGGCAACTACTAAATGACACCAATTTTACAAATGGAAACTGAAACCTGGCGATGTCGCTGTGGCAGCTTACACACAGGCAGGTGCGCGAGGATATGTTCTTTTTGCCGCAGCGGCTGGATGGGCGTCAGCTGAAGCTGCGGGCAGAGGTCCTGTGGCCAGTCACCATCATCCGCAACCGGCTCCCGAAAACCGAGCCCGCGACTCGCCTCCGCCGTCATATCCTCGGTGGCTGGCGGTTGGAGAAAATTGGCAAACTCCGGCTGAGCCTGAACGGCGTCAACGACCGAGCTGAATTCCCTCTCAGCTTCACGGCGTCTCTGCACCTGCTGCTCCTTGGGCGTCGCCTTCTCCGTAGCTAGAGTCTCGGCCAGGCTAGCTGGGGCATCCAGCGTATCTCAAAGGAGCTGAAACTGTTTTGCTAGTGTGGGATGCCTTGGCTGGAGATAGGAGATATTTAAACGCATGTCTATTAGCAGCCCGGCGATGACGCCCCGGCTGTGCTCAAGCAGCTGCAACGCCTCTTCTGGTGTCTTGCCCGCGTTGAGAGCCGTGGCGGCTGCTAATAACCCTAACCCAGCAAAATCAGCCAGCATTGTGGCATTCCCAGCCCTGTATATAAATGAGATCCCGTCTGCTCAAACTAAAGGCCTAGCGCGTTCCCTAATCTTACAGCTCTTCCTTGTCTGGGTTTTTGCCCTCTCCCCCAGAGGAAAAAAAGAGAAACCAAACCGTAGACGGAAAAAGAAAATGAGTGAGAAGGACTTAATACTGACGAACAACTTCGGTGCAGATTGTGCAGTTGCATGACGCTGGGTTCGGTGCCTGGAGAGGCGAGATAGAAACCCTACGTTGCCAGTTGCAAGGACAACTTCGAACCACCAATGATGCTTTAGATGTTGAAAGAAAGGCTCTTAAAACTCTACGAGAGCAACGTGATAGTTCCAAGACGGCGCTTCACTCCCTGCAGGAAAAGTTACAGAAGGAGAAACATAAGTACGACGAGGCAGATGTAGTAAGTGCGGATGATGCAAGCTTCGGGTTATATGATGTATTTTTTCTGACTGCGAGCCTCCATCTCCCGGTATACATTACTATTTCCTCCCGCACGGCTTCTCTTTGAGGCGTTCAAGCCCATAATAGAAGCCAATACGCATGATATGCACAGTGTTGAGATGGCTGTAGAGAGTGCCACCAAGGTGATTCAGGAAGTAGAGGATTGGCATGTGTGGGAGATCTTGAAATCATCACATTTATCTAGGACACATTCATACGATTAAGGTTAAGATAGCTGTGTATTTGGATTTTGTTTTGGTATACTTTTATTCTTTGCTCATAGTACTATAATACTACTTCTTGTATACACGAGCTAAGAGGCTCTTAAAGGATTTGTAATATAAGAGAGGAATTATCTAGTATCCCAGTCCTATTAGCTAACACCCCTGGCTATAGTATAGCACTCTATTTACAGCTAAACAAAGAGTAAGCAGGTAGAGAACCCTCAGAGACTTTCAAGCTCGATGGCCTCAAGCGAGTGCCATAAAGCTAAAGAGTATGTTGTGGGTTTTTAATTGTAAGATCCATCAACTATTAGCATTATTATAAGTGCTACAAGTCATGATTCTGGTAGTTAACCCAGCATGAAGTATGCTCTGGGGTCCGACTACAATATTTGACTGCAGGATTTGACTGCTAGATCCAATCCTACTCTCGCGCCCCCATTCATGGTCCCCCGTTATAGATTCCATAGCTCAGCCAGTCTCCATTAATGCAACCGTCTGGATCGTAGAGCCTCGTCACAGCGCCAGTTTGAGAACCGCCTAAATAAAGGGCGACGTGCTTTCCGTTGCGAATTGAGTTGACTCGAACACTGCGCTGGTCGGGCCAGAATTGATCTTTCGCCCCTACACTGCCAACAATGGTTGTACCGCCACCATTGCTACAGTCTGAAAAAAGGGATGTATTAGCATTTTGCGCTTTACTTTGGCAAAAGTCACTATCAGAATCCATACCGGGGTTTGGATACACTGTGAAATCTGCATCATAGCCTAGGACAGTGCCAACAAAGGCAGATAGCAGAGCTGCGTAGAAGGTTGGGAAACGCATTTTGCGTTTTTTTCTTTTTCCTTTTTTTCCCTCTTAGGGAAATGGGCAGAAATATTTTGTTGCTGATTATTGTCAAAGAAACAAAATCTGAGAGAGCTCTTTATATTGTTGACCCTCTCGGAATAAATACGTAATTGTACCACCGTCTAATGCGCACATATCCTGGCTTACTGCGATAGGAAGCTGCATTGCAGAAAGATTACTGGCTATGGGGCAGTCTCACTGCTCATATAAGTGGAGGGGTCGGAAATGTTAGCTCATAATGTGTTACTGAGAATACGAACGTAGCCTAGATCAATTCGTCTGAAACAAATGGGGGGACTTGTAATACTGAATTGGCCAAAACCCCTTTCCTCGCTTCTAAATAGTATCTTACCTGATATGTTCATTGACGTGTTTGACACTTTCTTTTCTGTACCTATTACTAGACACGTTTAGTGAGTTAGCAATACGACATCATGCCCTTTATTTACTAGCCTAACCTCCTTGATATTAATATCTCTCTTATATACCCGCTAGTAACAGCAGTACTCTCTCATATGATAACATAGAAATTCTAGTCGTTTTCTCCCCGTAAGTGACTATCCGCTCTATATTTATGTAGCAGTTGGATAATGTCTTTAGAGCCAGTTTTTTGAGCAATTTCAAAAGCACTCCCGTTTACTCCTTGTGCATTAACGTCTGCCCCATGGTCAAGAAGTAATTTAACAATATCCACAGAGCCGTTCTTTAAGGCAGCGTAAAGAGCGCTGCCGTTTACTTCTTGTGCGTTAACATCCGCTCTAAATTTAAGAAGTATTTCAACAATCTCCTGAAAGCCGTTCTCTGCAGCAGCGTAAAGAGCGCTTCCATTTGCTTCTTGTGCATTGACATCCGCTCCAGCTCTGAGAAGTAATTCAACAATATCCACAGAGCCGTTCTTTACAGCAGCGTAAAGAGCGCTTCCGTTTACTCCTTGTGCGTTGACATCCGCTCCATAATCGGCAAGTAATTGCAAAGTCACTCTGTGGCCGTGCGCCGACGCTGCTTGAAGTGCAGTATTGCCGTCTTCTCCCGTACTGCTAGGGTCCACTCCCTTCTGTAATAGTAAACGAGTCAGGGAATAAATGCCACGGCGAGAAGCATTGTACAGCAAATTGCCGTATTTGTCGTCAGTTGTGGCTGCTGTCTCTGCTTCGAGCAGTGTGGTCACAACATTCATACTCCCTTCGGCTGCCGCAATATCCATACAGTCGAACCTAAAACTCGTCGCTGGTTCCGACGCGGAGTGGGAATGCGTACAAAGCCCAGCTTTATGCAACCATGCTTCCAGAATAAGAAAGGCAGAACTGCCTTCTTGATGTAAAATGAAGTCAGCGAATTTGGATATGACGTTAGAAATCTGGTCGCGATTGTCCGAATTTCGCATGTGTTGGGGCAGAAATTCTAATATATACGAAAGCAGAGGCCAATTTGCAAGGTAGCAAACCATTTCCTTGTAATTTGGACCATTTCCATTAGTCGCAGGGCAGTTCTCCGTGAATAGACGAAGATACGAGATGCAATTAAGGAAAATCTCATATTCTCCCAGATTTTTCTTCATGAGGAACTTCCCTGCTCTGGGGTCACTGGTCAAGAATTCTCGGACAGTTAGATGTAGAAGCTGGACGATATCGTTCGTAATGTGAGCCAGAGAGAAATCGACGGAATCCTGTGATGATCCAATCTCTAAGAGATCTCCACAATTGTAACTCATTCTTTGTCGCACAGCAATGTCATCGACGCGATCATCCTGTAGGTTGATGAACGAACTCTCTCCCACCAATTCTGGTGTTGCAACTGCATCGCGAAACTCTCTGATGTGTAGTGGGCGCTCAGCAAATGTCACCCACGTCAGCATCCGCTGCGCTTCTCGAAGTCGTGATTTCGCCTCTTTTGGTCTTTGTCTTTTGAATCTAGCCATCAAATCTTGGACAATGCGCTCATAGAAAGGCTCCAGCTCGTTGGGGAGTTTGTCCACTATCTCTTTGAATTTTCTTGGGGAAACGCCGCGGCGTACTGCCCGCTCCAGTTCTCTTGTTACAATTTCTACCCACATAAAAACTCCTCTTGCCCTGCTCATGAGGTTGGCAGTTGCATATGTGGCCATATCTTCAAACTCAGCCGTGAGTTTGAACCGTTCAGCTAGGTACGCGTCTTGCACTTTGTACATTGCTATTTCGATAAACTTTTTGATGTCTTCTTCGTTTTTTCTCTCGAGCACTAGGTGGAAAAAGTCCTGAGATTTTTGTATATCATAGAAGCTATTTTTGATGTCCTCTTCGGGTCGACTTGCAAGAACACATTTGATAACACAAGCTGATTCATTCCGGCAAAACTTTTTCAATAATAACAATATATCGGATCTTTCTGACTGCTCTGACTCGTCCATTGCGTCGATGATGAGGTAGATCGTAAGGGGAAAATCGTCAAATTCACCCAGTGATGTGAAGACACTGTGAAGGTCTTTGAATGTCCACGAGATTGGACTCTGAGAACGATCCAGCAAGTTTCGATATCTAGTTCTGAAGGCTGGGTAAAGTCTTTGCTCCTGGCCTAAAAGCTGGTGTAGAAGCGATTGAAGCATATGAGTATTGCTGATCTCAGATTTGGCTCCTCTGAGACTATAGAAGAAGCTGGCGAGGACGACAGAGCGGTGCCTTGGCTGTGGAGCAATGTTGTGAAAGGTAGCTTTGTTAGGTGTAGCGTAAGTGTCTGGAAGGTCGTGTTGAGTCTGTAAATGTTTGAGAATCTTTTTGCACAGGGTCGATTTTCCACTGCCAGGTTTGCCTTGTATCCAGAGCAATGCCGACTTTGTCTCCTTGCTCCAGAGTTTATATGCATCGTCCTCCCAAAGCCAAGCTCCTGTTTTCTTACTTCCTAGTGAGATGATTTCGCGGCGCTGGTTATCAGCCATCGATGACAGAGAATTCAAACAATCTATGAACGTACCAGCATTCAGCTTCCTTTCTTTTGCCTTAAAGAGTAAGAGTCAGGCGGACAATTCATGATACTTACCTGTTGATTCCTTCTCGGGATTGATGAATGGCAAGTCTTTCAAGATCTCCGAAATGTTGGGAAGGGGCCGACTGACTATCAAGACTTTGAGTTTTGATGTTATGTTGAGTTTCCCTTCGACGTTCTTCCATACTTCACGAAGATTACTCAGAAACCGACCCAAGTCCTCTGGATATAACTCATCAATACCGTCAAGGACAATCCGAACCTCTAGACGCTCTTTACTCTCCAACAGATTGTTCAGCATTTCTTCTAATATTTTCCAAAGTGCAATTTCATGATTTCGTTCGGCAGTCTTATCGCTGTGGGATAAAAGCGTCTGAAAGTTTGGAGGGATGCAGTGGATGGTGTCACTGTCTTGTAGCTGAGATATGATTGAGGCAGCCACTGTTGTGGAGCTGGTTTCTTTTTGTCTTTTGCAGAAGAAGAATGCAAGACGCGTCCGAAATGACGTGTGCGTCAGCTTGATCTGGTGCACTATGTGCAATGATGTTGTAGTCTTTCCTGAACCTGGACTTCCTGAATACCACAGAAACTGAGATTCGTGACTTGAGAGCCAATTCGTATATTCTGGGCTTTTTAATAACCATTCCAGTCCTTCAATCTTATCTTGAACTCGTTGAAGATCCTTTTGAAAGTCTGTTTCCACGTTGATACTGAGTGCTGTTATCGCCGACACGTTGGGGAAGTCCTGCTGCTGGACGTTATTATCAATCAAGGTTTTGATCCTCTGGTACAGGTGAGTGTATCCGTCATCTGTTTCGCTCATGAATCTGTGGATCGCACGGTGCTTCTCAAGGCAAGGAATGTTGATAATGTTATTTTTATGGGGGATGGTCGCGGAGTCTTTATTCACGGCCTTTTAAGACAAGTGTTAGCATATGAGTCTCTCCTATGCTTCCGTATTACTGTAGCACCGACATTCATGATTGGAAATGGACCGAAATATTCTGGCTGAACCTCGAAAAAATTGACCATATCCCTGTTTCCAAACCGGTCTAAGAAATCATCATGTAGAGTCTGGCTTTTCTGGGATCTAGGGTCAATAATGTCAAGAAGTGCAGTGCTTGCGCCCTGCCAGTACCCGAGAAGCGACAAAATCTTTGCGAAGACAGTCAACTCGGAGCCCAGATGGGGAGTTCCAAGGAAAATAAAGCCTTTGGCGCAATCCGGAGAGAATGCCGACTGTGATTTTTCCCAGGAGGCTCTATGGGCTAAGACCATGGCCTCAAGATATCTAATGTCAGAATTGAATCCCTTCCTCAGACGTTGTACATACCTGTTTGATGATGAGCCCCCCGAAACTATATCCGATGAGTCTTTAAATTGGGATTGTGGTAGTGCCAGCGACTCAAAGCGAATTTGAATTGGCTTATTCTTATAATTATTATTGTCCTTTATTTACTATCACTCTGGTTGCTGAGCTTTGAGGCGTCTTTGCTATGGAGGAGCAATCCGTGTCTTGATGTTTTGTGTAGTTTTCAAGCATCCATAGCAGCAAGGACATGCTGTATTCTTGCTATTGTTTACTCCTTTACCCGCCATAAGTCATGCTTTCTGTACCTGAACACGCCATTAGTAGCCCATTGTCGCGACCATGATGGCCGGGTCGTGACGCCTTTCTCCTAACCATTACTACCTAGACAAAATAGTAGATGGAATGGCATTGGCCATTGCCTAAGGAGAACATGGTGTGCTTATCGTCCTTGAAACCCGCGTATGCCCGGAATTGGTTACCACCATCACTACATCCCATCACGTTAGTCTGCGAGCTTGGCCGCGCTGGAGAGCTTTGCAGAGACTTACCCAACATGCTGGAAGTTTGGCTGCGACTGTGCGTCGCCGTCAACAAACCAAGAAAAACGAGCTCCAGAGGAGAATGTGCAGGCTTGAGATTGCCCCTCCCATTGAAACCAAAAGTTCTGTCCCATAGTGCATATGTTGTCTCCGGAGGGCTGCGAGTTGCAGCTACCATCGTTTGGGCAGAACTAACAAAACGATATCATCACTTAGAAAGCTTGGACAAGAGTTGGACCATCATGGTTATAAACTTACAACAACGTGGGAACTCTTGGGCAAAATTGTGCCTTCGCCTGAGAAGCCATCACAGTTCACAAGATGTACACCCGAGCCATCACCGCGCTTCTCGAGGACATCAGTGATGTTTGCCGCTGCCGCATCTGAGGTAGGGGCAGCAGTCGCGAGCTGCAGGAGAGGGAGGAGGAGAGCGAGGAACAGCATTTTCTTCCTAGTTTGTTTGAACGGGGGACTCTATATTATTGGAAGTCTTGAGTTGTAGGCTGAGTGGATAGACCAAAATTCAGAAAGTTACGGAACTTGACACTCTTTATAGAAATGATCGTCGCAGCGATGGGTTTATTGATGATGGGAAATTTTAAAAGATTATAGGTTGTCACATTTTACCATTATATCTTGATTAGTTGGAATCCCCAGTTTAACTGGCAAATTTGCCCGAAGTTATGACATTCGCAACTAGAGCAGCATGAACACACAAGCAGCTGACTTCTTGGTAGTGCTTACGGCTCACTTTAGTAGACAGGGCTGTATGGGTGTAGGAGTAGGGCGGAGTGGCATTGATTGTGATATTTTACAGGTAGCTATTTGTATAGCAGTTAGAGAAGGAGTTTGCTTTGCTTGATGATGATAATATTTAGTATAGATTACTTAACATAAAAGCCAACACCACTCTTATATTCAGGGAGGATAGTTAAGAGTATCTTTTTGAAGGTGGTTTTAGTACTTCTTTAAAATTAAACCAATTCAAGCACAAGATTTAAGTCATGTCTGTTATATCCCAATTATCCCACCAATACGAACCATTTATGTCCGCTTGGGTCAGCTGCTGTAAACTAGGTAGTCGGTCAATGGAAAACTCAGAGAATATCAAGAGTTCGGTTAAGCTTACTTACGTCAGGCATACAGACAATCTAGGAAGGTGGTATTCTATGGATGCCTGCATAAGCCTAATTGTTACTGGCAACTTTATTGTCTTAGGAGGCATATGGTCTAGACAACCTTTTGCTTACAGCACTTGTCCACACTTGGTAAGGCCTAAATGACAGTTACTAAACAAACACGACACCTGCCCCCAGGTCAAACTACTCGGCTGGATGAATATCTTTCTCAAGGTAGTAGAGTATCTTTTTTTTATGCTCTCTTTATTAGCAGCGCAGTGATATGTCTATTTTTACTGATACCCTATTGTTAAGCAGTATTATATGTTAAGCAGTATTTTACTAGAAAATGTGTTCAAAAGTAAATGGGGCTTTTTAAGACTTGCTCTTACACATGTTTTAGCATAGGTATATAATTGTGGAGCGCTGTAATTTGTACTTCATATTGTGTTAGAATAGACCACAATTGCCTTGAGTGACAAAGCCATCTTATTGAAACTCGTATGCACTTGTCCAATAGTGGTAGCAGGTTGGGATCTAAGACCAGCTTACCGCATCTAACTCTATGCATCAGAAGATATAGAACTCCCACGAACATGAACTGATACAAACGCGATAATTAGAGTACTATACAAGATATAAAAGCTAGTAACAAGAAGCTTCGTTTTCTTTCAGAAAACTCATTTAGAAACTAATCTCGTGGATAAAAGTAGATGAGGATAATTAAGATATTAGCTAAAGGGCAGCAGGGCATTCATACCCACTCTAGCGTATTACAAGTTATAGTTTGTTTTCTAAGGCTTAAAATGAACTCTCCGTGACTGGAACAGGCAAGCCGCTCTTGTCTGTTATAGCCAAACTCAAGAGACATTCAAGCACATACGACCATAGGTAGTGGAGAACTCGGGGTCCCGTCTGCTCCCCCATAGATAAGCCACTAACCGGCAGATTAGTAGTCAAGTGGGTGACCATTGGCGAACACCGGCTGTTGTATGTTTTTGCTTTTTTGCTTTTGGAGATCTTCATGTTGTCTTCTCTTATAAGCTGTGATGAGCTGGTCTCAAAGCACATACGACCATATCCATTGGAAAATACGGGATCCCGTCTGCTCTCCCAGAGTCAAGCCAATGAGAGGCAGATTAGTAGTTGAGTGGGTGACCATCAGCGAACACCGGCTGTTGTATGTTTTTGTTCTTTTTGATCTTCTTTTATATCAGTGTCCTGTGAATCAACACCACTAATCCGGGCTGTGATGTACGGACGCTCGCCGAGGGAAAGAAAGGCGGTGAAGACAAATGTAGCTTTGCTTTGAAGTGAGTCAAACACACAAGATGGGTAGGTTTTAGATGCATGGCGCTGTGTATCAGGTCAAATCATTGTGACCGTGAATCACATACCATGAGGAGCCGTAGAAGCCGAGTGAATGCGACACCATTCAGATACAAACGAGTCTCTCATTCTTCAGAAGCAGTCTTTGGACTGATTCGCGTTCCGCGCTGAGCGAACGCGAGCGGCATCAAGAACTGCTGGATCCGAGCTCGCCGTGTCCGGATGGTGGAGGATGAAGGTTGTAGGTTGTGCGTTTGCGACAAGGCTGATCAAATCCCGGTATGAGATTAGCCGCCAAACAATTTCGGCGGCGGTAGCCAATGAATGTGGATGGTGGGGGCGAAGGATTCACGCGCGGCAGATACAGCGCACAGAAAGCGGGAATAGTCACATGTACATGCTTTTTGGAAGTATTCTTGCTGTGAATTTTTGGCGATTGATACTTAATGTCTTGGAAAAATGGAAGTCTAGCAGTATTTAGAGACCGCAAACACAGGCGGATGAGCCATTGGCACTGCGGCTGAAAGATGTGCCCTGTGAGCACCTGTAGCGTGTAAGTGCGGCATCAACTCATCTCGCTTGTAAGCCACGCATGCTCGGATGCTCATCATGCCAGCTTTCACATGAAACAGGACTGGCAGAGAAACGTTTGTGTAAATAGGAGATAAAGTCGCTTGTTGTGATGCGGCGTTTGGCTTGTAAATCACTTTCCTCCTCTGTACGGAAATCTTATACCTTGGCTACCAATGGCGACTATGTTGGGAACTAGCGAGATACAACGAATAACTACCATTTAAATCGCCGTGTTTTGAAACGAGCACGAAGCGCCTGTACTGTGTATCATATGTTGAATTGGTCTGGAGCCCAATAGCTACAGATATTCTGGAAGTAGAGGAGAAGAGACACCAAGCCGGGTAGGTAGGTGAATGGCGTGTGTACTTGGATCAGCCATCCATATCAGACTTGGAGTATAGCTAATAATCTGTCGAATGTGCAATACTTTATTTACATATGCAAATGTTTTGTTGCTATATACACTTGGAAGCAGTAGCATCAGTAGCACCAGTAGCAGGAGTAGCAACAGTAGCATCAGTAGCATCAGTAGCAGCAATGACTGCAGTGCTGGATACTATATTTTCATGTCCAAAGAGTCAATTTACCTACAAGGTCATTGTTGAAGATGCTATTCAATTCGTCAAAGCATTTGCCTGTAAATGGACGTGCACATTCTACAATTATAGGTACACATCAAACAAGGAGCTACAATTTCTCCAGCAGCAACGACCATCAATTGAGCATCTCCTCAATTTAATTTCTCGGTTTCCCATCATCGTCATTATTATAATCATCCATTCTTTGATCTGTGCACTGTAGCAAACAGCTGCTGAGCCGCGCTGCCCTATTGCCTGCAAACGCCGGCACCGCCAACTGGCAGCGACCCGCGCAGGTAATTTAAACGCAGCCGCCAAACAGCCCAGCCTAGTTCCTCTACATATATCCTCTGTCTGTTCCCAGCCAAATCTTTGTCCCATGCATCTCTCGTCCACTAAACATCTTCACTATGCAAGACTTTCGGTAAGTCGCCCCTGCAATCCTTGCCGTTTTTCTCCCCAAGGTTGGAACATGGCTGCGTTTGCTGCATATTCTCGCTCTTTGGGCATACTCGAAATCACACAAAGAGGCTACAAGATGCTGCCACCCAACAGCTTTCCTCTGTCTTTTCTTTGTCTCTCCAAGACCGTGCTGTTGACTAACCGGAGTCTAATAATTATAGTGGTAACTTCGTATGTCCAATCCTACTCTGCAATCCAGTGGTTGCGGTCCCCAGGCCGTTGCACAGCAGATTAGAGCCTCGCTAACTAGGTATCCAAATTCACCAGTTCGCTGAGCCTCCTGCGGCTACCGTGACCATTCCCCGAGCAGATTACGAGAATCTCGTCCGAACCGCTCAGAATCACTGTGCGCAGCTTCTCCTCCTCCTCCTCCTCCTCCTCCTCCTCCTCCTCCTCCAGAACCCTTCCATCTATACTGATATCGTGCCAATAGCCGACCTCTGCCGCTGCCTTCTCAGCACTCCGATCACGGACGTCAGAATCATCGAGGTCAGTTTCCCTTCTCCAGCTCCCAAGTTGCAAGATCTAATTTGTTTCAATAGGCCCTCAATGCTTGCCTCCAAACCGTCGCTTACCCGAGCGCCTCTCCAGGCCAAGGCCTCTACGCAGACGATTCCAACGCAAACGAAGACGACTGCCTCTCCTATACGAGTACCCCTCGTACTTTCAACTGCCGCTCGTTCACCTCCAGCCCGTACATCGACCCTGGCGCTCAACTTGGCATCTACCCCTTTCCGCCACCACGACAAGGCAACCAACCAGCAAACGATGGGTTCAACTATGCCGAGTTCAGCCCTCCTAGGATTTACGATGTCGGAGATGAGCACAAAACATCTAACGGGTCTCCAGAAAGGGTCATGAGCATGCCCAAGCCCGGTTTCTCTCGTGCTCCTGAGCAATCGCGATCGGTCAGGCTTGTCAATCTACCGGAAGGGACTACCTACGGCGATATTGCCGGCCTTATAAGAGGTGAATTGGTATACGAGTTCTACGCCACTCGTGGCGCGGCCACCGCTACCATCACCTTTGTAGAGCTCGCTTCCGCCGAAGCATACTTTGCACACGTCCGCAACAATGGCCTGTTCCTCAAGAACAAGAGAGTAAGCCCCTGCGCCAAACCATTCTTTTCCCAATCGTGGTTCCATTGACTAAACATGTTAGATCGGTATTCGTTGGTTACAGCGCTTCCAGAACCTCCCCGGCCACCACATCAACCGAATCGCCCAAGGCGCAACTCGCAACATGGTCCTCCGCAAATGCGGCACCAGCCACACAGAAGCCTCCCTCCGCGAGGATCTCGAGCATATTCACAACCTCCAGGTGGTCAAAATCGAGTTTCGAGGCGAGGATTGCCACATTGGCACAAACTCTGTTGCAAGTGCCATGTACGCTCGAACCTGCATGACAAGCCGGCTGTAAGACTCATTTGTCCCCTGCTCTTCCTTACTGTTATTTCTTTGTCTTACTGACCTTATTTCTTCGTAGCAAGTATAAAACCTATCGTATCGAGTGGGATGTCGACGAGTGTGCCCAGCCTTTGAGTGAGATGCCCAGCCCGCCTCACCAATGCGCCCCGAGCTCTGCCCCTCTGCGTCAACAAAGGGTCACGACGCCCAACCGCTTCCAAGTTCTCGCTTTCAATGAAGAATAAAGTGAGCTGCTCACTATCAAAATCTGCCACAACCATCATATTCGGATGAGAAAGGCATCGGTTTTTTTTTTTTTTTTTTTTTTTTTTTTTCATTTGTCTTGGGTGAAAGCATCAGCTTGCGGATAGAATCAGAGATGAAAGGCATTGAGAGTCGCATCTACCCACCACGTAAGGCTTAAATAATAACTTCATCGGTTAGCGTGATTTAATAGAAGGTTTAGAGAGGCAATATTCACTAAATAGACAAGACATTATCAATGAGATCGTGATCGAAAAATTGGAAGATATTTTATCTTCTACAGTTGCGGCCCAGACATCTGCGAACGGTATACTACAGATCACTCACAGTTACACTAGGTAATTATAAATGCATTATTCTTTTTAATAACTTTTTGAAACAGAAGTTTGGTGTTTTAAAGCGAAACACACCTATCACCTCCTTAACTTGGTGTATTAAAATGTAACATCTAATCTAGCGCTCTAACTATGACATAGGCTACTGCTGCTACTGCTGCTACTGCTGCTACTGTTGGTACTGTTGGTACTACTGCTACTTTTAGGTGTACATAACTAAATCGGGACTGGATATACAGTTCAACTGCTTGACCTGGATATACTATAAAATAACTAGAGTCCTGGATAATAGAACTTGAATACTGCATAACTTTTCTCTATTATTATTTCTCCATCTTTCTTGCGTTTGCAGACCTTTGTTCCCTTACTGTAACATAAAGAGTCACTAGCCAGAGAACCGTGCAAGAGATTATACGTCTTACAAACAAAGAAAGTAAAACCTTGCTTTCAGCATATACAAATACCCCAAATTGAATTATAGCTATTATTATATATTGCCGGGTTCGTTTACCACCAACATCGGAATTGTATAACCCTAGATTTGGAGTTTTTGGTTGCCAAAAATAGAAGACATCAAACTCAAGAAGAGAATTTGAGGGGATTTTGAATTCTCCGCTACCTATGGTCGTAGGTGTTTAAATGATCTGCAGAATAGCTTCATATCGATGAGATACTAGCAATGTCACCGAGTTGACTCATTGTGGAAAGATGATGAGATCCTGCATTATCCACTAAGAATACTTGTAGTTAGTCGAAAGCTACTCTTATATGCGCCGAGAAGCAAACAAAAGACATCTATTAAAAATTACTTAATAAATGGCAAGAGCAACAGTAAGACACAAGCTTTGCGGTCAATATGTTTGACCAGAATGAGGTTAGTTTAGTCTGATAGAGTTTGTACTTTTGACTGACGAGACCTCAGAATTGTCACTATCTAGGTATGGTTGGGTGCGGCTGATCCTTTTTGTATCGCATTAAATCGTAACCTATCTTAGCAGTAGTTGAGTGTGTCTTCTATAGCCTCTCCTTCACTAGGTAGTAGGTACACTGCACTGCTATTCTGGTCTGGTAACATTGTAATCCCCTTTATGCTTCTCTATTTAACCAATTACTGACATTGGCTATAGCTGCTTCTATCTTCAGCACTTCTCAACTTCCATAGCCACTGTGCATCATTGATCTAAATATTTTTGGTACATATCTGGATATCGGTTGCCAATGACAGTCATCTTGGCTATCAACTGAGAGAGTTCTTCCAAATCTTGTTCTTTAAGAGAAACATGCGTAGAATTTTCCACTGCACGCCCAACGGTGGTGCATCCTGGAATGGGAATCACAGCAATGTTCCATTCAATCGCCCGAGAAGTGACCCATGCAATCGCAACCTGCGGCATCGTATAACCAGTCTTTTTTGCCAGTTGCTCAATTTCTTCGACTAGCTTGATATTCAAGCCAAAGACCTCGGGCTGGAAGCGTGGATAAAGGCGGCGTGCATCACTCTCGGGGATGTCATCGAGCTTTTTGATCTGCCCCGTCAAGAATCCCCGAGAGAGCGGAGAATACGCGATTATGGGGATCTTTAGCTCTGAACATGTTTGAGCAACCCCATTACTCAGAACGTCAGTGGCAAACAGCGATAGCTCGATTTCGACGGCAGAGACGGGGTGAATAGAGTGAGCGCGTCGGATGGTGGCAGCACTGCACTCGCTGAGTCCGTATCCACCTATCTTACCTGCCTTTATGTATTCCACAAGAGCACGCACGGTCTCTTCAATCGGGACTTGGGGATCAATGCGTCCCGGTGAGTAAATGTCAAGGAAGGCTTTGCCATCCAGGACTTCCAGGCAGTTATCAACACTGTTTCGAATGCTCTTCGGGCTATTATCCGGACCTGCCCTGCTGAAGGCGCCCTTGATACTGAGTATAACTTTCTTGCTGTCTTCGGGATATGTCGTGAAATAATGGTTCAGCACATGCAGAGAGTTTGCTGTTGGCGTTCCATAGTATTGGGCAGCGCTCCAGAAGTTAGCACCATTGTCCAAAGCTGTTTTCATGACTCTAGACGCTTCATCGTATGGCATTGCTGGTGGACGGTTAAGACCTATTAAAGATATTAGCTAAATTGTGGCCGTAGTCTGTGTATGATCTTGGCGCCGAGCACACACCCAGCATTCCAAATCCAATAGGCCCTGATTGTTTGCCAGCAACTGGGAAAGACATTTTTGATAGATGAAGATGCTGCGATGACAGCAAAGAAGATAGCGAGTCTTGAAATTATAAGTCGATTTATTGAAGGATTTGAAGACTATGATTGAACTCTGTCGTTTGAAGGTGAGAAATGTATTCTATGAGGTGCAACAACAAGTTATATATACTACTAAAGAGACTCACAAAATCCCTAGCTTCAAGTAATGCTCGCTTCAATTGTAGATCTTATTCGACGTAGTTGAATCAGTGGAACTGCAGGTTGAATAGCCCCATTTTTCTTTTCGCATGTCTTCTATGGCTTACGCATGTCTTCTATGGCGTAAGCCATCTGCTAGACAGGATCCTTTGTCTCGAAATCCCATGGATAACATGAATTCCTTCCATGTAAGCATTAGTAGCATAAACCTAGGTAGGTTTCATGGCTGATGGCTGATGCATGGTGCGGTGCATGGATAAATTGTATTCTCTTGTTTGATTGGCCCAGAGAGCGTCAGCCACGGTGCCGGAGATTGCGGAAATGGCTTCATATTCGCCGGTATCCACCTATAGTCACTTGGATGACTACTAAATCGTTATAGCAAAATAGCCTAGACTGACAAACAAGGTGAAAGTTCATTCGAAGTGTTCAGGAGCTTAGCAATAGTCATCGTTGCGATTCCATCAATCCCATGACCACGCGTCATTTCATCATTGGTGTCAAGCAGCATCATGATGAATGACTTTCCGCAAGCTAGTAGTAGCCTAGCGGGCGAAAGGAGACGAAAGCGTATCATCACAGATGCGCGAAGAGAACAAAACAGGGCAGCGTCCAGGGCATATCGTAAGTCTCCGCTCGGCCAAAGGCCCTGTAGTACATCGGAGAGCTGTTACTGAACTCTGAGGTAGGCCAGAGACAGAGGCAGGCCTCTCAGTTGCTGCAATACAATGCCAGAGGCTGCCCAAGAAGATATCATGAACTCAAGCCACGCCGCCTTTCTGATACAAGGGAAAGTACCTCGGCTCTATTTGGAAGAGCTGGGGTACCTTTCATGTCAGCTCAGCTGCAGAATAATACGTGCATCAACCCCTGCCTTAATAGCATTTCTTCTCAACCAGTGTCTCTTGAAACTATTGGAGACTATTGTGGGACGATTCAGCATATATCTTTTCAGGGTAAAGATGTGATTCAAGACGGGTACTTTTCGTTATTAGAGACTACCGCTCCTCTTGACGTCGGCATTGGTGACCACCGAGGAGGCAAGGATCCTGTTTTTGATCCTACGGTCCCTTCACTGCCTATCACGAGTCTCTATGAGCATGGAAGCGCAACATCTGGAACTACTATCCTCTCATCGAATTCACTCATTGGTTCCTCGCAAAATCTTCTGTCTCTAGAAGCTTCTCACTGCGTTAGCTCCGAAGCGACTTTGGCGTCTCCAATGCCATTAGACGTTACAATCGAGTGTGAGGCAGTGAAGAATTCGGTGTACCTATCTCCCCTCTCGTTGAACTCAAAACAAATATCCCCATTCCATTCGCAGAATTCAAGGTCTCGATCCAAGCCCCAAATTTTGGACCAATATCACGACCAAAGTCTTTCGACCAACGAGTTTGGGAATCAAGGCCTTGCGCTGGAATCTTTCTCTTATACTGACTTGGATATCGTATTTGAATGCCAAGCTCAGGCTCAAATCAATTCAATGTACTTGGCCATGCCTTCTCTTCTGCCTGATTTCTACAAGCCCCACTCCCGGCGGTCCAAGTTATCACCATCCATCGCATACATGCATGTCGCTATTCTTCTGGGCATTACGCTCCACGATCTGGTAAATAGCAAACCTTCTTCGCCATTCTATCGCCAAACTACAGCAGAAGACGATCCAGAGGTCCTCCTTGCGGCAGCTGCAATTCCTTCTCTACCAGCGCATCTCCAACCAACGCTACCCCAGATTCTTTTTCCCCACAATCCCAACCTTGATCTTCTACCGTTTCCTGTTTTGCGGGCTCGAGCTATTACCTTGGCAGCGACAACTCCTCAGCTGGTCAATTCCAAAGAGTTAAAGATGGACATCCTCCGCGACGGGCTGATCTGTTGGCATAGCAGGAATGATGGTGATAATGGGATTGGGCAGCCTTGGGACATCCATAGCTGGGAGGCCGCGTCATGGTTCAAGAAGAAGTGGCGTATGTTATTTGATGAAAACGATAGTCATCACTTATACTGAGATCCTTTTCAAGTTATATATTCCAACTGCTAACTAGATCATATGGTATGCTGTCTCGGCAATATAATGCCTACACTGCAATACTGCTTTAGACGTGGTATCCATACACGCCCTTTACAATCTTGACAACCGTTTCTTTCTCCAATAGGTTTTCTTCAGCAGTGATTTTGTAGAACTCAGCCAACTTAGGCGTCTCTTGATGTGTGCGTAGACCACTGATGGTGTTGAACCTGAGTTTTTTCCATAAGCTGCAAGTCATGGTCACATATGATGGGGCATTCGACTTACTTCTCTATGGTATAGATTGCTTCAAGTCCTTCAGCATCTACCTCGGTACAGAGCCGAAATTCGACGCATTCTGGCTCATGCTCTTCTGCGTATTTCCCGATAGCTTTGACGAGATCGGCGACCTGAATAGGATCAGCATCGTTACATGACTGCAAAATAGCCTCGTGTGTAAGTTCACAGAATACTCACTTTCTGAAATGACCCAGCCTTTGGGGTGATAGTTGCCAAAATAGCATACATTGTGAATTTAAGCTTGGTAGCTGAGTCTTCTTGAAAAGTATAGGTTGGTCTCTTTGCGAAGTGTTATTATCTTAAGGCGTTGCTGATACCAAATAACAGTTTCCACATATAATACCTAGCGGAAGCTTGCTTGTTATATGAGCATTTTCTCAAGACTGGGAATCCGAATTCAGCGGCGCAGTTACCTCTGACGTCGTTGTAGGTCAAAACCGTTGTAAGCGAACAATCAATTCCCGCTGTTTCATGCTGCCTCTCTTCCCCACCTGCCGTGATTTACAATCGTGAAATTTGGGTTTCATCGTTTTGTTTCTATATCTGGCTTTGCTTATAAATGAGAGTGATCAACAGCGTGAATAGGATGTCGTGTTTTGCCTATAAACTCTCTTGTTAGAATCATCATCTAGACATGCAATCGAAGTGTTGAAGATCTGAGTATACCTAAGCATTTGTAATAGTGCCGCAAACATGAATAAGGCTGAACGCTTCTTTTTTATTAGAACTTAGGCGAACAGCTGAACAAGAAAGAATGCTAAGTATGCATTCACGGGTCGAGTATCTACCGCGTGGTCGCCGCAGTAGAAAATATCGTAGAGTTATCTGGCAACCAGCAAACGTGCGATTATACATCTGAAAACTACCTACCTACTTAGGTAAATATCTTCACGGTAAATCTATCAGCCAAGGTCTTATCAAGCAATTAGCAAGACATTGGGTCGCAAGAAATAACTGTATAAGACAAGAATGGAGAATAGCGGATACATGTGTCTAGCCAAAATTAGAAATTTGATTGCCATGCGCTTATAGTATTTCGAGCAATTATCTCAAGCTGACGTTAACGCTCGAGCATTCAATTTGTTTCCAGAGCAACATAAGTGTTTGCGCTCGTTCTTCCACTTCAAGGGCCGCTTTGGAACCCAAAATTTTATTGCTCGAGTCTCACACTTTGCAAGTTATATTTCTCTTCCCGCTAGAAAATCGGGGCAGGCAGACATCACACCCAATCTCGAAATATCTGACAGCTATACTGCCCGCCGGCTTTCAGCCCTCTTCATAAAGTCTGGCCCCATATACTCTTTCCCTTTTTTTTTTTTTTTTTTTGTTTCACTGACATATTGCGCCCAAACACATCCGATCATCAAACAAGATGCGAATGTACAGCAGACGATAAATGCCAGTATAGGCGTCATATAATGCAGCCCGCATCGCTCTTGGTTGTTGGCCTCGTCACTGGCCAGGCAATAGTCGACCAGTACAGTGCTACTATTTTCAAACTCCGGCGAGAATTTGCTGATTGATTAGTGATGCAAACTCGAGGCCATGATAGCAGATAGGGTCATGGCCCCCCAAAACGAAGCCGACGAAAAATGTGGCCAAATTTGAGCTTGCCTACTACGCTCTTCGGCTGTCTTCGGTAAAAGCGCACTTGTGAATGGCAAAAGCGTACTCGACGTTTTTACGTTGGACTCGGTCGTGGGATATTCATGCACAGGCTTATAAGTGCAACGCACCTTTTTCGGTCATCCGACCTGGTGGAATGGCAATCAAGAACAGCGTGCGCTGGGTGTCTCAAGTTATAGAGAATCGCAATCAATCAGTCCAGGCAAGCTCTGGTTAGTTGCCCTGCTTCATTCGCAATGGGCAGAATTGCTCCATTTACTGTTTGTCCAAGATGCTGAGTCGATCTGACTGCACTGCTTATCGATAGATTACGGGGCGTCTTGCTCAGTGCCGGCTCTGGAGCTAAGCCTCGGACTTTGCTGCAGCGCTCACGCTTAGCTCCGTCTCTCTGGATCACCGCTTCTAAACAAGGACTCTCGAGTTTCCTTCATACTTCTGATGTTTATTTTGATAGCTTCTTAATACATACCCGATGGCTCCTGTGATATTGGGCCTATCCCATAAACTACTATATCCACTCGCTATTTTCTGCAACAAGCTGATCTCCTTCTCGCGGGCAATGAATTTATGCCGGATTTGTGATAGAGAGTTTCGCCGCAAGTATTTAATAGTCTCTCCTCATACTTTCAAGTCCATGGATGAGAAACTGACAAGACCACACAATAGGGATAGCCTTACTCGGCACATGAAGATGCACGAGCGAGGCCCCAAGGTGCGCAGAAAGTCTTGCAACCGCTGTCAAAGGTAGCAGCTTGTAGCGATGTCCTTTCAGAGAAGAGGCAAATGTTAAGATATATCAATGCAGATCGAAGATTAAATGTTCTGGAGATCATCCGCAGTGCCTCGCGTGTTCTCAGAGAGAGGTCTTGTGCGCATATCCTTTGAGTAGTACTGGCTGCGACCAAAAGCGCCAATGCGACTCTCTCACGAAACCGGCGCATAGATCAACTCCAGGCGTTACCGCACCCTATATCTTCAGTCATCAAACAGAGTGTTCAATTAGCCTGGAAACAGTTGAAGCGAATGGCCGAGGCTCACAGTTGTTCTCATCAGAGACAGACATACAAAGCTCAGCATCTTTTACGCCATTTCCAGTACCAACCTTTGGTCCGCTTATCACCGAAAAGGCTGGTGAAATCTTTCCTCATAATAATTCAATTCCCCATTGGGAAGCTGCAAATATTGATTGGATGCTTCGAGATGCTGGAGATAGAGTCGATTTTAGCACTCTCGGCTTCTCTGCTGATCTCATCCCGGTGGACCCGACCTCACACTTACTCTGGTCCACGTATCAAAATCCTTTCAATGTTGCCCAAGAACCGGCCTCTAAGTACAAGGAGAGCGCGATACAGCAAGAAGGCTGGCTGCTTGATCCTCCTGAACTTGCTGAGCAATCTTTGGACGTCCCTGAATTAGGTGAACATCGGGTTGACCAATCAATGACTGGATCATATACACAATTGCGAGATCTCACTGATGACGATCGAGATCGTATCCAACAAACAGCCAAAGCCTGTCTCGAAGAGCCAATATGGGCACCTATTTCATTTGCGGCCTTCCCCAGCAAAGAAAAACTTGATCACTGTATCGATCTGTTTTTTGTCAACTTCCAACCAGTGAGCTAAGTCCTGATTACTTTAGTGTTTTAGCACATTCTCATCTAATGCAATTCAATAGGTCCTGAGCTTCATTCACAAACCTACTTTTGACCCTACAGTCGCGCCAGTCACGCTCATTCTTGCTATCGCAAGCATAGGCGCGCGGTTCACCAATCTTAGCGGGGCAGCGTCTTTTGCTAATGTTATCGCAAAGCTGAATCGCCGACTCCTACTCTCTACGGTTCGTTGTTTACAACCGGGCACTATAAATAAGACACCCCGACACTGATTTCCTGTTAGGGCGAGCGCGATCCACGAATTGCATGTTCTGAACCTTTCATGGCGGCACAGTTGCTCCAGGGGATCTACGGATACTGCAGCGGCGATAGAGTCTTGTTCAATTATAGCGAGACTTTAAGATGGTCTCTAATCCAGACAGGGAAACAAGTTGGCCTGTTTCATGACACGCCGCGACGGACTCCCTCGACTAGAACCGAGAGTGTAGAAGCTCAATGGAGCTCCTGGATCGCTTTCGAAAAACGGAAGAGGCTGGGATGGGCCATACACGTATGCTTCATCTCTTCGAGTTTAATAACGAAACTAAGCTGCAGCTTATTCTAACTTTTTGGTAGGAGTTCGATGCCCTGGCCAGCGTTCTTCATAACCAGCGCCCTGCTTTCAGCACACCGGATTTGACCCTGGCACTCCCCAGCGATGCAGATAGCTGGGAAGCTCCGTCAGCCCATGCGTGGATGGCCTTGCATCCATGGAAGAACGAGGCCGATCCAGTTGGCTTTAGGCTCGCAGCTCGCAGCTGCTTCGATGCTACCCTCATCGACAAGATTCAGCTAACTGATACACAACATATCCATATCATCATGATCACACTAGCTCGCTTTGTGTGGTCACTTAAAGAGTTACAGGTGTCTCCTCTTATGGACGTGGTGCCCGATTATATGCCAGTTCCTGACCATAAAGCAACACTTACAGACAAGATGGGAGATTTCTTGGTTTCGCCTCACGATCTAAAGTATTCCATGGCCACAGACGACCGCACCCTTCGCCATGTCACCCAAAGAGCTTTGATCATCCACATGGCATACTTGTATGGCGCAAGCGATCTGATGGACTGGTTGCCGGCTTTACTTCGCAGCGCAGGTTTCAACAAGCCAGCCCGTGAGCGCATGATCAAATGGGGAGAAGAAGATCCGGCGCGAGTACGCAAGGTCATCTACCACAGCTCACAAATCTTGGGAATCTGCCGTGACTTTCCTTTCAACACTCCATACGAGTCTTTTTACGCCTTTTACGCTGGTGCGGTATTATGGTGCGCTGCTACACTCCTGGCTTCTCCGCTCAGGGATAGCATTTGCAGTGGTAAAGACGAAAAGTCTGATTCCGAAATCAACAGAGTTATCCTTCTGTTGGATAGGCCTCCAGTTAATGATGCGGCTAATTGGACTGCTGGCATTCTGAAGTGGGTTCGCGAGGGCGGACGGTATATTCAGCTCGGCATGTATGGCGTACCAATGCTGGGCAGCCCAGAGAGTCGAGTACAGGTGGTTCAAGAAACGGTTCGTGTGTTGCAAAACATGCGCGTTTGGGATATTTCTCGAGCATTTGCGTCTACTCTCAGGCGCCTCGTACGAGCTGTAGAAGTGACCCATCGATAATAGAACTGATCGCCCTCCTCTCCCATCTACATTGATGGCTCAAGCCTCACTAAATGAATTACCGTTTATTGGGCTGATCAACAACGTATACAAGTCTCCTCCCCCGTACTCTTCCAGCTTTCATGTCTTCTAACCCAGAAACGATTCCATCCAGCCCTCCGGGGCGAACTTCAGCAGCGCTGGGTTTAATTGCATTTCGCGCAATGAGCCGCTCAGCACGGCGGGCAAAATCAGTTGCAAACGTTACGTCTTCGACATTTATGTCTGCTCGAATCCCTATAGCTTCAAACAGAAATTCTATGTTCAGCATCGTGAATCCGAAGATGTTGACAGTCGTAATGCGTCGATCACGAATTCTAGCTCCCGTAAAGCTGATGTACTTTCCTCCAGAAACTTCCATATTAGAAGCACAAATGGCAGCTGATTGCTCCGTTGCTATGCAGTCGACTGCAATTTGTATCTTGCCTTGTGTAGCAATTCGTAAATCTTCTAAAGTAGATGGCGCATCCTAATGATGTTCAGCTTTCAGGTAATTTGGGAGACTGAGCTCTCAAACGAGCTCCACGCAGTGAGTAAGATTCAGACTACATAAAGACTCACATGATAGAAAATGTGATCGGCGCCGCATTGCTTCACTAACTCATGGCTGGCCCGAGAGCACACGGTGTATACGAGCAAGCCCGACCTTTGTACGAACGTAAGGATCCCGCTTTGTGCACATGTCAAATGAGTCAATTGATGTAATACTTACAGTTTGGCTAATTGTATTTGCATTAAGCCATTTGAAGTACCGCCTCCATAAATCAAGATCGATTTGCTTCTGCTCTCGTCGTCTGTCGTAGGTGTGCTGCTGACCGCTTCACTTGGAAGAGATGGATATGGCACTGAGAGATTTCGATAGAGAGAGAACCCACTGACGAAGATGGGCGTTGGCAGAGTTGCACCGCTTTCAAACGACATATCATGAGGAATATGTAAAACGACGTGGGCCGGCACAGCAACATACTGGGCAAAAGCGCCGTCGTTTGGTCTCAAAGGATTGCCTGTAACACATTTCGTTTTATCAGCACAACTCGTCAACAAAGTTTTGAAAGCATAAACCAATGCCAATTACGTATTGAAAAGATAAAAATAAAAGCAGTAAATATATTCTGACCTCCTGCTGTAAAGCCAATGACACGATCGCCGACCTCGATTGCCGTAACCTCATCGCCAATAGAGGCAACCGTGCCAGCGAGGTCGCAACCAAGAATGGTTGGTGCTGACGACTTAGCACCGTAGAGTATCTTCCAATCAATTGGGTTCAGACACACAGCGGCAACTTTGACGACAACTTCGTCATTGGCAGGTACCGGAGTTGCACATTCTGAAACTGTGGCTACGCCGCACTCGCGGTGATGAAGGGCGAGCTGAGACGTCATATGATCCAATTTGCCGACCGGAGAACAGAATAGTGATGGCGTTGGATTCTATGTTTGTGAATCAATGAACAATCGTAAATATTCCTTTACAGTTGCCATTAAAAGACAAGAACAATTGGTCTGGTAACTGTCCAGTATTATTTGTTTGAGAATCATTTCGCACTGTCCTCCGGTGAGCTAAAAAGCTCATGGGGCGAGTCACTTACACATCGTATCCGACACACGTTCTCCGAGCGGCTGACAAAAACGTTCCACTGGTGAGCGTCGAACCACCACGCCGCTATCTGAGAAGAGAAATATAGATATCATAGTTGCTGCATTCAAGCTGGATATGCAAACATACCCATACCTATATACATATTTAACCTCACTGAAGCAATTGGTGCAAATATGTTCCTCTGCAGCCCTCTGCGTGTAATAATTCCAGTGTGGAATTTGTACAGAAAGATTACCATACACAAAAGGCAATTAGTTGGTTATAAATCTAAAATCAACAGAAACTAACCATGATTTCATTGTTCCGTATTTACGGGAATACTGCGCAACGTATATCACCGTGATTATCCACCTACTGGAGATAATGGAGATATCGACTTGGAATTTGCGCCTGACGCCAAGAGTTGAATAGAAAGAAAATATTTATGGTCTCGACCCAGGAGCATGGAAAAACAAGAATTATTAAGCCAATGGGCGTTAATTCTAGGCGATTTAATGGACCAGGTTCGTGTCCATATTTGGCTGACACGCTTTCTATGTGGATCTTACACAGAAACTCCGCGGCGCTGATGTGGTGGCGCTCTACAGTAAGCTTGGAGCATTGCCTAAAAGAGATGTATTGATATACGCCGTTTGGTGAATAGATTGAGAAATTAGGAAAAGACATCTTAAAGAAATCTCTATATATGATCCCGATTCTAGCTCTTTTTATTTTTTTATTCCCTTGATCCTTCAATCCAATTCAGAACTCTCTATTCATTAACTAGTCTCAATACCTTGCCGCTTTGCCTCAGACAACATGGCTCCTCCTACCAACGGCGATTCCATCTCTGGGCACGACCTGGCTACAACATACGCAGATAACATCAAAGGCAAAGTTATCCTGGTGACTGGTACATCTCAAGGCAGTCTTGGAGAGGAATATTGTCTAGCAATTGCCAAATCTGAGCCCAAACTTCTGATTCTCGCGGGCCGCAATGCCGAAAAGCTCCAGTTCATCATCAGCGCCATTGCAAAGGCCAACCCCAAGGTTGCCACCAAATCTCTCAATCTCGATCTTGAATCTGTCGCAGAAGTGAAAAAGGCGGCCGCTACCGTAAACTCTTGGGATGACGTGCCACACATTGATGTCTTCTGCCACCACGCAGCCATCATGGGCACTCCATATGGAACCACAGTTGACGGATTCGAGAGGCAGCTGGGTGTCAACTATATCGCTCCTTGGGTGTTCACCAACAGCATCTTGCCCAAGATTCTCAAGTCGCAGAGCCCACGAATTGTACTACTTAGCAGTGATGGCCACCGCTGGGGCCCCATTCGTTGGCATGACCCCAACTTCAAGGTAGTGTTCAACAGCTTGGCTTCGTCGGAACAATATCAGTGGCTAACAATCTCCATCATCTCATCGTATAGGGTGGTGAGAACTACAACAGATGGCACGCTTATGGCCAGTCAAAGACGGCGGTTCAGCTTTTCGCTCTCCATCTAGGCAAAGTACTTGGAAAGAAGGCGCAAGTTTTTAGCGTCAACCCCGGTGTGATTATGACCCCATTGGGAGCAAACATTGACTGGGCCGGCGAGTTTGGAGACATCAGTAAGTTTTCTTTTTACACCGATACAAAGACATGCTTCATTTTACTAATTCTTACTCTAGTTCGAATTGATTTGGAGCTCGGTAATGATGAGGCAGTCAATGGCTGGCCAAAGTACAAGAGCAAGGAGGCCGGTATTGCAACAGCTGTGTATGCCTCCTTTGACCAGGATCTTGCAGGTGAGCATTCAAGTATCTGGATATCAGGCCCCAAACTCGTTCTAACTCGTATTAAGACCACACTGGCGCGTATCTCTTGGACTGCCAGGTTTCGAACCCATATGTGCATACCGTTCGACCATGGGCATTTAGTGAAGTCGAAGCTACACGGCTCTGGAAGTGGACGGAGGAGCTTACCAATGAGAAGTTCTCATTCTAGGTTATTTTGCTCTAGTTGTACCACTACTTGAGATTTAGGATACATATACTCGTCATAGATAGATAAATGCAGATGAAAAATGCATCTCGATCCAACTGATGGGCAGACGTCTGCTCAGCTGCTGACACTATCCACCTCGTACGGTTTCGCAAATTTATGGAGATAGCGGCTTACTGGCGTTCCATATTTGATAGAGGGCACATGATTGAAGAAAGAAGATAAGTCTCCAAGTAATAACTGAAACACCCAGTAATCAGAGCTCGCTCATGATATACGTTTACTATCGGGAAGATTCTTGCGAATACCACTTGCTTAGGTCAGCAGCCATTTGCCCGGCGGGCGCCAAGTCGTAAGTTATCACAAGCGGCTTAAGCTTAAATAATAACCGATGAGGCTAATTCAAGGAAAATCCCTAATAGCCAGTTCAATCCACTCTCGTTTAGCTATTCTTTGCCCCTTTCCTAGCACTGTAGATCCCAAGATCGCGTGGTAAATCTCCAAATGCAGGTGTTTACACGCCCATGGTTATTGTTAATTGCTATCTGATAACCCCGCAAAGATGATGCGGATATTCTATTTCATCACGGTGGCAAAATAGAATAAAATCCGCAGCAGCTATAACCTCTTTCACAACTCGGCCGCAAAGATATATAGGAGAAAACGGGATACAATCGCTCAAAGAGGTAAACGGAAGGTGACCTTCCGTCAACTAGGAGTTATCCGTTGCCTCAAAAGAACATATCTCATAACTCATATCACTTAATGTAGCAGTCAAATTGAGGCTATAAAAACAATATTAGCCATAGCTTCAAGCATGCTATTAGCCGTAGCCATACTAAACTGGCTATAGAGAGACACTGCTTCGACGCATTGTATAAGGTGGCATCGCCTCCGTGCGTGATATGAGGTGATGCAGCTTCTGCACATGATAGGGGCGGAACTGCCTCTATGTTATACTAGGTAGCACACTTGGAATCCCTGTATACACCCATCGACGGTTAAATCTTTGTTTCCATAGGTGCATGAAACATATGCAGACCGGAGCCTTTTTCCACCAATCGTAGATTTTGAGCTTCATACCAGAAACTTCTATAAATACCTGTATAAGAAGTAGACGATGCTATACATCAAATAGGTCGTCTACCATTACCAACGTTGAAAAAGGAGCCAAGACATACAAAATGAAGTCTTACGCGAAGCTGACTCTTACGGCACTCGGCTGTCTTGCAGGAAGTGTTCTTGGTCATGGACAAGTCCAAAACTTTACCATCAACGGCGTGTACAACCAGGGCTTTATCCGTCTGTTTCTCTTCCTCTTTTGGTTCCCAGCATTCTAGGCAGCATCTAACATATGTGCTCCAAATAGTTGATTACTATTATGACAAGGTCAACACTGGCAAATTCCCCAATGTTGCAGGCTGGTATGCTACAACCCCAAGATCGCCGCTGTTTATCTTGCTGCAAAGGTTTGAGTAAATTACTTATACGTACGATACAGGTACGCCGAAGACCTAGACCTAGGCTTCATTGCCCCTGATGCATACACTACGCCTGATATCGTCTGCCACAAGAACTCGGCGCCTGGTGCAGTCACTGCGACTATACCAGCTGGCGGCACCATTGTTTTCTATTGGGGCCCTAACACATGGCCACACCCATACGGCCCCATTATCACGTACTTGGCTCAGTGCAGCGGCTCATGCACGAATGTGGACAAGACATCGCTACGCTGGGTCAAAATCCAGGAGTCGGGCATCAACTATTCTACTCAAGTCTGGGCGAATCAGGCTCTTATCAATCAGGGCAACAAATGGAGTGTGACTATTCCATCAAGCCTCAAGGCCGGAAACTATGTCATCCGACATGAAATCCTCGCGTATGTTACTCCCTGCCATCAGCTTTCTCCTAAAGTGAATAGCATTGATCTAACTTACTTAGTGCACATGGTGCCCAGAGTGCGAATGGCATGCAAAACTACCCGCAGTGCATTAATCTTGCCATCACTGGGTCGGGCTCTAAGTCGCTTCCTGCTGGAACTGCAGCAACCGCGCTCTATAAACCCACTGATCCAGGCATCTTGTTCAACCCTTACACTACAATCACGAACTACACTATCCCTGGCCCAGCTTTGTGGCAGGGCTAGATTTAGAGAATGCAGTGTAAGTTTCTGTAGCGAGGTCTTCATCACGCAAAGTTCGCTACGGAAGTATAAGTTGCGGAACTAAGTATATTCAGTGTTGGAAGTTCATTTAGGTAGAAGCCGCAGACAATCCAATATACTTGGTCTACTTTAACTATGTTGTCTCTGGGTGACACAGATTGATGCCTTCTGAGAGAGATTCCCACGTTAAATTCCCCGTGAGCAGAACCAAAGTGCGCAGCCGGAGGGATTTACGTCTTATAAACTCATTCCGGTTTCAAGTAAGACTTGCATGCAGCAGGTTTCGTTGCCGCGAAAGAATAGCCAAGCCAATGCAGAACTGGCGCTCCTAACAGGCTGTCTGAATTAATGCGGCAGTGTTTGTTTAGGGAAACCGTTAAGAATCCTTTCGCTTAAATGACGCCTGATCAATTCCTGGTCCAATTCAAGAGGCAAGCCCACCATTTGTTTTATTCTCGCGCAGCGTTTGATTCATGTCCACCCAGTCATGATCAGATACGATTGACTTAGCGTGATACAGATCTGATTCTCTGACGAGAAGACAAAAGCTTATGCCGATCGACGACGGACTCATCGATCGCGTCAATAATGCACATCGAATCTTTCGGTAGGCATTACCGAGCATATCTGTGAAGATCCCAAACATTACTGCTTTTGGCTAAAGGCGGCGGTTGGCACGTCGGCGACATGGAGCAACCAATTGGCAACGATAAGAGTGTCTTTGTGACATCATTTATGGAGCGTCCCTTCTATGAACTCAGCTTTGAAGCCAGCTCTGAATTCAAATTTCTCATCGTCAAGCTTCTTCCCATTATCGAATTTAAAACGAGCGAGTCATTGTCTAAAAATGCGCCAAAGCTCCATCGCGAAATTTGCCTCCACCCGAAACTTGTGCTTCATCCGAGACACCACATCTCCGTAAATGATACTCGACAGCCATCCACGCTTGCGCTACCGTCGCATTTTACCGAATGTCCTGACTTCGGCAGAGGAACCTGCAGCTCAAGAGCCCAATAAGAAGAGAAAGATCGCCATCGTGGCTTGCGACACATGTCGCGAAAAAAAGATTGCTGTAAGTCGCAAGTCCGCAGAACGGCTTGACGACGAGCCGTGATCTTCGGGTTCTTTAACAAAATACGATTCATAGTGCGAGGGGCAACGACCATGCGTGGCTTGCAAGCGTGCAAGCAGGACGTGCAACTATCAGGTATCACGAGGCAACGCAGCTCAGACGGTGCAGCAACTGCGCTCGTTGCCCTATGACGAAGCAATTCAACTGCTTCACACGCTTCGCTCATCTACAGAACTCAAGTTATCGCCAGCTCTTTCAGCGGATCATTCACCAGCGCGAAACAGTCTCGAATTTGAACTGTTGAATAGACATGTCGTCGCCTATCCGCCACTTTTTCCCGTCCAAGTCGGCTCACTGCCTCTGAGAGAGTTGCTGAGACCAACTCGCCTCCAGATCGAAAGGTACGCTCGGTAATGTCGACTAAGACAAGAATAAGCCTGAAGATTATCTTGATGCCAACGAGCAATGCATCGTATTAATTCGGCTGTAGCTCCCCGAATAAGAGCAACGCTTTACGTAACGGGCCATCTTCATCGAGACCGCTTTGCGATGATAGACTTCGTCGCATAGACATAAGCAGATGGACGGATGTCAACGTTGCTAATCAGACTGCTCTTGATGCGCTATCTTTCTATTTGGAAATCGACTATCCTATTCTACCAATGTTTGATGCAGATCTCTTTCTAGAGGATCTCATTAACCAGCGATCAGTTTTTTGTTCTCGCTTTCTAGTGAGTTCGTTGATGTGCTGGGCTTTTGTAAGTTGGTTCTATACGCATATTTGCTGGTATAATGCCCTCATGTCAATGTGGTAATTAATATTGGATAGTTGCCTTTCATCGCCATAGATTCACAAGCAGCAGCGCTAAGTGTAGCCTTTTTCGATGAAGCAATGTCTATTTTGCCACTGGAACTGACTCAGGATTCGATTACAGCTATGGCGGCCATTCAAATCTTGAGTATTACAGTAACAGCGTACGCAAAAGACAAGTGTGCTGTGCGGCTCGTTCAAGCCGGTGTAAAAATGGGGAAGCGAATGGGGGTTTTCGGATGCCAAGCCTCCACGGAGCTTCCCATACCGCCTGCTTGTAAGGAGAACAGCTGGAAGAGGGCTGTCTCATTTACGACATGGGGAACTTTCAACTGGGTGTCGTATGTGTGCGTTGTTTGGCTGCTGAGAACTTGTGCTGATTTGCGATCAATAGCCTGCACTGTCTCCACTACCAGACTGTAGAAGTCGAACCGCCTTCAGCAATCCCCATGCCAGGGGATTTGATGGACTTACCAGATCCAGAAAGCAGCGAGGCAGTCGCGAGCAGAATCGATTGTACCGTTTTTCACGCCTCTTGCAAACTGTGGGCAATCTTCAATGAGGTGTTGTGGAAATATTACAGCGAACGCAGTCCATCACTTGAGTTTGCAGAGAGCATATATCGCAAACTACTGTTGTGGGCGCAGACTCTGCCTCTCGATCTAATAAGGGGCAGAGAAAGCAGCCACGCTGAAACCATTATGCAGTAAGCAAATTGACTATGGCACGTCTTTGTTGTAGCTTGCTTACTGAAATAGCATGTACTTGCACATTATTGTTGCCGATGTGTTCAGGCCGTTTGTGCGATCGCCTCATCCATCACAACGCCTCAAGTCATTTACCTCGGCTCAAGCTGTTCCAGAAGGCATCTATGCGGCCTCAATGAACCAGTTGAAACGCCTAGTACTAGCCTTTCGCGAAAATTTCAAGAATGCCGCTTACTCCGTATTCTGGCAAACAAGTCTCATCTACCTTGCAAATGCTATGGTATCTGAAGCTAAGAGCGGTGACCCCGAAGGGAGGTTTTATCTAGAGCTTTGCCTTGCTGGAATGGAGGACTTGTATGGCTCTTTTCGCATATCCAAAGTCATCGTACAAAGTCTTTTATCGATGGCATTGCGGGAGGGTACTTTTAGCTACGACGAAGCGCGTCGTGTTGCCGCTGAGCTCGAACTCTTGGGGCGACATCATACTGCAGCTATCTGCGGCCATGCTCTAGATGCTGATGAAGAGGATATTGAGATTTCGTGGATATTCAACCTGGACCTTGCGTTGGAAAATCACGACGCCGCGCGCGCTGGTAACCAGGCACAGAACTACGAAGAGTTGATGGCACTTGATGAGTTCACAACCGGCTTAACAGGAGAAAATGATTCGAATATGACGGTGCGTTGATTTTGTCAGCGGGATGCCTGTCACCAGGATGCCTGTCACCAGCACTCTGTAAGCAGAATGTTGTGCAAATTTGATCGTACTGACATGACCTCGAAGAATTTCGCTGCAATGTCGGGAAATTATCTTATGCTCTTCATCCTAAGGGAAATGAAGGGTAAGAAGACGAGTTCAGGTCGCCGGACTATCGCTCTTGATCGTGCCCTTGTGGCTCTGACGGTGCGTATAATGACCAATAACGGACTTTAGCTAAAGAGCGCAAGTTACATGAGAGGTATGTGGTAGAAAGCAGCGTTTCTGGCATCGAAGAGAAACAATCATTCATTCGCATACGGGAAGTTTACCAACTAGCCCAAGACGAGCGAATGCCGTGCTACAATGGTACGTCCAGCTCTCATATTCCACCACAACATTGAGGACAGATGGCTTGAGAGCAAAAATGTGGATAAAGTAGAAGCTTGGCTCGGCTCTACGGCCTAAGGGCATTTTCTAGCGCTACTTGCTTATGCGAAGCCTAGTAAGTTACCTGCTCATGAAGCGGAATGGATATTTAGATAGATCAAAAATAGTAGATAGAGCCATGACCTTGAGTGTCCTTGGCGTCGTTTCTAGCATCAGCCACGCCTCACCTGCAATTGTGCAGTTGGCCATAATGAAGGCGGAAGCCATTCCCACGGGATCTCGAGAGAACATTCTCAACGGCTAGCAAGCAAGGTGCCCAAAGCTTGTATGCAGATCAGAGCGACCCCGCTTATACCCTCCGAGATTACGCCAAAAGCTTGTTCTTAGCTTGTAGCAAAAGTCAGTCCTACTCGTTGCTGTGCAGCTCTGAACTTTCATGCTTTTACATTTTCGTGGGCTTCATATAACTAAACAAAAAAACAACCATATAGAAATTCCGCCCTTGTTTGTTCACCTCGTTCTGGGATCCAACTTTTCAACGAAAATCACCATTAACATAACATTCTGCGAGAACGACAAACTGCGCATAACCACATCTTACATCGACTGACCAATTATCCGATCAAACACCAAAATATGCAGTTGAATATCAACCCGAACGAGCAGAATAGTAAACGTTTGTCAACTGGAGAAAGCCTTACCATCATTCTACAAGACTGTAATTCCAGACCCAAGTCGCATTTCTTGTTACCCAAGTGACACGCTTAGAAGACGCAACTATTTTTTCTGCTCTTGCCAACCTATCTGGAATTACAATCATTGCGTGCATATTTCAATGGATTCCAAAACAGATAATATCCCTTCGCCAAACTCTCGGCTGCTCAGCCAACCTCTTCTGGATCCAACCCAGAACTCAGAAAAAAAGGGCCTGAAGGAGTCAGCTGGTCAACTGAATTACCAGACAATCACGACGCACTCCGAGGAGACTAATATTGGTAAGCACATAGATTAAATGTGGTGCTGGGGAGAAGCTTACGCTAACTCATAATAAAGCTCCGCCTCGAGATGACAAGACTCCGCATCGGGAATGGGTAATGAGTACTGAGTATGCCGCATTTGAGGGCTACGCGGATCAGGATGCTCAGGCCGAGATGGAGGTCTACTACACTGATGACCAAGAGGAGCCTTGGTGGATTTGCTTTGTTCCATTCTGGCTGGAATGAGTACGATATCAAGGAAGATACAAAAACCCCGCTGCTTATCACTAAAGATTTCATCGTGAAGACAGGCGGTGTTTTTTTTTTTTCTTGCAGCCCGCATGGATATCCGGCTTGTACTTCTGCAAAATCCCCGCACAAGTCAATGATTCTTTCTTCAGTACTCATGCTTATAATTTATCAAGTCATAATGAGATTCTCCTAGTGTTCTATATTTGCTTCTACAGTAGGCCAGGAGCTAGCGGCATGATACCCCAAATTAGACCTAAATAAATGTATGAAACAAATCCCGGCAGCGAGCCATAATATTACTTTCATCTCTACAGGCGACTACTGATGCTTCATATGCCTTTGTAACAGATCTCTATGTGTACGAGATGCTTCCCGCTATGAGAATACATGATTAGATCACTTATTTATGATTCGAGGGAGACTAGCTGTATCTGCAATAAGAGGCGTAGCTCGCTCCACTGATGAGCCCTCTTTCTATGCGTCCTTGGTCATGCATTCTGAGGGATACGCACGTCCTGCAGACGGAATTGGCTGTCGTAAGTCTTGTACACGTCATAGCATGGGCGTCCTTGAGGCGGATAATATTTACACTATCCTGTCTTGTCAAAGGGGAGGAGCGGATGGTCCGGACGAGCATACACTTGAACTTGGTGCTTTGAGTATGGAGATCAGTCTAGCGTTTCCTTTCCATCGCAATTCTGTTACTCGTAAAAACCTAGATAGATTCAGATCGATTGGAGAAGCAACCAGCCCCCTTTGTAAAAAAAATAGTGGCGCTACCACCCCCGGGCGATGATGGTGCGCCAGTGTCCTAGAGATATCAACGGTATTGGAGAAAGAAATCAACCATACTGTGGAGTTTGCTGGGCAGTAGGGGCCGCTGAATAAACCTCGGGGACAACTCAGACACCGCTATTGCATGTGTCGCGTTATTACAGGGGGGGGGCATAGACAGTTCGTGATTTGGCCTTCTTCCACTAGCCACTAATCCGCGCTTCGATGGGTGTTTGCCATGCCCCTTGAATCTCGATCACAAATCGATGTGGGCTCTAGTCCATTACCATTCATTAATTGAGTAACGCGGCTGGAAATTTCAAAACCATCAGAATAGAGTGCAAGAAACAACCGGCCGAAAGGTTTCATCATTTTGCAAGACTTGTGGGGAAATCGCGTGTATATTGCGCCACTGATTGGACTACGGTGGATGCTCCGTGACCAATCATCCGGTAGAAGTAGTTGAGACACGGTGCGAAACATCAAGTGCCTAGGAGATTTTGTGGAAGATCGTCGAACGCCCAGAAGAATGATGGCTTCGTGCCAATTGCACCTTGACGTCTCTTACGACACGCTATCCAAGAGGAGTATAACAAGGAATCTAACAATGGTTGAATGGATAGTTCGCTCTTTTACCCCAGAGAACCGTTGCATTTAGTGATATCAGAGGCGAGACAACGGCACAACGGCTAGCGTACTCCGTTTACGGCCTCTGCTGTGCTATTTCCGGTCAATCAAGCCTTTCCTTGGATTCAATATCATCAGGCAAAAGCCCATGTTGCCCAATTTATATCATCAAGAACTGGACGACATGTGTCCTGATGTTCCTCCAAGGAGCGAGCCATAGCAGCAACATTGAGCCAAAGCAACAGCCCAAAGGCATGTCTAATCCACCGAAACATTCCGTCCTAGGGCAATTCATCTACTCGGTGTGAGAAATACACGTGCTGTGTGGCAGTTTCACGCGTACGCATTTCTCCCCCCCTCACATGCCTGTGGGCTCATATAGCTCGAACTCAAATCGACAGGCATTGTCAAAACCATACAAGGATGACAGAGGGGTGAGCTGCAGCCCGAGATGGAGAGTGGCGAAAACCAACAGTTGGAGAGCCTATGGATGAAATATTAGTTCTGCACCTAATGCTGAAAAGGATGATGCTCTCTGTACGTGTGAGAGGGATTCTTTGAGGATGATTTCCGTGATCAACCATTGGGTCTTTTCGATGTAGTATATCTTCTATTGACGTTAAGGCCTTTATTTGCTGAAAAGATCTGCGCCATGACTCTCTCCCATGATTGGCCAAGCAGAGATAAAATCGCAGGTTACGACGCCGGGTGGAATCTTGATTATGCTATGCTACAAATTTCAGAATATTATAGTTGGCATATAGCGATGCCAGTATTCCATTTAGCAATGCTAGGCTCCGCTTCCTTGATTGGCTATTACACGAACAATAGCCCTATTCAACAGCCACGACAGATAATGCATGATGGAACGGCACATCATACAAGCTTACGGTATTGACCGAACGGGAAAAAGCAGGTTCCAAGGCCAGCCTATGCATTTCCCACATTTTATGATTATCGCCACTGGTACTATGTCGCAAATGATGTTCGGGCGATTTGTCTCGAGGTCTAATGAAACTCAAACCACATAAGTGAGGCTTGACAGCTTTTTCTTGCCAAATTTACCAAGAGATCGTACATTCACTGCGCACTCTCAGTAACAAATAATCTCATGTCTTGATGCATTTCATACATACAACAGCCGCTTTCGACTTCATTGAGCTACCTACTAGCAACCATATCTCCTTATGCAGCGTGTTGGAACCAATCCGCCCTCGGGGTTTTCTGACTTGCACTTTGACTCGCTGAATCAAGTCAGCACCGATGATGGCAGTGAATACCCGCTGCCAACAGCATTCGAGCCATGGGATGCAATACGGTATTACACACAGCTCACAAACGATGACGCGGCCACGGCCATGGATCCAAATCTACTGATAACCTCCAAATCTGCCGGCTTAGGAAGCGAATATGACAGTCAATTTCTAATGTTATCAATGGATGGATCGCCAATATTATCCGAAACTTCACCTAATACCTCCAGTACACATACCCAGCCATCGCCAAGCTCTGTCACCAGGGAAGAGCAAAGCACGGCCAGAAAAAATAAGCGCAAGAGAGGACCGCAAAACTCCCGCAATCAGACCGAAAAGAAGGAGCAGGTCAAGCAGCGGAACCGGGTAGCCGCATCCAAGTGCCGACAGAAGAAGAGAAACAAGGTGGACGAGCTGAAGGAGCAACGTTCAATTCTTGAAGCGGAAAACGGCAAACTCCACAATGAATATGAGCGACTTCGCAAGGAGATTGGCCAGGTTAAGTCCGATCTGATGCACCATACAGAGTGCAACGACGATAACATTAATCAGTGGATTTCCAACGAGGCCAAGACGTACGTGGATAAGCTTGTCCAGAAAGAGGAGCGACGGCGGATGGGGAGCCTCAGCAGCTCGAATGGAACTGTTGAAGATGTTGAAAATGCTCAAGCGGGGTTGCCCTTTGGAATGCCAAGTATGGCGTCTAGGGGCAATCGCCTAGGGTAGTGATAAGGCAGGGAGATGTTTGCCCATCTCCCTGTCTTCTCTCCCAGTTCTCATCTTCATTGATCCATTCTCGACGACTTTTTATCATATTTTAATAGGTAGTGGTAAATATCACCATGTGTCAAAATGTTTCTTTGAGCGAGATATTTCCTTCTTTTTAACATAACAGTCTCAAACCCATATTAAAAAAAACATCTTCGCCACTTGAATTTACCCCGCTCTGGTGTTGAGGCAGACAACGATCTCAAGTGCGGCGAAGAGCTCGGAAGCTCTTCCGGAGCTTCTCATTGGTCAATCGTCTCAGCAGCGTGATTACTTAGTATGGGGGGGAAAATAAATAAATAAGGATGCGGTCACTTTGTTTCTCAAAAAAAAAAAAAAAAACTGCAGTGGAAGGCGATGAGTTATATAGGCGTCGCGCTTGTAGTGAGATGGCATTTACAGTGGACTCTTTCTGTTTGTTTCGATGTTTAGCTCTAGCGACTGATCGTACGTCCGGTAAGTGCATCATGATGAATTGTCGAATCACTCATAACACAGAGTTTACACTTATATCCACTTATAAATGAGAAATGACTTTTATTCCCCCTGTGTAATTGATATGAATACAGTAAGAGTGGGAGCACGCGTGCGATCGACTAAATCTGCCTTGATTCAAGGGCTGGCGCGCCAGTTTCGATTCGCAATGCTTGATGCGTCAACGAAGCCAACCAATTATCATAAGTTGTACACTCGCGAGATCGTTTTTTGAAGATGGTACTACTTATACACCAGGACAATACTAGCGTGTAATGTGCGTAAACTCTAGTAGGCAAGGCACAGAACGCGAAAAGAGCAGCAGGTGGACAATACCCGAATGGAGGGTTTCTTCCGGACTATGCAGGGAACTGCAACTTTCTCCGATGTCTATCGATCCAAAGCCAAGTTTGATGGAAAGGTCAAAGTTTGAACCCTTCATGGTCCGTTACAAAGGCCAGAAGATTCGGAGTATGTATCTAGATGGGCTGACCAAGCACAGCGTTTGGCATCCATAGGGTTTTACCTATTTGGTTCAGAGGAAGAGTTTCTGCATCTAAACAAGTGTCATTAGTCATAGATCGAGTTCTGATAGTACTATACCGTACCAAAACGAACCTGATCTTTGCCAGCTTAGTGGCTTCCTATTCTTGCGGTGGATCTCTTAGATTGACACATCCAGCACTATTCGCATTCCTTGGTACCCGTACGGCTACGTATATCAAGCCTATCTTTTCTCTGTGAGAAGTATCCAGCTTCATAAGTTCTACTTAGGCAGGATGGAAGCGATTTACTAGAATTAAGTCTTTATATCGAGAACAAAGCCTTGTAAGTGAATCCAGAGACATGGCTAGACGAGATAACTATGCTTAGATAATCGAATATTCGCAGATTCGAAAGCTTCATAAAGTATTCATATACAAGCACTTTAAACTGATTTTTCACACACTGTAGTTTCTCTGTCTTCGTAAGTCTACTTGTGCGCCATGACAGTGAAAGTCACCAGCATTGCGCGTAACTAAATGTAGAGACACTTCGAGACACAATCAAAGTCAAAAGCTAATTAGTGATAAGTGAGTTCATCAAACTTTCCCATAGACATGCTTTCTGTAAAATACGCCGTGAAATACTTCGCGACCTCACTGTTTATCAGCAAGGATAGCAAAACACAGTCACATAATTAATCCTCAACGACAATTGAAGGTCAACATATGAGAGCAATACAATCTCATCAATGAATAGATGAATATGGGAAAAAAGGAAGGAATCCACAATACCACAACAAGAATCAGCATTTGTGGCTGTTTACGCGTGCAATTAGCACTCGCCTGATTATGCGACATAACTTCCTCCATTACTTCATGTACAAGTCTTACGCTTGTCTCGTTATAGAGGCTCGTATAAGTTCAAAGCCTCATGAAGTATAACCAGTGCCCCCTCTTACTCCCTCAATACAACTATACTCTAGATCAGATTGACACATGGCCTTGAATGCTAATCTCTGGATAATCTCTCCGACTCTTGTTAGGGTTTTATAAACTACTATGGAGACAGATACTTTTGCAAAGACAATATCCTATCCGCTTTTCGATCTTTCATTCACGCAATTCAAAGAACAGAGACGGCAGTCAAAGATGAGTTAAGGAGGCATAACATTAATACGCATGCCATGAGAGTTTTAGCTCGTTTGGAGCGTTTGAGCTGGAGTAGTCTGTTTAAAATGTTGACGTTAAAACAGCATGGAGCACATGCCAAGTCAGAAATGAGTAAGGAGATGAAACAAGACCACCGTGGGCCCGCCGAGATGCCCTGCTTCACCGCGCACACTATCAAGATCTAGTACCCCATTACGTGGGGGGAAAGCCTCTAAAACTGCCAAGAATGGAGAAATGCTACTTCGACTCGCCCTTTCAAGGGTTTGAATGCCGAATATCACCTACCCCTACTCCGTACAGGAACCCAGTATTGAGCCCTTGTTAGATGACCAGCAAGTACCCATTGTTTCTTCTCACCGGCTATGGGGAAGTTATGGATAGACTTCTAGGCTGCCTTACCTTTCAGATCTTCATTACTATCGTGGAATAGGACTTAGATCAATATTGATGACATATAGCTCAGTTCTCTCCGTTGGCTGCAAGAGAAAGATGGCGATCCATTAAGGGGTAGATAGTTGTAGAGTTCATCTCGCACTTATTTCCTATAATTTCATCGAATAAGCATTCACTTCATTTCCTGAAGGTATATTTCTCTATTTCAGCTTACCCTTTACTATCTCGGCAAGTGGCATAGTTCGCCACATTATAACGCAATATCTGACCGGAGACTCCGATTACTTTTTCTTATATGCGTCTTTGGGATACAAATAATTATGCAAAAGCAAACTCTCCACTAGTAAGCCTGTTTCTGACCTCGATGACCAACTTCAGTGGTTGTCAACGCCCCTGCCGAAATCGGCTCCGACTCCCTGAACACTGCGTTTGGCTCTACCCTTGTAGATGCGAGTAATACACTCCTTTAATTGACAAGCTCTGTTCTCGTAGGCTCCGCAACATTGGGATGCAATAGGCAGAAATAGGCAGTGAAACAAGAACTATGTTATTCTAGGATTCTATCTCGATGTTACTAAGACTGGGTTAGCCATCGAGATCGATGAATAACGTTGGCCTTACAACATCCTTCTGAATTCATGCCGGCAGATTTTTTTTGGTAACTGGGCTCGGCATGAGTTCAGGCATCTTACTAAAAACCCCTAATAAAAAACTGAAAAGAGTTGTTAGGGGGGTGTGAGAGTGCCTACACCATATCTTATGTTCATGTCTTGCTTATATGCATGCCTTGCGTAGCACTGACTATCCTCGAGCAGTGTGCTATTCCTGTATAAGCAGTGAATGGAGTTGCAATGGCCATTGTGTACAACCATTACGTCTATGTAGAATAGACTTGTCGAGATGTCAGCTGAGCTTGCTGTCTTCTAGTATCACTAAACACATGCCTAGCCATATACAAAAGAGTACAAAAGAGGCAATGTTTACGAGATTATACTCTCTCTCCTGTTTGTTTAGACTACAACAGGATGGATCTATGATCTAATAGGGCTCCGCATCCTTTGATCTCGAGATGGCGATCTAGACACTTGTCGCCCAAGGCTACTTGCAGTAGTTAGTTCTTGTTTGGACTACCAGCTAGTATGCTTATTCTTATGAAACTTCTGTCTCCTGGAAAAAAAAAAAAAAAAAAAAAAAAAAAAAAAAAAAGAGAGCATATAGAATAAAATAAACATAAAATGGCATTTACGAAGACATCTTGAAAGAATGGGGTATCGCACGTGGTGATGCGCAATAACGGAAACAATGCACGAATAAACCTGGAGTGAGAGAGACCCTTGCGCGACAATTAAAAAAAAAAAGGGAGGGATACCCCGGGTATTTGCGAGAATGCAGCGAGCGCTTTCGGAGTAACACTGGGGCAGTTGATATGCACGTCAGTCCAGATGAGGAAAAAGAGAACTTTTTCAGCGCTTGAAATATTTTACGCAGCGTCTTACATACAGAGAGGTGTGCTTGAGCATTGTACCAAAAAAGAAAATTGCTACCAGGACAGGGGTTCGAACCCTGGCATCTCTCGATAATGGTGTTTAAGAAATAGATAACTTAAAACCATCGCCTTAGACCACTCGGCCACCCTGGTTTTCAGGCAGTGTGCGCCTTATTGTAGCCTATAGGGCTACACTAGCACTAAGTCCGATTCCCGCACAATCAGCCTTATGCATGGCCTCAAAGCGATTGACTCAGCTTTTGTCAAGGCGCCAAGATGCTGCACACGTGGATGCACATGTGCGTCTTATGCGCTGGTGGTCAAGGGGCATTTGTATCATAAGCCAAAGTGGCGCCACTCGATATCTTTTAGGTGGTCTGCGATACTCCTTCAATCGGTGAAATGAGATGCATGCTTGGACTTACATCCCTATCTAGACTTATCTGGCCACCTACCTATACACAAGAACTTTGACTTCGTTCCATGGGCTATCTCTTTCAATAACACCGTAGAGTCTCATGAGAGCGATAAGAAGCCGTGAGGGGATGCAGTGAATTAAGATAGATAATGCCAAGCATGATATAGGGTAGAGTGGTGATGTGACCCGCATTCGACCTATTGCACCGACCGAGGAGAAAATGCCAGGACTTCATCATCGTTAGCTAATGTATTGTAAAACCTCGGTCACATATATGTGTCAGTATCATACAAGCAAGTTTGTACCTTTTTCTTTGGCCAAAATATATTCTCAGTTTCAGAGTCGAGTGTACGCACAGCTCAACACTCTCGTGGCACCATCCCGCTCTCACACACACACGTGCATGCAGTCTGTAATCATGATCGGATCTGAGGCGCCTGAGTAATCATGCATAGCCACCCACACGTCACAAAGTATGGTGTGGAAGAATCATGGACTACGGAAAATTATTCTCCAAATCTGATCTACAGGGGTGACTCAGAAAATACGCGCCCTAAAGCATTGTAACATCTAAAATGGAACTACTACTAGGTTTCTTAGTATACCTACCTTAGGTACCTGAGATGCGCCATGTACAGCGGCTTGCCCGGCATATGTATTCCAATGTTAACATTGGTGATTCTTAACTGCAAAGATTGAGTACTTGAACAAAGAATCAGGTATATTCTCGACGTGCAGAGATTTTCCTTCTTCTCACACATCTGTGCTAGCATTTGTACCACTTATCTTGAGCCTAGAGGCACCCATGTTCAGCAATATCAGCATTGAATTGCTTCCCTAAGCTGAATTCTCCTCTTTAAACTATTCATCTAATATTCCGCTCCTTATCCCTCTTGGTGATAATTTGAATGAACCCCTGCTCTTTACTTCATCCATCTGGATATGAACAGCCACCGAGACACGGATTGCGTGCGAGATAGACGCTTTCGGAGTGCGCCGTGCGACGTGCGACTGTCGTATTTTCTTTAGAATTAGATTGTGGACCTTTCTCCATGTAGCTTATTGGGCTGTTCTTAATCATTTCGACTGATTGTAGTAACTTGTGGGGAGCATCTTCCATCTGAGCCCACAGCCAAACATTTAAAGGGAGTATCCATACCAGCTGTTTAGTCAAAGGAACGGTTTCAAGTTACAATAGGCAGAGATAAGTATTGGTCCCCTGCCAGATCTTAGATACCTATCGCAGTAGCTGGATTAGGTATCTGTATAAATACTATTTCAAGGCCAAAAAGCCCGCAGGATTGCCTACTTGGGATCCATCCATAGTTATGGTGGGCTCCCCGCGTAACATCAATTGCCAGTTACCTGTTTGACAGCTACAATACTACCCTCTTGTACAGTGGACCTAGCGTCCACAGCGGGCTCATGATGCCTACTAGGGCATATCTATAGCATCTATCGCAATAAGAACGACGATAGAGCTAGCCATCACCTTATCTAGAGTGCTAAATCTTGTTGGCGGCGTGTGACACATGCATGTGGCAGGCTTCTAGATAGAAGACATTTTTCTAGCGCCATGCAGCCAGGATTTTAAGAAGCAGCTACCTCTCATGTAGTACTTTATGACTATACTCTATCTATACAAGATCTATACAAGATAATAAACGTTTGCCACGTTTGCCAAATGGGGAATCACAAAGAAAAGGGTTTCTATGTAATACCTACATACTTCTTTTATTGCGCTACAAGATCGAAGAGTGGGGCGACCGGGGCTGGCGAGCCGAGCCGTGCCGGCGCTAGGGAGGACTTCCGCGTATTATACGAAGTAAGCGGACATCTTGCCTGCATGCTGGAATTATGACACGGCCGGTGAATCCTTTGTGGAATTACGGAGAAGTACAGTTACATCCTGTCGCTAAGAGCAGGTTCTACAAGTAACGGCAGCATGTACAAGTAGGTACTTGGTGTCACGGCGGGACTGATAACGCCGGTCTTTGAATCTTGATTAAGCATATGCTTCGACTACACTGCACACCATGCATTCGCCACTGAAGGATGCAAAGGGGTATGAATGCGTTTCTTGTCGCGAGGCAAGGGTGAGCAAAAATGATATCACTCGGATAAATGGGAGTGATACTGGGCAGCGCTATGAAGCTCGAGTATCGTATCTGCGGATAAATTAACCGCTCAACATGAGCTCACAATTAACGTGCTCAAACGCCCGACCATTGCATGTTATTGGTTAGACTGCGACTGATAGGCAGACAACGTTTTCTAATGCCCCAGTTGACTTACTCCAATTAGCCATCCGGACGTAGATTCACATGTTTAAGGTGATGATGTGAGACGGCGGATTGAGCCGAAGGAATGATGGATACAGTCGTCCCCACATTTAGATAACACAGCCCGGTGCCTAGATGAATCAACAGCATGGCAGCTTTGGTCTCCTCGGTAGATTCTGATATCAAAATTGTATAAGTGTTACCTCTCCAAGGCCCTAATTTGGAAATTATAAGTCTTGAAGTTTCTAGCCGACGTTGCACCCCGATTATCTTTTTTCCGTAAAGCGAAATAGTTGAAGGTGTAACATAATTTGGTTGCTAGCATATTTAAAGCTGCAACTAACGTTATTTGGAAAACGGCATAGTGGGTTTGCGGAAGCCGGGAATAAGTGTTACGGCATAGAACTTGCTCAATAGACCGTTGGGGCAAATTTGCTCAGTTTCAAAACGGTCAACGATGTGAAGCATGTGCATTTACATAATTAGGCGAAGAGAGCCTATGATAGAGGACAGAAGGAATATCTCAGATATGATACATCGAAAGCTTTGTGTCACACTTTTATCACTTTGGTTCTCTGATTACCGTATATCTCGAGCCAAAACGCTAAACCACAATAGTTGGTTCTTATTATCTGTTGGTTATCAACCCTATATAAATGCAAACCTGCAAGAATGACCAATGATGATTCAAATTATTTTAGCGTGTACGCAGTAGCCGATTCCTATATCGTAGTTTAGACGGAAGAGAGGCACTATCACATTCCGTTTACGGCAGCTGGCGGCGGGAGAAGTATCAAAACGAATCTTCACGTACGGAATTCGAAATATGGAGAACTATTGTGATAAGGCGTAACCTACTTGATGTGGCTAATGCTCTCGTCAAGAAAGGGTGGTATTCGGTTTATCTTACAACGAATACTCACTCTATAGGAACTTTACCTTTTCTACCAGTAGCATATGCGGCATTCATGCATAGAAATATCATAAATCATCCTTGCTTATAATTCCCAATAAATGATATCTAGGACTACTTATCAAATATTCGCGATAGAGATTGCAACCCAAAATAGATCTGATATACACGACATGATTACTATTCGGCCTTTATTACGGTATGAGGAAAATAATCCAATCGTATAATTCCGTATGCATGTGCTGGCAGGATTTTTCGCTTTTTATTTTACTCCGATCGGATTGGTTTCGTCCGATACCCTTGTCTATATCTCAAAGCAAGTGATATCTGGTGTTTCATAGCGTGCCCTGCCGTTAGACGTTGCAATGCAAACGGGGCCAGAGATCAGAACTATAGGCAATCTTACGATTATATACACACGCCCAACAAAGGATTCTCTACTCTCATTACGTGGACCTGGATAGTGCTGTTTGCGGTCTTTTCTACCACCCCTGCTGCCGCCTCCCACCTAACAAGGTTTGGGCTCGAGGCTTACAGAAACAGGAATAACTATTGCCGAGACTCGAGCGTGACAGAGCCATTGAGGTTCGACGCTGAAGTTGATGGATAGTAAGGTGTACGCGTAAAAGAGTTTGGAGACTATTCTTTGTAAAAATTACATATAGATTTTAAATATTCTTAACGTAACAGGGGCAAGGGGAGGCGTTACTTCCTCTACTACTTTTTAATCGAGATTCCAAGACCCCTTCTTGGCTTTTATGTAACTAGCGGCTCTGCGTGCATACAAAGTAACCCAAAGGGACTGACAAGGGGTCTCGGCCGACCAGGGGTCGAAGCCGAACGGCCGCCGACTCACTACATGAGAAGAGCCAACGGCGGTGCAACGGAGGTGCAACGTCGTAGCAAGCTCGTCATCACCAATGAAAGATTGATGATCACTGAAGATACTTCGCGTCATGTAGGAAAGGTGTCAAGATATCATAGATAGCGAGGCTCCGAGTGACGCCCCAGGTTATGGTCTTGTATATATAGGTAGGCATGGTCCCGCTACTTGGCAGCAGTCGATGCAAATTATCATTCGGCAAGCTCTGAATTCATTTTCTTTTACAGAAACATCACCGCCATGTCGTCCACACCTAAGACACAGCCAATTGCCATCATTGGCATGGCCTGCCGCTTCCCAGGCGATGCCAGTACTCCTGAACGTCTCTGGGAGCTGTGCGCGGAAGCCCAAAATACCTGGTCCAAGGTGCCTCCGACCAGGTATAACGGTGATGCATTCCATCACCCTCGACCAGAAAACCTTGGAACCGTATGTTAATCCTCACACTGAGTTGATCTTGTTATACAATCATTGATCAATCGCAAATTCTGTGTGCTAATAACTCGATCCTATGTAGATTCACAGCCATGGTGGTCACTTCTTGAATGAAGATGTTTCGCTGTTTGATACCTCATTTTTCAGTCTCACTGCGGACATAGCCAGAGTAGGTGCTTCCTTCGTCCATATTCTCAATGAGATGCTAACATCACAAACAGGCTATGGACCCACAGATTCGTATGCTCTACGAAACCACATTTGAAGCCTTTGAGTCAGGTATTTTACGATCATTGTCAATATCAGTGAATATTTGCTAATTCTCCATAGCTGGCCTGACTCTGGAACAGGTTGCAGGATCTTTGACATCCTGCTTCGCTGGAGCTATGTTTCACGACTACAACGATTTGCAGGTGCAAGACATTGACAACTTGCCCCGTTACTTCCTCACTGGAAACTCAGGTTCCCTGGTAGCGAATCGATTGTCGCATTTCTTTGACCTTCAAGGTCCTAGCGTTGCTGTTGATACAGCTTGTTCCACAGCCATGATTGCGCTCCATTTAGCTTGCCAGAGTATTCGAACTGGCGATGCTACTATGTCCGTTGTCGGCGGAACTAACCTGATCCTCTTTCCGTCATCAGGACTAGGATTGTCCAACTTGGGGTAAGTGAATCAAGCATAGTCCATGAGATTGTGAGAGCCCTTGATCAGAGCCATAATGCTAACTCAAACCAAATAGACTTACAGGTCCTTCAGGTAAATCCTTCGGTTTCGACAACCGTGCCGAAGGTTATGGCCGTGGTGAGGGTGTCTCTACCATTGTGCTCAAGTCTCTTGACGCTGCCATCCGAGATGGTGATCCTATCCGTGCAGTGATCCGAGAGACAGGTTCAAATCAGGACGGCAAGACGCCAACCATTACTTCTCCTTCACAAGAGGCTCAAGAGGCCCTGATCAGAGCCACTTATGCAAGGGCTGGTTTGAACCCCATTGACACAGGCTACGTAGAGAGCCATGGCACAGGTACGATTGCAGGAGACACAACAGAGACAAAGGCCCTTGGAAACACCATTGGAAAGGGCCGAAAGCCCAATGAGCCTCTCTATATCGGCTCTGTCAAAGCCAATGTTGGACACACCGAATCAACCAGTGGTCTTGCCGCCATCATCAAAGTTGTGGAAATGTTGGAACGAGAGACTATTCCACCACACGCGTTATACGAGAACCCCAACGCCAAAATTCCATTCAAGGAGCTCAATCTCAAGGTAATGAGCAACTTCCCCCTTGAACAAAATAGCATACTGACAGATGTTACAGGTCCCAACAGAGTTGACGCCTTGGCCATCATACAGCATGCGAAGAGTGTCCATTAGCAACTTTGGAGCTGGAGGCACCAACACCCATGCTATCATCGAAGATGCCAGATATCATGTACCCGCCAAGGCCAATGGCGTTGCCAAAAAGGAGACACCCAAGCAACGCTACCTCTTTACTCTCAGTGCCAGAGAGGAAAAGGGTGCACGAGAGTCGATCAAGCAGCTTGAGAGCTATCTGGACTCTGATTTCTCGGAAGAGCGTCTTGCCGATCTGGCTTACACTCTAACCCAGCGACGCTCTCAGTTTGCATGGAGGGCAGTCGTTTCAGCCGAGTCAGTCGATGAGCTTCGCTCTGCACTGAAAGAGCCCACACTCAGCCCATCGCAGGCTAGTTTGGCCAAGGTGCCTCGACTTGGATTTGTCTTCACAGGACAGGGAGCTCAATGGCATGCTATGGGCCGAGAGCTCATTGCGGCTTACCCCGTATTCCGACAGGCTCTAGAAGACGCAGACAAGCACGTCAAGTCATTGGGCTCCCCTTGGAGTGTCATTGAAGAGCTCTCGCGGGATGAGAAGCAGACCCAAGTCAACAAGCCACAGTTCAGCTTCCCTCTGTCGGTTATTATTCAGCTGGCTGTAGTTCGGCTGCTTGAGTCTTGGGGCGTGGTTCCCAATGCCACAACCGGCCACTCCAGTGGTGAGATTTCAGCAGCTTATGCAGCTAAACTGCTCACATTCGAGGATGCCATCACAATCGCCTATGTCCGAGGCCATCTCACGGCTGAGTATGTGGAGGCTGGTAAGGTTCAGGGTGGTATGACTGCGCTCGCCACCAGCAAAGAGACCGCTCAGGAATACCTTGCAGAGATTACCTCTGGCAAAGCTGTGGTTGGATGTGTCAACAGCCCCAACAGCGTGACTATCTCTGGAGATGTTTCTGCCTTGGAGGAGCTCGAAGCGCGAGCTCAAGCCGAAGGTGCATTCTTCCGACGTCTGAGGGTCCCGGCGGCATACCACTCTACGCATATGGATCCCCTGGCTGAGGTTTACCACTCAAGCCTCAACAAGCACTTGCAGAAGCCCGAGCTCCCAGAGTCGAACATTATTTTCGCCTCTCCTGTTTCTGGAAAGCGCGTCGGCAAGAGTGAGAAGAAGTCTTTGGCTGAGCCGGGACACTGGGTCCAGAACATGGTCCAGTGCGTTCAGTTTGAAGACGCTCTGAAAGAGATGCTCCTGTCTGAGGAGTCTGAGAAATCTGGAGGCCAGTTTACTGTCGATGCCATTATCGAGATTGGACCTCACGGAGCTCTCCAAGGACCTATTCGACAGATTCTCGCTGACCCAGTCTTGAAGGAGTGCACCGCAACGAACGGTGCTTCTCTGAAACGTGGAGAGGACGCTGTTCGCACCTTGGGAAGCCTGGCAAGCCGACTCTTCTGCCAGGGATACCCAGTCAACTTTGAGGCTGTCAACTTCCCTAACCCGACCAAGGGCTTGCAGGTTGTCCATAACCTTCCTTCATACCCGTGGAACCACGCGAGATACTGGGTTGAGGCACCTGCAGTAACCGAAGCTCTAAACAGAAAATTCCCTCACCACGACTTGCTTGGGTTGAAGGTGACTGGATTGAACTCAGATGTTCATATCTGGAGAAATGTGCTTCGCATTTCCAACGTTCCTTGGCTGGCCGATCACGGTCTGCAAACACAGATTCTTTTCCCTGGTGCCGGCTTGGCTACCATGGCGATTGAAGCTATGCACCAGATTGCCACCCCAGAAGAGCAAGCTGTTGGAGGCTACATGCTGTACGATGTCAACTTGTACAGTGCCCTCATGGTGCCAACATCAGATGATGGAGTGGAAGTGCAGCTGATCCTTAAGGACCAAAGCAGTCGGACCTTGGACACTATTACTTACAAGGAGTTCTCGATCCTTTCCAGAGGAAGAGATGGCAAATGGATTGGACACTGCAGCGGTAAAGTCGGAATCGCCAGCGACAAGCCTCAAGTCCCTGTTGTCATGCCTGAAGACATCCAAACCACTTCTCTTGATTTGGGCGTCTTCTATGAGCAGATTGCCAACGGAGGCCCAACTCTTGGACCCGCTTTCCAGACTGTCTCAACTGTCGATTATGGTAGCGGCTACGTGCTTGCGGGCATCACTGTGGCTGACAATGTTGCAGCCATGCCTAAAGAGTACGAATCCAAGTACTTCGTTCATCCCACAACAATGGACGCTTGCTTCCAGATTGCTTGGAGCACCATGCCTTCGGCTGTTTTGGAGAAGTTTGGTCTCTGCTTGCCTGAGCTTGCTGGCAAATTATACATGAGCTCCAACACTAACCAGAAGCCTGGTACCAAGATGAAGGCCGTCGCCAAGCTCACCCATCTCGATAACCACGGTTTCGAAGTTTCCATCACTCTGTCCGAGATTGAGGGCGAGCAAGAGAGGATTGTCCTGAATGCCGAGCGCTTAAAGGTCAAGTCTCTGGTGCTCAAGACTATTCAGGCTTCAGAGGAGGTGGACAACACTGCTACGCTGAAGCCTGTCCACAAGCCGGACGTTACCAAGCTGTCTGCCAAGAATCTCCAGAGCGAGAACAAGCTCAAGGAGTATGTAAGCCTGTTTGCCCACAAGCATCCCCGTGCCAAGATCTTGGAAGTTGGCGCTGGTCCACGAGCTACTTCCGCCGTCATTCTCGAGGGTCTTTCACAAGAGACTCCAGGGACATTGGCAGTCCAAAGATATGACTATGCAGATGTCTCTGCTGAAGCACTCTCAGAGGCTGAGAAGCAATTTGGGGCATTCGAGAGCCAGATCCGATACCAGGAATTCGATATTGAGAAGAGCCCTGGCGAGCAAGGCATTAATGCTGAAAGCTACGACTTGGTTATTGTTTCTAACCTTCTCCAGAATGCTACAGATCTGAGCAAGAGTACCAAGTACATTCGCCATGTCTTGAAGTCTGAAGGCACAGCATTGATCCTGGAGAAGTCCCTGGATGCCAAGCTGGAATCAGTGTTGGCTGAGAACGGCTTCCACAGCTCTGATATTGTGGTGCACGGCTCAGAATACTCATTCATCGCGGCTACCGCCACAAGCAACGCGCTTTTCCACTCTGTCAACTACCCCAAGGAGACTGTCTTGATCCAGATTCCCAACTCCAAGGACGCAGCACCTCAAAAGTGGCTCGATCAGCTTAGCCAGTTGCTCCATGAGAGCACCGGCACGGAAGTTTCGGTTGCTGAGCTTGGAAAGGCGTCGTTGAAGAACAAGACTGGTATCATTTGGGTGCAGAGCAAGGACAAATTCTTGTCTGAAATCTCCAAAGAGAACTTCGATGCCCTCCAGACAGCACTGCTAGAGGCTGACAACCTGGTGTGGGTATCGCACGCTGGAGATGGCAATGAGGGAGAAGCCGCCATGGGTCTTGGTTTGCTGCGAACTCTCAGAGTCGAAGATGCCTCAAAGACATTCATCACCCTTGACTTGGACCCACAGCAAGGAGTCTGGGATTCATCTGCAATCCAAGTGATTGACGATGTATTCCGCTACACTTTGAACTCCAACCGCGAGCACCGCGAGTACGAGTTCTCAGTTCGCTCAGGCCAGCTTAACATTCTCCGATATATCGGAGAACAGAGCTTCAATGAACAGTTTGGAAGACTGCAAGGCAGAAACCCACCTCAGCTCAAGGAGTTCTCATTCTCAGGCCCTTACACGTACTTGGAGGCTGCAAGCCCTGGTCTCTTGGACAGTCTTGTTTTCAAGGAAGACGAGGCTCTCTGGCAATCTGGTACCTGGAACGAGGAGATGGTTGAGATTACGCCACATGCATTCGGTCTCAACTTCCGAGACGTTCTCATCGCAATGGACCAAATGCAAGAGAAGATTATGGGTTTCGAGTGCTCAGGATATGTCAGCCGCGTTGGATCCAAAGTCACCCACGTCAAGGTTGGTGACCGAGTTTGCGCCCTCATGCAATACGGAAACTGGGCCAACAAGATTCGCACACCATGGCACAGCGTCATGCGTATTCCAGACAGCATGAGCCTGGAAGCCGCAGCCTCAGTTCCCATCATCTTTGGAACTGCGTACCACGCTCTGATCAAGCTTGCTGATCTGCAAGAGGGTGAAAGCATTCTGATTCACTCTGCCGCTGGTGGTGTCGGATTGGCAGCCATCGCTATTGCGCAGTACCTGAAGGCGGAGATTTATGTCACCGTTGGTTCGGAAGAGAAGCGAGCATTCCTTGAGAAGAACTACGGTATTCCCCGCGATCGCATGTTTTCCAGCCGTGACATCTCGTTCGCTGAAGACGTTATGCGCGCTACCGGAGGAAGAGGTGTCGATGTTTTGTTGAACTCTTTGGCAGGCCCTCTGTTGCAGGCTAGTTGGGATTGCGTTGCTAAACTCGGCCGCTTTATTGAACTGGGTAAACAAGACTCGCAGGGCAACAAGAGCTTGGGCATGAAGAACTTCAGCAACTCCACAAGCTATATCGCAATGGATCTCGTGATGCTAGGAATTGTCAACGGAAAGACACTCTTCAACTCTTTCCGAGGCGTCGTCGATTTGTTTGCCGCTGGAAAGATCAAGCATGAAGTACCTCTCTTGCTTTACGAGATTGGCAACCTGCGAGACGCTTTCCGCCAAATGCAGCGTGGTCGCCACATTGGTAAATTTGTTATTCGCGCCACCGAAGGCGATCTGGTACCGGTACGTATTAACGACATCCACGTTTCTCTCTTTTCTTTGCATGTGCACTGACATTTTATAGACTGTTGTAACCCAGGCTTCACCCAAGCTTGACCCTCTCGGTTCGTACCTGATCATCGGTGGAACGAGTGGTATTGGTCAAGAAATTGCCTTCTGGCTTGCCAAGCAAGGAGCGAAGAACCTGATCTTGGTCTCGCGACGAGCAGAGCAGCAAGAAGAAGGCCCAGCACTTGTCGCTGCCCTTGCTGAAGCCGGAGCCCAAGCTGTGCTCCGCAGCTGCGATGTGTCCGACAAGGCAAGCCTTGAAAAAGTTGTCACTGAAGCTCGCAAGAAGGGTCCAATTCGCGGTGTTATTCAGTCCGCCGTGGTTCTGGCAGACGCTGTCTTCACCAACATGAACCAAGAGAAGTGGCATACTGCGGTCGGTCCCAAGGTCAAGGGAACTGGAAACTTGCATGAGCTCTTCCAAGACTCTGACCTGGAGTTCTTCATTATCCTTTCATCCGCTACATGTATTCTTGGAAACGGTGGTCAAGCAAACTACACAGCAGGAGGAAGTTACCAGGATGCTCTCGCATGGAACAGAGTCAGCAAAGGCCTACCTGCTGTTTCTATCAACATCGGTAGTGTGCCAGCTGTTGGTGTGGCCGCTCGTGGTGGTGTCGGCAAGTTACTGGACAGAGCCGGTTACCGTGCTCAGGAAGTGTCTGAGCTCTTGAGCCTCATTCACATGTCTGTACTTCACCCGCATCTGGGCCAGATCGTCACTGGACTCAAGACCTGGACGACTCCAGGCACTCTGCAGTGGCGTTTGGAGCCACGCTTTGCACACTTGTCGCTTCCTGGTGACGGTTCTGACGGAGAAGGCTCAGCACAGCAGTCTTTGAAGGATCGACTCATCAACAGCTCAACCGAGACAGCTCACGGCCTGTTGGTTGAGGCTCTGAAAGAGCGTCTGGCTGATGTCTTCGCAATGTCTGCGTCTGAAGTCGATGCCGAGATGCCTCTGACAGCATACGGTGTGGATTCCCTAGTTGCAGGAGAGTTGCGAAACTGGCTGGTTATCAACGTTGTTGGCGGCGTCAGTATTTTCGATGTCACACAGAGCAACTCACTCAAGGACTTGGCGGGTAGATTGCAAGAGAGGCTTGCTGAGGAAGCTAAATAAGCTATTCGGAATATCGATGGAGCATTTACGAAATGGGAAAAAATAGAACATGAAGATGATTGATGTATTGGCTAAGAGATTGAGTTGGAAAATAGTACCTAGCAAGATGCCGAGGCTCAAGGCTGGACCCTGAGAGTAGGCCATTCTACCATAGGTTTGGTCATGCATCTTTTGATGTGTGACGCGGTCATTATCGAAAAATAGTAGTTGTTAAAAGATTTCTCATAGTTTGGTAAATTTAAATTGTGTGTCTTTAAGTAAGCTTGTTTTTTTCATTGCTGCTTGCCATTGTAGGCGTCGCTGCCAATACAAAACTTGTATTTAGTAAGAGGTACCTCATGTGAGCCAGCAAAAGCTATTTCCGACATTCTTTTCTCCAGGCAGCCGCTAAGATCGTAAATACTATCATCCTTTTTGAGATGTCAAAAAGAACAGAGATCTCAATATACTAAATTGTCATAACAATATCGTTTCTGGCGTCCTGAACAAACTTTCGGTATCTCTCAAATGGTTTGAATGGAAAGAGGGAAAATGCAAGACAGTGTGGCTCAAGAACAAACTGAGATATCCTCCCATTGTCTTCCACTCGAACGACACCGACAACGAAGAACAACACCCTACTAGCATTTATGGAATTCATCAAGTGCGAGATAATCAGTTCAAGTGAATTATGATGCATGAACTCAGGCTGAAAAGAGATGCGGGGTTATTGTGATAGGTCTCTCAAAGCCCTGAGAATACAACACGACATGGAATGAAGAGAAAAAGTATTGGAGGAAAAGATGGCATCAGGTGAGTTATAGTGGGTCGTATCCCGCCTCCGCATATGGATATCTGGAGCATTAAAAAGGCCATGACACCCACGTTTTTTGAGTTGTCTTGCGAATTAATAAAGCTGAAGAGCTTCAAGGTGTCACTTCAATACAAGCGTTGCTCAGAGAGCGCAAAATTAAGAAGAGAAGCTCGCTACCAGCCTGCATTATTTCGTCAACACCGACCTCATCTCTACCTTTTTGCACGGTCGAAACTCCCAGAGGCCATAATGCTCAACGACGATGACCTTGAACAAGCGGCCATCCAATTGGCTCAGTTCCGTATGAGCACCACGTTGCCTAATATACTGGACCGATATGCCGTCTTACTTGAGAATTATAAGCGCCTGAAGAGCGACTATGAAGAAGAGCGTGAAGGTAGAGAAAGATACAAGCAGCTGTCTAAAGGCCAAGGCGGGAACCCTTTTGTACTCATCTTGGTGGACGGCGATGCTTACGTCTTCCACGAAAGCTTAGTGAGCGACGGTGCTGAGGGTGGGAGAACTGCAGCACAACTCCTCACTGAGTCTATCATGGACAGCCTCAAGGCGAAAGACCTCGAGCACTGCCAGATCATGGTGCGGGTATATGCAGACATTTCCGGCTTATCCAAGACTCTCTACAAAGCACGCTTGGTAGGTCCCGAGAAGCGGTCTCTCGCTCCGTTTGTCGCCGGCTTCAACAGGTCTCATGGGCTCTTCGACTTTGTCGACGTCGGGGAGTGGGAAGAGACGGCTGATTTGAAGCTGCGTGCTGCCCTTAATCTATATGCCACGAACCCGCAGTGCAAACACATCTTTTTTGCGGGCTGCCACGATAGCGGGTACATTGCTGATTTGACGACATATTCGGGCATCAGAGACCGGTTCACGCTGGTGACCTCATCTGATATCAAGTTTCAAGATGATTATAAGGGATTAGATATGGGAATAGAGAAGATTCCTGGCTTATTTCAGCCAGTTCCAGCTCAGGAATCTCCAGGTCACCAATCACCTCGTTCCAGGTCTGGATCCACCAAGGGCGCCTCCAGAGACTGGAGAGTAACGGCAACACCAATATGGGACGCTCATTCTGGCTCACCAACAAAGAAGCAGCAGAAATGCAAGTTTTATCGGAGCGGAACGTGCAAATACGGCAATGATTGCAAGAACTTACATGTGGAACGAGAATAGGGCACGCAATCAGATGATGGAAATAGCGTTTTCCAGGTTCAGTCTTCAAATCCTCCAAAGATGAATTAACCCAAAGGAAATATTGCTATGTACAATAGAAAAAAGATTTATCTCCCCTCTTGCACTCGTTTTATTTGTGTGCTATCTTGGGTATTTATGCATGGCACTTATACATTTTGTTTTGCTTATCCTAAGCTGAGCCGCAAGTTCAAACAGTGAAAAAAAAAAAAAACGAAAGAAAAAATTGCACACAGAGTATCACACAATGGCAAAGCTTTTGAGAGATCAGAAGAGTTTATGAAGACTGAAAAGTTATTTCATCTCTCACACTCCGCTGGGTAGATGCGTATGTGGAATATGTTACAAAGACTTACAACATAGCAAGCCTATCCAAACCACAGGAGTCTCAGCACTCGAAATATGGCCTTAGACCAGTGCTGCGGTTTCGTTACTAGGTAGTATACATAGATTTACGCTCTTCAGTATATGGATTATTCACGAATCACCAAAATACTCTGAGCCGTCTCTGGCAAAGAAGAGAGATTGCTGATCAAGTCGTGACCCGTGCGTGCACAGATCTCTGGCCCTTTTGGACCCGAACATCGAGATGCATGTATGATGTTGCTTCATCGCTTACGGCTCGACCTAGAATGTTCACAGCAGGTTCAAAAAGTTCTTTTCAACGCTGCAAAACAAAGACGTATAAAATAACCGCAGCCCATTAAATCCTCAAGAAGGCAAAGGAATTGAAGAAAGAGAGAGTGAGACGGAAAAGCCAATGAGAGGCAGTAAACTCGACTATATTCTTATTAATTTATCGCTATGCCAAGTTGCCTAAAGCAACGCCATCTTTTCAGTAGTAGACAAGTCTCTACAACAAGCCTTACGAAAGTTAAGTCTTCCCTAGTGGGTAGCGTTAGCATACACATTTCGGCTGCGTCAGACTAAAAGTACACTTGTGAGGTTGCTTATCTATATAGTTAGCCTATCAGAACTTTCGAATCCCCTCAGCCTGATCGTACTTCCCCTGGATACGAAGCACAATGGCGAGGTTGTCTATGCTCTGTCGCGTACCAGGATGCTCAGCGCCTAGCACCTTAAGCCGTAGTTCCAGTGCCTGCCGATGAATTGCTTCAGACTCGTCGTTTTTCCCCTGGTCATAAAGCACACTTGCGAGGCTGTTCATGCTGAATAGCGTGTTAGGATGCTCAGCGCCTACCACCTTAGTAAATAGTTCCAGTGTCTGCCGGTGAATTGTCTCAGACTCATTGAGCTTCCCTTGTCTATGAAGCACAATTGCGAGGTTATGCATGCTACTTAGCGTATTAGGATGCACGGCGCCTGATAACTTAGTCTGTAGTTCCAGTACCTGCCGATGAATTGCCTCAGCCTCATTGAGCTTCCCCTGTTCATCAAGCATTATTACGAGGTTGTTCACGCTACCTAGCGTATCAGGATGCTCAGCGCCTAGCACCTTAATCCGTAGTTCCAGTACCTGCAGATAGATTGCTTCAGCTTCGTTATTCTTTCCCTGCCGATGAAGCATATGTGCGAGGTTGGTCATGCTCATAAGCGTGTTAGGATGCTCGGCGCCTAGCAACTCGGTCCGTAGTTCCCGTACCTGATCGCAGAGACTTTCTGCATCCTGATATTTTCCAAGGAGAAAATTGCTCTGAGCCACTTTCCTGAGAATATTTGACTTGGCCATGTTGTCAGTTGAATACTCTCCGAACTTCAAAGCAGTTGATGCATGCGGCAAATATTGCACCCAGTCAGCCCGATTTTCATGTTTAGGATTGGGAAACACTTCGTCGAGCTGATGCAGTGCAGCTGTAACACTTGTCTCAAACTCTCCATCATTTTCCAACCAATTGTGTATTGCTAATCGGACAAGTCTGTGCATGTCATACAGCTCCTGGCCTGCTCGTTCGGTGATGAATGCATACGCCTTCAGCGCCCCGATCGCCTCATCCGCCTCCAGTTCATCATCGGCTGTCCATAGCAGGGATGCGGGGATTTCTTTCTCAGCAAGGAAACACATGAATCGCAAATACTGTATGGCAAGTGGGTAATCCCGCGAGATTTGCTCAAAGGAAATCAACCAGGTCGTTGCCGCTGCATTTGCGATGCCCCTGTAGCGGCCGCGGTCCTCAAAGTCTTTGCTCAACAGTTTGATCATTTTTTTGTCGCTAGACCGGCAGTGCTGAAGATATCTCGATATCCCCATTCTCGTCTTGGCCATGTAGGCCGACGCCTGCTTAATCGCAAGAGGCAGGTAAGCGAGGAAATCGAGGAGGCTCGTTAAGCTTTCAGCATCCTGTGTCTGATCCTCCTCTAGGCTCCTCTGTAGCAGCTCGGTTGCTTCCGTTTGGCTCATTCTAGGTATACTGACAACGCCGGTCTCTGAAAGATCTAGCTCGACCGTGATCTGATGATTCCGCGTCGTAAGGAGAATTGAGCCCATCCTACTATATGGAAGAAAGCTCAATAGCCCTGTGGGGCCACAGACGAGATCTGCATCGTCAGCGTTGTCGACAATCAGCAGCCATGTCCCTGCATCCTTGCGGCTCAAAGCAGCCTTTACGAGAGTTTTCACGTCGGCCGAGTCCTCGTCGATCCCTGTTACCCCCAGGCTCTGGCCAATCTCACGGTAGGCGTTCTCGAATCCGGCGGCTTCCACGGCCGGGACCCAGAAAATGGAGCAGTCAGAGTAGGCGTCGTGAAGGCGAAATGCGGCCTCAAGCGCGATCTGGGTCTTGCCGATGCCTCCAAGGCCTTCGACAGCCGTCCTCTGACAATCATCCCTGTTAGCAACTGGGTTGGCTCTCGCGATAACCCGCTGCAGGATATCTTCTCGGCCGATGAAACTCTCGTTTCGCCCAAACGGGACAAGGAAGTGACCCTGTCGCGGGACTTGCTCGACAGAGTATTTCCGGCTCCTGGCTGGCGGCATGTATTCCAAGATGGCCTGTAGCGCAGAGGCCGCAGTAGCCGCCGCAAAGTCTTGCCATTTCTTGCTCTTGTGGCAGTCTGCGTAATCACATACTCCTTTAACTACCACGCAAGGAATCTCTTCCATGATGCCGGCACCCTCCATCTCGAAGGCGATGATGCCTTTTGGCTTGGCAATGCTATCACGATGTTCCCCAGATTTGATGACTCTGTCTCCCGATCCAACAATTCCGATATGGATGGCTGGATCTTGAGCTTTCTTGATCTCTCCTCCTCGCTTCCTCTTAAGCCGCATTCTTGGGACGAGGTATTGCGCCTCACATCCTAGATCATAGCACGAGGATCTGACAGCATCTTCGCATACGGGGTCGGATCCCTTCTCGCATGTACTGCAGATACATGAAGGAGATATACGGTGTTTGTGACGATACTCTGGTTTGAAAAGCCTATCTTCGCCCGCTCCAGGATAACCGTATTTCGCTCCGCACCCCTGCTGTGTCGCCTTGGCCTGAAGCTTTTCTAGAAAACTGGCAATCTCTTCTTGAAGTCGGAGACGGCCATTGATGGTCTCAAATATGGCTAGTTGTTTGCGAATATGTCTGTCTGGCTTCGCCGTATTGCTTTCGACGCCATCTTTAAGCGTAAACCCGTCGGGATATTGCCTGCCAAAGTCGTATGAGACAATACCCTTGCCGACCACCACATCACCTAGAAGAATTTCCTTATTACCAGTTTGGGGCACACCGCCGCAAACCCTGACAACAAAGCAAAGCCGTACATGGCGATAGCTCGAACGGATGTTGGCTGCTGTGCTCGCGGCACTCGCTTTACCCATGCCGGGAAGCAGAGCCAGGACAACATGATGCTGGCCAATTCGGCCTGTCTTGCAGTCGCTGTTCTCTGTATCCTCTTTCCAAACTTCATCGGAAACGAGGGAGACGGCATCGTGCTCAAGCGGCAAGCCGCAGACTATCGCGATCTCGAAGTCTTCGCGGCGAGGCATTTGCAGTTACCGGCGGTCGGGTTGGAGGGATAGGCTCTCACGGCAGTTACTCGTTCAGCAGACTGAGAGCTATCCGGTGTTCGTACGCAGGACTGTTTCTGGGCAATGAACACCGGCTCGCATTTTGGTTTGAAAAACTTGATGCGACCTGTTTCTCTCAAGGGATTGCAAGCTGTACATTGCAGCCTTGCACTGCATCAAGCGCTGACCCCGCTCTTGGGTATTGGACGCATGCGAGTGTGCGTTATGCATTACGATCATTGGTCCGTCCCGCTGCCCTGTTTATTGTGTAATTCCAATCTTGGAAGCCGAAAATAGAAGACGCTGAACCGCGTTGTAGAACTTGACTGAACCCCGAGTTTTCCACTACCTATGGTCGTATGTGCTTAGATGTTGCATCAACTTGCCTTATAAGCATATGTGTGGCTTGGTGTGGTAGAGGACAGCAGTTAATGGCTGACCAATCATGCGTCAATGACTCATTGGGTTGTACCACCTTCCATACCGTAGGTAATGTATTTCATGGTGCCTGAACATCGGCATCGACACACGGTACCATGTTTCATTTAATGGTGATTCACCAACATCAAACACAAGAGTTAGAACACTTTGCAATACTAGACCCGCGTCATATACACTCACTCTTCCAAATGTTATAGGCAAAATGGCTTCAAGCTTATAATCAAGACCCATTTAGGCTATGTGGCGAGCAAGGCGGCTGAATGGCATTGTGGCACGATACAAAACTCCAAAGTAGGCCAAATCTTTTTATGCTACGGCATCGAGATAGAAAAATGGCTATATCGACGTCAACTCAGTTCTTCTGAAAAAAATATGCAAACCATGGATTCCGCGCTCTGAAGAGTGCTTCTGCCGCGACAACGGACCATGATCCATCATGAACAAACACACCCTTCGATTCAAATGTCAGGTATGACGGATGGTTTGCAATATAACATTGCATTAGCTCGTTGCGATACTATGGTTAATATGGAAGAAGAGCAAATTACGATGATGGGATAGGCAAATTAGCATGCTCTTGTTGCATCTGCAGTGACATCCCTTTGGGCCGAGTGTTTTTGGCTGACTCTCCCAATTTTCATGTCCAGTATATAGAGGAGATTCCCCGACAAGTTACTCGTCCCTACCTACTGTATCATGCAGTACTTTGCCTTGGCAACATGATGATGGCCATTAAAAATTACGTCCTCGCCGCTCTCGCGGCAGCCTCCACACTGGCCGCAGTAGTACAACCGACTCCGCGCGCCTCAAGCTTCGTGACCATCTCGGGATCTCATTTTGACATTGATGGCGAGGTGGGCTACTTTGCGGGTACCAACTGCTACTGGTGCCCATTTACATACAACACCGCAGAGGTCGACACGACCTTGAGTGATATTGCCTCCTCGGGGCTCAAGGTCGTGCGCGTTTTAGGGTTTAGTGACTGGAATACGCTGCCTCCAACTGGGGAAATTTGGTTCCAGCTATTAAACGCCACAGGGTCTATAATCAACACTGGAGCCGATGGCCTACAGAATCTTGACTATGTAGTTGCTTCAGCCGAGCAGCACGGCCTCAAGCTTATCATTCCGTTGGTTAACAACTGGGACGATTTTGGCGGCATCAACGCCTATGTAAACGCATTTGGCGGCAACGCAACCTCTTGGTTCACCAACGCAGCAGCTCAATCTCAGTATCGCACATATATCCAAGCTGTCGTCAGTCGCTATATCAATTCGACGGCCATCTTTGCGTGGGAGTTGGCTAATGAGCCTCGCTGTGCCGGGTGTGATACCAGCGTAATAGCCGACTGGGCTACAGGTGTATCTCAATACATCAAGTCGCTCGATCCAAACCATCTCGTAACGCTAGGAGATGAAGGGCTCGGTCTCAGCACGGGAGATGGCTCTTATCCATATACATATGCTTCAGGAACGGACTTTGCCCTAAACATACAGATTAAGTCGCTTGACTTTGGCACCTTTCATCTTTATCCGGATGGCTGTAAGCTTTCTTTTTCTTTTCTCCCCTTCTTTTGTTTCTAAAAAAAATGGGATGTAAAATTGACGCTCACTTAGGGGGTGAAACCTACCCTTGGGGAAGCAGCTGGGTGCAAACGCATGCCCAAGCTTGCGTGGAAGCGGGCAAGGTATGCATTATGGAAGAATGTAAGTTACTTTTACCAGGCACTCTTGCGGGCTAAATTGACACAAGGCAATAGATGGCGCGGTGGTTGATCGCTGCACAAACATGATTCCTTGGCAAAATACCTCGATGACGAGCCCTGGTATGGGCGGCGATCTTTTCTGGCAATGGGGCGAAACCTTTGTGTCTGGTTATGGCGATTCATATTCCATCAACTACGGCTCGTCGGATTGGCAATGCGTGGTTCAAGATCATGTCGCGGCGGTTTCTGGCAAATCTCCTCCTCCATCCACGACGACGACTCCTACAGGCCCGACCGCTTCTAGCAGCTGTTCCACTCTATGGGGCCAATGTGGAGGCAATGGATATCCTGGTACGACGTGCTGCGCGCAAGGAACTTGCACATACCTGAATGATTGGTATTCACAATGTCAGCCGTAGCCCGTAACAAACAGGAAACTAAACGCTGGCCTCATCAGGCAGAGAACACTTTGATAAAGAGGGCTTCGAATTAAATAAACAGCCTACTATACCACGCCCTTTCCCCTGTTACCCAATGATTGAAGCAAATATGTGGAAAAGCTTCGCGCTACCCTGTAAGAGCATGCTACTGCTGAAAATCTTGCGCTCAATAGTGCGAGGGGGGAAATCTTCACAACGCAAAAGCATGCAAGTCTTTTTAGAAATGGTGAAAGCTTCCAAAAAGGGCCGAGGTCATTAAATGCATGGTGCTTTGCCAGAGGCAGATTCGCTGCATGGGTACAGCCTCCAGAAGACTTTTGATAACAGCATTGAATATAGCAACATACCAATAAGACACAGGGCACATGAATACAAACATCTCCCGAAAAGGCTCGGTATTCTGATAATAGGTTGATCCTATTTTAAAATTGGATATTCGGTTTTTTCTTTTCCTTCAACATGAAGCGCGGTTGAGAATGTGGTACAGCCCATACCTTCAAACTGCGAAGCGTACCCATTTAAGAACTGCAGCTTGAATTACACAGGATATTCTTTACTAACGAGCATTCTCCTGTGTATTTGTTTCATTGGAATCATTTCATTGTAAAGTGTATTCAACGCTAGTTCTGCATATAATTGTATCGTCATACGGTAAACATTGGGTTGGTTTGGCGGGCCTAGTTCCCCGTGCGTTACTGGTGCAGGATATTCCACGCCCAGCGAGAGCCCGCGACAATCGTAACTGCGCCCCTCGAAAGCGGTTATTTTAAAGCTGGTTTAGCCCTACGCCTTGCATACATAGGCGACCGTTATCTGCCACTTGGAAAACAACATTAGCGATATGCCGTGTAGGAGGAGTGGGTCGGTCTGTCTTCACCAAAACCGGTAACCTGAACTGAGACATACAGACCACTCGATCCCACTTCGGTGTTGTATGGCCCGTGCGAGTGAGTTGACTGATACGGCTGCGATCTATGATTAGCTGGCGAATCTGGGTGATGTTGGTGGGGCTTTTAACAGAGATACGTGTAAATCTTGGTTCCTAGATTAGCTGTAGATTGAAGAAGTTCATGGGTCCGTTTTAGTGACAGGTCAGCATTAATACGCAGGGAATGGTGTATAAAAGTTCTATTCAAAGCTGACATTTGTTTCCATGCTGGTACAATTTAGGATGCGTACTTGACTCATCCTAAGTACCTGTACTTCACGTAGCAATTCCCGGCGCGTCCAAATATCGCTATTTCATGTTCACCGCTGGCACATTCACCCTTGCATTACTCTTACAAGTCACGAGGATTGCTATGCGTTATTCAAAATCTATCACGGTAAATGATGACCGTATCCATCTATTTTTGTATACTCCTCTCGAAAGCCATTGTCTATCAGCGAATCAAAACGCGAATCCGACCCCCTACCCCCACGTCTATATTCTATCCGAATTTTATCGTCAAATCTTCTATAACATCTACCAATATTCCCTTTAAGCCAATGAAAAATTGCTTCCTGCGAATTACTGTGCCCACTTGAGAGCTCCAGGAGATGACTCGTCCTTGACAACATACTTGCACTTTGTGAAGTTGGTCCAGAGCTGTCCAATGAAGGATCTATCGTCGCGGTAGTACAAATCACCGAGGACAGGCTTGATTGCCTCAGTTGCCTCTCCAGCATAGTAAAAAGGAATGCGGCTAAAGAAGAGTCATGTTAGTTGCTTGCAGGTAGCGAAGAGGTGTAAATAGCCAACATACGGGAAAAGGTGATGAACAACATGGTGCTCAATGATGCAGTGGAACAGGTGGCGACCAACGAAGCCGAACTCTCTGTCCACGGTTGCGAGGGCGCCCTTGACAAAGGTCCAGTTCTCGGCCTCGTAGTGAGGCACCTCCATGTGAGTGTGGTGGAGGTAAGTGATGGCGACTAAACATGTCGTTAGCAATACCGTTCAATGGCCAATTAGTGATGACATTAGCATTGAGACTTACCCAGCCAGTTGTGGACCCAGAAGTAAGGCTGGGCATAGGCCAGCAGCACTGTGCCTGTTCCGACCACGCCAGCGAGCTTGTACAAAGCGAAGAGCATCACGCAGATGCCAACGTCAGTCAGCAAGATGAAAGGAGCCTCGCTGCGACGGAACACGGCGCTGCTGGGGCCGAAGTGGCTCTTGCCCAGAAGGTTGGATGCAGGTCTCTGAAGACTTTTTGAGCCAGCGGAGATGTTGAAGGTCAGGTACATCTGCCATCCGAGGAGCTGGTGGGAGAGCAGAGCAATCATCTGGTAGATGGGAGTGTCCTCGAACATCTCAAAGGCAGACAGAATGCGCTCAGCGTAATCGGCCTTGGTCCTGGGAACGAAAGCCATGTCCTTCTCCATGTGGCCGGTGTACATGTGGTGGCGGTGGTGAGAGAACTTCCAGGAGTAGTACGGGACCAGCAGAAAGGAGTGAGACAAGAAGCCAACGACGTGGTTCAGTAAAGAGTGCTTGGAGAAGGCACCGTGACCGGCCTCGTGGCCCAGGATCCAAAGACCAGTGCCAATCAGGCCTTGAACGAAGCCGTAGACAATCCAGGCGGCGATTCTGAGGGTGGAATTCTCAATGGCGGGGATGTAAGTAATGGCGGCCCAGCCAAGAGCACCAATCATGGCAACATCTCGGAACAGATAGGCCATGGAGATGGACACCTTGGGCTCAAAGCAGTGCTTGGGAATGGCCGCCCGGATGGTGTTGATATCCGGGAAGCGGCTTTCATTCTCAGGCAGCGTGCTAAATCTGGAGTCAGCTTGTTCCTCTTCTAAAATTGGGCCTCCATGAGAGCACTGACATTGAGGCCACGGCGGCGCCTCTCTTGGTGACTGTGGTAGTGGTAGCCATCGTGGACGGATCTAGCCAGCAACTCAATGGAAGAAAACTGAGATGCCTGATGTCTGCTTGTGAGGAGTGGAAGATTTCTTTTTAAGGCCACCTAGCGCCCCAGCTTAAGGCAGAAAAAAAAGGGACCAAGGAGAAAGATCCATAGTCGGGCACGGGTATCAAATTTTCCACTCTCCTTTTAGCATCTGATCCAATTTTTGTGTGGTCTCCTCTCCTTATCAACGCCAACGGCGATAACAGGCGTGACTTGCTCCACGGCGGTGAGTAAGCGGGCGCCCCATTGTACTCCATGCTAAGCACAAGCCCTCGACCTCGTGTTGCAGACCGCTCGGGAGTCCAGTCGGTTTGGCAACTTGAGCTAATTTTGTAAGATGAAATGAGATCTTCCCACGAAGCGAGCTGGCCTCTTTTCCTTTACCGCTCCAGAGCAGGGGCCCTCGGTTGGTCAATCCTGAGCCTCAAGTCGCCAAGATCAACGCCTAGAGCCCGGCTAGCCTGCACGTGTCGGCGGTCTAATCGCTTTGAGGCGTTTTGGGGCGTTTTGGAGCGTTTTGAAGAACTATTGCCCAGGGCCAGAAAAGGGTCTCAAGGAGGGATCCAAGGATCTAAGGAGGCTAAAGGGGGCCGCTACGTGTATTGACCTATGGATGCAAAACTTCATCTGCGGGGCGGTTGGAGGACCCCTGGGTTTAGTCCTAACGGGGACTGGGCCCTGAACCAGGGTCCAATAGAGAGTGGGGGGCCGCTACCAATGGGGAAGCTGCGATAATAATTTTTTTTCGCCTCTGCTTTGTTGACATTTTCTCTCTCCTCAACATTTTCAACTCTCATCTGTTATAACCAGATTCAACAGAAGTGTTAGCACATACGACCATAGGTAGTGGAGAACTCGGGGTCCCGTCTGCTCCCCCATAGATAAGCCACTAACCGGCAGATTAGTAGTTGAGTGGGTGACCATCAGCGAACACCGGCTGTTGTATGTTTTTTTGTTTCTATGGCCTTGTGGCTCATTACCTTTATAACCTAACCCAACGCAACAACAAGCACATACGACCATAGGTAATGGAAAATTCGGGGTCCCGTCTGCTCCCCCATAGACAAGCCATTAACCGGCAGATTAGTAGTCAAGTGGGTGACCATTGGCGAACACCGGCTGTTGTATGTCTCTTTGTTTTTTGTTCTTTTTGCCAATTTGCATGTGATCAAGGGGCAAAGTCTGTACTATGACGGACGCAATTAGCACTTAGCGTCTACGACAAACCAAAACTATGTTACCTGCTATAATATACCGGGCTGTAACTTGAATGCCATGAAGTAGTTAGCGTCTGAAGGCCTGGGAAAGATCAATCACCACCGTCAACTTTAACTTGCAATTGCGCAATGACATTGATCTTTAGTTGTTAACTCTAGTTCCATTCTCAGCGCTAATCGTCACTGCAACCGTTAGAGTATAGCTAGTGACCATTGTTATACCAGTGGCTAATTTTTTTAAAAAGAGAAAGGGAAAAAAGGGTATGCTTCAATTCTATAAGCATGATCTGTCTAGGCAAAAGGGGGGCGTGGCGACGGAAAAAGTATTAACGGTAACAGCGATAGAAGTAGTAGCGATAGAGGTTCTAAATTTATATTACACGCCGTGTGAAGATAAATGTAGGCATTGCTGCAAGCATACATGATTGAACAGATCACTGTAATTGATAATACTATTAAGTTGCTGTGTCGAAGATAGCAGCCGCTATCTACACCAACCTATATACATGATGCATACGCTTTTAGTAGCGTAAAAGCCCCGCTAATCCTCTCGATCGCTTGAACAGGCACTACTAATTATTCAAAACCAGGATAATCCCAGCGCCGCCTGTGGAATCTTCTAGAGCCACTCTATGTAGTACTTCAGCGCCAAAATAGTTCCTTCCAGAGCACAGGTATAAGCAACTTGAGAAAACGTGCTGATTCCGAGTTGACTTCCACAAAGAAACCAGGATATTGCCGACTTTCAGAAATATAGTTGACTGTTGCATAGAAACTAGGATCCACGTCATATCCGAACATTGTGTTGATGCATTTCCGTCTGAAAGTCCAGAAGCTGCATATCCCGTACACCAACAAACAGAACATGGTGAAGAAGCAGATGATGAAACCTGAATGAGAGAATGTACGTCAGCTTCAGAACAAAGATATTGGAAGCGAGATATCATACCTAGGAGCCATAAATGTATGTCTTGAAGCCATACTTGTGCCCAGAACATGAGGAACCCCCTTGACATGATGGGCCAGTTGAAGTAGAAGGTACGAGGAATGAGAAGCGGAATTTAAAAGATAATTGCTTGCATAGACTGTAACCCAAATAGTATGTCTCTTTTCACGAAAGAGAAATACATGCTCAAGTATAGTAGCAAGTATACGAGGAGAAGAAGGTTTGTTAGTTTGAATATAGCGCGGCGATACTCGGACCTCGTGGAGTCGTAGGTCAAAGGCGTCCATTGCAGAAGAAGTTTTCGTTGAACACCTGCCCACATTATGGCGCTGACTACCAGGGGAAAGTATACAGCAATGTAGTAAACATAGCAAAGCGTGGCCGTATAGTCGTGCTTGAGACGTTCGAGGTGAGCAAAATTTAAAAGCTCCCTTTGAAGTAGAGCGTCCCTTTGAATAATAGCATCGTTGTTGATCATGGTCATCCAAGAGGCCATTTTGGAGATGGCAGCTATGATGCTTTGCATTTGTGCTGTATCGCGTTTTGTATGTATGTGGAGAGCAAGAATGAAGGTGCAGGTGAAACAGAATGTCGGGGTCACAAGAGGAATATATATATCTCGGAGGGGCCACAAAACCTTTGGTGTGTGCTATAGATTATTTCACCGAGTGATAATAATCATAATTAGACCTTTCATTGTACGTTGTCTAGGTGACTGATGAACTCTATATGCATATCTGAGTTTTGCCCGAGAACGCAAAAAAAAAAAAAAAGACTTAATGCACTATATTTGTAGTTGTAAGTCTCTTTTATCGAAGGGAAAAGAAAATCCGAGCAAAGGGGCAAAAAAAGGAGAGAGTGGCCGCGCCAGATGATAGTTTCTCTCCCAGCATGAAGCGACTTCTATAGATTGGATATCGAAGACAGCTTACAAAGCTATGAAGACAGTGGGTTTGCTAACAACTGCTCTGCAAGATGTTCGCGCAGGTGCACGCAATATGGAAGATGCATGGTACATCCTGCTGCTTCTGGCTGGCGTTACCAAATTATGCGCCCAACGGCCCAAAGTAAGAGATTTGAAGGAATCCCTTATTACATGAATCAGTATATTCGATGGTATAGTCGCTTGACACAAGTAGAAAGTATTGGCCTCATTAGCCAAGATTCGAACCGATTTTACCGCCGATAGCCATCTTGGTGAATGTTGACCAAAGATGTTGGTAAGCAGAACGTTGCATGGTTTGGAGCTGCCACCGCCCATGACCGTTTCAATACGGTTAAAGCAAAGCCCAAATGATTGGCATCCTTATTCATATAGGGCTACGTCATAAGGTTTGCGATTACAACGTATAGGATAAGGCTACTTGTAACAGCATTTCACATGTGACAGGCTGACATATACGTGATTCTAGCATCTAATGGCAAGATATTGGCATTGGCCGCTGAAATACTATCGCTTTGAGCTTCCATAGCCCGCTAGTGCTGTTTTGACCGACTGCGGTATTGCTAACGCTATTGCTGTCAGAAGGAAGGAACTCTAATTCCAGCCTGATCTATCTAGATCAAAGAGCTATTGGGGAAATGACCGTTCTGGAGCTGACGATCGGCACCATATACAACGCGACTAGAGCTTGCTATTCGAATATCATTCGTGCTGCTATTATTGATGAAAATATATCTATTAAGCGCGTGTATTCAAATTTTTGCATCGCAAATGACCGGCCAAAAAGTATATGTGAAAATAAGGATGAGTGCTTGAAACCGAGTGCCCATGCACTAGCTAGCTGAGACACTGTCTGTGGTATCAGTTCTTAGTGGCTGCATGACGGCAGCAGTGAGGACAATTTTCAGCTTTGTATGATATGATGTACCTAGGTAAATAATCATACATGTATGTAACCCATAGGTAGGTACTGATCGGCCTCAGCCTAATAGTGGTAAGGCTGGAAGCTCGTTGCGCGCTGGATGAAGCAGTTGAAAACAGTAGAGTTGAAGCTTCCCAGGTCGTACAAGTTGCAGTGCATTTTTTCTTGCCACTGTAAAGCTATATGATCGTAAAGATAGGCCAAGCAGACCGCGATATTCACAATTTCCTTCCCGATGAGCCAATCTGCTACGCAATATTGTCTCACCTCAGCCCAGACTTTTGTCCTACCATTTCAAAGTGTGCCTCGCAGGCCGCCCAAAGACTATCGACTACCTCCCTGCAGTGACTATTGATTTCGGTGACCAATAGTCTAGATGTATTTAACGCGTCTCACTCATATACACGTCCTATCATTTTCAAGTGGCAGCCCCCCTTGCGTCGCTTTCCCCGAATCACAAGCCACTTCTCCACCTTGGCAAGGCTGCGGTGTGACCAAGATTCCAGCATTCCATCGCAAAGTCTATAATCAAACTAATACGACGGCTGTCCATTGAGACATCTTTTTGGTGAACACCAACAGAAAGAAATGACGTTGGAGCTAACTCAAGAAAACCAGAGAACGGCGATTGCGGTCTTCGGTGTCTACCGCGGCTTCTAGATGTGCACGGTCTCGGGATATGCGAGGGTGTTTGCTCGTGAAGGATTGCATATGCAGGATTGCAATTTGCGGCTGAGCTGTGTATGACTACATAAGTGGCGCACATGCAAATATAAGGGGGTGTGAACAGACATAAAAGAGGCTGCTAGGAGCCTTTTTTTGGTACGAACATTAACTCTCTTTCCTTTATCTTATTTGCATTACAGAGGAAAAAAGAATAAAGAAACTTCATCAATCATACAACATGAATCTCGATCCAACTTTCCAAGGCAGCCAGCTCAAGCCCGGCACCGCAGCCTATGACCAGGCAAACGACATCTACGCCACGTCCACGTATGGCAAAGAGCGTAACATGAACCCTGGAGAGATCCTACAGCCCACAAGCATAGAGGACATCCAGGGTGTTGTTAGATACGCCAACAAATTTGGCAAGCCGATTGCCATCCGGACTGGCGGCCATCAATACAGCGGTGCTTCCTCGACTGGCCCCAATGGCATTCAGCTGGACTTGGAACTTACGTTCCGAGACAAGAACAAAGATCTTGTACTAATCCGTGATACCGCCAATGACAAGGTCTATATCAAAGCAAGTGTTAGCTGGTCCTTGTCTGAAGTCTACGATTTCCTCCTGGCCAACCACGTCTTCATGCCCACGGGCCAATGCGCCACGGTTCATCTTGGTGGCCATGTCCAGACAGGCGGTTTTGGGATGTTGGCTCGATCATTTGGGCTTCTCGGAGACTATATCCGTGAGCTCCATATTGTGGATCACGCTGGCGAGCTGGTCACCGTCACCAAAGAGACGCATCCCGATCTGTTCTTTGGCCTTCTCGGCGGCAGCCCCGGCAACATAGGGGTCTTGACTCACTTCACCGTGGAAGTTCAAGATGACAACAAGTACAAGGGTTCTAAAGGCCTTTGGATGGCGTTCCACTACCATCAAGATACTTTGAAGGAGCTTCTTGACATATTGGTGGAGAAAGGAGAAGACCCAAATTTCCCACGCAGCTACGACTTCACTGTCAATGTCGTTAGCAGAGAGACAAACCTTCTAGACCTTTTTCCAGGCACGGAAGAGGATCTTAAAGAGGCATTGCCAGACAACATTCACGACGGCAAGACAAATTTTGCAAACGTGTTCAAATTCAAGTACGCAGTCATTGTTGTGTACGCCCAATGGGTCAATCTGGGAATCGACAAATTCTCGCCAGATCTTTTCAACCGCATCAAGGGTGTCAAACACGATCTTTTCAAGTTTGCAAAAGAGACTGACGAGAATGCTTCGATGTCCTACATCACGTCCATGTGGCTCTTCAGAAGCCGACGCGAGTTTCCCTACCCTTACATCAAGCGCACCAATACGACCAACTCCACCACGCTCTCCAAGACTGGATGGTCCAAATGGTTCTCTGGCCGTATCGAAGAGATTATTTCCAACAAACACAACGGCCTATGGGTTTCATCCCAGTTGCAGGTCTACGGTGGCAAAGCTTCCATGTTCGCCAACAACGCAAACAATGGCACCGCCTATAGCTGGAGAGATGCTACTATTAGCGGCACCTGGGATCTTTTTCACCAAAACAACTATGAGGGAGCCAAAAAGTGGCAGGATGAGAACGATGCTGGAGCGGCTACTTACTTTAGCAAGGACGATCGCCGTGTTCTCTGGGGCTCGTATGGTGACTGGGATATGAAGAAGGTTTGGCCGCACTATTATGACACTCAAACATACGAGAAACTGCGACAGGTCAGGAAGAAGGCTGATCCAAATGGTGTCTTTACTGCCAATCCATTCTGTGTGGAGGCAGCGGAAAAGAGTGTGTGCTCGACTTTGTAAACAATCATTTGCGCATTGGTCGTTCCCTACACTCGCTTCTGTCCCAAAAGTAATGATATTTAGGATCATTCATATATTACAAATTGAAACTTGATTATTTATCTACGAGAGTTCATTCTTGCATGCGTAGAGGTACCTACCTAAGGTACCTTATATAAGCTGTGGGTACATGGAACTAGAGGCCTTGCAGAGTAACTTGACAAGAGTGCCATATTCGGCAACGCAAATATATAAATAATCAATTTCGTAACTAAATGTCCAGTGTAAAGACCCCAGCTACAAAGTAAACAGCGTGACAGCCTGTCCAGTCACCTCTGCTTCTGCCAATATCTTCTTGTTCTCTCTCCGGAGTACGAACTTGAGCAGCAAAGAGCACCCAATGCTAATAAAAGAAAACACCATCATGAGTATCATGGCAAGCGCATACCGTGGCGAATCGCCGGGACGGAAGAAATATGGGCTCCAAATGTTACCGAGCTGGGCAAGTAAATTGACGATTGCTGTTCCAGCCGCACGCTTTTCCGGCGTCTGGTTCAGCGTACTCGCAGCCCATGAGTAGACCATGGCATTCGCTGCGAAAGCACCTGAACAGTAGAGGAAAGACGCGAAATAGCGGGCACCTATATTCAGTGTAGCAGCCGAAATGATGAAGCCTACGGATGCAACGGCCATAGGAACACATATATGATAGCCTCTCTCGTTATGGCGATCGCTAGAGTAGGCAACAAGAAAAGAGACAGCTGCACCGAAGAGATATGGAGGTGCTGTGAGGGCGAGAGTAACAGTCTGCGAGCCGATGTTGAAGCCATTCACAATGGTGGGAAAGAAGTAGTTGAATCCGTAGGCAGTATGGTTCGAGCAAAGGAGCAGTACCTGAGGGAGATTATGTTAGCCACATCATGCAGATGTCATTGGGAGATGATGCAACTCACGAATATCCAAGTTCGAGTGTCTTTCAGGGCCAACCGTACGCCATACCAGACAGAGTGATCAGCCTCTGGCAATGATACGCGATCTAGAGCCATTCTTTTCGCGGCTAATTCTCGCTCTTCTTCTGTAAAGAGCCACTTGCCACTCCCTGTCTTGGATTCGATGTAGTCTGGCAGCAGGAAAAAGGAGACCATTGCAGCAAAGAAGCTGCCTGCGCCGTCGATGATGAAGAGCCACCGCCAACCTGGTATGCCTCGAGCCCCATCGAGGCCTGAGAACACACCAGCTGCAATCAAGCCTGAGAATGCGGTTGCGAGTACCAGTCCGGAGTATAAGACGGCGGTACGTAAGGCCAGCTCTTTTCGCGTGTACCAGCATGACAGGAGGTAGAATGCCTATGGAGAAAGAATGCGTCAGCTCATGTACTGCTATTGTTCTATCAAGACATTGGGTTTGAGACTTACTCCTGGGAAGAAAGGAGCTTCCACAATCCCAAGGAAGAATCGAATTACAATCAGATTTCCATAGTTCTGTGCACCTGCTGTGGCGGCAGACACGACTGACCATACGGCGACGCAGGCGGGTAGGTAGATACTGGGTCGAATACGAGTAATGAGCATGTTGGATGGCAGTTGAGCAAGCATATATCTATGATCAGTTAGCCATGATAGCGGAAGTTGTGGTATTGTTACAAAGGACTAACCCAACGTTGAGGATAGACACAGCAGTATTGAAATTGTCATCGTGTAGCTTAAGGTCTCTCTCAAAGGTGTTTAACTTGGCTTGCCTAATACAACTTGTGTTAGCGCTCAATAATATAAATTATCTGTTCGCTTCGAGTAAAGGACATACGCGATGTTGTTCCTATCCAAGTAGTTGAACAAGTATAGGATCCATACTACCGGCAGCAGAGTCATGTCAAGCTTGCGGACCAGCTTCTTCTCGAGCGCGCGCCACTCTGGCGTGTTGACATGTTCGTCATGAACAACTTCGCCTTTCTCCATGCTGAGATCGGGAATCGACTCCTTATGCTCGAGGCCAGTTGTAGTCTCCTTCGCGGAAGGGGCCTCACCGCCCACGGGCATAGTATCAGAGGACATTGTCGAGGTTGTTGAGTAAGTTCACTCTGTGGAATAGGATTAAGTTTGCCGCATGTGAGAGTATAGGTTGGCACTGTCAACATGCAAGCAGGGCAGAACGATAAAAGGCCTTCAGGACAGACATGCGAGATAGGGTTGCATCGTGGGAATTATATACTTCTGAGTTCTATACAACAAGTATGGGAGCAATAGCGCAAGCCTTCCCCGGACCGGCAGAGCAACAACGCGGGGACCCCAGATATTGATTTAGCTATTAGTCTATATTTTCAGTCAGCTGGGGAATCTGGGGTCTAGTGCTTAGCAGCGAAATCAGGTTGACTCTTGGCGTTTACCTAGGCTTTCGCGATGGTGAGGCCGATCGGCGTTGGACGCTGGCCGATCGGACATGTTTCGCCGATCGGCTTGCTCCTCATCCAAGATCCATACTTTTTGACAATCACTGTGGCTCTAGAGATGAATATAAAACACTGAAGTTTAACCTTTGAACTTCACTCAATTCTCACCAGCTATCTTGACTCTTTCAACTCTCTCAACAGTCATCTCTCAATTCTCACCAACATCAATATGACTTACACAAACGGAGCTTCCAACGGGACAAACGGCCATGCGGCCAGCCCCACTCCGGCCGCAACTCGGCTGAGGAAGATGCTCACCGAGAGCAATGAACTGCTTGTTTTGCCGGGCGTCTATGACGGTTTCACCGCCCGAATTGCGCTAGAAGTCGGCTTCGATGGACTTTACATGGTGAGTAGGCTGGCGTTACTGGCAGTAGACTTGTGTATATGTATGCAAGCTTGCAGAGTGCTAACTACATTGCCTTGCATAGACGGGCGCTGGAACATGTGCTTCAAAGCTCGGCCAGCCAGATTTGGGCTTTGCCTCGCTCAATGACATGCGAGAGCACGCCGAAATGATTGCCAACCTGGATCCCAGCGTCCCTCTCATTGCTGACGCTGACACGGGCTACGGCGGACCTAACATGGTTGCTCGCACGGTGGCGCAATACCACCGCAGTGGCGTTGCTGGTCTGCATATCGAGGATCAGATCCAGACTAAGCGCTGTGGGCACCTTGGCGGAAAGGAAGTTGTTGACGTTGATACCTTCCAGCAGCGTATCAGTGCGGCTACTTCAGCCAGGAAGAAGCTGAATTCCGACATTGTCATCATTGCCCGAACAGATGCTCTGCAGACCGACGGCTTCGAAGAGGCTATTCGTCGCTTAAAGGCTGCAGTTGCCGCCGGCGCCGATGTTGCTTTCCTCGAGGGCATTACCAATGAGACAGAGGCGAGAGAGGTGTGCCGAGCGCTGGCGCCGACCCCAGTTCTCCTGAACATGGTCGAGAATGGAGCCACACCATCCTGGTCTGTAGCCCAGGCCAAGGAGATGGGTTTCAGAATCATCATCTATCCTTTCGCAGCTCTTGCTCCGGCATATGAAGCCATTCGTAGCACCTACAAGAGGATAAAGGAGACTGGCGTCACTGACATTGACCCGACTTTCACGCCAAAGAAGTTGTTCACGATAGTAGGCCTGAAAGAGGCCACTGCGGTGGATGTTGCTGCTGGAGGACAATTGTATGGGAAAGTGTGATGATACCAATTGATTGCGGGTAAAAGCGTGTGTGCATAGATGAAAAGAAAATAAAGATAATGTATCAAGAATAAAAAAGGCAACTGGGTTGCATTAGTAGATGGATTGTTGTATGTATCTTATTTGTATTGTGTCTTCGTTAATACTTGTCGCAAAGTCATAACGCTGGGGTTATCATTCCGGTGAGAAAGTATGATGATACTAATTGGCTGCGAATAAAAGTTTGCGTCCAAATATCATGTTGTAAATAAATGCATAAACAATAAGACGGGTATTGGGCCGCATGCGGTATGTATATATAGTTGTATGTGCCTTTTTTTGTATTATGTCTTATTTGAAGAAGATAGAAGAATCATCGCTATCAGACCGGCCATTCCATGTTGAATCCATCCGCCAAGCTACTGAGGTGATCAAACATCATCGCATCTTGCATATCTTCAGAGCCAAACAGCAGCTGTGGAAGTCGCGTTAGTGAGAACGCTACGAGAGAGAATTTTCGACTTATCTTGTGCTTCTTCAGAGTTTTGGTCGCGATTGCCATCTGATTGGAAATGCTTTCGCCATTCCCAAAGCGAGTCGTAAACGATGCTCATGCTGAGGCGATTTCGAACCCGCAAGCGTAAATCGTCAATCGAGTCACCGCTGATAACACGAGGATCGGTCAAAGTGCAGAAAAACCCAATCACGTCGCTGAGCCGGCCCGGAAGGTCGTTGTTCGCAACTGACATCTTTCGCAGTGAAGATATAGCAGCATCAAGGAGTTTTCTACCCGATTTCACATCGAGTAGCTTTTCGAAATATCCATTCATCATGACTTTGAGAATGATGAATGCTGCGGAAACGAAAACTTGATAACAAAAGAATGGGCAGTAGTGAAAGAATCCACTTTCTTCGTTGTCCATCTCGAGACATTGTTCAATCAGCGAATATGCAGTTTGGTATAATACTACAATGCGATCGGAATAACCATCAACGCTTGATTCATCTAAGAGATAGAATGAGTGGAGATGGAGTCGAGCGGCGGCGAGATAATGGCGAGTTATGGCTGCCATGATGTCAGTAGATGCTTACTAAGGTGTCGAGGGGTTGGGTGTGTTACGAGTCATATTGATGGCCTCGCGCTCTAAGTCAACAAGAGACGCATTGAGAAGCCGATAGAGAGAGAGCCGCTCGCGAACTGATGTAAAGCCAGCGGGGTCCAGAGCATTTGATGTCAAGGCTTGAGACACTCTATGTCTAAACTGCTCGATGCGAAGATGCCACCTTAAGGCAATGTCATGAAGAGACAATGTTGCTGACTCGGGTGCAACTGTGAGGGACCAATCTTGCATCTGTATCGTGGCGGGAAGGCCACATCCAACGCTCACACTGCGACATGGTCAGTCTTCTGAAACACGGCGGTTGAATAGACACTTTGCGTATATGGTGTTACCTTTGTGCGACAATATTGCAAGATTCCCATGTCTTGATCCATTCTGAATACTCATACATGCTGAGATGTAGCGGGACTTTGACAAAATCTTCTGCGCTGAGCGCGCGATGAAGGCCCATTTGCGTCCCAAGCTGTACCATCATGCCTGCAAGCATGTACGTTGGGTCGGCGGTGCTACTGCTGGTTGGAAATGGCCAAGTACAGAGAATAATCAAGCTTTGCACTGCTCGAAGAGAGTAAGGTATTGAGCGAAGCGTCTTCCATAGTAAGTCTGTAACACTTCTTGCCAGCTTCTGCAGCAGCGTTGGATGGCTCTGCAGCCGTCGAGCAGCGACTGAGATGATGGACCAGAAAAGCAGCTCAGATGAGTCGTGATACTCGTGAATAGTTGTGCCTGGGTCCAGAAACGGGAGATATGGGTGGTAGTGGAGTATATAGCTACATGGCTTTGTGAGTCCAAGCATATCTCAGCAGGATAGGCATTCCGGGCAGTCTTACATCAAATACAGCTCGTCAATCTCTTCGACAGAGAGCTCAACATTGCCCAGCTTCCTGGGCCGTGGAATGGCAATGATTGACCTTCGCGGCGCTTGAGGCTGGTCAATGACGGGCTGGGTGGTTAGACCAGGGACGCGAGAGCTTTCTTTTGGATCCAGCGACGGGCCTGACGCGTTGGACGGCGATGATTGGATTGCATCGCTGACGCGAGTTTCTGCTATAGCACACAAACAGCAGCACCATTAGCCTTCCATGACGGTTCATGCGACGAATTCCGTTTTTCGTTTAAAGTCTCGATATACTAACAAAGTGCAGCTGGGGTTAGAATAGGCCATTCGATCGCTGCATTGCTGCTCGCCTCACGAGTGGCCAGGCGGCGCCTAAGGTCTCTGACTTCATTCTCGAGCTCGAAAGACTTCCTAAGCAATAAGTGTCAGATTTAGCCCCAAAGGATTCTATCCTGGAAATTAAAGACTTGCCTTCTCTTCCGCGTCCTGCGAAAATCGTTGTCTATCTTGCATGAAAGTTTGAGCCTTTGGCAGCGAGAGCATGTGCTCGATGCAGCATCATTGGCAACCAAATCACATCGAAGCTGCAAGAAATACGAGCCGTTAATGCATGAAATAATTGCATGCTTACAGCGTAAATAGCAGACATTACGCCGTACCTTTTGCTGCTTGCACTCATTACAAGCTCTGCGCCTCGGCTGCTTTGCAGGGGCCTCGCCCTCTCGCGAATCCTGTGGCTCAGTTTGGTCTCCCGGGACCTCGGTGGGAAGAACCTCTGAAGACATTTGGCAACGCGGCCATGAACACGCCCCGCCAAACAGGACGTTGACTTTGTAGTTCTTTACTATAATCCAACCATTGATCAACCTGTTGACTCCATATTATAGGACGTCAAAAGTAAAGGAACTGAGATTGAACCTCAGCTGCTTACAGTCTTTGGGTGAAGAACTAATAATAGCCAGCACTGGGGAACGCGTTTGCACGTGACTGTTTTTAGCACTGATCACTCGCTAAAAGGTTCAATTCTTGAATAACTCCGGCGAAGCGCCACTAAAGTCGCCTACGAAACTTGTCTGACATCCATGTGTCCGGTCCAGTGAAGGTGAGCATTGCAGGTAAGTATCCACAGGCAAATGACAACCAAAAGTTGAATAGAAACATAAAATCTGGCGTCAAAAAGAATTGAGCCAATGCACGAAATAGAATTTTGTATAGTTTTGCCGTATAGGGAAGGCTTCGAGTAGCCCTCTGATTCAAGACTTGGTGGACCAGGATCCATAAATGCCCAGACAGGACTTACTAAGTGCTGATTCATGGCAGCGTGAATGACGGCGGCGGCGACTTTTAACCTATGTAATAGCTTGGTCACCCCGCAGTCGAGTAACTAACATATATAGGCATATGAAACATTATTGCTCATCTCTATACATCAACAACTTTGAGCTTTTCTGCTACATAGATTATCAAGAACTGTTGGCAAATTTTCGAGGTTTTAATAGCAAAATGGGTCTTTTCGACTACACTGAGAGCTCCCAAAGGGTCATCTTTGGAGAGGGCAGCCTATCCAAACTTCCCGATGAGCTTGCCAAGCTCAACTGCACCAAACCACTCATATTGACAACGCCTACAAAGACATCTTACGTTGACGATATCTCGAAAATTTTGAATGGACAAATTGCTGGCTCATTTACCCAGGTCACAATGCATACACCAAAGGAAGTTACTGAAGAAGCGTTAAAGCAATTGAGATCTGTTGATGCCGACTGCGTTGTATCAATTGGTGGCGGGAGCGCCGTGGGACTGGGCAAAGCATTATTTGTTCTCACAGGACTGCCTCACATCTGCATCCCCACTACGTATGCTGGCAGCGAAATGACGCCCATTGTAGGCCAAACAGAGAACCGAGTTAAAGTTACTCATATTGACCGGAAGGCTATTCCGGCAGTTGTCATTTACGACGTGAATTTGACGTTGACGCTGCCGACTAACATCAGCGCAACAAGCGGCCTTAATGCAATGGCTCATGCGGGTACGTATAAGATGACAGCAGTCTTTTATAGTCCAACTTGCACTGGCTAATGTGAATAAATGTCGAACAGTCGAGGCTTTATATGCTCAGGATGCCAATCCCATCACAAGCATGTTTGCAATCAAGGGAATCCAAACTTTGGCCGGATCGCTGCCTCAAATAATGCAAAATCCAAGAGACCTCGAAGCTCGCTCGGACGCTCTACTTGGTACTTGGTTCTGCGGAAAATGTCTCGCCGGGGCATCTGTAGCTCTGCATCATAAACTCTGCCACGTCCTCGGGGGCACATTTAATCTGCCACACGCGGAGACGCATGCCATTATTTTGCCTCATGCGCTGGCATATATTGCTCCAAGTATCCCCAGTGTTATGCAGGAGTTGTCGGACATCATTCCAGATAGCAACGGAGATGCAGTTAGCGGCTTGAACAAGCTACTATCTAAGTTGCAGATTACATATAGTCTAAAAGACCTCGGTCTGAAAGAAGAGGATATTGAGGTGGCAGTAGATAATCTGCTAAAGAAGCCATTTTGGAATCCCAGATCTGTCGAAAGGGATCCGATTCGCGAGCTACTGAAAAGAGCCTGGGAGGGAAAGCCAGCTCAGATAGAAGTATAGCATATTTTCTGTTTAATTAAACAGCTGTAATATTTCTCCGAGTGTAGCCGACAAAAATTCTTTGCATCCCGTGAAAGGATTTACCATCCTCGAGCCTGAGGCCACTATCATCGGGCTGGAGCAATTTACACACCACGTTTAAGTCTCTGTATCTTTACTACGATGTAATAAAAACTGTCTATTTTGTGTGCATGGCTATGCTGATGAATATCTGACGCTGATTGATTCAACGCAGCCCATTCTAGTTTTTCTTCCTCGTGCATATGCTTTTGCATGTCATGACACTATCTTGGCGCATCCATCGCAATCTGCCCCATTACTCATATGGCTTCATGAACTTGTTGCCCAGAATTGCCTGAGAAAAGTCAGGAATGTGCGTACTGTGGCACCAAGGCTTCAGTCGCTCCTCTTCATCAATTGTCTTAGCGAAGCATCCAAGCCACTGCTGACGAGGGAAAGCTTTCACAACATCCTTAAGAGTCTCGGTGTGGATGATCTCTATAAGATTCTTTACATACGGGTGGTCGCTGACATTATCATAGATCGTGGCCAGCTGAATGACTTGGCCGACGAATGTGATGTTTCCCTCAGTCCCAAGGTCTTGGTGGCGGATGATAGTCTCAGCGACTGCTTCGGCCTGATCTTTGGAGGCTCCGAGCTCCAATAGGAGATTCATGGCTTTGAAACCTCCGTAAAACTCAAAGGACATGTTGGTAGCTGCCAAATTCTCCTCAGCTGTGCCGATGTCATGCAAGAGAGAGACAAGAGCGAGGGTAGAAGGAGAGAATGTCGCGGTATGCTCGGGGAACTGTTGTCTGACAATGGCGGTCGCTATATAATGAATGTTAGCTGTTAAAACATTTTTACGAAGATCAGTTGAGCTTCCATACCGTAATAAAAGACTCTCATGCTATGATTGTAAGTTTGGATGGGTAACTTTTCTTTGGCATAGCTTTGAACTTTAGCGACGATGGGATCGCCTTCCGGGAACTTGATGTCAGAAACCAGGAGCTGTGCAGGCGCATTCCTAAATGGCTTGCCGCCAAAGAGCTTGCTGGGATCCAAGGGCAGAGCGGTCCAGCCGTTTTGCGCAATTTCGTTGGTTGACATCTTGGCAATTGGAAGTATCTAAGAATAGATAACAGAGATCTTGACGTATAAGAGGCTGATCCTGACAATTGAACATGTTAGTAGAGAAAGGACAGCGATGACGTAAGCGGGGACCGACAGTGAGTATGAGGCCGACCGAAGGGCAGAGCTCGGAAAGCGATAAGGCAGGAATTTATTATAAGAGGAAGAGTGGACTTTTTGGTGTAGATGTCTTGATGCAATCACAAGACTGGGTGTGTTGTTGCAATTGTTGGAAGTGTTGGGAGTTCTGAATTGAAATTTTTTCCCCAGAAAGCCCGAATTGTGTCGTCTTATATACAGCTTTGCTTTTGAATTGAATGCCTGAAACGACGGCCTGATACCATCACAGGTTTCCTGATTGGGAAGTCTGGCGGCGGGGTATGAACGATCGATTTACTCAAACCAGATATTATTAATTCGGCATTTCCGGGTACCTCTGATCCAGCCGAAATCGGTAACGGCACAATGTTTCTCAGGCCTTTGGCACTTTGAGACGTATTTATTCTACATATCTCGTCGCTGCATAAATAGATTGCACCGAATAACAGTGTAGTGGTCAAGCAGGTTGTAACAAATTTGTTCTGAGACTCAACAATGAGGAATAAATAAAAGGCACTCTGTCTAAGGTTAACGTCCTATCTCGAAGCTTACAGAACCTAAGGTGTGCTGATAATGGAACACCAGATTTCCAATAGCGCAAAGGTTTCTCGCTATACACCTCTCTGTTTGCACAGGCAAGGTACCGGATTTCGGTAGTTTAGCTTATTCGCGGATGATGACGGCGAGAGCGCAGTAGCGTAGTGGGAGCAGCTGAATTTGAGCCAATCTTTTGGATCAGTTGGACCCACATGCAATAACTAACAAAACGAGTATAGGCTGTGCAGTAGTAGTCTTTTCGTTGTATGCTGTATCCCCCTCGCTTGTAAATTGGGCGAAAGTTGATGGGCATGTTTGTGGAACACCTTATGACTTAATGGACGATTTATACGAACAATAGTGATAGTATGGTGTTGTACTATTATCCCATCAATTAGAGAAAGATAGGTTTCAGAGGCAGTGCCTCATAGCATTAAGAAGCCAGTCGATACGGTTCAAGATAGTGGTGGGGAGAAGGAAGATGACATAGAAACAAAGGCGCTTACTTAGGTAGTTATAATGAGGAAAAATAAGACTCAAGTCCTGTAGTATTGTCATCAATAATTTTCCTTAACCTGGGACAGAGTAGCAAAGTTCAAAGTTCAGCAAATCTCGCTCGAATTCAACATGTTGGGTTAGCTTTAATATTTTAGCGCGCTGGATGTTAGTGCGGAACTAAAATGCATGCATGGGATTTACATTCACGAACGTCCATCATGTCCATGAATCTGGTGATGATGAAAGACCCAGGTAACTTGCTTGTATGCAGAATGGCTTTACAATCAAGTATGGCTCAGCGTAAATACCGTATAGAGAGAATCTTGGCGTTGGACTGTGATGAATAGAATTGGCAAAGTCTGTCACATGATGGACTTATAGCTCCAAGAACTCGTCTGCTTTTCTCCAACGCTAACTTAATTGGCCATAGGCTTGACGATGGCAGCTTCAACATTCTCTCGCAACTTTCGCGACACATGAAGCTATATGGCCAATCAAAGCAATATTTCTTGTCATACTACGGTATGGAATACTGCGCTTCTAATATTCACTATTCACTATTCACTATTAGTAATCATCAGTAACAGCCGGCATCTCCAGCCTTGATCATGCCACAGCCTCCTATCCATGATGACAATATGAACGCGGCCTCGCCACAACGCGCTGGGCCAACAAGGCGTTACAACAGGTCACGTTGTGGATGCTTAACTTGCAAGTGAGGCTTCCTACCTGACAGTTCCTCCGTTGAATGTAGAAGACGTTGTTGATCATGTTGACATAGACGTCGCAAAGTCAAATGCGATGAGCAGCGGCCTCGATGCTCGCACTGCGAGCGGCTAAATCTGGAATGCAAATGGCGACCTCTTCACGCTGTCGCCCTGTCCAAGCAACGAACTGACACCAATGGCGAGAGGCCGACGGGCGATGGCCAGCCAATCACATCTCCATCCACCGAGCGATCACCGACTGTCTCTGGATTACGAACGTTGCAGGCCATGGATGAAGTCTTTGACTACGCTAGCTTCATGTGGGATCCAAGTAGCAGTTTGTGGCAGCAAGAGAGCCCAGACATGACGACTACCATTGCGCTTGAAGCAAATCTTATAGTGAGTATCTTAAATACCATTCATATTACTGAAGATTTTCCGTGTCTCCTTTGGATCTCGAACAGGGTCAAATAACTTACACTGTGCGGTAGGGATCTGGCTCTTTTATGAACAGGCACGCAGATCCCTTAACAATCAACACATACCCGAACAGTACGGCCATACAAGAGGACGGAGATCAGCTTATTGGCCAAAATCTTTCTGGTTCAAGCGAAAAGTTGATGGAATTCTTCATCAAATCTGCTATACCGCCAATCATAGCCGGAGTCGAGTCACAGAGGAAATGGTCTTCCATCCGCCAAGGCCTTGTCGCAATGTCAAAAAGCTCCCGCGTCCTACGCTGCGCTATCCTGGCATTCTCAAATACCCTTTTGTGTCGTAGCAACCCCTCTTGGGCCATTGACGACCAGAATCACTACCAGGAAGCCGTCATTGAAGTAGAGACACACGATCCGGATTCTCTCAGCGAGCATAGCCTGGCGCGCGAATGCCTCCTCGCCGCGCTATTCTTCTTGAGCTACGTTGATATTATAGAAACCAGGCTTGATATGGCCCATCGCTATCTCAAACAAGCATATACAATATTCCAGAGAGGAGACAAGACCTCTTTTTCGCATGTCGAAAAGCAGGTCCTTCTTTGGATTCGGCTATTAGATGCTAGAGCGGTGTCTGCTGGAGGCGAAGGACTGTTTTTATCACGGGACGATGAGATTGAATTTGTAGAGCCTTCACCCGCGAGTTTCGACGCTGAAACGGACGATACTGCAAGAAGCCAAGATGCATCCAGCGACGACATTGAGGATGTTTTATTCCAGGTCCTCTACCAACCTGGCATCGTCTTTTTCCAAAAGGTTCAAAGCTTCATGGGCCGCATTTCAAAGATTGATCCTTGGCATAGGTCAAGAGGCACAGTGGAAGACGAGATTGATGTCATGAATATCGGCGCTTCCATTGCCTCTGACCTGCGGTCGCTATACGATCAACGCCCACCACTAATGGACTATGCGGTTGCCGGAAAACTCTCAGAACCTCACATCTCAGCACATTTGGCTTTCACCATCACTAGAGCTTTTCGTACTTACTTATCTAACTACTACGCTAGCAAAGTGCATCTTCATCGTGTTGCTTACAAACACTTGCCATTGACCAAGGAAGCAGCCGATGCTCTCGCTCAAATCCGCAAATTGGCTCACCAGATTTCATCCAATCTAGCTCCTGAGGACTCGCTGCCGGTAAATATGCTCTGGCCTCTCTTAATGCTAGGTGTTGAAGAGCAGGATGAAGAGGAGAAGGCGTGGATCAAGGCGCAAATAACGAGAATGGAGGGCGTTGCCGGGAATGCAAGAATCACGGCGCAAGTCTTGGAAGAGGTCCAGGCTCGCCAAGAAGCCACCAAAGCTCGAGCGGACATTCGCTCCGTGATGCACTCGGTATTTAATTCGTGCTTTGCGATCTTGTGATTCACCCCGCACAGAGACTTGAGGGTGGCGTCTGCTCGGGTCGGCAGTATCGGGAATAGTTGCGTCGGCAGAGGCAACTCCACATCAACGGTATCGCGTCGCTTTGGATTGAAGATGATCCGATAGCCTGCAACGCATACTTGGCTGCATCTAACCGGTAGTTTCGTGGCTTCATTATTTCTCGTCCAAGGCTTTCAATACTTCTTCTTACAAAGAGCTATAGACTTTGGCATACTTGTACTCATACTTCTCGTCTTATCGCATTCAGCGGGGCACCATATAAGTCATTGATTCGCACCCTCAGCATTGTCGTACAACATCTTCTTTCCTAAACATTTACTCTGTCGCGTTATTTGGAATAGCTCAATCTTTGACAATAGACCCGTCAACGTTTTCTTTTCCCCGTCAAGATTAACAATAATGGGCTCGTTGCAACAAGTAGTCAAGCCGTTTCCGCCGGGCATTCATGTGCCTTGTCTGACCTGGTTCAGCAGCAATGACGCTCAAGATATAGACTGGGACTTGCAAGAGCAGCACTTGAGATTTTTGATCACTTCTGGTCTTCATGGGGGTAGGCGCATTCCTTTTCCATGTTTGTTTGTATCGTGGACATCAGCTAATGCGCATCAATCCAGTTGTATTGGCCGGGACCAATGGCGAAGCTGTAACATTAACACAAGAGGAAAAGATTAAGCTCATCACATTAACGAGACGCATCGCTGCCGAAGTCGGAGAGCCAGATATCACCATTACCCTGGGATGTAATGGACAGTGCACGCGGGATGTCATCGCCGAGACCAAGATGGCGCAAGAAGCGGGCGCGGACTATGTTTTGGTTCTTGTGCCCAGCTATTTCCACTTTGCAATGACCAAGGATGCCATTGTTGCGTTCTTTGAAGAGGTAGGGAAGCAGTTTCTCCCAACTGATACAGTGATGCAGCGTTAACGTTAATAATAAATGGATAGGCAGCTGATGCAAGCCCGCTTCCCATCTTGATATACAACTATCCCGGTGTAGTTGCGGGACTCGATGTCGACTCCGAAATGCTCGATCGCCTTGCCAAGCATAAGAACATTGTCGGCGTGAAGCTGACATGTGGTGGTATTGCCAAAGTTTCGCGCATCGCGGCCACTTACAGCCCTGAGGACTTCAGTGCCCTTGCAGGTCAGAGCGATTGGCTTGTTCCAGCACTATCAGTTGGAGGGACAGGCACTATTACCGGAATAGCAAATCTATATCCTAGGGTCAGTCTGCCTCAAGTAACGTGTCTCATGACATTGATCAGTAAGCATTGCTAACCAAGGCATTCGTGAACATCACAGACCTGTATCCAAATCTACGATTTCTTCAAGGCTGGTAAAGCCAAAGAGGCTACCGCATTACAACTGGACCTATCCAAGATGGAATGGGGGTTCGCCAAAGGTGGAATCAATGGTACCAAGTGGGTGGTCGCGAAGCTGCGTGGATATCCTCAAGAGAGCTGCCATTGTAGGCGACCATACCCAAAATTCGATAACGCAGCGCAGCAAGAGTGGATTGTTGGTGTTGCTGGCGCTCTGGAGGCGACCGAGAAAAAGATCGCCAAGGGTTCAGTGTAGAGTAGCAAAATCTGAAACTTGAGAAATGGTCGCAGAGTCGATTAGCTTTCCAGAAAATAATCTGCTAGAACACGAACTCATTTACAACATGCAACGTTATTTATTCCCTTTTATTACAGTTTTATCTCCAGCAAGGATATGTTCCGTTCAACTCCATCATCTAAGAGCTGATCGCGATACTTGGCACTTATGATTCCCTCTAAATCATTTACACAATAGGTGATGATACTCTTGTCCCATCTTTTCTTTCAACGCATGATGCGGCGATAGATTATCACATACGGTCAGGTCCAAAGCATATCAGTAGTTGGCCGCCCCGGCTTCTGGTTGCGATCGGGATGGCTGTGTCCTAAAGCCACAACTCACCGTAAACTCAACTTACTTGTCGGAATAGAGCCGATCGGCTCGGATGCATCGCTTAGTGCCAAGCACCAAACACTCTCATTAGCCTCGCAATCCCCGTTTGCCACCCTTTCATAGCGCTACGCCACTGGCAATAATCCGTCGGCACCCCACGTTATGCTCATCAGGAGGCACAGAAGGCGTGAATGGTTCCATTTTTACCGACAGGTCGGTTTGGCTCTTGCGATTCGTTATGGGGGTTTGCCTCTGTTCTCGCTATTTCTAGAAAATATCAGTTCATCTACTCCATATTCTCACCCCAAAGTTCCCCGCACGGCACCACGTTTGGTCTCGCTCAGTCAAAGCTGGGGTACATCGATTCGGCGAAGAATGACCCCAGATTTTTGCTAGTTGGCGAAGACCCCACCATCTTTTCTCCAGATCCGATGGCACCAGGCCAAAGTTGTGATGGACAGACCTTACAACAATCATATAACTGACGATATTATCCGCTCTTATCATCATGTTTGTCTTTTAATGACTCTGAATTCAATTTTACACTCTTTATTGTGTAACTACTATCACAGGCGCATTCGTCTTGTGTCGTTACAATCTTGACGAAGCGGACAAGCACTCAGCATCATGGGTGGATTTCGTGCTGTTGAGGATCGGCCAACGCCGAAAGAGGTGTACAATTGGCGGTTATACTTTGAGGCCGCAATTATTGCTACCGGTTCTCTACTGTGAGTATCGGATCTCGAGTCGTTGTGTCGCTGTGCGAACCTTTCTGATACATGAGTGAATCAGCTTTGGCTATGATGGCGCATTCATCGGGACGACCATTGCTCGCGCAAGTTTCAAAAAAGACTTTGATATCCTACCGGCCGAAGCGAGTAGCATTTCGAGCAACATCACGTCTGCATTCCAAGCGGGCGCTTTCTTTGGAGCCATTTTTTGCTTCTTTAGTAGGTCTGGATATACTCATACCCGGACACAGACGCTAACTATAAGGAATAGTCACCGAAAAGATTGGTCGAAAGTGGGCGCTGTTCACTTCCAATGTGGTGTTTCTTATCGGCGCAGTTGTTATGACGGCTGCAACACATTCACTATCAAATATATGTTAGTGCATGCTATAACCGTCGAAGTTATTTGTCTTCTCTATAGCCAATGCTGACTTCTGGCAAATAGATGCTGGTCGAGTCCTCACTGGGCTTGCCTGCGGTGGCATCACTGCGACGGTCCCAAGCTACATCGCTGAGCTTTCCATCCCTTCTATCCGCGGTATTCTGACTGGTCTTTTCGAAATTGCGTACCAAATAGGATCTGTCATTGGCTTTTGGATCAACTATGGAATCAATCAGAACATGGACCAAAGTTCAACGGCCTCATGGCGCATTCCCATGGCAGTTCAAATTATCCCCTGTGGCATGCTGCTACTTGGAGGCGCGTTTCTACACGAAAGTCCTCTATGGCTTTTCCGAAATGATAAAGTCGAAGAAGGAACAAAAGCATTGGAACAAATTCGTCAACTGCCACGAGATCACAAGTGTAAGCCAAGTCCCGCCATACAACTGAAGACGACAGCTAGCTCATAACCCTGCAGACATAGAAGAAGACATTCAAATGATCCGGAGTCGCCTTATGGAGGAAGCCGACATTGCAGGTAGATACGGTACTGGATCATGGGCCCTCTTCCGTGGAGCCTTGTATGAACTTTCTCGCAAGGGCATGCGCAACCGTGTTATTCTCGTATTCTGCTCTTTTGCCCTTCAAAATATGTCTGGAGCTGCAGGTGAGCAAAGTTGCAATTGACTAAAAGCGTCATCAGCTGACAATACCGTTTACCAAAGCTATTAATTACTATTCGCCTACGCTATTTACTTCCTTGGGAATCACTGATGTCTCTCTATACACTGGCATCTACGGCCTTGTCAAGGCAGTTGCTTCAATCATCTTCTACGTCTTCCTAATCGATATATGGGGCCGCCGACATCCAACTATTCTCTCTTCAATTGCTTGTTCACTATGTCTCTGGTTCATCGGCGCATATGTCAAGATTGGACATCCAGCCGACATCATCAAGGCCGGAAACCAGCTTTCACCATCCACCGCAGCTGGTGGCAGAGCCGCAACTGGCATGATCATGATATACTCCGTCTTGTATGGCACCTTTGTTGAGTCTTGTCTGCGTTCTTTTGATAACTAATATGGTCTTTATAGCTGGTCTTTTGGACTCAATGGAATTCCTTGGATCGTTGCAGCCGAAATCTTCCCAGGAGCTTTACGTAACTTTTCTGGAACCTGGGCGGCACTTTGCCAATGGTATGAAGACTACTGGGCATTTTAAAGCTTTTTTACTCTAACACTTGGTTACAGGCTTACACAGTTCGTCATTACAAAGGCACTGCCGTACATTTTTGCCTCTCTGGGCTACGGCACCTGGTTCTTCTTCGCGTCCTGGATGCTACTTGCAACTATTTGGGCTTTCTTCTTTCTTCCAGAAACGAAAGGCAAGACTCTGGATGAAATCGACGTTATCTTGTGAGTTTAACCTGTAAACACATTTCTTAAAATATTCTTGCTGACCAATGTTCAATAGTGGATATGCCGAAGACAGAAGACAATTTTTCCCGGAGCCATCAAATGCCGATATTATCAAGGAGGATGCGGAAGTATTCACAAAGGAGTAATGAACAGATTTTGTCGTTATTTTTCGTCTTTTCTTTTTCTTTATACATTATATCCAATGACTATTAACAAAGGGAGATGCTGCGAAACATCTGTTCATTACAAATTGCCTGAATATAGTTGGTAAATCATGCGCCTCGTGTAGCTGTGCATCATCTTCGCCTTATCTATCGCGGAGATACGTGATTCTCATATATGAGTCTTTACCAGTTGATCTCTATCGATGGGAAATTGGCTACTCGAAATTGCTCATTGCTATCAGTAGGCAATACAATTGTATCTCACTTCTTCCTGTACATATTTTGAGGCCGCTTGGAGGAGCTTCTCGTGTTCAGCGCCCCCACGCCCTGGGGCCGATCAGGCGTGCATGCACCTATATTACGATTCCATCCGCAAGATCCGCTGCTAGATGCGAAAATCATGGGCTAGGTCTTGATCTGCAGATCATCACTGTACACACATATTGGCCGTTCTCACGTGTGTAGTCTATGTAGAATAAAGTTTGGGATCGGCATTCTGGTATCGTCAATAGCATTGCTCTTTAGATCTCTGAGTAGAGAGATTGGACTAAACAACTGGGTTGCTGTCAACTACTCCAGCTGCCAATTACGGATGTGGTCAGTCCTCAGTCACGACGCGTGCTTTGATAGTTACGTCTCAGACAGATGTACTAAATTGAATATGGCAGTTATGAACATGCCTATGGGTTTGTTCTATGCTTTGTAGCGAGCTCTCTACCTTCAAAAGACTCAGTTTAACTGTATTATTGAGATTTTCCAAACGAGGAAACAATGGGCTGGACTTGTACACCGGGAAAAGAGACTAAAACGCCTGCACGCTCAGCGTGCAATTGTTGAGAGAATGAATGTCAGCGAGCAGGTCAGCCTTGCCAAGCCGTGGCGGAAGAAGCGGCTCATCAAGACCCTGGAATCTAACTAGCATAGGGATTAAGCATGAACTACTGTGAGATTCCGTACGCCGTAGAAAATTGGTACTGTTCGGGCCTTTTGCAGTGGTCCAATTACTGTGCTGCTATCAGCTTACATGGTATCGAATAGGAAGCTACCAACACTTAAAATATGTTTGTGCCTGAAAAGGCCTGCGCTATCGTGTTCTAGATGACTTTAATTTGTTTTACGGCCCCAGTGTTCAGTAATTCTATTGGTGGCATAATCACATTGAGCACGGAAACAAGCCTTTACCATAAAAGGAAACTTATGGTGTTCAATTTCTTACTGAGGCTCCAATAGACGGCTAGACATCCGTAAAAGGCAGTTACTCGCAATATGAAACCTTTCCAGCTGCAACAAAGTACTAATCAAAACATCGATATCCTGTTGAATGGCCTTGGATGGTAATATTTTGCACCACAGCTTTTAGGCTTCCGAAACCAATGTTGAGATAGTTAATCACATACAACAACAATTAAAACTCCCATTAGAGAAAATACTAAGTATTAGTAGCTACTGTAATGTCTAATGAAATCTCACAAAGCCACTAGTCATTCGTCATTGTCGGCTTCTTATCTTAGGTGGCTGATGCGTACCGGACAGAATACTTCTTAGCTCTCATTTCTCGTAGCCCATGACCCACGTGGTAAGCTGCCATTGAATACAACTCTAGCTCGTGCGTTAGTTCATCTCACTTGGGACTTGCTACGGCTATGAGTTAGCTAATTCTTAATAATTCACTCTTTTGCTTTAGTAACAATCACATATGTCCATAGAAGCGAAGTGTGATGGCAAACCGTGTTTGGCTAGAAGCTAAGATATATACAGGGTTCTCAGATATAGACATAACCTCTGGGAGGTTTCATAAACAGCCATTAAGGCAAAATATAGACAAGTGAATCCAACAGCAGAAGCGGAGAAACTCATGGAGTTGATCGCCACTTCAAGGTTATCAAACCTTGCATCATCCATCTTTTCGCTTACTTCATTCCCAATTCATAGAATGCTTAAAAGACTTGGCCCATCATACGGCGGGCAACGTCACTGACGTAGCAAGGTACGCCGAAGCCACCGGCGGCTTGGCTGAGGTCGCCGCTGTTGACACTGCCCGAGTTGTACTCACGAAGGGCAGGGTAGATGGATGAGATATCCCACTGGTTACCCCAGTCCTCCAGGTTTTGCTTGAAGTGCTGAGTTCCACCGTTGATCATGGAAGAGGTTTGCGACTAGGTTGAACCCGTTAGAATGAGAGATCTTACATGTATACAACAAAGGACAAGAAATGTCAACTTACCTGAGACAGTTCATTCTGGTTATGGAATGAAGGACATCCTTCGCACTGCATCAATCCGCAGTCATTGTTTCCTGTGCACTGGACGCCAACATAACCAGTGCTCTCTTGGAGAATGATGGCGAGGATAACACGCTCATCAACACCAATGTTCGCGGCAGCTTGGCTAATGGCCACGTTGATACGGCCAACATCATCCCAGCTGGAGCCTGCATTGACCATGGTCTGCTCATAAAGGCCGAAAACAGTGGTCCAGGGCAGCCAAGAGCTCATAGGAGGAAAGTTCTGGTAAGGTCCGCCGTAGGTACAGCCTCGGGGCTCAAGCTCAATGGGCGAGGCAAAGGCGGCAGGCAGAGCAGCCAGGGCGGCGACGAGCATGTTCTTGAAAGCCATTGTGTTTATTGAGAGTGTCCAAGGACGGAGATTTCTCTGATGCTGGACTGAGTGAGCTGGATTGACTGGTGAAAGAACGTTGTCTATGGCGGAGAGACGTCATCTCTTTATAGCTTTGCCTTTTCATAGTATTATAGCTTTTTCTAGGAAAGGAAGTCAGAAAAAACCAATAAGACTATTTTGGGATCAGTTTCTCCGAACTATCATCCAATATTTTGACAAACCACGTTTGCGTTGGGGCTAGATGATTTACAGCCAGGTTTAGAACAGTTGTAATGGAGCCCGGCAATCCGGCATGTGCATTCATCCTGGAAAAAAACTTCTGGACATGCATGATTAGGATCTTTAGCAGCTTTAATTACTGCTTATGGCACATATCAGTAAGGTGATGCTTCAAGGACCGCTGAAGACAAATGTGGGAGTTGAGCCCTCAGCTGCACGCACATGGACTTTCATTGGCGCGTGAGGCAAGCCTCCACTTGCATGCATCCAATATACTTTCACCCCTGAAACAAGCCAAAGCATGTTGATAGAAGGTGCCCGCTGCAGCATGTCGTGAGATACCGACGGGCTGCAGGGCCAATAGTCAGTCCGCCTGCATAAACTTATACTTCAACCTTTCTATTAAGCAGCGGCGGGTGCCTTAGTGGGGAATTCACATGTGTTAACCTTGCCGTTTGGGGAATATCTACATGCAGTCTATGCTTCATGCTCAGGTGAGGTTAGAAGCTTCAGCGGGAGACGCGTTTGTTTCTTTCACAAACTTTTAACGTGATCATTTAGTCTCGATTAATGGGTCATTATGGTATTGATGCTGCTTTGAGCAATGTCGCGCTAGCATAAGCCATGGGCATACTAACAACTTTGCTAAAACCTGAGGGTCCGTCTGCTTACCCAACCCCAAGGGAATAAGCATCTTCAATTAGTCTATAGGCATTCTAGCGCCCGTAGGGTAGCAGCGGGAGAGAAAAAGGTTTCGGAGAAACACTTCTATCCGATGTACAACCCTCGAAAAAAGAAGCCATTCTGATATGATGAGTAAACGCACCTATGTGAATCCGCTTCAAGACTTCTTTTTGTCCGTTATCGCTTGTGAGAGATGAAGGACTACTCACAGCCTCTGGGTCATTTGATGCATACCATGACTCTCCATCATCCGTTGAGCCGTAGCAGCTGCTGTAAATTGCTAGAGTTTCGAGTCTAAAATGTATTAGCATGAGACCAATAGTCTCTATCGGAGATTTACATGATGGAGCGGGCTCAACAACGTATGGAACCTGAGATTGGAAACTGCTTCGACTCACGATATCGTGAAAACAGCAGAGGAAAGATGACAGGCTTTTTTTTTTTTTAGGTGCGCCTTCTAGTATCCGGTCACATCAGGGTTGTAAATTTAGTTCTTAGTTTTTAGTTTTTAGTTTAGTAACTAAAACTAATTTAGTTTTTAGTAACTAATTAACTAATTAAATTAGTTTTAGTTAATTAACTAACTAAACTAATTTATTTT